AAATCTTTAGGCAAGCCTCCGCTCGAATGTTGTACAAGTCTTATGTATCCTGGAGGCGCACATTCACCATCGCACGCACAGACCTATTTTTTTCATTTGTTGCCTTGGGAGGCCAGAATCAAGTGTGTGGAGGATCCTGTCCAGACAACTTCGTTCAGAGCTAGCTATGTATCACTGAGGAATTCAAGTGGGTGCTAGTTATAGCGTCTAAATTGGTTCAAGATGGTTCACAAGTTTCCAAATTGTACTGTACTCTTCATGCTTCCTCAATTGATGCCATCTCCGCTTCTAAGCACATTTTCCAGCGCAATCAACATCAACCTCCAACTGCAAGACTGCCTGTCGCTCATCCGTGGACCCCGTCAGAAACGGTAAATATGGGATCCAAGCTGAAGAGAGAGTTCGCTTATATTCAAGCCACGTCTTAATGCGCTAGCATAGCGACTTAGCTTGTAGATAGTAGTGTAATTGTGAAGCACGTACGAATTTACGACAATCTTCCGCCTCAGACAATGCGCGATGCTGCTCATCAGTTAGAACCTGAGATTTGGGGATGTCGGGGCAGTAAGATCTGACGCTCTGGCCAACACAAGAAATACACCTCGAATAATGATGGCCAGAAGAGCAAGAGATCGTTGTCTTCGTAGCACCAAGAGTATATGGCAACCTGGTCATCCATCCACTCGAGTTGTTCGCTTGTCCAATATATTGAATCCGGCGGCATGGCTATCCTGACTGTCAAAGCGCGAACAGTTAACTCGGAAACAATCAATCACGTACCTGAATATTTCGGCAGTGACTAGTGACTTGTCAAGTATGTTTGCCGCTGACGCTCAAATAATTAGGTTTTAAGCTCCGCTGAAGGCAGCACCATGTAACTCGGGCGGGACGTCAAATTTAGCAGCCAGCACACATCAGCGGGGGAGTGCCGTTTGACGGTGTGCGTTATGTCGTGTTATGTTCATATCTGTAGCTAGTATATAGGTGTAATGATAAAGACATCGTCCAATGAGATTCGAGAGTGGTGTGAATTATTTTGATAGCTTACTGTGACAAGCTGCTGGGGGTGACCGTGTATACAATACAGCGGCACTGTACACTAATTAGTAAGAACTAGTTGCCAGTTAGTAGATAGGGTCTGATGTGGAGAATATGTTCGCTAGCCCATGTTTTTATGTGAATACATGTGAATACATGTGCCAAATGATACCTTCAGATTGCTTATTTTCCTACAGCATCATTCAAATTGGCTTAATAGTTGTTTTCCGCCACAAATGAACCATTCGTTCATAAATCTCGTGTAAAATATAGTAGGTTGGATTATGGAGAGTGCGTCCTGTTCAATCTCAAAGTCAAATCTGTATCTAATGACGCCTGTGGCATTCCTGAACATGCTGGAGCATGGCGATCTTGGCCGATCAGTCGTTGGCTACTGCGACAGAACAATATATTGTAAATCTCGTGTAAATAGCACTAATCTAAGGCTCACATTGTATAAGCCTAACTCACCGCACTTACTCCTCCCATATAGCAGCTTCAATATGACTCGCCCGCGATTGTACAATACTCCCCAAGAAAAACTCGAAGCAACTCGTCGCTACCGAAAAACGTATTACGACAGGTCAGCAGTGCACATTTGGCGGTGCATATCAATCTCATCTACGATCAATGTTTTCACAGGAACAGTGCTATTATCAGTTTAAAGCACAAACAAAAGTATCGAGCACGACGGCAAGTCAATATTCATTTCCTCGACCAGTATATGATACTATCCTGATTGTACTTATTCTTGTATTCTATGTAGTGCGAATGCAGGCCCTCAGGAAACAGCAGACCCAGGAGGACCAAAAACAACGTCTCCGAGTTGCAGGTATGTTTCCTGAACGTTTACCACAACCGTAACAGCACTAAATTTTGGCAGCCAACATCGTCATTCTGACTCCAGTCGGTGAGTCTCACAAGGGCATCATCTCATCTCTTAAAATTACTAACAACCACTCTTTGCAAAGCAGGACGAATACCAACATCGCAGACGTAGAGGCTATGCTGACCCGTCTTATAAACGGCTCCTCTACAGAGCTTCTCGACCAGTTAGTCCAAGATTTCAGAGGCACCGCAGCCGTCGAGCATTGGATTAAGTCCATTGAGACTTTGCTGGCAGATGTAGATGCACTCAGACAGCGGGTTCAGGAGTATCATTGCGCCACTCTCCAAAGCCATGGTGTGGGGAAGGAAATACGTCAGGTGGAGTTCACTGCCGGAAGGGTCGCCGGTCTCACAAAAGCATTGGAAGACATCCTCATGTGTGTTATGGTTGACCCGCATACCCTATTTGACCACCACGCGCGAGGTGAGCTGCTGTATCAGAACTCTCCCAATATCACCGCGTTATAGACTCAAATTCTGCTTCTTGGGGTTCGGACATGTTCGCCGTGCATTGTACCTTATTTAGATTAGTTACCTACTGCACCAAGCTAATGCATCATGTCTCGTTATTCACGGACGATCACACGAAGTTCTTGCGGTGATTCACAGACTGCGCTTCACGGCGATCACATGAAGTTCTTGCACTGATTCACCAAGCACGACAATAACCCAAGAAATTTATATTGCACGCTTCAGGAGGTAATACATAATATATGGTAGATATACAAGTAAGTACATTACATTCGAGAGTTGCACATTGTCCGTTCAAGGCAGCCACCTGGCTTCTTCAAGCTTGATTGCATCAAGCATGCGAAGGACGCCGTCAGACCAGGACGCCGTCAGACCAGGACCTCGCACGAGTGTAAGACGAACAACTGACTCCGAGAACGTGGGGAGAAGTACGTGTCCTGATAGAATGTCAGAATAAAGAACTGTATTCAGAAAAGAGACGTACCATGTATTGAATATACCAACCCGGCGACCACGAGTAACAATGTAGAATGGGCCTCTAGCATCTGGATGCGGAATGTCAAAGGTAAAGCCTTTATAGTGCTGCTGAAGGTGTTCCTCCCCGTTGACCATGACTCTGCTTGTTGGGAGATCGGGTAAGTGTTCATTGTGCACATTAGGGTTAGGAAGATCAATGTGAGTGGGAGGGGCGGGGCCAGGAGGAGCGGGTGACAGGGCCTGAGCAGCGGGAGGGGCAGGCGATAGGGCCTGAGCAGCGGGTGGCAGGGGCTGAGCAACGGGTGGTAGGGGCTGAACAGCAGGAGGGGTGGGTGGCAAGGCCTGAGCAGCGGGAGCAATGGTGGGCAGAGTCTGGGCAGCGGGAGATACCAATGTCTGTGCATCTGTGGTGGGAGAGGCAGCAGAGGGCCCAGGGCTCTCTAGTCCAGTGCTGTCGACGATGACTTGTATCAAATTGTGAGCGTCGTTTGCGGAAAGCGTCAGTGAGGCTAGAAGTTGCAATACAACATCTGGAAACCACGAGTAAGCATTGAGGTGATCAATCGACTGAGAAAATATGTACCAAAGACGACATCATTGTTCGAAACACTGTGGGACACCATCATTGGTAAAGGAGAACTATGAGTGACTCACCTGGCTAGACGACCACCCTTTATACACCTTGGATGATGCATTAGCGAAGTCAGTACATATGTAAAGTAGGAACAGCAAGAATGAGTGGAAGAGGCTCGATTACATAATAACCTGGCGGCGAATAGGCAGTGCGTTACCAATTCGCAATGTCATCCAAGTTAAAGGATTTCTGGCTGTTCGCACATGGACAGAGTATTGCCATTGCCAAATTACACTGGCGTTCAGAGAAATAGGTAAGTCGAAGAACACCCTCAGCATTATTTACTAAATTATAATTAATATCATATGTAGCTACACTGGGATTGGATTGTTGGGTGTACACCGTGACGACCTAGTCGATTTCGTGACCATGAATGGCACCTCTGCTTCATCATCTGCGCAGCCTTCGTCCTCACCCCCAGTTCAAGTCATACACTGCACACAGGAGGTTCGCAACACCTTACAAGCCTTAACGAAGAAACGGAAGAAGAAACCAGCGCTAAATTCGTACACACGGACCTCCACGCAGTCGGCCCAGCAAAGACAACATACCAACTACTATGTTCACAATGGCTCTATCAGCTACAAACGCTCCTACATCAAACCTCCCGAGAATGCACAATCATCCCGTGCGCGGGAACCTTCACCAAATGTCATGCCGGATCCTTTCGACGATTATGGTACATCAGATATCGATGTTGCACCTTCGTCAGATGACGTCCAACCTTACAAAAAACCACGTACTGCAGGGGTAAGTGTAATGGTCAGATTGCCCTTTCAAACCACTCACGCAATCCAGGATCATCCATTACTCATGTGGTTAGATCATCGTTCTCTGTTCCTCGAGGAAATGTTGCGCCTTGAGGGCAGAGGGGGGCTCCGCGAAGCGCCTTGTTCTAGTTGTGGCAATGCTTGCCCTCAGTATCGATGCCAAGATTGCTTCGGAGTAGATCTCCGCTGTTCGTCTTGCATCACGGTGGCTCATCAATGTCATCCGTTGCACAGGTTGCAGGTCAGTATGGTATTTCTATTTATATATAAGGTCTGACTGATCTACACAGAAATGGAACGGCGACTATTTCGAACGTGTGACCCTCAAGAGCCTCGGCCTCCGTATTCAATTGGGTCATGCGCTCAACGAGAAGTGCCCAAACCCCCGACGAGCTTTCAACGACGACTTCGTTGTCATCGATTCCTATGGCATCCACGAGGTGTTAGTAGATTTCTGTGCCTGTGCGAAGGGAGATTCCCATATACAGCAATTACTCCGTATGTCGTGGTTTCCTTCAACGACGGCCGACCCCAAAACCGCAGCAACCTTTCGCGTTCTGGATGAATTCCACTTGCTGTCTTTCGAGTCGAAGGTGTCCGCTTACGAATTTTATAGTGCTCTTATGCGGGGCACTGATAACACTGGCTTGATGCGCGTTAAGGTTCGTCATTGATTATTAGTACACGCACAGACTTATTTGGTTCTCAGGACCGATATGAATCTTTTATGAGAATGATCCGCGAATGGCGGCATCTGCTGATGCTTAAACGTTTTGGGAGAGGGCATGACCCGAAAGGGGTGAAAGCCACGGGAGAGGGTGAGTGTGCGGTCTTGTGCCCAGCATGCCTGCACCCGGGTAAAAATTTGCCCGAGGACTGGGAGAATGTTCCCCTTGCAAAACGGTGAGCTAGAAGTACTGTCATTGGTCATTCACTAAACATTTGATTAGTTGGATATACGCGTTATTCATCGCTATCGATGCAAACTTTTGTCTCAAACGCAAAGTGGTGTCAACTAATACCGCGGACCCGGGATTAAGTCGCGGATGGGCGTACTTTGTAGAGGAGGATACATACAAGCAATTTCTCGAAGATAAAATGGACGTCCCCCAAGAGGTGAGGCCTTTCCTTTGCTATGCTGTTCCCTCGTTGATTCGTTTTAGAAATCTACGTGCTCCAGCCACAACGCGGTAAATATGGCTGATGCGAAGACTAATAGGGGGCTAGCTGCTACCGGGCTTGGCACGATCGACTGTGCCCGTCACAACATGAAGCGTCCGAATGCCGTTGGAGATTTGCAAAAGGGAGAGAAGTGAGTCTGCTCAATTGCTGACATTTGTATGCGCTGATAGGTGCTCGCCAATAGATACGTCAATATGGACTACCTCTTTTTTTCAACGCTCCGTCACAGCTCCTTACAAAATCTCAACATTTCGTACGACATTGCCTGTCAATGGCACAAGAAGCTCTGGCAACGTATGAAGGGGTTTCCGCTTTCAATGCACTTCAATTTCGTATCGAGGGCCGTCTCCTTCTTCGTCCCGAAATTCCATCTCCCTGCCCACATTGAGAAATGTCAAACAACATTCTCATTCAATTTCAAGCGTGGCGTTGGTCGAACCAATGGCGAAGCTCCGGAGCGCGGGTGGGCTAACATTAATCCCGTCGCATCCAGTACGAAGGAGATGGGGCCCGGCGCAAGGCGTGATACATTGGACGATTTCTTTGGCGATTCGAACTGGAAGAAAATTGTGGGCCTTGGTGCGTATCTCTGTTGTATCGTGATGCTAGTCTCATCTGCCTCACTAGGTACTACAATGCTACGTAAAATGAAGGAGGCCTTACCTGAGCGCGCGAATCAGCAAGCTGCACTAAACGACTTGGAAGAAGGATTAAAGGATGAGTACGGGGATATTCTGAATCAATGGAGGTTGCAAGTAGAGGCATGGGAGGATGACCAGTCTCAGCCAAACCCTTTTGAGCGAAATGCAGATGGTTTGTTCACTTATTGGTCGAAGTGACGCCAAGTGCCTGATTTGTTATAATCACAGTCGTTACGCTGGCTTCGGTCCGGCTAGCACTCGCAAAGGAAGAAGAATCAGATCTTCAGAGTGGAGTGTCCCTCGCATTGCACGAGGACTGTTCTCCTAGTGTGTTGATTAGCTCAGGGCTGGAGCTTGAAGAACAACAGTGCGTTTTCTCTCATCCTTGCGTATGATGCCACTAAGCCTCTCCCAGGCGACGTTTGAGAGTCGACAAGAGCGGGTGTGGTATACACGTCACTGATAATCAACAAGGGAAGTTGCTTGAGCGGAGTAACGCTTTGCAACGACGGATTGATGCCTGGTCAAAAATTCAAGAATTGTATATGCCCAACGTCGTTGCTATGCGTCTCTTGGACAAATCAACCTCTGCCAACGCCACGTCCGTCCCTGCTGCAGAAACATTCAATCTGCGGTTGCCATCACAGATCGGCAGGCTGGCGCCTTGTGATGAACGACTCCAGAGGACAGAATGGAGATTGAGATACGCACAAGGCCATGATGCCCTCCGCTCCTTACGCTCCAACCTTCGTGCACAGACTGCCGTACTCAGGTACAAGGACCGCAACCTTCGAGGGCAAGGAGCCAATACTCGAGCACGTAGCACGCTTAAGACGATCGACGCGAGAATCGATGCTGCCGCCAGCAAATACGAAGGCGCACACAAGGCCCTGGTGATCCTGGGCGGACTCCTGAACGAGTCTGGCTGGCAGTCATCACTGCGTCCTTTAAATCGTCAGGATATTCGTTCTATGTCTGACCTGCTCTGGGGTGAATCGGAGGGCAGACGAAAATTGTCGTGGATATGGAATATGCGTGGCGCTGCGGGAAGTGAGAAGGACGATAACGGTGCTCTAGAAGGTAAGCGCGATACTACAAAATGATTCTCTTACTCATGGTGCAACAGATATGAGGATAGAGTGGTGTAAGGCAAGGGCACGCGCAATGCGCTGGGGGGAAGAAGTACAACTCCTGCAGGAAGAAATGTGGCGTATATTAGCTTTTCTAAGGTGGGAAGCAGCACGCTGGGATGGAAGGCAAGACGACGCTACACTAACCAATGCAGAACATGAGGATGGCTGTGTGGCGTATGCGAAATGGCAGGCTGACTTGCGCCGACATCTAGCGTCATCGTTTGAGGCACGCTGGGCGGAGACACTGGCCTTGGTAGACATAGATTGATTAATGGCCTCGATAGACGTAGATTGATTAATACATGCACTATGATCATAACGTGCCATGGCATCAGGGCGCCGGGAGGGGACGAATCAGCAATGCGCCAGATTATATTGGAGGGCGGGATGCACGAGGGCGGGAGGAAATGAATAAGCAATGCACAAAGGGCGGGAGGGGAAGAATTATGCATCACAATGCATCAGACGGGAGGGCGGGATGCACGAGGGGCGGGAGGGGATGAATCAGCAACGCACAAAGGGCGGGAGGGATGATGCATCAGACGGGATGCATCAGGGCAGCAACGCACGAAGGGCGGGAGGGACGATGCATCAGACGGGATGCATCAGTGCTCGAGTCAGGCTGATGCATCAGGGATGCACTAGGACCCAGTATTGTAGGGGAGAGTGATGCATTAGCAGTACTCACTACTGTAGGGGAGGAAAGAGCGCTACAACTGCAAGGAAAATGCATCACTGGTGCGTTACAATTACAGTAAATAATGCATTACATCGACACGAACCTGTGGTTGGGTTCCTTCCGTGTGATATGGTAATTAAAAGACGGGAGTGTGCTCAGTGTCTGGTCCTGTGCGTGTGATATCGTCAGTCACTGCCACTTCTAAAATGAATTATTGATGCAGACTCACAGAAGGAGTTAGGACAGTGCGCAGAAGCGGTTGACGAACCACAAAATAGCTCCGCATCAGCGATTCCCACAAGTGCATATTCGAGTCATGCGACTCATCGCAACTGTCCATCAGCGGAAGGACTTGCAGGGACTCGGATGTAGTACGTCTGGGTGAGAGTTAGTGGTCAAGAATTTGCTCGAACAGCGGAAAAGGTTGCGTCGACTCGCACGAGAGGTTCAGATTCGAGGGATAGACCGACTGCAAGGTTTGGACATCGAATCAAGATACGTTCGCAAGGCTGAGCAGAGCAAGTCCCCGATTAACCCAGAAAGTCAGGGAATTGGACACTCTGGGGCCAAAGTCTGGGGCGGACTCTGGGGCCAGAGTATGGGGCCCATCGGCAAGTTCGGCAGCGACCAGCTGAGGTTAAATTTCATCGCTCACGAAGCCTTGCATCATGACAAGTACTATTTGCAGGTACTGGCTAGGGCTGCACTAGCATATTCTGACTAACGAGCAATCTTGCCGCTTGGTTCATCGATCGCGATAACAACACCATTTGACTTGCACTATGGGTAGCCATCAACAACAATATTCAATACTACGCCAGGACCTCGGTTGGGCTGGAGCCAAGTCGACCCTACCATATTTGCGAACGACAAGGACGTGATGCAGGCGGTCATCAATGAACGAGTTTGGTTGGCTCTTGTCGGTAAGTCACCCCTCTGTGTGTGTTGCATCTTTGAGCATTCATATTCCCTAGTTGAGATGAACACTACTGATAAACTGGCTGCCGCGAGGCAAACTGGCACCTCACTAGCACTGTCCACTATACTACTGTGTGTAGCGTCAACCCACGCATGCCACACGGCCGCTAAACCTATGTCTATAGACTCGTCATGAAGTCATGATCGGCATTGCCGTCACTCCAATCTATAGCAGCCTCCTTGGGGAGATTTTGTCGTGTCTCGCTACTACAGCAATATTTCATGCAAATCTATGCGCAGGTCCAGGCCAATGAAGCTGCTTTGCAACTAATAGCACAAACCCTACAAACGATTTCTCCTGGCATCGGCTGGACCGCTGTTGGCCTTCGGCCGTTTGAGTGGGCACAAACCTTGATCTGTCAGTGCTGAGCCACCTACATACCTGCCTTATGTAGCAATATTCATTGATTCCCGTGCTTGCCACCTTGAAGTATGTGTGAACCATGATGTCAATGGGCGCATCATCCCACCTGAGTGCAGCGCTCCGCCATACATTTGCTTATGTGGTACATATGTCAACCGCAAGATATTCAAGCTCAGACTGAAACAACCACGCGCCCCAGACTCTGGCCCCAGAGTCCGCCCCGGACTTTGGCCCCAGAGTGTCCATTTCCTGGATGCCCTCGATTAACCGGTTAGATGATTGGTACCGGTAGCCGAATCGTCGGAGATAAGCTTCTTTTCATCCGACTTGGCATGAGCTTCCATGTTGCATCTGGCGGCCACTGTCCTCGACCGAGGCTCGACGGTTATATGATAAGTATCTCGCCACGTAGTAAGTATACGTTCTGGATCATGCGCACCCCGTCTTTCGCCGCTCTCGACAGGCTGTACCCTACTAGTACTAGTGCCATTCCAGATTAACCTTCCCTGCCTCGCCGTCCTAGATTTTGGTCAGCAAATGGGAGTCTGGTTTTTTCTTCTTACCTCAGCCATTTCACTCAGAGCATCACTCACTGCAGTGCTAGGTACCACTCCGAACGCCTCGACTCCACACAAGAACGAGACGGACGGATTTTGGACGTTTGTTCGGGGTCGAGAGAGCTGCGTGTACAAAGGTGCGTTATTATTTCACAACTTAACAGTGCTGTGCAGACGAAGCACTTAAGTTGTACCTCAGCTGGTACCATGCTGCATTGTGTTTTATCCTCACCTGTAGTAGTGCTGTGAATAAGTTCTCGGACACCCTGTCAGTCTAACTTTTAGCTCGAAAATACAATTCACTACACAACGAGACCTGGGGGCCATTTTGGAGACCTCGATAATCACGCTGACAGACACACGCGCGTACTAGTAAACGACAGCCTATTTTGTGTGCATGTATGTTTTCGCTGATTCCCGACGGCTTTCTACCAACATACTCTTGGATTTCGCGCTTTCCTCCCATGCCTAAATCACTTGCCACTCCATGAATTCGCATCTGCAGCTGTGGTACGAGTGTCTTGCCCGCGTGGATTCAGGATGCGCGCCCGCTTACTAGAGCCTTACATTCGCAAGAATCTTGCAGCACTTCTGACATCGCTCTTTCGCGGGTGCTGCGTGTACGAGCTGCTGGTTTTGACAGCGTAATATGATGGTATACGTTATGGGTGGCTTTTTGTGCCTGCTTGCTATCCATTTGATTTTTCGTACGTCGCTTCCATCGTGCCACCTAGATCATTCACCACAAAGTCTGTTGAACTGGATCACAATTGCTTTTGGAGAACGTAGATGATGATTACGATCACTGTGGTGGTGCCCACATCAAAATACCCTTTCTGGGTGGTGACTCACTAGCTCAACATGTTCTGATGCAACCGGAACTGCAGCTGTCCCTACCGCGCTAATAAGACTACGTTCCATGCCGCAATTTTCATTAAGACGGGATCACCAGCCCCTAGATAAATTGTTTGGCCGACATCCTCGGGATTTGGCATTGCCTGGATTGCATATCTTATAAATGACCCTTGAGCAGAGCAATTTATCGCCGCATTCACTAGCATGAATACTTCTCAAGAGTCACAAGCTGACGTGCTCTTGTGGTCAAACGTGAGTACAACTTCAGTTGTCGAGTCAATCCTGGATCGCTGATGTATCGTCGAAGTACTGTTATGGTGCGGCTGTAGTCCATTAAATCAGTTACTTTCGTTGATCTGTATTTCGCATCTCGACAGTTGCATTGACATCGCTTTGGGTGAGCTATTGACATTATCTTACAATGACTCGTGATTTCACTTTAATCGTGACATTCAGGTATACGACTACATACTTTGTATGGCTGACTCGGCAAGTGGAAATTTACTTGAACGTCCAATAGGTGACTCTGAACTGTAGTCGGTGCAGATCACTTTTATTGCCAAGTCTCGGCGCGGGCTCGGCACAGTGGCTTATCTCGTCTGCAAGTGCTCGCCATTTACCTTCATATTACTGAATATGCTCGGTGAGTATCGAATTTTCACCTCCATGCTGTCCTCTGGATGTAATGCGTTTATGATGTTCTTCAGTGACCCTCCTGCCCCGTGGCTCATCCACTGTATGGTCAAACGTTGCAAATATGTGAATTCAACTCATACCCCCATCATAGCTTTGTCGCTTCTTATACATGATAAATATCTGTGGGTCTAATGATAATGTACCCTGATGCATGCTGACTCTGGGTCAAACACTTCATTAGGTGCAGGGTTTCTGTCGATGTTTTCCGGCGAATGTAGGTTTACCAATCGAACTAGCCATCACTGATCCTGTCTTCTAACATCTACACAAATCTCTGATGGTCCAGGCATCTTCATACTCAGAACGCTTGCAGTATGGGAGCAGGATAGAAGGTTCGTGGTGTTCAAAATCATCAACATCATTGTGAGACCAATACCCGGAGGCCGCAACCAACTCTATATAACGATCGACGTCTGACTCATCCTTTGCAGGCCTATTTAGTGCCAATCATCGTCCTCTTTTCTGAATTTGAGGTGTCAGCAGGTGTGTGGATCTCTTGGAGTCTTTTCCTGCTCAGCTCTCAACGTCTAATATTTTCATATAAGGAGAATGCTCGATCCCTGGCGGTATCGGATATGTGAATACAAGGGGAAGGTCTTCAGTGATTGCCGTGTACTGCTTGCTAATGCTTGCAGAGTTAGGTTAGTATTAGGAACTACCAAACATGAACTCGAACTAACCGCATGCATTTGCATTCACACGCTTTCAGAAATATTGTTGCGTGTGCTGTATCGCGCCTTCGAGAGCCATGGTGGCTGGAGGATCGAAAACCGACTTATGCGTGGTCTCGTGCATCATAATTTATTGTACTGCGGCTGCAGCTTTGGTTCGTGCTCAAATCATTCTGGAATATCTATTGTTTACTTGCTAAATGGTACAGCTTTTTCTCTCGGTGTCGTCCTCGCTACAGTCTACCTTCCGGTAAGTCACTCACTGTGCACACTCAAAGCCGCCCCATTAACGCGAGACGTAGTTTCCGGTGGTACACGTTATTGCCGAGTTTGTTTATTCTCACTTTCGAGGAAGTGATGGTTACTCATTCGGCAACAGGACTCAGGTCGTTATTCTATCTCTCTTGGTCACGCGAATGCACAGGGACTTCTGGAGATCGGATCGTGCTGCTTGTGGCATTGATGGAGTAGATCTCTCTCTCACAACGTTTATGGCAGCAACCCCAGATGTTATGTGATGGGTATTTTTCCCTCTGAAGCATCGTGCACCTTCTATCTGATCGAGGAAAGACTCTCAGAAGACGGGCAATGCTAATGGGTGTCTCGATACGCTTGATGGACGAAGTATATATTACCAGTAGACTAGATCTTGTCATAACATATGTAAGAAGGACTTGTATAACTTAAAGGTGTCATATTAAGGGGACAAGCCTCCACACAAATCCTGTTCGGCTATAGCTTGCAATCAGCGCCTTCATTTATTTCCTCGTCAGTTGCCCCATTCCTCACATCATTCAATGTGCTCGCCCGAAATTTCTAGTTAAATATGCAGCAGTTTGCGCAGATATGTGGTACCTTGGCGACGCCGAGGAAGAGAATTACAGCGTGTTCCACGCTTTTAGGCTCGCGAGCAAGTGCCGAACACGTAAAAATTCTCTTTTTGCACTACATCCTCCAACGCCCGCTATTGTTATACTATCTTGCCTCAGAACTTTGTTTGAAGTAATGTGTGTAAGTTTGGAGAATGGCATTTCCTAGGAGAATCAGGGGAACCGCCCTCCCCTCCCCGCTCGCAGTAGAGCGATCTGGCGACACGACAGTTACTGCCTTGGTGATGAATGTTCTGAGCCTCAAGAGCGTCTTGCCTTCAGACGATTTGCGGCGACAAACACGAGATACTTATACTCCCAGTTTAAACCTTACTTGTACGCCGATACACAGAGCCGATCGCGACGCGTCAGTCACGTGTTCAGAAATCAACCCGTATCTAAGTTCGGGACACTGCGATGAATATTCTCAGTCCCCCCCCGCCAACATCATAGGATTAGACTACATACTAGAGACAAGGAAGGGTTGATTTAGATTAGGCTTGGTATGTCGTCAAGACTCGAGAGGAACTGGATCGATATAAGATGACTGAGAGTGGTCGTGACCAACCGACCGCCGTTCCACATAGCATAGCTATAATCCCCAAATGCATTCACAATTAGTAAAACCATGCGATTAGGTGATGAAATATATATGGGGCCCGGAAGAGTGAATATACGTCTATGAAACTACTCATGACTGAGATGGGGTGCTGCTATTGTGAACACTTCCAAACCAGTCCTGCCAAATGTTCTCGGCTCTCCGTATTACCCCTTTGTCTAAGGCAGATAGAAAGAGACTTTATTTGACAATGACGGTCCTTCGTTCCGTCCAGTATAGAAGTTGATCACGTATCTAATTCGAGTTCCGCATCGTTCGACTACCCAATCATGATGATCAAAGGTAAGAAGAGTACCTACGAAACAAAAATCAGCGTTCCTTGCGTGAACTGTGGCTGAATCACATACCCAAGCAAAGTCACGAGTCGAGCTTTTGGGGTGAGGTCAGGAGTCTTAGGTGACGGACACAGCCTGGAGTGATGTGAGGGCTCCCAAACGTGCCCACCATGCTGCTGCATTGAGACCATACTACTGTACAGGCCATATGAATTGATGGAATAGAGCCTGGACTATGTTACCTTCTGTATTCAGCAGTGCATTGACATCATCGGATGTGGTAAGTGAGAGTGTTTGGGGTGTGGTGCGAGGGCCGAGTTTGTGAGCCGGAGTTGCAATGCCAGAAGCTTCGAAGTCGATATGAAAATCAAATTCTCCCCTAATGCTCTTTGATAAATGCAATTATCAGTTGGAAGCCAAGCTGAGATTTGAGAAGCCTACTCAATGAGTGCGAGTTGTCGCGAGAATGCAACATTTACTGCAGAGTCCTCCAAAAGAACGGCGCACTTCCGGCAGGAAGCCTGATGGGAGCTGCACTGATATGATTTGGGATATCGCAAGACTGCATGTCGCAGTTCTTAAATGAACCCTGATGCCTGATTTGTGTGGCAGACGCTGTCCTATCTCGCTAAAAACGTGTTCAATACCAGCCAGTAGTGCGTGGATTTCTTGGGGTTCGTCAAATCAAGGACACTACTATCAGGACAATGAGAACGAAAAATTATCACAAGCGACAGACAAAAAAAGCAACCTACACAATCCATTCGCAGAGAATGGTATGATCCCTAGGAAATTCGCTTTTCGATGAGCGCCTCATGGACAAAAACAGCCCACAACCGAGCGGCGATCACTGACAGCGACACGTTTCAAAGGTGTGTGCTGCCGAGAAGGTCCAAAAGAACAAAAGCCGCCTTCCCTTTCATACCCCTTCAAATTCAAATTTCAGTATCCCCTGCAGCCATTCTCCATTGCTCCGCGTATCCACAATGATCACACCCGTATTTTCTGCAGCGCACGCTGCTCGATGGAAAAACGTAAGCGATGACAACCGTCGCCCACGTCGTAAACGAACACGACTATCAGATGGAGAGGACCAGACAGAGACGGACGTGGATGTTGATTATGAACCTTCGCCTGCACCGCGCAAAATGAAGCCTTTGCCTGCCCATGCGCAAGTCAATGGTCATCGTCAACAATCCGACGGAGAGCTCCCTCCAACACAAACATCTACAAAAGAAAGTTCGCACGGTCAGTACATACCGACGGGTCGCAGACGTGGCCACAGCTTGCAAGTTCAAACCTTCTCATATACCACCACATACACCCAGATTCTGCAAGGATGGCGGTAAAGACGCATACATGGATTACCCTTTGGTTTGTCCTCACTGCGCCCGTCATCTTCTGGGATGTAGGATACTGTTTTATGCGGTATGTTGTCGTTGCCCTGGTTTCATACTACTCAAATTGACGAGAACACAAAAGTCCACGGTCTATGCTCGGGGGAGACCTCCATTGGATCTGGAAACCGTACGAAATATACCAGAATATCGATTATGTGGGTGCACTATCATGATAAATCACGTCTTGTAACCGACGACCTTCACTAGGTTTATGGTATTAAAGCTCTAGAGGAAAACAGCGGATTCACAAATGCACAATGTGCGTGCCTTCCATGCCCATTTGCTCTGACTGACCACCATCCCCCTTCCAGCTTTTCTCAATATCGTAGAGACGCTCATGAGTCTCGTATACGTGTACTTGGCACACGTCTCAGGCTGGTCCTCCGCACCCCTCATCGGATTCGCAGCGGCGACCATGACGCTGTCCAAAACCATTTTATACTGGTTACAAGAGTACTATTGCGGCTTCTGTGCCATCGGACACAACACCATGTCCGATCTCGTCATATACTGGATCATACCCAACGGGTGCGTGTGTTCGTTTCTCATTGGCTTGACACCCCCAAACCCATTCGTGTTCGTTTTCCATCTAGATTATGGATCGTCGTCCCCAGTTTGATCGTCATGAGACTAGGAAAAGATCTCGCTGCATCACTCCACGTCGCGGAACGCGCTGCGACCAAGACTGCTTCCGGAAAGCAGAAATGATGGATTCCCCAGAGTCCAGACTACCGGATGAGACGGAAATGGTATATTTACAGTTTTAACCTATCAGTCTATCTACGTTTGATTTTTTGTATCTATTGCTCTGGAATGGATTTGGATTATCGCTTATATTTCTGTCTCTTTTGCTGCGATTCAGTTCGGAGCTTGTCACGTAGGTCGTCTTGCCAGGCAATCCCGTGCTGGCTGATCAGGAGGATTTATATTCGGCGCGTGTCTCCGATGATCGTAGCTGTGCTTTTGGATGGGGAATGTACTCTCTGCAACACCCTGTCATGGCCTCGCCTTGTCATTTTGATCCTGGTCACCCGATCACCCGTGTATCATGAACACGACGACAGGCGCATGCAGTATAATATACATAATACATATGGGTCAAACCACCACGCCAGCTCAAAGTTGGCTTGTGCTGTTTACGCGAAGGAACCTTTCATCCTCAGTGGCGAGACGAGATGCGATCAAACGCATTCCACGGAGTCAGGATAAACCAAGTTCCTTCGCTTATAATACTTGGACTTCTCACCGAGGACGAAGCCAACCTGCAGGATCATGCATGTACAAGGTTAAATATTCCACGATTTATTCCACATTGTGTTACATCCAATAATTATGATACATACACCGAAGAAAATAAAACGTCCAGAAAGATGCCTCGCGCTAATATGTATCAAAACAAAAAAACGAAAAGATCGAGTGACGCAGTCTCAGAAGTACAAAACAACGACGGCGACAACAACAACACAACAAACGACAGGAAAGACGGAACAGCCCAATGCCAGAAAGGTGAGCGTGAGGTATGCGGTGGGTTCAATAAGTACACGATGAGTCGACATCTGTTGTCGTTGAGAGAAACGAAGCGAGGAGATTGGAATATTTCGTTTGCGTGTTTGCTTTGCTTTACTTGATGCGTGTGGTCGATCGACGGCTTGCATTCCTGCAAGCCCATCCCAGGATGGAATCAATCCATCTCCATATCCATTTCCATACCGTCCCATTGTTCTTCCGACTTCTTCTTCGCCGTGCCCGGGCCAACGCACTCCTCCTCGACCTCCTCGGGCACGCTGAACGATAACACAGCGTCCTCTTCCTCGGATTTCCACCTGAACCGGGTGCCGCTCACCCGTCCATACATATGCATGTTCGCAGATGTGATATCATCAACGTCAGCGAGCTCGCCGTCGTCGCTCGAATGAGAAGATGCAGATATCGAACGCACAGACGAGCGTGGGTGGGACCATCCCGAACGTGAGAAGGATGCAGAAGCGGAGGGGAATGACGAAACGCCGTAAAACGATGATGAGGTCGGCGACCCCCAGGACTCAGAGTGCACGCTGACTGAGCCCAGAGCCAAAAGGTTCCTCGCATCGGCGTCTGTAGGAGCGGTGGGGACCGGCACTGGGGAGCTTGGCGCGCGCGAGTTCGGGGTGGTAGTCACGCCCAGGAGGCCTGGACGCAGCTGGGTAATGCCACCTGGGCCGGTGGCTTGGGGAATAGAATAGTCGTGTAGTCGCGGTCCGGTTGATCCTGCGCGGCCCGAGCTGAGGACGGAGGTTGCCGGAACAGAGCTGGAAATCGGTTTTGAAGGGGACAAAGTGTCAGTTCCTTCGTTTGCGCTCCCGAGAGCGGGAGGCGGGACTATGCCGCCAGAGAGAAAGGTAGGCCAAAGGGAGCGATCTTCGGGAAGTGACGCCCCATTCGTAGACGAGGGTGAAAGATGCGACAATATGGCAGCAGCCTATGAAAATTTGATTAGCACTTTGGTGAGCTGTCAAGTCAAAAAGCAATGACCTCCAACAATTGGACTTGCTGATGTTTGCTAAGTACAAACTTCGAGGCTTCGCGCCACTGGGGGGTATGTTCCCAGCGATGTTTAATGAGACATGACGGATGCCGGTAGACCTGAAGACTCATGGTCACTTTCTACTCGAACAATTCAGGGCACGAAAAGAGCCACCTTCGAGCAGCTCTCGCACGTAAATATCGTGCCGCGTTTCTTCCCGCTCTTCGCAACACCGCCGTTCGTACCTAGACTGCTGTGAGCAGGAAGCGATCCCGACAATTCGTTGTCATCGAAGCTCCCGCCTCGTAGTGTAGCATCAGTCCCCTGCGGTGTAGTATTGGGGTCAGGTCCCTGTGTTTCAAGGACACTCCGAGATATGGCGTTCAGGGAAGTACCGTGATGGGTATTACTGCTCGGAGGCGAAGAGGATAGAGAGAGCGTGGCAAGCGAAGACAAAGCTGCGCTCTGTAGGGACGCTGGTCTAGATGCCAAATTTGTAATGAGAATCAGATTAAAGCAGGTGACAGCACACAAGGTGGGGACAAAGAATTATTGGATATAGGGAAGCCAAATGAAGAACTTACAAAGGTCGGGAAGCTGCGTCGCGCGCATCGCTTAGTCTCCTTCTGGTCTTGCCAGTTGATGACAAGCGACGATGCTTGGGACCAAAGCTGGTCCCAGATACTACAAAATTTGGTGAGTGCCTTATTCCTGACACATCCCACCCACATCATCGTACCATGCGACGGTTGGACAGTTATGTCCGCAGAGTGGGGAATGGATATTGGCGTAACGCTCGCAGCAGCGACAGAGAGGGAGAGCAGACTCAGGTTTGAGCGATGATTCTGGTGAAAGTATGAGTAAGCTTTTCGTCGTGGAAACGAGTCGACATGATGATTAACTCACGGAACTTGGGGAATCTACCTGAAGCTGGGACATTGTTGGGGAGGGAGAACTGGAATCAGTGGTACAAGACATAATAGAATTTACAAGGACTAATACAAGCTCATGACAGAACAGAAACAAGGGAAGTGCAGGTTGTTCGCAGATTGGCGTAATTGGTAGTCATTCGATCCCTCTCGCATATGTGCCACGAAATTTCAACGTCCGCCCAAATTTTGTCCCCAAAGGGTCCACTGAGCGCCCACTACTGCGCAACAACGCCTGCGACCCCGACAGCCCTTACACAGCCCTCAAGTATCTTGATCAGTCGTCCCTCTCTCTATGTTGCTACAGGTCTAAATTATATCCTAGGGATGATCTGCCAACAAACAGTAGCCATCCATATCCGGCTTGAATCGGCAGTCCTTCCGCCCAAGGTACCAAAATAGCGACCGCGGAACTTTGTTGCATAAGGGCCTACGCTCGCATGACACATCATCCCAAGTCCAGGCTCCAGGCTATCCGATTTCAGCATTGCGGCGAATGACGCGCACGGCTCAGCCAAGAGTCTGAAACCACATGTAAAACAAAGGCAGAACATACGGAAAGACTCTGCTTACGGAAGTAAATTTAGTTGTGCCATGTTTGTCAACAGCTTTGAATACTAACAAACCGCAACAACGCTTCTTGAAACAAGAACAAAAACAAACAAACAAACACAAACAAAGTAGCAGCAACTGGTTTCGATCCAGTGACCTCAGGGTTATGAGCCCTGCACGCTTCCACTGCGTCATGCTGCTGTTCGGCTGTTGCCAGAAATGACCTAACTGATGGGCTGGACAGATCCGAAGGGCTTTTGAAATTGTCAAGTAGGCCGTCGCCGCGTTCAGCGTCTCGGTATAAGTAGAACCATACACCAGATTTCTAAATCATCCTTACATGTAATGCAAACACCTCACTCTTCTCCCGTGCACTTCTATATGCAATTCACAAACTTTGTCCTGACAGGCGTTATCTTGCAAGTTGGAGTTCCTGAACTCAATGCGCAGATAGGCGATCGGAATCGTCGGCGGGGACGGCGAGCTAGATATGAACAGCGTACATAGAGGAATCACCGGCACCTATCGATTGCATGCATTGACGGAGCGCTCAGCACGTACTAATCAAGATATCATTGGTTCTTGGTCATCGTAAGGAACATTCTATCACGTCAAGTCAGATAGATAGTGCTATTGTGAGACACGGGCAACTTGAATTATATCACAACACTCCAAACCTTTGCAAAACTTCTCGTTCGCACGTCGCATAAAACCCTCAACCCTACTCTTCACGATGCCAGTGGCGCTCAATCGGAACAATGAACGAGAGTGAATAGCATTCGGCACAATAGCAGATGTGGAGCAGCAGGAACAACGATATGCGACAAATATCCCGAGTAATGAAACGATATGCGGACCTATTAGTAGTGGAATGTCCAATGAACATCAATGATAAGCCTCAACAACGTTGAACACGGCGAACAGAAATGCACACAAAAAAAGAAAGGCATAAAAGAAAGGCAATACATAGAGCCTCATGTATGGGAACCTGCGACGCGCGTATTATGCACCCCCTTTTGTAAGGGGCTCCGAGTTGGCTCCGGGGTACCCGGATCACTGAACTGGTACTGTAAGCGCATCTCGCATCTTTGGAATACCTCGTCGCATCCACTCCGAGGGTGGCACGCGTTCGTCTTTGTCCGAGCTCGCGAAAAGGAGATTGTTCTCCGAGGAGAACGCCCACACACTAGGGTCAGGCGTAGGCATCGCCATGATAGCACGAAGCTCCTTGCCTGCATGGCAGTGTCAGTGGCGGTCCTGTGCAAGTACAAGGATCTTACGTATTATATTGTGCACGAAGTGATCCATGTTCTGAAATTAGAGTTTGTAAAGTTTGTCAATATCAAATTACTCCAGCATGTCCGAGGCTGCGAGCGTCGGGGTAGGACGTACAAGATCATTTTTGTCATATCCTGGGTAGGTTAGGCGCATTGATATTGAGTACATCGGACATTCCCGTTATCATGGAACCAGACTTACCAAAGGGATCTGAAAAGGCACGCGTTGTGAGTGGATGGTACAAAGTAATAGAATTACATCACGCACTTTCGATCTCCTCTCCAGCGACGAGGAAGCCAAAGAAGATAAAACTCTATTTCGCAAGATAAGCGTTGAATGATAGGGAGATACGAGTCCGGACAGGCGTGCGATGATGCCAATGATCCTATCAGAACTTACCGCAAGAACAGTGGCAGGGATCGTGAACCACTTCAATGTTGACCAGACCTGGAATGGCTATATTTGTAGAGGTCGTCAATGGCCGCTGCATGACATATGACAGATCCTCCGTACCAAAGCCAAACAGTATACAACAGTTACCAGCCACAAATGAATGGAATATCTACGCTGAAATGAGTTCCCCGCGCGAGTGATGATATCAGGGCTTACGAAAATGGTATTGGGGTAGTGAGGATGCGTTCTAGACCAGTCAGAGCATCTACAAGCTGAGTCAGAGTAGCTAGTAGGATATCTGCGGGTTCAATAGTGAGAAGCCTGTAGAAATTGGGGACAGCGGTGAACGAACTGGTGGTTGGTGCATCGATGATGGTCTTGCGAGATTGCAGGGTAGAGACGTAAGAGCCCTAAGGCACCAGATTCAGATCTTGAAACACAGATCGTCATGGAAAAACGCGAACCAAATACAACGAGATTTCCAGGGGAATGTTGTACGAATTTCGGCCATTACGCATCGCAGCTCTCAGTCTAGCTGCCCTCCTTCCTTTCACATACACCCCGTTTTTATCCACACCGTTCTTAGTCAGCAGCCGGAGCAGTAGCGAGAATGGGAATAGATCGAACAACGAGTATTTGGGGGGATTCATAGCAGGAGATAGGTATAATTCCTCGGGGCCGGTAGAATATTTCTCGCCCTTCTGGGAACGACCGTCGACATGAAGCGTATTATCCGTCGCAAAAGTCGTGACCCGGGTGGAAGGTGTAGGTGCGGTATTCGGAAGCGGAAGTTGACCCGGAGCCGGCGCTCTCCTCGTGAGCCCTGAACCGTGAAATTGCCCTGAACGTGGTGATGCAGGAACATCATCACCCATGCTATTACGCGGCCTGGTGAGATCGACGACGGAAGGGATTGTCGGCGGAAGCGGGATTGTAGGAAGGAACTTAACCAAATGATACAGATCCTCGTAGTAGATGCCATCTTCGCCACGCAAATAATGCTTAACAGCGACGGCGAATGCTTCGAGCAGGTTCACAACAGATGTCTTCTCAATCAGAGTCCTTGCCTTATTTTCCTCGTCTGTGAGTGCCTGACTTGCCGGATACGCGTTCTCTATAAGCGGGAGATCAACCATCATGGAAGGTAGCCACGAGGCTGATGTGTACCTGGTATATGGAGCCACACGGTGCGAGCGAAGGTACGGCTTCCTAGGACAATCTGTGACCAAAGCCTTCGTCCCTCGTTGTAACGTTCAAAACTAGAAGTTGTCCTGTAGGAAATGACGAAACCAAGGACTGTACCAAATCTAGAAAAGAACTGCAAATAAACCTTGTTGGCTTGCTTCCCATGAGAGGTGAGACATACACGGTGATAAGGGTTGGCTGCAACGCTAAACTATGGATGTTGTGGCTGATCACGCAGATAGCAGTTGACCAAGCACCGAAGAAGATTAAGATGTGCCAGCATCTGAAGAGAGCCGTGGCCAACAACGCATGTCCGAATGAAGACCAAGTAGACCGTACATCTGGAGCATCTGGATCCCGATTGTAGACCGGAGTACCCTGGTAATTGAAGGACATGAGAACTCGTCAGCACACCAGCTGAAGTATTAGTGGGACGGAGTAAATGAAGAGTGAGAAGGATTCAAACAGACAACGGAAAATTTTCCGGCTGATATTTTTGAATTTAGGAACATTTGCTTACCGGTTGTCGGGAGCTCGTCAATGCATTCATTCTGTAATTAGTACCAAATTTACACAGATGGGGATGGCAACGGATCCTGGGGTGGGTGGGAGAGGGTAAAAAGTCGGGAGCGCCACTAGGCTCCTGCTAAAAATCAAGTGCCGCTATCAGCACACGTTGGAAGCGCGTGGAATAGCGTGCAGCTGGGAAATTTTCTGTTTGCTGCCATGCTGGCAACCACCAATTCTTGGCGCCTGCAGGTCGGTAGCCAAGCAAGTGAAAGGACCGTCCGGAAGGTATAATTAGCAAACAAGTACATAAAAATGTGTTACCTGTTCGCCAATTTTGAGACAAACAAGATGATGATCATTGCCGCATCCACCGAGAGAACAGCGCTCAGACTGCCGCGTTACATAATGGCGTTAAAGGTTGGATTGAACCAGTGACCTGCTTTCAGCTTGTAACAGACGCACAGTGATTGGCGGAGAAGAAGAGACTGATCTGGCAGGAGAGATTATCTGACTCGGCGATCAACGTGACCTGCGGTATGCGAGTCAGATCAATTGGTTTCTCCACAACACTCTCCACATATCTTAGAACTCCTCCAAATCTTCATCTGCTTATATCTACGAGACGCTACAGTCATTCTGACATGTCTGTCGTCAATAAATCAGTCCATCCGTTCGACAAATCCCGCCTGGATGCTCTGCTGAATCGCAGATTTTTCTATGCACCAGCTTTTGAAATCTACGGTGGTACGTGACTTGCCATGATTCTGATCTACACCAGTGATATAGACAACTTGCATTCACAGGTGTCGCTGGCCTCTATGACTATGGTCCACCAGGCTCGTCCTTACAAGCCAATATCACGGCGGAATGGAGAAAGCACTTTATCATCGAGGATCACATGCTAGAACTCGATACCACCATCATGACTCCTGCTCCTGTCTTCGAGACGTCTGGCCACGTCGCTAGGTTTGCAGACTGGATGGTCAAGGATACCAAGACTGGTGATGTCCTCCGTGCAGATCACCTCGTCAAAAGCGTCCTAGAAGCGCGTCTTGCCGGCGATCGGGAAGCTCGCGGCTTGGCTGCCCAACCAAAAGATGATGAAAAGGATAAAAAGAGGAAGAAAAAAGCGAAAACTGTTGTAGTCCAGCTTGCAGATGAGCTTGTGAAAGAATTGGAGAGTATTCTCGCCCAGGTGCGTCATTCATCTCTCGTTTGACCGCCCCTACTTAATTCTGGAACAGCTAGATAATTACTCTGGTCCAGAACTCGGCGAACTCTGCCGAAAATACGAGATTCGTAACCCCGATACTGACAACGAGGTTGGCGAACCTCAGCAATTCAATCTGATGTTTGCCAGCAGTATCGGCCCCACAGGCCAACATCCTGGGTAAGCCCACTCTCTATCCGTGCACCAGGGGTGTTGAAATACGTTGTCCAAGTTACCTCCGGCCAGAAACCGCTCAAGGCCACTTCCTCAACTTCTCCCGCCTTCTCGAATTCAACAACGGTCGTGTACCGTTCGCATCCGCTCAGATCGGTCGTTCCTTCAGAAATGAAATCTCTCCCCGCGCTGGCTTGCTCCGGGTTCGAGAGTTCACAATGGGTGAAATCGAGCACTTCGTCGATCCCGATGACAAGAGCCACGAAAAATTCCGCGAAGTGCGCGATACCGTACTCAGCCTGCTCGATCGACATGTACAAGTTAGCGGCAGCACTCAGGTCACCCAGATGACCATTGGCGAAGCTGTGGACAAGGGCATCGTTGCAAATGAGACTCTTGGCTACTTCCTCGTCCGCATCAACCTCTTCCTTATTAAGATCGGTATCAACCCAAAACGCTTGCGGTTCCGACAGCACATGGGGAACGAGATGGCGCACTATGCTACAGATTGTTGGGACGCGGAGATAGAGAATGCGACAGGGTGGACTGAGTGCGTTGGTTGTGCGGACAGGGCGGCATATGACCTGTCAGTGCATTCGGCACGGACTGGTCAGCCGCTTGTTGTCAGACAAGCGCTGAAAGAGCCAATAGTGACCGAAAAGGAGGTACCAGAGTTCAACAAAAAGGTCCTCGGCAAAACATATGGGCGCGATGCTGGCTTGCTGCAAAAAGCCGTCGGGGAAATGGATGAATCCCAGCTTATCAGACTAAAGGGTGAACTTGCCCAGGGGTCTGTGTATCCTCCAATCACTCGTCTTCATGAAATTGATGGGGGCTCTTTGTACAGGCAAGCGACAATTTCTGCCGAAGGGAAGGAGTTCATTCTCACCCCCGATCTGCTGGCAATCGAACGCAAGACGTTTAAGCAATCCAGTGCGCTTGCCTTTTTGTGCCATGGGTTCGCCCGATTTAACCTTTTGCCATTTCTTGCAGTTCGCGAATTCACACCAAACGTCATCGAGCCGTCATTTGGCTTCGGTCGTATCCTTTATACTTTGCTTGAACATAGTTTCTGGTGCAGAGAGCAGGATATAGAACGTGGGGTGAGTATATTATTCAATTATGCAATTAGGTGGCCCGGGGCTTACTCCAGGATTTTGCAAGGTCCTGTCACTACCTCCCGTCGTCGCTCCCACGAAAGTCCTCATCGTCCCTTTGAGCGCCAAGGAAGAATTCAATCCCCTCGTTCAGGAAGTTTGTACGTTAAAACATATTTTTTTTGCAAAAAGCACCCTCGATGCTGACTAGTGTGCCCCAGCCACCAAATTACGAAAAGCTGGTATCTTCTCCCGTGTAGACGATTCCAATACCTCGATTGGCAAACGCTACGCCCGCAACGATGAATTGGGGACACCATTTGGTGTCACACTAGACTTTGCATGTGAGTACTGTTTCAAGAGCTCCGCTGACCCTGCAAACTCTAATTCGACTACAAACAGCTGTCCAGAACCGGACGATGACTCTCCGGTACGTCTGTGGCGGTCCGCGGCTGACGGCCCGCTTCTTTCTGGTGATACGTTTGACTAACTTTGTCTTCTCCTTGCAGTGAGCGCGATACGACAGACCAGCTCATCGGCCCCATCGACGATGTGATCACAGTTCTCACGGAGCTGGTACAGGGTACCATCGACTGGCCGGCTGCTTGTAAGCGCCTGCCTGCATACGATGGCGTACAAGCCATCGACTAAATTGGGATGGTTTGAATTGGTGTATTGCTGTGCATTACGTTCAGGAGCGTCATCAACGGGATGTGGTGATGGGGTGAAGATACTCCGAGGAGAAGTGAATACAGAGGATATCCTACTGATAGCTGATACGATATCACGCGAAAGGCCAACGTTCGAATCTCAGAATAAACACAACGCTCCGACTCCGTGAAGCATTCCGTGTGATGCGCGGCACAAGATACGAGGCATTTTGTATCGCACGCCGCGAGTGTTCTTCTTCTTTCAGATTCAGGAGTGAAGGGAAATGAACGTCGCGATCTTAATTTGCAGGAAAGAAGGCTGTTTCATAATGAAACGACCAACGTTGCGAGAGCGGCGTGGCGTGCTTCGTCATATTCGGGGGAAATACGGTGTCTGATGGACGACGACCAGTTACACATTGTCCTTGGATGAAATCAATTCACGTGCAAGGGTGCTGTTTTGGCTGCCGTAAAGTCAATCACGAGTTTTGACATCCCTGCAGAGATGAATATTGGGAGAAATTGACAAAGTGGCCCGACTTGTGGAGCGAAAAGATCAACCTTTGCTTTAGAAGGGCAAAAACGTCGAGTTCATGAAATCTCACACCCACGTTTGGTGCCGTGACGCGACTTGTTACTTTCGCGCTGATCTCGCATCTTGTCACCTGGGAGACATCCGTATTTTCCTTTAGACCCGCAACACCGTCGGAATCCGTGTGACGCATGATAGAGGCTGATAGAGACTGTCAGATAGACGACTGATAGACGTTTGGAGTGACAGAGTCAAGTGACATCGCGGCGGCCCTTGTTTGATACCAGATAAGTGGCAATCAGGGGGAGGGCGCAAGTTTTGTCAAGTCATGAGTTGGTCGAGACAAGGTTCCTGACCATTATAAGGGATCGATCGAGGTCAATAATAAATGCCTCCGCCGTGGGCGAGATCCTATGACGACACGTTTGGCATTGACGAGATGTCGTGCTCTCTGGTTGCGCCGGGCGGCCGGCTCCGTTGGGTTGTCGTGATAATGAGGGCACGGCGCGGTGGGAAATAACGGAGCGCTTGCAGAATAGCCCAGAGAAGAAAATGAAGACGGACTTGGCCGAAGCCATATGCAGTTGGTGAGACAGCGAATAGTAGTCCTTCGGCCAGCCGCACAGTGGCGAAACTTTGCTCTTATATCGGATAAGATGCAGTGACTCGTGGCTTTTTCACATTGAATTATTCCTGAACTCACATCAATGAGCGTGCGTTGGGAAGACGATTCATTTTTATGAACGGGTCGTCATTGAGGTCATAGCATGGAGGAGAAGTCGGTGTAATTCGTGGCACTGAGAAAATGAAAGACATGAGGAATGGCAAAAAGAACCGTGAAGGTAATCTGGGTATTTCCTAGGAGACCGCGCATAGTAGACACAACTAGATGAGGGTATCGAAAGAGCGATAGAGCCGCTGAAGACAGGTTAGGGATCTACTGAGATAGATAGCTGTGAATGGACCCCCAAAAATTACGCGAAGCTTTTGACGGGAGACATGGGTAAGATGCGCCTGCAGGCATTCGAAGCTCAGCTAAAATGGTAGTAAAGGCTATGGTGAGAGTGAGCTTATCGTTCGTAAACGGATGTTTATGTACCTGCAGTTGAGTTTCTTCCATGTCCGCGCACTAAATGGGACCGAAAATAAGGGTCGTCCACACCCTTCATCGTGGAAGAGATCTAGTACCTGCACATCCCTATGAGAACAATTTGAGAGCAACCTCGATGACCTTCCCTGATGTGACTGACACAGGTAAGCTCAGTGTGTGACTGCGGCATCCCGCGGGAAATGAATCCGGCTCTTGACGCGTTACTTTATAAGTTCAAGTTCAAACATTGAACATTTCTCCTCATCCTCCGTTTAACAAGAGAACTCTTGCAAGGCTACCCTCTTCGCCCTTTGTCTATTTCTTTATACTCTTTTTAGAGATCTCTTCACTTAGACGACGACAATGACCACACTCCAACCTTCCAAAGCTCGTGCCGACAAGCTCGTCGCTCTTCCTAGCTTGTCATGCGGTCTCTCTTCATTACCTCAAGCCAAAAGCATGGACAGCGTGTCACTCCATCCAAACATGTACGCGCAGCGGGCTGCTCAAAGTGAAGCAAAGGTACTGCCACTCCCAACTCAACATTGGACGCGTTTTTACTCTCTCCCTCTCAGCTGAAAAATGTCCTGTCCAAGACCGCCGCATCGCACTCGCAGGGTCCACCACCCATCCCTGCTTACATGAACCCCGTACGTGATCCTACTACCACTCTCAGCATTTGTGTTGACCGCCCCAATTTTTTTCGGTCATTCTAGCCTCATCACAACCCAAATTCGCCCAGTTCATCTCCGCCCTTGATGATGCGGAAATCTGTAAGTACCTTCCTTCAAGTTGTCCTACTCCATTCGTCTCATTCTGGAAACCAATCAGAAACCAAAATTCTCGGCCTAACTGGCCTGCCTAGACTTTCCTTCCTTTTATATTCTCCTCTGCTGGGAACTATTGTAGATCTTGCATTACCAACATAAAGCGGCACACCCTCTCATCGTCCATCCTCATCACGTTATTGCATAGCATATAGACACATCGCATACCTATATTCATACCAGGGCATCTTTTTCATTCCCCGTGGTTTTTTTTGCTGCTTTTGTTTTGTCACCCAGCCCAGCGCTTCAGGTGAAGATTGGAATTTTAATACGGGTAGCGAGCTTATACTTAGCCCGGGAGGTCTTTTACTCTGCTACACGTCTAGTCATCATAATTTAATGGATATTGGGTTTGTTGGGCAACTGATATTGGTGTGTGAGCTGTGGTGACCCTCTGTTTCAAGGGATGACCTTGGACTTGTGTGGTCAACTTGGACCCACTGTTGGGTAAAATGCTTGCACGTGCAAACTTAATTAAGTGAGGAACGATCTGAGACGGCAACTGTGTAAATGGCCTACCGCAGCCTATCACGAACTTCCGACTGCGCCGTTTATTCTTTATCGTCCTGACTCCTGATAGTCGTTTCTGATACCCGATCTAGACGGCGAGAGCGTAAGGTTTCATTTTTAGATCAGCTTCCGCCGATCTGCAACGTTGCATTGAATCAATTCAATCACGAATGGCGTCTTCCAATTTGCGCGTCTGAGACGTATTCATCGGACAGCGCTCTCCTGGGCAAGACAGGTCCTCGGTCGCCGTAATCAGTGTCAAAGTACCGCCCTGAGCCTGGGCGCAAGGGCCAGAGTTTATAGTCATTCAATTGAGTTCAATTGTCATTGGCTTTTTTCCAATACGATTGGCAATGTGCACTTTGAATCGCGCCCCGCAATTCTCCCCCGGTACCCCACGTTGTAGATGGCCATGGGTGATATCTTTCGGTCGGGGGTGAGAGTGATCATCGGAGTATCCCGTACGTCCTTTGGTCTCTGGATCGTTTTGTGAAGACGATTGACGAAGAAAGTATTCTTTAGCTTTTACGTTTTGCGTTCTGAGAAGCGTTATTGGCTTGTCCAATAGATATCCTCTGCATTGCTCTCACGGTTCGGTGCGGGGTTAAGGGCGCCGAACGCCATCGCGGCAAGGCCTGAGTCGAGAACTTCAAAGTTCTTCCGGTTATGTGCATGAGAAATATCAAGTTCATTTCTTTCGGTATATTCCAAACTTGTGTCATGTTTCTCGGTGACAGACAAGCACAACTTAATCTTGTTTTTGTGGCACAGCACACGTAACCTACGCCGCAAGGACTCCCAGATGGCCATGTGCTTGCTCTCCACGATAAGGCTATGGGGTCTACTCCCACATGCTTTGCACCAGCCAGACCCTTGAGTTTCCTTCCTTCCTTCCTGTTATTGTCCCCCTGTGCATCTTTTCGATCCGGCTGCTGTACCTTCCTCCTCAGAAGCCTTCGAGGACCTCGTCGGCTAATACCGATACTTCGGTTTCGCCACGGATCTTGGGTTATCGAATCTAATGCTGTCAGTTCTTCACCTCGGACGTTTTATTGAGGGCCAACAATTACATGTCATGATCATCTGGGCGTAGGGTATGCGCTGGTATGTCTCGATGTTACAGCATATGCCACCGTTGTGTGGTCAATATTTAATTTCAGAATGCTATCCATAAAGTAATTATCGGTCCTATAGACTGGACATCATGGGTTCTTTGTACCACCGTTGTCACTCATCCGATTCTTCCTCAGATTCCCCCTAAAAGGAACTACATATTTGCACATGACATCTCCTATGAAACACATCTTTCTGGCTGGTGAGAATTCGAGAACTTTGCACCCATTGTGTTCCTGTGTTGTGAATAGCGAGCGAGATCTATTCTTCTCAGCATCAAAATTCGTAACACAAGGACAATTTGACATCCTATCTCCCGAGTCGTCTTTCCCTTATTTGCCAAACCTGAAGACCCGATTTACTTTTTCGAGCCTTCAAGTCATTGGTAGCGATGAGTAGCTCATACAACCTGCACGTCGCACGTTTCATCACAGTAGCTGCACCACATCAAAACCCCCGCTTCTCTTCGCAACGACTAATCGTCCCATTCCCTCGTCGAAGCCCACCTTGTCTCCATCGCCACCAGCTTCAATCTCGTATATGGCCTTCCCCGTCTCAAAGGCGGGACCGAACTGCATCTCACACGGGGGGATGTACAATAAACTTGGCCCACACAGTCGGATCTCCCGCCCAAAAACGCACAGTCCGCGCCCCGACGACCCCATGCATATCTGCGTGCACCCCTGCCCCTTTAAACCCCTGTCTATATCTCCCAGCGCACCAGGCACAAATGGAGATAATCGGAGAAGCCGATATGGGAAGCTGGACGGATGTTTTCCACCGTCATCGTTGTCTAGCGGAATAAGCATTGACAGAGCGATCCTGCCCAACTTGCCCTTGGGACGCGCAAGGATTGTGAGAGAAGGCGTTTCCTGGGATGGTGCGTATGTCGGAGCGTCTGTGCCGGACCAACTTCGAGGGACACAAGTTGTAAAGGCGACAGGTAAGCCGATAGGTTCAGAAAATGTGAATATTTTGGTATGGGTGACCACCGTGCGCCCCTGGGCTGGTACGTCGGGCACTGGGAATACGCTAATGCATGTCTCCCATGCTACAAGTATATGGTCGGAGAAATGCACAAAGTCTAGAAATGCGCCGAACTGCAACAAAATTACACGGGAACCGTTATTTGAAGCGCACTTGGCTCACTCACCAGATCGGGTAGACGCGGGAGCAGGGCAGTGCCTTCCGTCTGAGCATGCCAATCCAGGAGCTCAAGACCGCCACCATCCAGCTCTGACGTGGTATCTAGGAAAAGGAGGTGCCGCGATATCCCTGCGATAGTGCCAGGGATGAGGGAATAGTCGCACAGCTTGCTGAGGGCTGGTTTCAAGGCGAGTGAGAATACAGCAGCATGTTTATTTGGCCTGTCCGCTGTCAGCGATCCCCTCGCTTGTAATGACAGGACGAGAGACTCACTGGTCTTTGCAACCGACGGCAATGATTCCCTGGCCCTCTGTGTCCTTCACGACTACGCAAGCATCATCACTCGGTGATGACCACTCTCCAGCCTTTTGAAGCTCGTGCGTGGCCCCTGGCTGCCCAGAGATGAGCCAGTAAACTACTTTATTTCCGTGAACGGTCAAGACCTGCGTTCCACCAGAGATAAGCAAGATCTGGTCTACGGTTTCTCGTTTTCTGCTCGACACGATAACACTGGGCGTGAATCGTGGCCAACGTTTCTGGAGGGAAAGAGCCAATAACGTACGATGCTCCAGATCTGCAGGAGACAGAGCATGGAGAGGGCGCAAAGGGCCAGGGGGTGGAAGGTTCCGGGCCAGTACTTCCGTGCAGAATGCCGCATACCAAACGCTGCGAAGTTTAGACAGGAAATAGTAACGTTTGGAGGTCTGGGAGAGGCAGGATATGATATGTGAGTTCGCATGAAACAAGTGTGATGGACGTACCAGTCTCAGTGTCAATATTTCGCGCACAGATAAGGCGTGGAGGATCTGCAGGAGAATGTCATCAACCAAGTCATCCAAGCTCGATACTATGCGAATCACTGGCATCACGGATAACAAGTGAGCTAGCTGCACGATGGCTGGGCCAAAACCAGGAGTCGCACTGAAGAGCTGCCCCATGCTTGCTGCGGAACCTTGTAATTCAGACTAGTGCTATTTGATCCTTGCCTGACCTAGTAACTGAGATACTCGAAACATGCCGGCACTTCTGGTGGAAACTTGAAGCGAGCCTGAGGACACAGGAAGCACAGGCGCCACAAGGAATGCGGTCTTACCGATTTGATGCGTTCCAGATACGTCCAGCAGCCATGCAAGCAAATCGCATAGTACTAGAGCGCTCAGTGCGAGGGTACTTACTACTCGCTCGTGGGTAGTGATACTTGGCAAGTCTCAGACTATCCAATTGTGATTTTGAGTTCACGTGACCGCGACTCGGATGAAGACCGATATGCCTCAGTCTGGCAGCTCTTCGTTACACGTCCTACTACCTCTACTTCTTGGTGCTATTATAAAGTACACTCTGGGCTCAGCCACCGTCACATAACTGTTCCGAGGCTCTCACTGCGCTGTGACTCACAACTAGCAAAGACTCCTAATTACGTTCTGCTGCCAGTACTAGTCCCACCACCCCCCGTCCAAAGCAAACCTCGCCACTATGCCCTCTGCACCCGAAATAAACATCTCCACTACGACTACTCCCCCGCTCAAAACAAACCCCGCCATGACCCCCTCGCCCGAAACGAACCCCACCACCACGCCCCCACCCGAAACAAGTAACTCTGCCGGCGTTCTGTCTGCTTCAAACCCCACCGCTGCCCCCTCATCCGAAACAGACCCCACCGCCACACCCTCCAGTTCAGACCACATCAAACTAGACACTGTCTCGGACATTATAGGTTTCCTGATGCTGTCTTTGCTGCTTTACCCCCCGCTCCTTGTGAGGCCGCACGAAGGGACGGACCCAGCGGTCCAATCCCCTGTTAAAGTGGTAGCGGCTTGGGTGATCACACTCATTTTAGTTCGGCATAACAACAATGCTCTTACCAACCTCAGTTACCTGGCCTTTTTCTTCCTATGGTTTTTTCTAGTGTTGTTCCTTCTTCTTAGGGACACACAGGACGGAGGGAATATAGGCGAGTCAGTGAGAGCATGCTAAAGAACCAGTACTGACACCATAGGATCTATCACAGATGTTGCGCTAGTGGTGTTTAGATGCCTAGGTAATCCGTTGTGGGCAATACTGTTCATTGCGTCAGCCTTTCGTATCGGCCCAGCAAGACCCCACAGAAGTCGGGAGATGAATATGGATCGTGGAGCCGTAAGCGATATTATCCGTTATAGATAATCATGCTGATATTAGTTTGTTCAAGCCACAGAAATCCGTTTAGACTTTCCCAAACCTACCCGGCCAGAAGACCATTCATTGTTTGGACCGAAGTTCTTATTCTGTCATACAAATACATACTATGTTACAACGCAAACGACAACGATACCTGCATTGGCTTGGAACTTGGAACTCACCTCAACACGTTTGGGGTCACGCCGAGCTCTACACACTGCAGCGGTTATGATGTCACTTGTTGAGGTATTCGTTACAGGCATTCCCTCGTGCACAACTCGTATAGAGTGCAACCTCAGCTTGATTACGACGTCATAATCCGCAGGGGAATAGGAAGTGACATTGACTTACGTCCCATCTTCCGGATTCAATCAACGCACAGAAACCGACAATCACAACAGCCTAATGATGTCTGCATCAACCATTCAGCATGTGAGCGGAGCTGCTCGAATGCACTTCGGTTGCAATGATCGCTTCTCAAGTGAGTCAAGGACTTCCAAGTCAATGACTGAACAATTCCTTGATCCAAGTAACATTGATGTCGGCCATAGCTCATTCAGCCTGACGGGCTAAATGGTGGGCTGCGAAAGCGGATATTTATTAGGGAACTGTAATCTTGGTCCAGGCAGCGACCAGTAGGGGGACACGACCAAAGTTCTTCAGGACCTGCACCGTGCCTTAGTACTAGTGTCTTTCTATGACGGCAATAACGTCTCGTGGCGTCGGTCACTTTTTACCACCGATTGCGGCGTACGCACGGAAGGCCGGCCAATGAACGCTAGGACGGAAATATAACGTAACACTCGCTCAACCGAACCCGCGTGCAAAGAAGGTTTGGTCGTTTCACAGACCCGACGATCGCATCCGTCGAGGGCGCAAACCTTGAGACACTTGCCGACGCAGCTGTGATAGCAAAGAAAGTCGCGTGCCAACTCATCGTGGTTCCAGTTCAGCCAATGGAGCAATCTCGGGCTTGCGAAGGTGCAGGGGCGACGGGTCGGACCAGAAGGGCGTATCCTCTGCTGGCAGTAACTACTACCAGTCAATTTGTTGTCAGAATTTGACATCGATCACGTACGTACGTCAGCGCCGTGAAGCTCGCAGGAAGCGCTTGACTGAATCGAACACATGACCGTCCAGTGATGGCGCCAATAAAGAAATGTTGCGCCAGGACATTAAGCAAAGTGGTCTGACAACAAATGCGAGATTATTAAGGATACTCTGAACATCCCAACACCTTATGAAACTGTAGCTCACGTCAATTCAGTAAATTTCAAATGCAAGTTTATCGGCGTTTTGCATGAATTGCAATGCCATATTTGAACCTTGAAATGTGCGGGGTGGCGCAGTATATCTGTGAAGCTAGCTAGCTCACCAACTCGAAAATTATTTTCCGACCAGACTGGAAATGTAGCTCACAGCAGAAAGAAGCACTGGCACGGGATGGTGATGATCACGTTGCTTCAACATAATATCATTAGTAGACGAAAAAATCATGGCATGACACACTTTTCGAACCAACCTCCTTGCAAATGCGTGAGATTGAATATGGTTCGTGTATGTTCCTCTGTATGCAGAAAAAGGTCTCTTGATATGCCTTCCACTAACACCTGGAGTGCATGTAAGTTTGTACTGTTTTCAGTTAAGGTGACAACGGAGATTGGTGCGCACTCAGCGGCAAACGGTATGATCTCATGACGATTTGGAATGAATCAGCAGGAGATTGGTCTAGTTCAACCACTCTGGACTGCTCGCACATCGTGATCTGAGATCTTTGCGGGGGTAGTGCGAAGTACCAGGAAAGTCTAAAGATGGTGAGTACCCCAGGTATCGAACGCTCCAGTACAAAATGGGTCTCGGCGTGCTTCACGATTCACCGCGAGTGCATAGAACTCGTTTAACGAAATAGTGGCTGGAGAAGTTCTGAAGGGGACCGGGTGAATCAGTTCACCTTACCTAACCTTGCGGAACGTACCGGGTCGCCAATTTGTCGTCTCATCCTTGCGTCGTGTACTCAGCAGCTAACGACAACGACAGCGACAATTATCAGCGCTATATCTTCCCTCCGCGTCATGCCCGGCTGCATCTCGATCCTTGGAAACGCTTCTTCAGCGCCAATCATCGATGACGATGAGTGTGATGTCTCGTTTCTCCAATCGATGACACGATGGCCCACCCACCCCTTCTAGATACAAGTACCAGAGTGTCACGCAGCCTGAATGAAACAAATTCGGGGCCTCGGTGCGCAACGCCCTCTTCTAGCTTACTGCTGCCTTTCCCGCTAGCACGCCCACCTCAGTGTGCCTCCTCGCACATTCATCAAGAACATCAATCATGTTGCCAATGGGTCTATCTTTTGGCGGGCTTGGCTTGAGCTCCCTAGGCTTGTATTTTTGATATGACTGTGCGTGGATACATCTCCCCTGTTCCTTCCAAATTCCAATACCTGGCAACGCAGTCTCTTCTACAAGCCGGAACTCCGCGGGCCTGCCCACTATGACCATCATTCAGAAACGCTCTCGACACGATGCACGCAGCACACTCACCAGCCACCAGTCGCCCCAACCCCTGGGCACACCCTCCTGAGTCAACTTCTCGAACACAAATAACATCTGCATCCCAGGTGTCTCGCAGCACCACATGTTGTCGCCATCACCGATTCTGGCACCAGACAGTACGACCCAGCCTGTCGCCAACAACATGCATCCAGTTTTCGGCATCCTTCGATCGGATCATGGGATTGTGATACAACGACCCAACAACTTAGGTCTCGACACATGGTTTCAAGTCGTAGTTCTTGCTCTCTGATTCCTCGAATTCATTTTGTTTATGTAATTGATTTAATTTTGGACATCTATTGGGCCGAGACTAGCAGTACTCCTAAATTTTCGCTCTCCCCACCACATATGGGCACCAGTATTATATCCTCATCCCCACCACATATGGCCATCAGTATTATGCCCTCATCAGTCACAAACACTACCGCTATGCCGCCGTCCCAAACACACCCTACCACTATGCTGTCATCCGAAACACACCCTGCCATTATGCCCTCATCCGAAACAAACCCCGCCCCTATGTCCCCCTCGGAGTACCACCGTCGTGAGGGACACTATTTGAGAAACCTCAGCATCATGTGGATCGGTATCCTGATCACGAAAATCCTTGTGTTCCAATTGCCCTCGATCACAGCGTTAATCATTGCCCTTGCAGTAGCAATGGTGGATTTAGCAGTCGCTCTCGTACAATTTTTTGCTACCCATTCAGCCTTTTTCGATGACCATGTCATCTACAATTCCTGCTCGTCGTTCTGCGTGGCATTGATCTGCCTTATACCACGCAGTGACAATTGGCCCTATGATCGAGGCGAGTTAGTTTCATGCTCAGGAACCATTTATCACTAAGGTCTTGGGTCTATCACAGATGACGATACTTGCCGAGTAGTGCTTGGAATTATGAGCATGATCTTCTGGATTTGTTGGTTTGTGGTGTCAGTGCTATCCTTCATATATCATGATGGTATGGAATGGGAATAGTGGGATTGACCCCCAGAGGATCGGGCCCAACGAGAACCGTTAAGAGCCTGAATGTCACACCTGGGTTACCAGTCTGAGACTGGACTTTATCTAACCTGCACTGTCGTCTTTTCGCCCTAGGTGAACCATATTGGATTGGACCGAAGTTCTCTGGTGGTGTATTCGAAATCTTGGTTCATAGATATGTTACACCAATGACGTCGATGATGTTTGCATTGACCTAGAACTTGCAACTGACCTCGACACGTTCGACACAGCGAATGAATCATTATTATTCACAAATGTTTTTTTTACCCAGCTGAGCTGCAGGTGGAATCGTCACTCGCCATATAGTCCATGCACTGCACAGCGATCATCATGAATCTTCCAGTAGACTCATAGTCCAGAAAATCGCCTGACATAGACAACGGTCCGTTGTATGACGCTGCCTGGCACTGGGAGTCAGGACGTGATCACCTGACCCTGGACCATCGTCTTCTGGGCCTATCTCGGACTGGGCCTTGTCATAATGTATCACTCCCGCGGCCGGGTACTATTGGCATGCAATGATAGACGCAGAACTTGCTAGCAATCCACATAAACGCCGTTGGGGTCCAAATAAAGGCAGATCTCCGAGTTGGCAAGGTTCGCCGCCACAGTGATGCGCAGGGTGTAACAGGTACCACGGAGCTGGGGAAAGCACCCCGTCATGCTAAATGATTTATCCAGGGCGGTTGCGGTCGAAGCACGGCCAGATGTTGACCAAGATGAGAGGCATGGTTTGTCCACAATCACAGCAGCCAGCTGATGACTTGGGCATCATGCTTCAAACCAACGACGAACAGAGAGTGACTCGTTACTAAAGGGCGCACCACCGATATTCAAATCGGTTTTTGTCACCACTAGTAGACAACCGAGCCTGAGAAATAACTGAAGAGTAAGGAAGTTGGGAAGGCAGTCAAAATCTTCTGAGCCCCGAGCTTTGGTCTTGCTCAAGGCTCACGAGATCCTGGCGAAGCAAGAGGCCGCGGAGGGCCATATGCCATAAGCATATTCAAGTACATCGCGTATCTGCAGAATACTTGATCCCTCGGGTAAGTCCGTCCACTTTATCCAGATCAATATTAATGCGAATTTGAATTTCCTACCTATATGTTGTGAAGAGAGTTGACGTGTGCCTCCGAATGGCCAGATACACCCTACTGACACACGTAACTCTAGGTTTCTCTCTTAGGCAGCCCACATTGAAGGCAGACAGTCGTCTCTTCAACCTAGCCCAGGATGGGTGACTATGTGGTCACGGTTCTCCTTGAACGTTTAACTACTGTCGCAGTACGTGCTCCATCCTCACCTCAGGCTGTGACCTGCCGGCTTTACTTTTTTTTCTCACTCAATTTAGTATGTTGAAGGTAGTCCGACTACCTTGGATTCTTATTTTGTCCTGCATAACTGAATTTCTGGGGACAGCTGCATCCACAGCAGCTTTGGTAAGGAGGAACAAATATGACAAGTAACAGAATCATGTAACGTTATTCCCCCAGCTTTTTGACTTCTGCATTACTTTCGACTCGGAGGTCAGTACTGTGTTTTGATGGCTAGATGCAAAACTGACTTATGCCAGGTTCGCTGGACATGGGGGAGAAAGTGGGGGATCGTGAGGATAGCCTTTGTTATTTCTCGCTACTTGCCAATTGCAACATGTGTCATGTACCTATATTGTGAGTACTCGCGACAACTTGTCTATTCTCACTGTGCACTGACGTCTCTCGGACAGACACCGTCATGTCAACTCGCGGAGGAATTGTGAGCTCGAATTCTTGTGACAGAGCTATCCCTGATAATATTCCAGCCAAATACTGAGAGGTACTATGCTATAAATGGCGGTTGCGTATATATCAATCTCACTTAAACCGCTCTGAATGCTCAATGCTTTTGATAGCCATGAACACCTTGTGTGCTGCTGCCTCTGACAGTCAGTATCCAACTCCAAGTCAAGTCGCTTTTCCCCTTGTGACGTTATTTTAAGCCCTGCTTGTGGCGAGGACACATGCGTTCTGTGGATGGGGAAAGAGGGTCTTGATCGCGATATCTTTGATCTGCGTGGTGACCTTAGTCCTTCCTCTTGGCCATTTTTTTGTTGCTCATATTACACATCATTTTAGGCCATGATAGCGATTGCGCTAACAATTACAAATGTTGCTACGAGTAAAGTCGGAAGTCCGTATCTTCCCCCTACATTTCTCCTGCTCACCCCATATTCCAGATTCTACAAGCATTCAGGGTGGACAATACACGAGCACGGTGAGCATAATTTATGGTTTGCTGATGATCTATCAACTTGGTATGTAGCATTTCGATGATTGTGTCTGTAGTCACTAAACTCCGCCAGTATTGATGTCCCTGACACTGCACAAACGCTTCAACTTCTACCGAGAGGAAAACACTCCACTGATCGCTACTGTATATCGGGATGGCGTCATTTACATGCTGTGCATCGTTCGTGAGTCTTGTAGATTCTTGTTGGGAATGCGGCCTTAGTTTCTGCAGTGGCCTCGATGGTGAATTGCGTCGGCATTGCTGTTCTTCCGGTGAGTAGTTCGCCTCGGGTCGTAAGATAAGCTTCTGATCAGGTTGCCCAGTTACCGTATACTTTTATTTTCTACAGGTAAATCCTACCATGGTGTACTCCACATTTAAAGCTGAGTAGGAGAAGCCCACAGGGAGTCTTGCACAGTGTTCTTGCTTCACGCATCCTGTTCAATCTACGGGCAACGAACGAACAAGATGTCATTATAAAAGGACCGATTCCCTCGGGGGTGGTTTTTGTTCAACCAATCGAAACCCTATCTCGAGTGGATTATCTAGAACTCCAGGATATGTCGGACTTAAGTAACTCACTCAACTAGATTTGTAGATATGTTGTGCAACAGAACTCGGTTGTCTGACTTTCCATACTCCTACATACACAACAAAGAGATGAGTCGACGGAGCTGGTTAGAGAAGGTTACTTCAGTGATGCTGGTGAGAAACTTACTTGTCCATCGGCCAGTCAGTCATCGGCCAGTGATTTCGGCCAATTTGGATATACCCTTCGCAACAAATTCTACATAGACATCCTGCGTAGCACGCATACGTTTCTGGAACTTCATGATGCGGCAACAAGCGACAAACTGATTCTCGCCGAGTCCATTCCCTGGATCTACGTGGATTTCATCCCGGCAACCCAAAGAGCGTGTCAAAGGCTCTTCCTTAGCTGACAATTGCACAATTGATTAGTCAATGGTCTCTTCACATGTACATTACTGTGCTCACAATTAACATATCCCAAATTCAGCCGCGTAAACATTGCATGCTCACTTGTTAACATGCACGCGTGACGCAGGTCGGAAAAGGCAAAAGGCGAAATTCGATAACGGATTTAGATAACACTGAAATGGCATCTTGCTGGTCATTCACTATTGTCCAATACAGCGTTGTGTGACCCTCGATATTGGGTGTTTCCAGAAGGTCGGGAAATCCAGCAGCAGACATGACAGTGATGCAGGCGTTGACAATTGGGGTGATAAAGGAAGGAGGCAAATGAGGAGCGGAGACAATATCATTGATGCAAATTAGAACGGTGTTCCGTGTCTTCGTGCTTTGTAGAAAGGGAATTACAGGTGGTTGGAGGGAATTTGCTAATGCGGATTGTAAGTTGTGTTGTGTACGAGAGGTGCATTAGTAACGGGCTCGCTAGCGTCTTCTGGAAATGGGTCGAATATCATGATGCGGGGGCAAGTGAGGAGAAGACGATAGGGTTATGAGTATGTAAATAAGAAACGATCGAACCACGCACGCGCAGACAAAAAAAAATCTTCTCCTAGGGTCTTAGACATGCCCGCATGGCCCGTTACGAAGTTCCGTGGCAAAGACTTTTTGCCAATGCGTCTTATCATAGTATGTGCTCATTGTATTTACGTAGCTCTGCGTCGAATTGATGCGCGTTGCAGGCTGCCGTGATCTCTGGAAGGGTGGGTCTGACTCATTGGGGTATCCCAACCCTGGCGATATGATGCATTGCAGGACTAGCGATGCCATGGTGTTGTACACGACTAGAACACCTAACCTTGACTGACCTTCTCAGTGAGAAGGTTAAGTGCTTTTACAGGGCGACATCAAGTGGTTGTATCATGATTTGGAGGCATCCAAAGTTTTTGCACGCTGTGTTTGTTTGCATTATATGAATAGCAATTCAACGTGGAGAGACAAAACTCACATTTTTACCCTATCATCCATCCTAGGCCTATTGTCTGGGGTTTTGAAGCCATGGCCAAGAGCCGTCGCGCGCTGGGTTTCACATCAACTTGCAGATCAAAATTATGTAAGTTGATTCTCACATACAACGGAAGCTAACATAAAAGTTTCTCAGGCTGCTACTTATCCCGTCCGCATCATATGCATCCAGCGTACCAATGTTTTAAGCAGTATGCGGGCAATCAAACTTTACTTTCACCCTGAAGTGAAGGCTGCGCAGGTCATTGTATACCATGCAGAGAGTTAGTAACGTTAACTTGAACGTTATGAGTATGTGCCTCTCAGGCAAAGGGAATATCATATATATGCTGCTCAGTGCTAGCCCACTTATCTCTAGTCTCCCTTAGGAAGGCGACATAGAAGGAAGAAAATTGTTCCTTCAATTTAACTCAGGCCAGAATGGATGACTGTGCGCATCCCATGGGACATCAAACTATCGCAGTGCGTACTCCTCCCTCACCTGTGACCTGTCAGTTTTATGTGCTTATTCGAATTCAGTATGTTGAAGGTAGTCCGACCACACTCGGATTGTTATTTTATTCTGTAAAACTGAATTCTCGTGACAGCCGCATCCACAGCAGCTTTGGTAAGGATAACGAATATGACAAGCAACGCAATCATAACCATGCTATTCCAGCTCTTTGACTTCTGCATTACTTTCGACTCGGAGGTCGGTGTGTTTCGATGGCTATATGCAAAGCTGACTTGATATCAGGTTCGCTGGACATGGAGGAGAAAGTGGGGGATCGTGAGGATGGCCTTTGTTATCTCTCGCTACATGCCAATTGCAACCTTTATTATGCAACTATATTGTAAGTCCTCGACAGTTTGTCTATATTCGCTCTTCGCTGACGAGTCCCTCGGATAGACACCGTCGAGTCGACTCACGGAGGAATTGTAAGCTTGAATTCTTGTGACACGATTCAACTCTGTTCAAGTTTCCCTGACAATATTTCAGTCACATCCTGGGAGGTACATTGTTATAAATGGCAGTTGCGTATATGATCACTTCACCTAAACCACTCTGGGTGCTCAATGCTTTTACAAGCCATGAACATATTGGGTTCTGTTGCCGCTGACGGTCAGTATCAACTCCAACTCGAGTCACTTTCCTCCTCGTGACGTTATTTTAAGCCCTGCTTGTGGCAAGGACACACGCGTTCTGTGCATGGGGAAAGAGCATTTTAATCGCAATATCATTATTCAACATGGTGACCCTTAGTCTTTCCTCTTGGCCATTTTCCTGTTGCTCAAATTGTATACATTATTTTAGGTCATAGTAGCAACTACGCTAAAAATTCTACACGACCTTGCAAGTGAACCCGGAAGTATGTATCTCCCTCTCCACATTTCTTCTGCTCATCCCAGATTCCAGATTCTATAAGGTATGGTGTATTCCAGGGGGAACAACGCGTGAGCATCGTTTATGGCTTGCTCGCGATTTATCAGCTTGGTACGTAGCATTTTTCAATGCTGGCCCAACGGCTACTCACCTCCACCAGTATTGATGTCCTTGACACTGCACAAGCGCTTTAAATTTTACCGACAGGAAAATGAAAATACCCCATTGGTTGCTACTGTATATCGAGATGGCGTGATTTACATGCTGTGCATCGCCCGTCAGTCTTGTAGATTCTTGTCAGGGAACACGGACTTAGTTTTGCAGTGACCTCAATGGCGAATTGTGTCGGTATGGTTATGCTTCCTGTGAGTGGCTTGCATCACGTCATGAGATGAGCTCCTGATCAGGACATCCAGTTATCATATACCTTTCTTTTCTATTGGTAAATCCCATCGTGATTAACTCCATATTTAAAGCTGAGTCAGAGAAGCCCGCAGGCAGTCGTGCACAGTGTTCTTGCCTCGCGCATCCTGTTCAATTTACGAGCAACAAATGAATCGCAAGATATCGTTGTCAATGGGCCGGCAGCCTTGGGCATGTTTATCGCTCAGCCAATCCAAACCCCCTCTGGAGTGGATTATCTAGAGCTGAGGGATTTTACAGACTTGTAACTTAGTTTTAACTACAGTTGTAGCCCTCTCCCTGACACACACGATAGCGGGATGTCAACGAGGCCGATTGCTTTATAGTGATGCTGGAGACCATGCAACTACTATACATTGCTGGGCGCAAAGTCATGAAACTCGCGCCCTTGCTACAAATTTCGTACCGAAATGTTGCGTGAGTGCAGGACCCTTTTTCCCTAGCTCCACAAGGTAGTTCAATAAAAATTTCACGATCTGGTATGTCGATGTGACAGATAGCCTTAGATGCTGAGCAGATGAAGGGATTGTGTAGTCGATCGTGATTGATGTTAACTCTACATTCCAATGCAGGGCGTGTGAACTAGAAATACACCTGAGTCTTTGGTCTTTAGAACAACTTAACTTTCCTCGCCGTTTTCTTCTTCTTTTACTCCCTCTCGAAAATATACATATACGCCAATTTCTTCAGATCCCTGACGCTCGTTTCATCCGCTCGCACAACCTTCTCATCGTTGAAAAGTACCCAATCTCCAGCTGCATCATCCACATCCATCGCATCGCCTCTCGGCATACGAATGTGTGCGACATAATGTCCAGAATGAACGCTGGGACCTTTGTGTGATATGAAGGCCTTCAGCCTGTATCGAGCAGGCAAGCGCGATGAACCAGGAGGAGCCTTTTTGGTTTCTGTAGATGAAGTAGCTGGTGCAGTATCTTCACCAGTGTCATCGGGGTGGTTAAATAGCCATTCGACAGCGCGTTCTACATTTCCATCCTACAGCTTTTCAGAATAAGAGTCGAGACGAACCAGAAGAAACTCACGGTCTCCCTCAACGCCTTCTTTGCTTGCGCATTCGTGAAGCCCATATCAGCAAGCATGGCTACCTGCTCCGCGGGTGGTTCTGGTGCATTAGCATTTCCCGATCCTGCTGTTTGAATGGGTACGTTGATGTCTAAAAAAGCCGTTTACTAAAATGCAGAGTGGGTTCATTTCGGCGCACCTGGGTCCTCCATGTGCAAGATTAACCATTCCATGGCGACTTCAGCCCCAGCGTTGCCAGTTGCGATCAGAGCATTCCGACAACTGACAGTCGGGAAGCCCACAGCCTCAAGCTGAGAGAGTGCTTCGGCGTCAACTTCAGGCTGAGAAGGACCTGAAGTGTTGGAACTATCTGGTAACTCCACTTCGTCAGGCTGAAGTCCATGCCCAAGGTAGTTATCAAGATTAAGTTCATCATTCTCGGGCAGGATCACAGGTATGTCTGTTGGGGATGTTAGAATTGTATCAAACACCGAGGTTGAACAGCTCGCCTAGCTTCGTTGGGACCCAGTTGACGAGCTGGAACTTCTTTGCATGTAGCACCAGAACGTCGGGGAAGGTAGCAAATTGCACCTGCCTAATCCCACATTAAGTCAGCCGTTAGGTAGACCGAATGACATATGCGTACCTGACAGCATTCACTTTTCCACAGCCTCCCTCACACTGGTACTCCAGAGCCTCTTGTCCACCCGGTCCGAGAAATAGGTTCAAGCACTGCTCCAAAGAAACGGAACAGTACCGCTTCTTTCCGGGACCACTTTCGTCCGATGCACCAGCAGTTGCCGCTCCTGGACCCGTATCCGCTTCGCCATCAGCGAGTTCATGAGCAGGTACACCGAGACTAAGTACATCCATCGTGTCTACGCGATACCTGACCCTGTGGCAGGACTGGCATTGGAGACGTTGCTCGAGGCCAAAGGGAAACATTTCGGTTGGTTCAAATTCTTCTATGCAAAAGTTAGCGCAAATGAAGCCGGGAACAGCCCTGTGGTACCTGACACGCCGCGAGTATTTGGGTGGTTGAATCGTCGAAGTACCGTCAACAGGTGACTAAAGAACTCTTCCGCGTCCTGTTGGCGCATTGTGGAGAACTCGGCGTGGCCTTTACCAACGAGAGCCTTGAATCCTGCGGGCTTCAGACCTGCCTGCCAGGGCGTATGTTCAGGTGTTGGGTGTGCGAGAGCATCGATCGGAGCTGTATGGGCATGCGTCAGATGTCATGCACATAGTCTACAATATAGTTGATATCGGGTTTCAACATACCCTGTTCACGATCCGAGTGAGGATTAGAGTATCGTCCGCTGAGCAAACCATCAGCGAGCTTGTACATCTGACATTCCAGGCAATCTGCAGGGAGGGCCTGAGTGCAATTCTCCCAGTGGGCAGCTGCTGTCGGAGAGACATAGGTGGGAGTTGTGCCGGAAGGTCCTTTACCATAATAACGGATTTGGAATAGAGGGAGTGAGAACAGAGTCTGAATAACGGAGGCCATATAGCAGCTGTGAGGAGCAATCGTCGTAAACAATAGTTTCCAAAATAATGATAAGAAACATACCTATTTCCGAGGTTACTAAGACCCGTAGCACCAGCACCAAAGATCGGCTGAAGCGCGGAGCCGTCCTCGGCCGTGAGGGAGAAGTCAAACAAGAGATTTTGCTCGATTTGCTGGTTTGGGGTCAGATTTGAGATGACGACATAATTGTTGACATTTACTCACCAGTTCAGTCATACTCTTCTCAGTCTTCTTCTGTACCGCGACATTGATACCAAAGGTACCGAGGTGGGTTACAAGCTCTGGGTCAACACGGGCATCATTACATGCGTAGCAGTATACATCTTGGAAATTGGGTCAGATACATATCATAAGGGCGCAATAATGACTGACCAGCTCCGCCCTCGGGCGTAATAGTTCCAAGTTTTACACATACAGGATGCTGGGTCGTATTAAAATGTTCCAGCGCATGGCCGTTACCGCCAGTGCCACCAAATTGGGCACGACCGCATCCAAGAGCACCACAAGTAAGGCAAAGCCAGAGATTTGCGGTGAGCTCGCAGGAGGCGCAATGCGCTAGACCTATAATAATAAGTTGGAATAAATATACGTCCTTGATCAAGAGGAAATGGGCTATCACCTTCTTGGGGGATGGTTCCACTTTGGAGCTGTTCCAGACAAAGTGTGTGCTCGCAAGCCGTGATCTCCTCTTCCCAGGCTTTGACTTCAGATTGACGTGCGGATGAAAGCGATAGCATGACGCCATCAGTTAGACGTTTTGTCTGCAGTGGCAATATTAACGGCATCAATCAGAAAATTACTAGGCGAGTATACTTGCGTTTGCGACATCGATCCCTACTTCTTTTCCATCCTGCAGATCACACTTCCAACACTTGAATACAGTGGCATGCTCGTATTTGTCTTCTTCGCGTTCCTCATTAATGGCAAGCTTTTTCATTTTAGCCGGTGGCTCTTCTCCATCAGCCTGGCGCAGTTCTAGTGTACGTTGCACATAAATGCGTTGCCACTCACGCGATTCGAAACCTTCTTCTTCGGGGTGCGCTTGACATTCAGGGTGAATGAGTGTCCTGATCGGAGGACATGGTTACGCGTATGATGACGATCTGAGTCGAGACATGATCCATTAAAGCACACCAAGCAAACGTCGATGCCCGTAGGGCCATCCTGCACTGGCGTGAACTCCGGATTTGTGTATCCTCCTTAATCGACCCACCTGATTGTCAAAGCATTGCGTGCACTCCTCCCTATGAACTGACTGGCTTAGTTTTGGTTCTCTCAAACCAGATATTTCGTGCGCATGAGGGCAAGTTGCAGACGTCGACATCGTAGAAATGCTCGTATTTGTTGTAGTCGAGACTCGAATTGAAAGGTCAGAACTCGCATGAGGAGCCTGGAGCGCGGTTTGGGACTTTGTCACGTGTCCATTACGCAAAGGGATGAATTCGATCACATGAGTCATTCCCACGATCGCGACGATTTTCGTTGAAACACACTGATTTGTTCTCCACAGAAAACACATTCTATTGTGACTTGTCCTGATCTCTATTCTATACCATGCCAGACGGTACGCATCTAGTTTCACTAATGATAACATGTTTCTTTATCAACAGTACTCATCATTGTCACAGCAAGTCCAGCCTAAAGAAGCGCTCTCTTGGAACGCAGACGAGTGCAGAGCGTTTATAGGGAAAATCAAAAATCTGGACCTAAACTTCAGCAAACAGTCACAGTAGATTTGATACTCTAACTTACTGTCGCAATATGCATGGCAGAGTCAAACTCTACTTTGATGATGGAGGTGTTTTCAGCTTTGGGCTCACCCATCACACTTTCTGTGCGGGGATCAGCCAAGAAGCAGTAGTGTATCAGAGCACGATGCCACAGATTAGCTGCGTAGTTATTTTTTGTAAGACCCAGCTTGCACGCAGTAGTGCATAACTTACTTCGTTCAACACCACGGAACTTATCCTCTCCGACAAGGACGTGGAGGCCCCTGTCCCAATCTCCAGGACCGCCGGGAACGTAGGGCGCCACATGATTTTCCTTGGCGCCATTTTAGCATATTTTCAAGAAACGTTCAATGAGCCCACCTTCAGATAGGTTATCTCCGCATACCCCATGCACTCGCCATTCCAGCTCATCATTACAGGCAAAACAGCAGGGTCGTTCATTACTTCCGTGATATATGCTCTATGTTTATCCAGCGACCCGCTCTCCCCCCAGGCCATGTTAACTCGCTCTTGGTTGTGCCAACGGTGAAACGTGTCTAGATGCTCTGAAATATCCGATCCGCTGCCGAGATCGAAGTAGGTGAACTCCAGAGTCTCTCCTATAGATGGACAATACCGCCTAAATAGCGTGTCTCCCGGTTTGGGCTTGGGGGGACGAAGAGGGTGCGCGGTAATAACAGTGGGTGTACGGGTGAATGACTGGATATATGGAAAAGGCGCAACTGAAAATGATGATGAAGGTAGCCAACCACGAGTATGGTATCCTTGTGCTCCCGCACCCTGCCAGAACGTGGCTCTGTGCAAGTATATCTCCTCGTTTGAGGCCGTAGGCGCATGTGCCGTACGCCCAAGACCAGATCGAAGTAAATACGAGCGTAGCTCCTCGCTATTGTTGATCTTCTGAGACAATACGACCGGGATGGTTTCTTGAACGTGGAACAGCGTGAAGAGTGCGTACACAGTCGCCCACATATCTTTCACAGATATGTCGTAACTAGACGTTTGTGGCGAGCTGGAGGAAGGAAGGATCTCAACCACCCGAAAGCTTGGTACATGTGATGCAGTATTTTCGAACTGCGTACCGATAGCTGAAACTACGAGCTGCGCGGTTTGATTGAGTAATTGATACTCGCACACAACCAGTCCATCGATATGAACGAAATTTGTCGGTGGCGCAGCGTTCGCCAACGCAGAACGAACCGTCATCACCGCACCATCTGGCAAGATGAATTCATCTACCTTCTGGTCCACACTGACAGGAATGTCAGTGAGTGCATTTTGTATGGCCTTGAGACGTTGGACAACACGAGCCATCAGGGCTTGCCAGTGGACTTGAGCCTCAGCTAAAAGCCTAAAAACCAATCGACGCCGCAACAACTTGGTTAATCTGATAAGATCATCAAAGCTGCGATCGATATTCACACGTGGCTGCAGATTTTTTCTCGCCATGTGCACTGGAAAGGAATTTGATCAGATCGTCCTCATACCCTTTGAAACCTCCATAGACCATGGCGCCCAACGGACTCGTCCCAAATGGAACTGCAGAAGCTCCGATCGAGGTCTCTGCAGTACCCTCTATTGTTGGCATCAATTTTGGAAATTCATATGCATCTATCGCAGTCTTAACCAAGGTGCGTTTGTTCCTGTTGCATCCCATAAAATCTCGTATACAATTTTTTCGGACCACAGGAAGGCCTTGCTGAATGCATAGCTAACGAAGATGGAGAGCGTCAGATCGCTTGTGCTATCGCGTTTCATGGGGAGGAGATGGTATGTAGTAGCCTATTGCGCGCTCATGCCACTTCACCCAAATTTTGTCTTCTCAGTATATTGGAAACCAAGCGAGGCACCAGCTAGTCAAAAACTCTCAAAATACTATCACTGGATTCCGTAACCTTTTGGGCAAAAAGTGCGTTATTTAGTGACATGCATCATTATATCCAAGTCTGAACGCATATGCCAGATTCTCTGAAGTACCAAAAGCAACTTTGTCTGTCTCTGCGCCGGTTATACAACACCCTTCGCTACCAGACACGGCCGCTTACAAGGTCAAGGTCCTGCAACCCGCACCTTCACCTCTTAAAACTACCGCTACCAATACACCTGCAGCGTCACAAGTTGCCACTCCACGCTCAGAGCCCATCGAGGTTGAGCGCATCCTAACTGTTTCCGAAGTGACCACGATATTCCTCGGTTCGCTCGTACAATCGGCTGAAGACTTCCTTGGGAAAAAAGTACAGGGTGCCGTAATCAGCCTGCCCTCATGGTTCGACGACGCCCAGAGGGAGGCGGTGATAAAGGCTGCAGAAGATGCCGGAATTCACGTCCTACAGTTGCTTGATGATGCAGGTGCCGTTGCCGTCTGCACTGCTGCAGGATCAGAGGAGATCCCCTCTGACCGAACACAGCTCATTGTCGATCTCGGCGCATCATCCCTTGAACTATCTCTCCTTTCCATCCGCGAGGGTCTTGCGTACTCGCTAGCATCTCTCACTGACTCGTCTGTCGGTGGAGATGAGATCGACTCCAAGCTTATCAAATTCTTTGCTAAAGAATTCACCAAAAAAACCAAAACGCCATTGACTGTCGCACCTGCTTCCGATCCCCTTGATAAGCGCGCTGAAGCCAAACTCAGACTCGCAGTTGAGCACACAAAGCGCACCCTTAGCGCGAGCCCTGGTGCCGCTACGTGTTCTGTGGAGTCGCTCAAAGATGGTCTCGACTACACCGGTTCCATCAACCGGCTCCGATTTGACATGGAGGTGCGCTCGGTATATGACAAGGTCTACGCAAAGGTGAAGGAGCTTGTCGCGAGCGCAGGGCTGGATCTGTATGACGTCGACGAGATTGTGTATATTGGTGGCTGCGCTTGCTTGCCAGGCCTGGATGGGAGCTTAGCAGAAGGTTTCACCGAAAACGTCATCACGCCCTTCAAGGCTGGCACAGTCGCTGGCGGTGGCACCGGTGACCCAACCACTATTCTGGCACGTGGCTGTGCCCTCCAAGCGCAACTACTTGTCAGCCTTAACGGAGAAACCGAGGAGGTTCGCCAGGCATTCATCAAGGGTAATGGGACTAGCAGCGTCAGCGCTACGAGCCGCACTATCGGTCTTTTGGTTCCTCAGGTGTCTGCAGAAGAGGGTGGCTTGGGTGGAGTGTGGGTTCCTCTCGTTTTGAAGGAGACGCCCTTGCCATGCAGGCGCACTGTCACTGCGGAGGTGGTTGTCAGTGGGTCTGGAGATCGAGTTGGCTTCGAGCTCTGGGAAGTTAGCGAGGGAGTGAGGGTCGATCATGTCACGCCCCAAAAATTCGAAGACGAAGAGGACGAGCCGCAGGACGAGGAGGAAGAAGAATTAGAGGAAGTAAAGGAGAAGACGATCTCAAAAGAAGCATTCTTGGCTTCACTATCACTTTCGCCTTCCAATATTTTCAAAGGCAAGACGAAGGTGCAGGTGCAAGCAATCATTAGCAGCAATGGTGCTGTAGATCTCAGCATAAGGGAGGTGACGAAGAATGGAATGGGAGAAGCTGTGACGGTGACAGTTGGATCTTCATAAGGCGTCTTGTGAGATTGCTGCGCCAATGTACATTGTGACACGGACGTATGCATTTTATCAGGCAGGTGTAGACAACTTTTCTACTGGATCTCACCGATATCCTCGTTCCATTCCTGCATATAGATAATCATTCATCATGACATCTGTAATAGATCATCGTGACAACGCACCTCAGGCTTTTCGACTATGAATTTCCTCATGAGCTCCTTGCACTCGGCGTTGCCAACCACGACAACCTCAACGCCTTGGCTTTTCAGTAACTCTTCTCCGCCCACCCAATTCTCATTCTCTCCGATAACAACGCGTGGAATCTTGTACAGTAGGATTGCGCCTGTGCACATAATGCAAGGACTATTCATGCGGTAAGTTATAAGTAATCGCTAGCGCCGGATAAATGATAACTGCCACCTTAAGGTCGTGTACTACGTTCAAGCACCAGATATCAGATATTGGACCCATTCATATTGCAAGCCTTACCATCGTGGATCCTCTATACACCTGTGCTTTCAGTCTCCCTGCATCCTCTAACGCAGCTATCTCTCCATGCAACGTAGCCGATGACTTCTGAATTCGTGAGTTGTGCGAGCATCCCAGAACAATTGCGTCTTTGGGATCTGTTGAAGATCCGTGATACACAAGGGCGGCGCCAATCGGGATCCCTCCTTCTTGGTAACTCTTACGTGCCTTTGCTAAAGCTGTGGAGAGTCCGAGTTTATCTATGCCGTCCATTGAGTGGTATTGGAGCAAGCTGTTCCCGCTCTGTGTCCCACGTCCTGACAGGATGATTCATCGACAGGTGCTCATGGGACCTCTAAACAGGGGTTAATTTCGGCCCGATAGTGCAGTACTTTGCATACACAGGAGGTAATATATATCAATTACTCGCAAACTTCACAGCCCTGATGGCTCAGTTGGTTAGAGCGCAGGTCTCATATGTCATATATGACCGAGTTTCTTCGGGCAATCCTGAGGTCGCAAGTTCGAACCTTGCTCAGGGCAGCTTTTTGCTGCTCTCTGTTATTTTATGAGTCCACGTCAGCGCGTCAACAACTATTGCATTCAAAATTAAATCCTTGGTCCTGGAGAGCTGAAGAGTAGACATATGGTAGCTAACTTCACTTGAATAGAGGACATTTTGGAGCGCGCAGCGAGAGTGAGAAGCATATGAGTTCAAAGTGGATTTGTAGGTCGAGCCCCTGAACAAAGCCTCAGGCCTCAGGCGCTGATTGCAAGTTATACTCGAATAGGATTTGTGTGGAAGTTTGTCCCCTTAATATGACACCTTTTAGTTATATAAGTCCTCCGAATGTCTTACATGTGTTGTGACAAGATCTAGTCTACTGATAATATATACTTCGTCCGTCAAGCTTATCGATACACCCATTAGCATTGCCCGTCTTCTGAGAGTCTTTCCTCGATCAGATATTAGTTGCACGATGCTTCGGAGGGGGAAATACCCATCACATAACATCTGGGGTTGCTGCCATGAACGTTGTGAGAGAAAGATCCACTCCATCAATGCCACAAGCAGCACGATCCGATCTCCAGAAGTCCCTGTGCATTCGCGTGACCAAGAGAGATAGAACAACGACCTGAGTCCTGTTGCCAAATGAGTAACCATCACTTCCTCCAAAGTGAGAATAAACAAACTCGGCAATCACGTGTACCACCGGAAACTATGTCTTGCGTTAATGGGGCAGCTTTGAGTGTGCACAGTGAGTGACTTACTGGAAGGTAGATTGTGGCGAGGACGACACCGAGAGAAAAAGCTGTACCATTTAGCAAGTAAACAATAGAATGACTTGGGCACGAACCAAAGCTGCAGCAGAAGTACAGTAGATTATGATGCATGAGACCACGCATAAGTCGGTTTTCGATCCTCCAGCCACCATGGCTCTCGAAGGCGCGATACAGCACACACACCAATATTTCTGAAAGCGTGTGAATACAAAAAGGCATATGGTTAGTTCAGGTTCATGTTTGGGTGACAGTTCCTAATACTAACCTAACTCTGCAGCAATTAGCAAGCAGTACACAGCAATCACTGAATGCCTTCCCTTTGTATCCACATATCTGATACCCCCAGGGATCGAACATTCTCCTTATATGAAAAAATAGACATTGAGAGCTGAGCAGGAAAAGACTCCAAAAGATTCACACACCCGCTGACACATTAAATTCATAAAAGAAGACCAAGATTGGCACTAAATAGGCCTGCAAAGGATGAGTCAGTCATCGATCGTTGTACAGAGTTGGTTGCAGCCTCCGGGTATTGGTCTTACAATGATGTTGATGATTTTGATCACCATGAACCTCCTCTCCCGCTCCCACACCGCAAGCATTCTGAGTACGAAGATGCCTGAACCATCAGAGAATTATGTAAATGTTAGAAGGCAGGGTCAGTGATAGCTAGTTCAAGTAAACCTACACTCAGCGGAAAACATCGACAGAAACCCAGCGCCTAATGGGGTGTTAGACCCAGAGTCGGGACCCAGTATATATCAGAGAGTAAACCATCATTAGACCCACATATATTTGTTATATATATGAAACGACAAAGCTATGGAGGTATGAGTTGAATTCGCATGTTTGCAACGTTTGACCATACGATGGATGAGCCACGAGGCAGAAAAGTCACTGAAGAACATCATAAACGCATTGCACCCTGAGGACAGTGTAGGGGCGCAAATCCTATACTCACCAAGCATATTCAGTAATAGGAAGGCGGATGGTGAGAACTCGCAGGCGAGATAGAACACTGTGCCGAGCCCGCACCGAGACTCGACAATAAAAGTGATCTGCACAAACCACAGTTTAGAGTACTACAGGGCGTTCAGATAAATTTCCACTTGCCGAGTCAGTCATGCAAAGTATGAAGTCATATACCTGAATGTCACGATTAAAGTGAAATCATTAATCATTGTAAGTTCATGATAAGGCCAATAGCTCACTCACCCAAAGCGATGTTAATGCAACTGTCAGGATAAGAAATATTGATCAATGAAAGCAACATGGACAATAGACTCACCGTAATAGTACTGGGATGTTGCGTCGGTGATCCAGGATTGACTGGAAAACGGAAGTTGTACTCACGTTTGACCACAAGAGCACGTCAGCTTGATACCCTTGCAAAGCACTCATACCAGTGAATACGGCGACAAATCGCTTAGCCAAGGGTCATCTATGATATATATGCAGGCAATGCCGTATCCCGGCCCGTGGACATTAGCCAAGAAATCAATCCAGGAGCTGGTGACGTAGTCTTATCAGGGGCGCCACCACAGCGATCATCATCCACGTTCTCCGAAGAAATTATCTGATCCACGCATCGAGAACCTATCAGCGGGGTAAAGCCAGCTAGACCCTGTGTACACCAAGGAAGACATGGGTTAGTCACGACGGCCGTAGAGCAGTTCAACGGAATACCTCGCAGAAAATAACAACTGAGTGGCACAATGGAAGAGACGTACGAAAAATCAAATGGACAACAAGCAGGCACAAGAAGCAAACCGTAACATAAATAATCATATTATGTTGTCGAAACGGCAGCTCGTACACGCAACACCTGAGAAAATGCAATGTCAGGAGTGATGCAGGATTCTTGCAAACGTAACGCTCTAATAAGCAAGCGCGCAGCCCGAATCCACGCGAGCCAGACACTCGTACCACAGTAGCAGATGCGAATACATGGTGTGTGTATTCTAGTGATGGACGCAGGGAAGGGAAGCGCGAAATCACAAGAGCATGTTGGTGGAGAGCCATCGTGCTATAGCCAGAGGCAAGGAATCGGCGAAAAAATACATGCACAAAATGGGCTGTCATTCACATCCACCCCATCTCAAACAGATTATTCGAGCCTATCAGCAAATCATACCGCCTCGCACAAACAATGCGTTTCTCCTTCCTTGCCGTTATTGTTGCGTTGACAGCATCCATGTCTGTCAGAGCATGTCAGGGATCGCTTCAGAGTTGCACAAAATCAAGTGACTGCTGTAAAGGCTTGAACTGCAGAATACTTGTGAGTAAGAGTCGTTTGCCTCGCATCCAGTTTTCAGCTGATGACTCGCCTTGTTGCGCCTTGTAATATCAGCCGAAGAGCTCAGGTAAAGTCTGCTCGCAGAGACACTACATTTCACTAGAGAAGTTTCAACTCGTACTGGTAAGCCATGTTTCCGCTTTGGCATGGGTGGACATCTATCAGACTCATATCAGGCTCATTGCACTTCAGAGGCAATATATCAAGTTGAATTAGATGTCAAGTAAATGAAATGTTTGCGTACTTTTTAGTCTTGATGTACATAGAACCCCCTGGGTCGACCACAAGTCAAATGCAAGCCAGCTGAAAGACGTGCAGTTAAATCGGTTCAGCTATCCAATTTTCACCGTCTATTACTCTTCACTTGACAGCAGTCGTTCACACTGTTGTCTATGTCGGTCTCGTTTAACCCTCGAGTTGGATCTCGGCGAGACTTGGGGATAATCATCAGCTTCTCCGCTTCGATAAAAACCCTTTTAAAGATATATGATATCAGCACCAACCACCAACGGGCAAGATCTTAGTCGATTACTCACCATTCGTAGGTCGAGAGAGTCGGGGTCCATACCATCGAATCAAGGGGTCTTCTGCCCCTTGATGGACCCTTTCAAAGCGGTGATAGCCTTCGTGCTGGTGTTTCGATGGACGCGCTGGCGGTCATCCACGGAGACCCAACAACTGAGGTGGAGTGCTTGGAACTTACATCATGGTGTTGACGTGTTTTCGATTTTAGCCACCCGTGCTATGTACACTCACAGCTAAGACGGCTCGTTGCAAGTCTGGAAACAACTAGCTGTACATCGTACATAGCCGCGGCGCAGGAGCAGTGTTGTTCGAACTGCAGGTGCTGCCGGGCCAACCGGATGGCAATTGTGAACACCTCCGTGAGGTACGCAGCTGACTTCGGATCCTTTACTTAAGACGTATGTGTACATCCAGATATACCGAGAATACGCGCCACACTTTGGCATAAGCGGCGATGCCAGAGGCGTCTTTGATACGGGCGTGTGTTTGTGAAGAGGACTTATAAAAGATAAGCAACAACGCACTTCGCAAAGATATCTAACACTTTCTCCCCATTGTTGAGCAGGTTCGCAACGCGCGTTAATGCGAAGATGTTTGGAGCTGCTTCGCGCAGATTGAAATGTCAGACCCGCCTCCAGCGAGCCCCACAGCACGCTTCCTAAGTGAATTTCCGGCAGATAATCCGAACACATCGATATGGTGAACTGTGTGCATTGAACCATATAAAAAGTATTTAGAGACGCATCGATACAGCATATAGACATGGGAGAAAGCAGGTCAGAAGGCAGTCAAGCATGTCGATAGTACTTGGCACTGCCAGTGGTTGAAGGAAACACTTTTGTGCTGTCTCTCTTTCGGGCGTTGCCGGTGGTGAAATTTCTCGAATCTCCATCACGCTTAGCGATTTCAGTGACCACAGTCGTATCCATTTGTATCCTCACTGTTCCGTTTCTCCGTGTGTTGCTCCTGTGGAGGCACATGAATGTCTATTCGCCTCCTACAAAGTCATACTGTAACTTCTGGGAAAGAAATGATCAGCGCGTCTCTTCGATAATTTGACCCTGAACTCGCTTCCCACAGGCAGCGCCCTTTCGCCACTTTCATAAATAGTTCTTCCTCGAATTGGAGAGCCCCGGTGATGTCCTGTCTACATGACACATTTCACTATCAGACTTCCACGTTGTATTGACACATACAGGTGCGACGACGACCATCATAACCCCCGAACCCTTGCGCAACCGATTATCGAGGCACGAACATCCAGCGCTAGCCCCAGAACTCGCAATTACCTTGGCCACGTGCCAGTTTTTGAGCACCTGTTGAGTTGCCCTGGACATGCCTGTGATCACAGAGGCAGAGACGGAAGATCGAAGGTGGTGGACTATCGAAAGGCATCGCCCTACTTCGAACCCTACACAGTTAATTATTACAGTGGCCTCCAGGCACGAGCGCTCAGCGCTTACCTCGGAACTTGCCTGGGTCATGCGCCAGTTTTCAGCGCCCGTCGAGCTACCCTGGACATGCCTGTGATCGCGGGGGCAGAGATAGAAGGTAGAAGCGCAGGTGATAGACCATCGAAATGGCATAGCCCTTATTCGGTGCTATGGAAAGCGATTATGGTAAGTGTAATTCCCTGTCTGTACTGTTTGGTTGGTTTGATTATAGTGGCCTCGAGGTACGAGCGCTTAGTGCTCGCTCTTAAACATGGCATGACATGCAAAGTAAAGAGGTGAATAGTCAGCCATACGAGGGTGAGAGTGCACAACAAGAAAGGGGAACATTATAACATGGACAACGAGTACAATATGCAGTACAGTGGTATGTTTTTTGTGCATTATGTCACTCAGCAGGTTTCTGAGGTCTCGCCATTACGTTTGATGGCCGTGACTCTCGGAGGAAAGTTCGAGTTGGAACTTGGAACTTGGAACTTGGAAGGTTATTGCTGAACTTTGTTTCGAACTCCCCATGGCCCCTAGAATCTGGAACAGAATTGATACAGGCGGCTATATCCCTTATTAATGAAAGAAGATAACTCGTGTATGTCTCAACTTCACAAATGACACTCCTGCGCTGCGCTGTCCTCTTATTCATTCCGTTTGTTTGCGCGTCACTCCCGGGTCTCAATGATACCAGTGTCATCCACACACTCGATGTCAGCTATGATCCATCCAGTAATAACACCAGAACTTTGTGGGACATTATCTTGAGCTGTGGTTTAACTTTGTTTGCAAGCACATGGACTGCAGTTCATACGAACATTCCGGGCATGGACGAGGGCAGAGTTGATACCACCTCTCGTCGTCTGTTCCTCATGGTCGTAGCGTTGGTCGCACCAGAACTCATCATCACCTGGGCCACACGGCAGTATTTCAGTGCCCATGCAGCTACAAAGGAGTTCAATGATGCCTTTGGCCCACGACTTCCCCAGGACCACGACGACAGTCAAGATATATCACAGAACGTCGTTAAATCGCCTCGTGACACTACAGAAACAAGTGGTAGTCCTAGCGCTCCCAAACTTGCAGGTTTTAGAGGTCAGACACATGATTGGACTGTTTGGTCAGGCAGGACTAACATACAACTATTGCCTTCACAGCATGGACAGTGACGCACGGGTTCTTCGTGTGGATGGGTGGATTTATGCTCTATGTTGATGGCAAGCCGCGAGCCACTCTTACTCCCGAGGAACTCCTGCGGTTTATTGGTGATGGATCCGTAGACATACCTATTATCTCGGAGGCAGAGATAGAAGATCGAAGCAAGGGTGATGGACTATCCAAAGGCATCGCCCTTCTTCAGCTGGTCTGGTTCGTCATCCAGCTCGTCGCTCGTTACCTCCAGAACCTTCCGATAACATTGCTTGAAATCGACACTCTGGCTGTAGCTGCTCTGACCTGCATTGCCTACAGCTTGTGGTGGAGAAAACCCAAGGATGTGCGATGTCCTCATGCTCTTCATTGGAAGGACAAGACGCCGCCACCACCGGCACGCCGCTTGACCTATGAGTATGTCGTCAATATTCTCGCCCGACATCCCTCTGATTCGTCTGCATTCTAGGACTGCAAATGTGGATCTCTCATGGTATCACATTACAGTTTATGTCTATCCCTTCTTCAGTCTCATGGGCTTCGCAGCCAATATTTCCTCCCGTGCTGCCCGTTCTCGTCGTGTCCCATCTCTAGGTGGCTACGGTAGGTATCATGATATGATCGTACTTCTCATTGGATGTTTTAGTGGCATGATGTTTGGGGGGATACATTGTCTGGGCTGGAATTACTTATTTCAGATACATGCAGAACATATGTCATGGCGTGCAGCTTCCCTTGGGATAGCGGGTGCGCCGGTACTTCTTTTTCTTGATATTGGGTATCCCATGTGGGTGGATGGTGTGGTTGATTATCGCGCATACATCGTGGTTTTCGTTGCACTCATCAGCTCGATCATATATATTACTGCACGCGTTACACTCATTGTACTTATGATGCTGAGCTTACGGTCACTGCCTCCTGGTGTGTACGACGTAGTAGCTTGGACCACGTTTATTCCGCATCTCAATATGTAATTTCATCATAACAGAGTACTGGTTCTTCTGGGATCGCTGTTAGAATCGGAGGTGCGAGTGCCAATAAGTTCGAATATAACAGACCACCGTCCCACTTGCATACCACATGGGCAACGTTTGATGAACTACTGGAAGGCTACTGAGTATCCGTGTATGATCAACCTTGCTCCTCCCTTGTCCAAAGCATGAGGGCATTTTATAGCAACTCTAGGCCAATTCCCCGTACATGAGGATACTATCCCAAACTCAGATCGTCGGCGCTGCTTCTGTGTCAAGGCGATCACGAGCCGCAGAAGATCTCAAAGATTTGAGATGCAAGTTGACCTGGATCCACGAACTCCTGATGTCGTCGACTTGGTCGATACACGGGAGCATGGTGAAAATGATGCGAGCGACGGTTCTAGCATCTCCTAAGATAGAGGTGCCCACCCTCAGTCTTTTCAGGGAGGTATGTTGAAACGACTCGGTTGTGGGATCGATATCGATATCCCAAGTGTCGATCATTACTTGCAGAGTATTCAAGTGGGGGCAGAAACGAAGCGCTGCGAATATGGCGCGGAATGTCACAGTAGGTTGTCGGAGACCCGCGTGACCCACAAGCACCAACGAGCGGAGGTGCGGCCAACTTGACATGGCTTCCACAAGAAGGTCATTGTCGAAGTAAATGGAGTGATGAATCTGGAGGTGCAGGGTTTGCAGCTGCGTGAAACACAGAAGCTGTCTGATTACCGTCAAAGACATGCCCAGCTGCTCGTCACCCGTGTTGGAGCCAATTCTAATGTCTTTGAGGGTCTGGCATGCTTTGCACTGTGACAGTGCACGGAAAAACCGCTCGGCCTCTGCCCTGGTCAAACTGCGGACAGACATTGTGAAGCTTTGTAGCGAGGGGAATTCTGAGTGCTGTATGATTGTTGTAATCTCCGCGGCAGTGTATGATTTCAAAAACTTAAGAGCCGTGAGCTTGAGGAAAGGGGCGAACTTGAAACTATCACGTTTCAACAGGGAAGGGAATTCTCCCTTAATAGTTACTGTGAGAAGGGTAGGGATGTTGGAGAGGTGCTTCCATGCTGCCCAGTCGAGAGGTGCACACGACAGATTTACGAGCCGCTTGCACGAACGGACGGCATTAGACGCCACGGAGAGCTGATCTGCTGTGTTGCAAAAATGCATAATGATAGACAAATCCTCCAAGGCAGCACAACGGGCTACGATAGATTTCATATCCGAACAAAGGATTGATATCGACAAATGGCGCAGCGCAGGGGAAAGGAGGGATTGAACAGCGGAGATGGACATGGCAAATAGCTTGCTCATCTTGTGTAGGTTCCTGTAGTAGTATTGCTCTTGTTATCACAGGTGTGACTGGTACATTTTCAGTATATGATACATTGGCGTTACAAGCGATGTTGGACTAATATTACAAACATAGCACTATACTTCTCGGTAAGTTAGTTTCATGGGAATTCAGTCAACAGTGTTCAGCGCACCTTGGCATTTGACCACCCCAAGCGCTGGTAAATAAAAACTCAAATCCTCGGTCTCAACTTTGTGGGCAACCTTTCAATGCATGGACGAATGCGCTTCATGGTCTCGACTTGATCGTACACCACCTTGGCGCATTGGCATCGATAGCTCCAGCATTTATTTGCAACTTCCCAATTCTGATCATCCAAGTTCCGCACGATAGGTTTCTTGTCCATCTCCATATACACAGCAAGCTTCAGCGCATACCATCCGCGATGGTCTGTGCTCCGGCTACACGAACATTTATCCGCGTTGTTTCCACTAGTAAACTGCACTTCGTGATCAATAGCATGTAGAAATGCGTCTCTCCGCTCTCGCCGCAGGTCTATGAGTCGGAGAAGATCATCGGAAGGTATGCGCTTGAGAATTGGAATGTACTGCTGATGGTGGATGGCGATGGCGAAGCACCCTTCTGCTGCAGGTTGGAGCGCTTCTTCCCATTGATACCGCGCAGCGATGGCATATACTCGTAAGGGATCTTCCATGAAGCGAGGCGCTGTGATGGCAGAGCGTATGGTAGATATGGGTCCTGGCATATCATATTTCTCGGCGGCGTGAAGCACATGCTCAAGTTTATCCAAGGAGTCCCATTGAGGAACTTCCATTCCGCTTATCATAGCGAAAAGCCTTTTGAGCACGTCGTCGTTCTCTCCCAATCCGATTGGACTGGCCTCGGATGACGAATCAGGGCTAGAGCCACTGCCACCAACCAAGGAGAGCATGGGTTGAAAGAACCCTGACGTAGTCCGCAACACGAATGAATGCATCCGATAGTGTGTTCCTTCACTGGATCGGAATACTATGTCTGCGTCTGGGGAGCTGAAGAGTGGATGGTAGTCGAGTTGAACTGGAATAGAGGACATTTTGGAGTACGGAGCAGGAATGAGAAGGGTATGAGTTCGAAGGGGAGTTACGATTTACGATAGAGATTCAATGAGAATGCTGATCAGCGGGACCTGCTGTTAGCGGGGAAATACTGGATACGTGCCACACTAAATATGTTTGTGAGAGGCTCGACTAGGCCAAAATGAATGCAGCGTGTTCGTGCAATGAGGCATGGCTTATGGTGATAGTGAAACTGTGAAACGTTAGCTACCGAGAAACGTAAAGGAGCATACTTCCATCAATTATCGAACTGGGACACGAGCTGGCACGAGGCGTAAATCGGAAATGGGAATTATACAAGCCTTATGTACAACGAACGCTATACTCTAAGATGAAGGTCAGTTTCATGCCTGGTCCAGTGTTTGACGACTAACCAGGATAAAATATTGTTGGTGACCGCTGCTGAGACTGCAATCAATCTGACTTTGGTAATCCTGATTAGATTGATTCCCGCCGCACTCCTTGATGAAATTACCTGACAACTGTTAAGCAAATTCAGGGTATCTAGCTAGGGTGTTGGATGTTTGAATCTGACTGATTTTTGTGGATGCGTGACGTGACCAAGCGCGCTCTAGAAATATTAGTGCGGAAGCAATACCACTCTTAATTACATCACTCATGTTTCGAGTCTTCCGACTCATTGGCTACATTTGTGCCCCTAATCAATTTCGCGGTCGATACTCTCTTCTGGCGATGTGGTTGAACAAACCTATACTCGATATGTTTGCTGAAATTCCGGCTGATACAACCATCCCAAACGAGTACTATGGAGTTTACAACTGGGTTCTTCGGGGAGCATTTGGTCATGTGTATACAGTCCATCCTTTCTATGAACTCCCAGAGTGTTACAAGGATCCCAGCCTCCTTCCAGAGGGCAAGACTGCCTATGACTTCTCCGTCACCTACGCCATTACTCTTCAAAACAACCCTCTCCTCTTTCTCGAAATAAAACCTCCTGGTCATCTCAATGACCTCTCGGCTAGGTTTGCTGCAGACAAGCAGATGAGGGAAAGATTTCATAGCCTTAGACCCATAACCACGACACCCAGACTCCACGGTATCAGTGTCATGGGACAGAGGCTTGCCTTCTATCACATGGACAAATCCAGTGGCTGTATATTCCCCAAACTTCCAACTTCAGGAGACGTTCCGATCGATTGGTGGAAGATGGACATCACGACAAAAGCTGGAAATCGAGAGTTCAACACTGTCGCGCGTGATGTCAAAAACATGACAGAAGAAACTGCAACGTAAGAACGTTTGAACCATTGTTTGCTACTTAGCATTCCTAACCCATTTTGATTGATCTAGGGCCCTCAGGCGTCGGCACGACCCTGATTATGACGATGGTCTGTTCGTGACGTTGCGAAAATTCTTGTGGCTGCTTTACTCTAACTCGGGGAGACTATAATTCATGTTCTGATGATAGGAAAAGAGATTGGAGCACATACTGGCCTGTATTTTAATCACGCCTTTGATCACGGTAGTCACTAGGCTAGGCTTTCACAATCATAATTATGTCGAGAAAGAGCTCTGCTTGCAAAGCTACGACATATGCTTATCGAACTGGGGCGCGAGGCGTAAATCGGAAATAGGAATTATATAAGCCTTATATTAGGAACGCTATAGAGCCGCCTCTAAGGTGATGTTTCTTTTTCATCGCCGGGCTGCGTTTACTCCTAAACATAAATACCGGTCCAACCACCCATGAATCGTTCGCGTTGCTAAACAGCGTCCTCTATAAAAATAGGTTCCACATCCTTCCAGGGCTGTCCACCCCCCATCTTCCACACCTTCTCCCTCTCTATCCAATACTCCAATCTATCATTAGCCCTCGACGGCGCCCACACCCTCTCCCCAGTATCCCCATCTGTTTCCGCCCTAAACCACCTGGGTCGATGCGGTGGCATCCGCCCCTCCTCCCTCGCACGCCGCGTCGCCCGCTGCCGCTCCTCCTGCTTCATCTTCAACCCATTCGCAAATTCATACTTCCCCATCTCAAACGCCCGCTGATCAGGTCGCAGCCTGCAGTCCGTCGGGCACAAGTACGACCTTAGCGTATCGTCGGGGCAATCATTCAACGTGATTGCGAATGGTGTGAGGTTGAAAGGTGCGGTAGGCTTTTCGGAGTTACGCCAGAGGAGGATGTACTCTGCGGTGTAGTTTGGCGAGGAGGGCCCACTTACGGCGGCGTCGGGATGTAGGAATCCGCTGCCTGTACCGACGGGGCGGCAGATGAGCTGGCTGTTCCACCGTCCAGCCACCTCGTGAGTCACTTCTCCGTCTGCGTCTCGCACGAAGCCAGATATTTCGTATGCATCTTTTCCCCGCCATCCTCTTGGCTTGAATGTCAGCACACATTGGTCACCAGTGCGGTGGTTCGTAACCTGTAGTAACGTGGTTTCGTGTCCAGTACTCAAGGAGCAAAAACCGGATCACTCACGATCATGTCACCATAGTGGTCGATAGTGGGAGAGCCCAAGATAAACCCAGAGACGTTGGTAGTGACCTTCTTCCATGAAAAGTGCTCTACAACCTTGCCCTGGATGCCGTCAGCAGTACACTTGGGGTAGTCGGGCGCCCACTCTTCAGGAAGAAGAAGTTCAGCATGCGCAACACCAGTCGGTCGAATCTCAAATGATTTTCCCATAAATTTATTTTGTGCGTCAACCTGAGTCAGATAGATGTTAGCGAACAGATCATGGGATATACTAAACTCATCGAACCTCTCCGTAATAGTGCCAATACGGCGATTCTGCCCAACAAGCGGAGATGGGGGGATGATGGCTGACTTGTTCAGATACGTAGCGATACTCCTTGTCAAGTCTAACATATTCGAATGTTTCGCCCTGGATGGGTTGAGCATCTGCTTACAATGGGACGCATGAACGGTACTTACGAGCATAGGATTAAATGGTTTTGCTATACGGCCGATGGTTGACGAATAATTTGACATCGCAAATGCGCCCACAAATGCTAATCGGCGGTGCGGGTCTCGCTCGCGAGCAGCGACATCGACTATCAACCGGTGAGACCACAACCAGCGATCACATAGATGAGACACTCACGACACTCCGAGAATTCCATGTCTTCCGCCTTCGTTGAATATAAGATAGTGTGCACATCCATTAACCAAAGAAAACTTACCATCCGCTGTAACATACTTGTCGGCTCATTAAACATGACGGGGAAACTAATCCTCGTCAAATCCTTTCCAATACTATGCTTCAGCACAGACCACAGACTCGTGCTCGGCCTGTTATCCGATCCGATGGGTAACCGCGTCCTCAAATCTTGATACCCCGTGAAATATTCGGCGTTCATGAAGGACAGCGCAGGTACCGCATGCGTCGGGCTCGACAGCAATTCACTGACGACAAGATTGGGGAGTGCGTTGGCCTCGATGGCATCATAGAATTCGTCCTCCTCGTCCGTATCGATCACGTCTTCATCCTCCTGATCGTGCCGCGGCATACGCTGTGCAGTCGGTGTAGCCCCTGGACTTGCGGGAGGCGATGGCGCAGTCGACGTGGATGGGCCGTTGACTTCCTCAGGCGGGGAGACGATAGTAATGGGTCCGGGGCGCACCACGGGCGAGAAATAAGAGTGCTCTTCAATAACAGGAGATACAAGCGCCATGGTCGCAGGGCGCTGTCGGAGCGTTCCGACACCTCCATCGTTCACACCGGCATCGAAGAATCTGCTACCTCGTTTCCGGGACCGCATGCGCAGCTCTCGTTCCAGAACCTCGCCCTCTCGCACGACAGTCTGTAGGCTTTCTTCCCACACAGTCTGCCTCTCACGCTCGCGCTGTAGTTGGGATTTCCACCACTCCTCACGGTCCTTGGCCATCTGGATATACTCGTCTATCATTGTTTGTACGATTGCAAAGGATTCTTTGAGCGCTGTACGGAGTTCTTGCGTCCTGAGCGCTGCGTCCGGCGGTAGTGCGAGGTTGGACAGAAGCTGACCAGTGAGTTCCATCTGTGCTGCGGTCGAGTTCCCTTGGAGGTCGAAAGTCCCGTTATGAGGAGGCGACTGTGTGAGGACCGACGCTGAAGAATTATCATTGTGCTCTTCATTATCTGAGGTAGAACGGCTTTTATCCGCCTTGCTAGTCTCAAGAGGTGGCCCATCCTCCATACTCTCATCCGCTATACCCATGAGGGAGCCCTGTGAACCGCCGCGGGTACCCATATCCGTTCGCCGCGCTGACATTACCGACTGGAAGCTCGTGCGCAAACTCTTTGGCTTCAAAGCGCTCAGCTCGCTCTCAGCGCTCTTCCGCGGTACTTGCTCATCGCGCCGCGCCCATTGAATGCCCTTCTCAAGCGCCTGTGTCCACCCGGCGGCCTCAACGTGATGATTAGCACGCATGTACCATTTTTGCCCAGTGGTGTGTCCTCGAGACGGGGTCGAGTGGACCTCGAACCGCGTCTTGTCACCGCCCGGCGAGATTTTGAGGATGGCAGTTTTCATGGCGATGGCACCGCGGCTGGCGATGTCTTCGTCTTCTTGATGCCGATAATCTGTACAAAGTTGAGTGCCTTATAAATAAATATGGAGGGTGAGAGGTAACGGACATGAGAATACACCATCTTTTAAAACAAACCACCTGGTATTATAGCCCTTGGCAACGTTGGTGTACTTATTGAGATAACCCTTCATGACTGGAGGTTCCGAAGACGGAACCTCAATGAGAGAGGTATCGTGGTTTGCGACTGTCGTTGTATTGAGCGCAGTGAGTAGGAGAGCGTGCGATGAGAACGTACATTGTCGCAAAAATACCCGTACGTGATCATCTTTTCCTGTACCCTCGTACGCCATTTTCCCCCTGCGGTCTCGCACAAAAACGCTCGCGCCTGCTCGCACAGCTAGTTCAATGAGGCGCAGGTTTTTGCGCCTGGCTGCCTCGTGCAGTAGAGAAGTGCCAGACGCATCGTCCAGGTAAGACAAATCGACTCCACGTGCCCGTGGAGACTCAAGTAGAGCCACCAATGCTGCATTCGGGGATGCATCCAAGGGGGATAGAATATACGAGCGCAGAAGGGACCTGTATGAGGCGTTCAAAAAGGAACGCGAATCTAGGAGTGGCGTTGGTGAAGAGGGACAGAAACAGAGAAGGAATACGCACCTTGCAGGGTTTGGATAACTTCTTTTGCCTTTGCTACATCTTTGCATGTCTTTCCGTTGTTATCACGAAGGGTGTCGTCAATGCCAGCCTGGTCGAGCAACACGCCTACGATGTCTGCACGACCGAGGGATGCTGCAAGATGGAGTGGGGTGGTCCCAGAGCCTGGCGGGTGTACACCATTGGGCGATATGGCTCTGTGAGATAGGAGTAGCTGCACAGTATCGACTTCGGGTGCGGGTGAGGGAAGGTGGGAGTAGCAAGAGAAATCGGTGACATACCGGAAGCGCAGCGAATAGCGAGGTGAAGGGCAGCAGCGCCAGTGTTGATGTCTCCGTCGACCGACTTTCGTCTTTCCTTGCCAATTTCAGTGAGAAAGGGATGTATGAGAGCGGGGTCGCCTGGGGATACATCGATGAGGGTTTGACATGAGGTGGAAGCAGAGAGAGGTAGTTTCTTACCACTCCGAAGCGCAGACAGCAGTTTGACTTGGTGAAGGGGTTCTGTGGCATCTGCTGTTCATAAATGACCGAATACAAGGCCAAGAAACAGGCGAATTCAGTGCTCACCGGACCTGAGACTGCGAATCGAGAAGGAGGAGCTCATCATGCGTCCACCGCAATTCTGCGCCTACAAATTCAAAATCTAGAGTAGTTTGGTGCAAACAGTCCTTGCGTGAAATGAAGGGGGAAGCGGTTAGGAAAGCGAGTTATGCATATGCAAGAAAGCCACCAAGTTGCCAGCCTGCCGCGCTGCTCTTGATGCAATTTCGGAAGCACCGAGTCACGTGTCACCCCCATGTTCCTGGTGCCCCTGCGGTTTGCTAGCGTGCTGGCAGTGGTGCCACGTACGTTGTATTTCAGCATTCAGCGCTCAGCACTGACCGTGATGCTAAAAAGAATATGCTAGCACTCGCGTTCGTCTTTTCCACATCCGAGGAGCGCCCATGGGATGTCAGAATGCATTTCCCGACAATGTCAATCCTTGGCAGTTGGGCCCAAGCAGGCGCCAGGCGCATGATCAAGCTATTCCCATGATCATTTCGAAAATTCGCAGGCGCTATCGCTGTCTAACAGGCAAAATTTCCCGGCTCTCCTTCTGTACTACTTCACGCCATAATAATCACTGGCAGCAACGGTTCTCTTCTCCCGGCAAGGAGACTTCACACTTCAACGAGAGCTAAATCACCATGTTGCATTATCTAGTGACCCTTATGATTGTAAAGACCAAGTCACGATCTTCTTTCAACATCGCAATTGGCCAGGACCCAGTTGCCAGCGGCCATATAAAACTCGCCGAGTGCTTCGTTGATCCGGCACAAGTTCTCATTTGCATATGGAATTTATGGTACAATTGAACTGTGCGTGGCCCTCTGCTTTATGTTTCAGGTTTCTGAATGTTACTCTCTCAAAGGTGACATTAGCAGGTAGAAGCTAGCCTGTAGTGTTAAAACACGCCAAAAATCAGCACTGCAAGCACATAGGTGAGTATCGCAGCAGCACACCGCAGCACCCTCTTTCCTTTTAGGGGGAGTGCTGCGACAATGGTGCTGCGGTACGCTGCGGCGTGCTGCAATTAGTGCTGCGACGCTAGCTTACTTGCTCAAAAATGTCAGAACTCAGGTTGTATAATACATGGTACATATCCTTCAGGCCCATTTTTTCGCATCATGTTGCAGACTCGAACTCACATTGTAATAGACTTGTACTTTTCAGTGGTGGATTTTCGTATGCTTAGAACATCGCGGCAATTACGCACTAGTCGCAGCAGTGGCGCAGCATTATGTAATGCTGCGTCTAGTTCGACGGTGGTTTGACGGATCGCCAGTGGAAGAGATATGAGTGAGGGGGATGCATTCACTGGGGGTACAGAAGGTAAGGTGTGGTTTTTATATGTAAGTGAGTGGCAGTACAAGGTTAGTACTTCGGAACGGTAAAGGGGAACTTCGTAGCCGGTAGTACAAAGGGAATTCCATAGCTAAAGGAATGACATTCCTTACAATTATCAAGCTGCCCGGCGAGATCGGGTGGAATATGCAATTCGGGCAATCATTTTCTTCACCGTACCGTACTTCTGTGCGAGTTTCATAGCATCTCGCAAGATGAGTCAGTAGTGCGACGACAATAGTAGCACTTTGTACTATAAGGTGCAGAAGACGAGAAGGTACATATGGTGTCGAAGGTGATGAAGATAACGAGATAGCGCAAGAAAGGTAAAGAACACCTCCGCTAATATTTTCACAGCGACCGCTGAGCGCTCGTCCGGGCATGCGCATAATCATACTTACCTTGACAAGGTAAATTTCGTGGTTTAAATCGACTTATTCCCATGACTATTTTCGCAAGCTAAGTCACTATCTCTGTTCAACAATGAAAATCTATCTGCTTTTGATAACAGGGTCTATATAAAGCGCAATTTCAAAAGTGAGTCCCTACCCTCCCGTTCATCTACCTCACGCCATAGCAATGAGCGATAGCTTCTCTTCTCCAGACAACTTGAAGGAGAAAGGTTTTCAGGTTGATATTGGTTCAGCGGAGCACGCTAGCCGCAATGGCAGCCATACGCCAACACCGGACTTCACACTTCATCGACAGCTTAAAAATCGCCATGTTGCAATGATAAGGTGCTTTTCTGTCGACCTTTCAGATTGTAACGACAGAGTCACACCCCTCTTCTAGCATTGGCGGCGTGATTGGCACAGGACTATTCCTCGGAACTGCATCAGCACTCATGAATGGCGGTCCTGTAGGCCTTTTATTAGGCTACATGTTCGTTGGCTCTATATGTTACTGCGTGATGGTCAGTCAAGTGTATAATCTCTGACCTTCATTTGTCATTGTTTTGTCTGTAGATCACAATCGGAGAGATGATCGCCTACCTCCCAGTTGCCGGTGGCCACATCAAACTTGCCGAGCGCTTCGTTGATCCTGCATTCTCATTTGCATTGGGATGGAATTTATGGTACAATTGGACGGTAATGTGACCCTCTGCTTTATGTGACAAGTTTCTGAACATCGCTCTCCCACAGGTGACATTACCAGGTACAAATTTCAAATAGTCTCGCAACGAATGCCGCTCAATATATCCAAGCCGAGTTATCCGCGGCCGCTACCATCATAAATTTCTGGCATCCTGGTGTCAACAATGCGGTATGGATAACAATGTGTCTCGTTGTCGCCGTCGGGATCAACATGAGCGGCGTTGGTAAATGCTCACGTGATTAGCCTCCTCTTTCTGGCTCAATTTCTGCTGCAGGTGTGTATGGTGAAGCCGAATTCATATTCGCGTAGGGCTAGCTTCCTTTGAAGTCCTTTTCTTGACCTGACGCTAAGGACAAACTAGCTCCATCAAGGTTGTTACGATTGTCGGTCTCATCATCTTGGGGATTGTCCTTGACCTTGGTGGCGGCCCAAGCCATGATCGTATCGGATTCCGCTACTGGAAGGACCCTGGCCCGTTTGTCCAATATGATGGCATAAGTGGCATGACAGGTCGATTCCTTGGCTGGTCTCGTGTAGTGACTCAAGCCGCGTTTGCATATGTTGGGTCAGAAGTCGTGGCTGTGAGTTGTAACGTCTTTGCTTGGACCCTTTGAGGTTGAAACACTCCAGATGGCGGCGGCAGAAGCAAAGAATCCGCGGAGGAATCTCCCAAAAGCTATCCGCCGTGTTTATATCCGACTCCTGCTATTTTATATCGGCGGCGTCTTCGTTATCGGTCTGCTGGTACCTTCGAACAACCCCTTGCTGAATGTAAACTCTAATAATGCTTCTGCGTCTCCGTTTGTAATTGCAATCAACCAAGCCGGCATCAAAGGATTACCCTCTGTAAGTATTTTGTTATGAAATAATGTGCTTCTCATGCCCCTGTAGGTGATCAACGCCGCCTTACTGACATCAGCCTGGTCCGCCGCTTCCAGTGACCTTTATATTGCCTCCAGAGGCTTATGTGGGCTTCTATCTAGATTTTATATGACTGCGTTTAATCCAATCTGCTTGCAGATGGTCTCGCTGCCTCTGGGAATGCCCCAAAAATATTCCTCCATACCTCGCGGTCCGGCCTTCCCTATGTTGCAGTAGCCACATGCGCTTGTTTTGCCCTCCTTTCCTACATGGCGGTCAACACGAGCTCTGGACTGGTCTTCACGTGGTTCTCTAGCATGTGTGCCACCGCGGGCCTCACGACCTGGTTCGGCATCGGTGTCGTCTATCTGCGCTTCCGCAAAGGCTTCCTCGCACAGGGACACAAGACGCTCGAGCTCCCGTACTCCTCTCGGCTCCAGCCCTTTGCCGCCTGGTGGGTTGTCGGCGCATCATTTGTGACGCTGTTGGTGAGTTCACCTTCCGTATATGCGATTCAAGGAAGCGGCAGAGTGATTCTTGTGCTGGTGCCCTCCAGTTCAGTGCATGGGAGGTCTTCCTGAGAGATAACTGGTCAACAGCAACGTTCATAACCAATTATCTGCCCATGATGCTTTTCCCCGTTTTATACGGTGTCGCCAAGATCTCGACGCGAGCTCCTCTCGTCAAGCCAAGCGAGATGGACTTCCACTCTGACATCGCAGAAATTGAGGCGATGACGTAGGTTTATTTGATTGTGAAGTATGAGCCAGGCTGAGATGTTCATGTCACAGGCATGCAGACGTGCCCCCGAGGAATATCGTGGAGGCATTTTGGATGTGGCTTGTGAGTTTTCTTTTTGGGATGATATTTACTGGCTGCTTTGCTCATTCTTTCGACAAGATGTGATGATTGCGTTCCGCGTTATCTGATTTGACAAGGTCACTAGAACTGATCATTATGGCTGAAGGGAACCAAGTTGTGTACACATGGGTATTTATGGATGAATCTGATATCTACTAATGAGTGATCATCGGAGGCGCCGTATACACTTTAACTCGCACAACTGGTACTACAACATTCCTTTCCACCATTGCTCCGTCTCCCGATCCATCATTGCCAACCTTTCATCTTCAGTTCTCAAATGTTCTGATGGATGTGTCACAAGCAAGTTCTCGTCAAATTCTCGCAACAACCGGACTCCGTCTCGGCCCCGAGCTCGCGATAGTGCGACATAGACATTGAATGCAGTAAGCCCCGTAGTAGGTGGTGTCGCAATGTCTATAATGGCGTTATTGATGGTCTGATCTTGTAACCGATAGTCAGCGAACGAGTGTGCTGATGTGAGAGGCAGCTGCTGTCTTGTTATGGATATCGGGTGATTCTCATGGATAATGGTAAACGTGCACTCCATTGGAACTAATGGTAATATATTCTTCTCTAGACTGTCTTTCGCTTCGAGAACCACTGACGATGTCTAGGTCAGTTTTCACGTTGAAATTCACCATGACATTCCTATTGTTAATTCCATTCTATTCAGCAGCGCAGCCCTTTCATCTTGCTTTCCGCCATGCTTCCTCTTGGGCTTCGTAGCTACTGCAAAGCGCTCTGACAGCGTTAGAGGCTAGTTTTGGGATGTGCCATATGCTGGGCACATCAACAATTGAGTCGTTTCTTCGGCACTACAACTGCATTCCAATGTTGATGGACAGAGTGACAAGGCGTCACCAGTACGGCTTACTTCCAATGCGGTACCGTAAAAATCAACAGACGAGCGGTCTAAATTGGCAATCGTAGGAATTTGATGTGATATGTATGGCAGCTACCATCTCGAACGTGCTGCAGCAAGTCTAACCAATCTGGATCAGTGACTCTTTGTCCTTGAAAGGTTTACAAGGCCAGAATAGCACTGGTGTGTTTTTACCACCAGCAATAGGCGGTCAATGGTGGAAATCACCTACAATTATGACATTGACTGCTCCGCTTCAAGGGCTTGTTGGTATTCTTTTTGCCGGCTAGTATGGTGGATCTTTGGTGACGGTTCGATTTGCCGTCATGCCGCGTACCTTTTTCATAGTCCGCTGTATTTATTGTTGTATATACACACACCTAACATATGTCACTTGTTTGTTGCCGAAACCTTCGTGCTCGCTGTGGGCAGCAGCGAGCTCAACCACTGCAGCAATTCATCACTTCGTGCTACTCATTGTCCAGCGTGACTTGATACTACGGTACCAGTCGAATTCTGTTGTGTCCGACGGCAGTATTCACATCCATTTCTAGCCACATAACTCGCATTTCGAGAAGGACTCGGATGGGGGTATGGGCTGTACAGTGTATGTAGCAGGCAGTCATAAACAGTACGTGAACTCCACCGTCTATCCAGGATGTACGCGCATGCCCTATCTGCGACTGAAGAATACATCTACTAATGGTTAAACAACTCAAGGTCAATTATTCCACAACGCCGTCACAGTTTACCCCCGCGACCACCGTCCTGGCTTCTAGTATGCTCTAGTGGCGAGGTCATGCAGGCATAGGGTCAGGCCTACTGAGTTTCCATATGCATATAGTCGGTGAGAGCGTCTGCGCATCCCTGTAAATCTGAAAATTGGGTGAATACATCACCGCCATAGATCGAAGTTCACTGACACGTACTACCAGAAGGACTCGTGGTGGAGCGCGTTTGGCGCATTATTTGATGCCTTCAAGTCAATTATGTCACGGAGCGCAGCATCTGCTTCGTGATGCAAGCACATCCAGATTGCTTGGCTGTCCCCTATACACTACCTGTGGATAAAAGCCAGCATATTAGTTTGTGACTCAGAAATCACTATCAAGTTACAGCCATGAAATCCACCCCACCCATCCCCGCCGCAGCGATGGCTGGCATAGCCATCGCATCCGAGGATCTGACGGTTTTGCCCTTGAACCTACCCTGCCACACAACTGGTGAGCGCTTTTGTTGCCTACGTGCAGACCTTTGACCACGTGCTACAATATCTGCGGAGGCACCGTGCCGAATGAGCTCCCTGTGGTATGTACGATTTGATGCCACGGTCGTTGGAATATGGATACAGGTAGGCACAATAGCGTGGCCATGTCACTTACGAATCGCGATACAGTCGTAGTACGGTGTCGACGGAGGAGGTGACATGTTGCCCCATTCGGATCCTCTGCTCGACCGGCATCTTCTGCACAGCATCTATAGCATGGTTGAGTGCCGCGGCCGCCTCTGTACAGTGCACTGTGCATGCCACCAGCCTTCTTGAAATCCTTGAACAGAAAGCTCCACCCATAGCACGCCAATAAGGCCCATACATCAAGCTGCGAGGTTGATGTGTTTAGTTGATGTGTCTTCTCATCGCCGTCGGCGGTACAACACGCTGATAAGAATGTTGAATTTGGCGTGCGGAGCATAGCGTCTCCTCAGTTCACCAATCCTGAGTCGCACTAAGTTAACCTTCAAGCACACTACTCATATCCTAACGACGCATGGAAGTCTATGCGACATCGTAGACCACAACGGCATTTTCGATGTCGAATATCGTCAGCCCCACTCATGATGCATGGAGAGCACACGTATTGCGCATCTCGAGAGCCTAAGACAAGTTCGTTCTCGAGTCCACCTGTGGCTTCGTCGCCAGAAATGTTAGTGGAAATGATGTTGAGGGGAACAAGTCTGAGGACAAGCTCGAGGTCACTGTCGACCACATGCTGAGAGATGGTCCACGAATGTATGTGACAACATGGAACTTTTGTCGATAACTACACCACATTTGCCGGGAATAATCATGACTAGCTGTGGTGGTGCTTGCCCAGCTGGTGTCTCTGACAAATGTCAGTCAACCATGTTGTAGCCTCACACCTCTGTACAACGCGTTTCTTACTATGCAGTGCTGTATGAAATCCTTTCCAGAACAAAAACAGCAAACAAGGTCCCTGTCGACGAAGTTAGGCCCCATCTCTAATATATATTGCGCATATTAAAAATGAAAGTCATTAATGTGGATTCGAGTGGCAGAATCCTCCTTGCATAAAGACATGTGGTAGGTCGCGTATCAAGTTCCGTTTTGAAGCATTCCATGATCACCTGCTGCGTCGGCTTCACACAACATCACGTCTATCCCGGCTAAGATACCTTCTCGACCTTGTCACCATTCTTCTGACAGTACTAGAATTCTCGTGTGCTGTGGATTCGAATATATACGTTAATGGGCGCTGCGATAGATCAAGGCAACTAGGATGCGTCTTACATGTGTTGCAGACACTGAATTTTTCAAATCACACTTGCTGGCGCACGAGGGAGCATATCAGCTGGCCAAGGAACGAGGCCGGAGCGATATGCTCCCGTGAGCAGAAGCTTAAAGAATTGTGCAGTCCTACCGAAAACCTCCATGATATGGTCAGTAGTTTTGCCCTCAAGGAGCGAGGCGCGAAAACGACGATATCGCACCTGCGCGGTGTCAAGTTGCAAGGATCGGGTGTGTATTTGTGTGGCAGAGAATGAGCAGCAGCCGCAGGAGATGACGGTAGTATAGTGCAAGAGGCCAGGCTCTGCCGAGCGGAAAGAGCCGTTAGACGCATAAGCACCCTTAGGGCACAAAATGATAGAATAAGACAAATTACGTTCAACGAAATCACAAAAAGACATAAACGGAGTATCTAAGTCCATACTAGTAAATGATGCAAACGGCACGCAAGGCCTGAGACTACTGTTGTGTCGCGCCGAAGAGGCCAGGCAATATACGTAATCGCTAGCGAGGTATTGTGGTGCTTGATCGCCCGTGTGAGCAGCAGTCCACGATAAAAAGGGAGAAGAAGACGGGGAATTGGGAAGGGTAAACGGCCACCGTTACAACGTACGTGTCGGTTATATATTCCAAACGCGCGGAAGAACATCAGAAAGATCATGTGAACTGCATTTTTATGGTCAGTTAAAGCGGGGTAGGGCTGCGCCGCTGGATTGGCACGAATGGGTCACAGAACAACTGTTATGATTCCCAAGAATTCACCATGCAGTATACCTGCAGATGTCCTATAAATCGTGATCGCGTGTGAAAGCCTACAGGAGCATGGGCGCACTAAAGCAGCAGCAGGTGGTTCGTGTCGAGACACAGAAGTAGGAGCCGAGTGATGGGACAACAGGATGAGAAACTAATCCAGCGCGTCACAAATGTCTAGAACAAGTGTTGTATTGCATGATCGTAGCAATAACGCTCAACCACCAGTGGCAGAAGACGCTCCAACCAGGACAGCAGTTGTGCTGGGACGTAACACTTAGACTGTATGGAGGGTGCAGCAGACATATAGTGTGATGGAGATCATAAAATTGCTCCATGCCCGCTCAATGCTGGAAGAAGGGACCACGAAGCTTTGAAGTCAGAAGCAAGGGCCCGTCACGGTGGGCGTCTGTTACTTTGCCACACAGGTCATGCAAATATTATGTAATGACCCGGGAGTGAAACTTGGCAAGTTGGTTGACTTGCTTCCTAGGTCAATCCTAGCTCCGTCACTATTCCGCGCAGGTTCCGTGCGCACTGCGTGCACATGACAAAAGGCCTAGTAGCTAGGGTTCCTCTTCCTCGGGAGCCTTGGGCACCAGTTCGTCGACATGCGTCTTTGTTGGGGATCGCACTCCTACTGTTTGCTTCACTGCACAGTCATAATCAGGATTCTTGCCAGAGGATTCAGACATTGCAGCTAACACTCCGGAAATTACATCGACTATCGCGTTGCAAATGGTTGGCAGGCTGGTCAGGCCCAGGGCCCGAGGTGTTCACATGGCGGCCCAGTATATATGCCACGGACTCCGTAAATAAGACTCCCTCTCCCACACTCCGCGACTGCTTTTCGCAGCTTTTCACCAGTTGCAGTTATACACCTGGGCTGTCCGTGATAGAATATCAAGAATCCTTCTCTGATGGCGCAATTCTCGGATCCGTGTTTCTAGTATTCAGTCGCCAGCACCAGCGTCAACGCCAGCGCCCATTATTACAATTTCCAAACCATCTCATTAACATTCCCTCCGATATTGTCTCCGAATATCACATGTTTGATTCATTGCTCATCCAAAGGTTGGCCTTCCCTTTCCAGTCATCACAACCCAAGCGAATTATCTCAACGCACGCTACATGCACGTTAATATCAATATATATATAAGAAACTTGCTCTCAAGATGGTAATCTGAATCCCTATTCCTATGCATATGGTGGACATACCTTTTGGGACTTTGTTGTGGGTAGCTGCGAGACCTATTCTCCGACTGTGAGTTTCGTTTCATTCCTTTTCGTATTGTTCTGAATGTTTGTCTAGTTTCATGTGCGTCGCTGGTGGGTATGGCATTACAAGGGCTGGTTATTTCCCTGCGATTGCGACTCGTGGAGCTGTTCAAATAGTCTTGGTCAGTATGTCCTATTTCCAGGAAGAATGAAACTGATAGACAGGATTCAGAACGTTACTTTGCCTAGCTTGATTTTCTCGAGGGCTTCATCTGCATTGAATGCAGAGAATGATGTAGCTCTTGGTTCGCCGTTCTCCTGACACGTGTTGCTATCACCCAATTGACGTATATGCACATACACACCAACTCTCTAGGACCGCTGTTCGTGATTGCGATCATCTACATGGCGATGGGCTTCCTATTATCTTTGTTCATCAAGAAATTTTTCTGGGTTCCATCTCAGTTTCGGTACGGCCTAATCGTCGCTGGATGTTGGGCGAGCAACTGTGACATAAGTAGGTTACACATATTTCTTACATCGTGCCATTCGCTGACTGGTACCTCGGAATAGCAATCTCGGTCATGACGGATATCATGGCCTCTCTCCCTTTCGACGGAACCCATGACCAAGACCTCGCGGTAGCATACATCGGCGCCTTTTGTGTCATCTTCTACGTGAGTTATTGCATGGATTTTGTTGTATCCCGCTGAGTTGTTCCATGAGTTGACATTATTTATGTTCGGGCGCGACTTAATCGAGAAAGATTTTACCGGGACTGATGTGCAGGGCCCATGTCGGGACAAACGCTGGGAGAAACGTGTTTCCTCTTCCACAGATGACGAGGAAGCTGGGAAGAACTATGACCTGGAAGCAAGCACAATGGATGCCTACGTAATGTCCAGCAAAGATCTCCCCCCGCAATTGTCATCCTTGCAACATTCGCAGACAGTTTCTGAAGCGTCGTCAACTATTGTGCACCATGACATGCCGTCGGATCGATTCGACGAAATGCAGTCGTCGAAAGATGCAGAAATACACATCACACCAGCGTCCATACCAAACTCCTCTGCAAACCGATCCCGCCCTTTTATGCAATTTGTGAAATTTCTGAGCAGTCTTCTATCCCCTGTCTTGTTGTCCTTGATCATCTCCATCATGGTCTCTAGAATATCGGCTCTGAAGGCATTGTTTATTCCCGGTGTATCAGGAACGAACATTCCACTAGCTCCTGATGGACAACCGCTACTAGCATTCATAATGGATGCAGCGACCTTCTTGGGAGCAGCCAATTCTCCGATTGGACTGATCATTCTGGGATCCGCACTCGCGAGAATTAGTATTCCTCGCGGACGCTGGACTTCACTACCCCTTGGGGCTATTGGAGCCCTCGCTGTCTGCAAGCAACTCATTATGCCAGTCCTCGGAGTTCTCATCTGCAAAGGATTTAGTCAGACCGGGTTCATTGGCGTTGACGATAAAGTGCTCAAATTTGTATGCATGTTCGTTTGATTTTCTATGCGTTGCATCTGCTTGTAGTTGACTGGGTGATCCTTTCATATAACAGCTTCGTATCATGTTTACCCATAGCGTCGACCCAGGTGAGATATTCACCTTGCAAACTGCCTCTTTGTGTGCTGAGGAATTGTTTGCAGTTGGTCCTGACGCAAGCACGCTCTGACAGTGATACAAGTACAACAGAGCATTGCTCTGATAATGACACAAGCACAACAGATTATCTTGTTGCATTCCTGCTGCCGCAGTACATCTTTATGTTTGTGGTGATGCCCGTATTGATGGCCTTTACATTCTACCTTCTCTTTGACTAAATGGCCACTTCTGGGTGCCTGGTACATCCGAGTGCTGCACAAGAAACACCTAACCCGATAGATTTGACCTTACACCGCTGTTGAACCTGAAAAATTAGATTAATGTATGTATGATTATATCATTAGCGAAGGCTTGAACTTATGAGTTTATGTGTCGGTGAAGTACCCAGTCAGGCTCGACGGTTTCGGCTAGGAGTTGAAGATGTCGTCCATGATAGAGCAGAAAGCCGTCATCCGTTTATTTGGTCTGCCTACGGGGGACTAAGTAGGCGTTGACGGGGCAAGTCTCGAAGGGGGACTCGCCATGGACTTGTGCACGGTACGTAAATGGCATGCACCGCCTTAAACTATTCAGATAAATTTTAAATTGGAAGCTGTCACGCATGCCAATGATTGCAAGCTCGACGTTTCTCCGACTCAGGGATGCCACCAATGAGCGCTGAGCTTCAGTACGGGCCTCCTATGGTAAAGCCTAACGCCAGTTTACCCTAATAGCCGACCAAATGCTTATTTGATCCGTACTAGGTAATCCTCGCGGTTAACCCAGCCGTTGTAAAACACGTCCTGGAAAGACATCATATCAGATACTAACTTGTATATCGGCGATATTCGGCGATCTTGACAGGAGCTGCGCCTTAATGCGTAAAATGGTTAGGGTATTTGCTAATCGCTCAGGATCTCCTGTCACACAAGATATGGTGTCCCTTGCTCAGGGTCTGTTCGTGCAGCTCCTAGCACTAATCACTGATACAAGCTGACGTGTTCCAAGCAATTGCGCTGAATAGATAAGCTTAAAGCCACCATCTTTTGCGACTTGGCTGACCGAATTGACACTGATTAACACGACGGACCAGTGGTCCGCTTCTCAGGGTGCAGACATAAGAGGTCGGGCCATATCTTACCGGTCTTACGTCTGTAAGCTGCCAGCAAAGACATGGAAGCACTTGCCGTACTTGTATTTAAGTGTCGTGCTTTTCATGGTCCAGAGGAATATTGATCAAACCTCCTTTTCACTCCCCTGTCCAAATAGAAGACAGACTGTCTCTGAGCAAGGCATTTCTTCGGCTCGTTAAAATCATATCACGACTCGCAACTCGTCCACATCGAAAAGGATCATGATCAACATTGGCACACTGGTTTGGATTTCTGTGCAACCGCTCATACGCCTGCAAGGATCCTTTTCTTAGTTATCTTGCGTCTTTTTTTCACACTCGTTGTCATTTCTTCAGGTTCTTGTGTGTAGGATGCGGATTTGCAGTTACAAAGGCAGGCTTATTGCCCCCCTTGGCGGCTCGCGGGATGGGACAAGTCATCATAGTAGGGAAAATTTTTATTTGAGGATGCACAACTGATCTATCGGCAGAATGTCACGACGCCAAACTTGATGTTCTCAACGATTGTACCAGCGTTCAACTCTTCAAACATTTCTGAACTCGGTACGACTCCGTGCTTTTTTACGTCTGTTTTGACTAAGATTACCCCCAGGCCCTCTTGTTATCGTTGCGCTGGTCTATATGCTAATCGGCATAATATTGTCTTGGATCATCAAGCAACTCTTTTGGGTTCCCCACAGATTCCGGCACGGAATTCTTGTGGCCGGAGGGTGGGCAAATATCGGTGACATCCGTAAGCTCGCCGAAACCCTTTGCCGTACGTTCCGTCTGAAACTTGTTTGAATTAGCTATCTCGGTGACCCTGAGCGTGATGGCGTCAGCTCCTTTCAATGGAACTGATGATGAGAATCTGGCAGTGGGTTACATCGCCGCTTTTATCCTTGTATGGTCTGTGAGTATCTTTGTTGTGTTACATGTATCCACCGTTCACTGCAACATTCGTAGATCACACTTTTTCCACTTGGAGGACACCGGTGTATCATGATGGATTTCGATGGTCCTGACTTCGAAACTGATCAAGTCAAGGAAAGGCTAAGCACCAAGCACAAGAAGGCTCTGTCGAGTCTAGCTGCCGGATTTGTACACCTCAGGCAGATCCTTCACTTCAAACATCCATCAGCCATGGATATTCATACCGAAGCTGGTCAAGCAATCGCCGAAAAAGGGTCTCCTGATGTGACATTCACACATGAGGACTCTGTCACTACGTGTGATAAACCGTCAGGGCAGGAAGAAATCAGAATATTAGCATTGGCGGATGAACATCCGCTGTCTACTCAGTTTTTGGATCCTACTTCTCCCTCATTTACCGCCGTACCGCCCGGGCCGCTTTTTACTGACGGAACTCAGAAAGTCGCCACAACTACCGGTCTTCCTGGCTCTGTCGCCGGACACGTCGCAGTGACGCATGCTCATTGGTTCTACAAGTTTATCGGTCTGGCCTTTGGATTCCTGCGATCCCTCATGACTCCCCCGTCTTTGTCGATAATCGCCTCATTCGTCATTGCCGTTATTCCTTCATTGAAGGCACTTTTTGTTTCAGGCGTTCCAGGCACGCACATACATCCAGCGCCCGATGGCCAACCTCCACTCGCATTTATCATGAAGACAGCTGCATTCATTAGTGCCGCATCAGTACCAATGGGCTTGATTTCTCTTGGGTCTGCTCTTGCCAGACTAAGTATCCCGCGAAGCCAGTGGAGCTCTCTCCCTCTTGGTGCAATTGGGAGTTTGGCTATTGGTAGACTCGTTGTGATGCCCGTTCTGGGCGTTCTCATTTGCCAATCACTCACACATGCCGGACTGATAGATTCTTCCAACAATGTCCTCAGATTCGTTTGCATGTGCGTCCCTTCGAACGTTTGCCGCCTGAATGAAACCTGACAAGCATTAGCTTCTTGTCGTGCTTGCCCACTGGGACCACACAGGTATTCGGTTTATTCGTTGTTCTGGAGATAATATTAAGCAGCGTTTAGGTGTTTTTGACTCAAGTATACTCTGGGACAGGTAATGCTGAGCATCTATCAGCGTTCCTGATACCCCAGTATATCATCATGTTCATATCGATGACAGCCATCACGTCTTTCACACTTCATATCCTCTTTGGATGATGCCCTAGGCAGGGATGGATGATTCGCGTCGTCTGCGGGTTTAGATGTTGATGGCTGATTAGCGAATGTCCGATTTCTCCTGGCGAGTCGGACAGTAAAAGAGATGTACAACAAGTCCGTACTGCACATACATGTAGATTATATTAGAGCGCCTGAAACTGTATCTATGACCCCTATATACGCATATGTTGTACATTTGCCATCAGCGAAAACAATCGGCACTACCGTGACAGTCAGGGAGTACGGTACTGACTCACAGCCACATGAACCCATGATGACTGGTTCAGTTTTTCGCAAAGATTGGACCGTGGTGGCTATTGAGCTGTCCGGAGGAACCGGTAACAGGCCGTCGAAGTTGTGGCAGCGGGGCTGCTCTATCGATCTTCTGACGCATCCTGAATGATCCAGAGTTGGGTCACACCAAGAAAGGGAAGCGCGAGACGAAAAAGGCCTGCGCGATCCCGATTGCTTGGAGTTCTGTTTGATGGTAAGTAAGTCATAACGATTACTCATTTACACGAATTGCATACTTACCCGATGTTGAACAACGAACAATGTTGATTAAATAAAGCGAAGAAGTTCTGCCGATTAGCTTACTAGTACTATTTTTTAGGTCAAGACCTTCATACTAATATGCTGGTTCACCGATCCGCTGCGGCTGAATTACGCATTTGAATGATGCGAAGTAATGGTGACTGTGTCAGACTTGATGCGTACGACATTGGAATTTTCAATGTTTTGAGTCCTGTAGAGTGACAGTCAAAAAGGCGAACCCCAGAAGACCCGGTCAAAGTGTTCCAGACGTAGAGTATTCCAGAATCCAGAGCAAGGAAACCGACATTTTACCGCCTTTTGCCGCCAGTGGAAATACATTCGAAAGGTAATCTAGAGTGGAACGCTCTAGGTTAGGTCTAGATCTCCTTTTTATTGAAATCTTGCAAGAGGCAAAATGTTGAAACCCCCCGGAGTCCGGTGTCAGAGGCTGCAAATCGTTAGTCTCCTCAATGTAATATGACGCATAGAGGACGGAGACGTAACGTCATTCATGATTGTATTTACGAGATTGGAGCTGAGCCCACTGACATTTACGTGTGTTCCGGTCCTAACGACGACGCTGTCACCACAAAGTGCCTTGGTAGCAAAAATAGCCCTTTGAGAAAAAATCGACATCAAACAACCGTCCAGTATCGATATTACACTACTCGTTACTCACTGATTCCGAATCTCTCAGAGATGGTTGAAGTATATTGTGCTCACCGAATTTCACAGCATACCGTGATCCACTAGTCTTGATGGGCCGGAAAGATAGTATTAAACTTTAAAGTAAGCCGACCTGCCAGTGGGTCCTGTGAAACTCGCTTCAACGACACAGCTAATTTGACGCTGTCTTTCAGAAGGGGCACTTTATCAGATACGCTTGATCCAAGCCCAAACTTGAGATTATTTACTTTATCAAGTAGGATGCGTCGCGTGTGAGCAAAATCAGAGAAATCGCCGCATCGTTGTTAACGGTTTTGCTTTTGAAATTTGAAAGGATTTTTCCGGTGCTTCCTGAGATTTGAATAGATGTGAATCCGGGGCAAGCGAAATGATGTCGACGAATGCCAAGACCGCCAAAATATTTCCAGGAGGCAGCAAAGGCTCTTTGGACCCTCGCTTTCAAATGCGACGACCGTCAATGGCAAACCAAGTTGTTACTTTCTCATGACGGGCGCAAAGATCAACTGGTAGCTAAGAGGTCTTGAAACCTTGAAAGGTGGCGTGGCGCGAAGTCGGTTGATTGGTTAGAGTCCGTTAGACTGACATCAATGATCATTATGTCAGGTGGACGATTAATTCAATTCGCGGTGGCATGCTTAGTCATACACCATTTTACCGGTTTCGGTTCTCCCGCTGGATAAATAGCGGGCTTCATTGATTTTTAAACTTGTCCGTGTTCCCCTCATCGGTCAACTTCTCTTTCGTCCATTTTCTGAGAAAGCCTAGCACTCATTCTTCCTCAACATGTCTGACACCGAGAAAGCTAACTCCGCACACCAGAACTTTGACAGGCAGGCGAAGTTCAACGCCCCCCCGCCAATGCGTATCGCCAACCCAGGTGCACTGTAAGTTCAACATGTTTTTCGCGCCCGCCAGAGCTCTGAGCTCATTATCTGTCAGCGGCCTGTTCTCCTTCGCGTCCACCACGTTCATTCTTTCTCTCTACAACGTCAACGCTCGTGGAGTTGCCATCCCGAATGTAGTCGTCGGTATGGCCTGCTTTTGTGGTGGTCTCGCCCAGCTTCTCGCTGGTATGTGGGAGTTTCCACGCGGCAACGTATTTGGTGCAACAGGTTCGTGACTTTTTGTGATTGGTGCCTTTGCCTGTTCAACGTGCCTGTCGTATGTCATGGACGTGTATCCCCACAACGCGATCGCCGTGGTCATGTGATCTGGATCTTACTTCCGGAGCTTAGCTATTTTTGGTTAATTCAGGCAGAACCTTCTGCAACTGTGTATTCTTTATTTCACTCATTCCGATGGTCAAATGTTTGATATCTAAATGTGATGCTGACTATGTTTTGTTGCTCAGCTTTCACATCCTACGGCGCGTTTTGGATGTCATACGCCACTATCTTGTTACCCAACTCTGGCATCATCGCTGCATACGCGGGTCATGAGGATGAACTGAATCAGGCGCTCGGCATTTACCTGATCACCTGGTTTATGTTTACGTTCTTGCTCATGTGCGTTGTGCTTTCTTTTGGATATTGTGTAGCCTCTGATACGTCCCATAAATAGGCTTGGAGCGCTACGCCGCAACATCAGCTTCATCGCGCTTCTATTCTTCCTGTGCATTACCTTCGTGCTCCTCGCGGCGGGCGCCTGGTCAGGCCAGGTCAACATCACCAAGGCTGGTGGCGGTTTCGGTATCCTTACCGCCTTGATTGCATACTACTGTGGTCTTTCGGAGCTTCTAGTCAAGGGAGAGAGCTGGTTTGGCCTACCTATGGGAACTATCAAGCAGGAACGCGTGGACTGAGCGTCGGACTGATCAAGAACGCGTGAGATAGATCTCTAGTTTCAATATCTTGCATCGTGGACACCAGTCTAGGACTATCCATCTTGTCTTTCCCTCAAAAATGGTTAGCATTTGGTCATTCCACCCCATTTACTTTTTGTCCTTTTATACCCTGCGATACCATCCTCCAATCTGACGACGCATTTCGCAATACTATTCCTCACGGTCCTCAACCTGTAGATCACTCCTTTGGCTTTGGATTCATATGTGTCTCGCGCATTCACATTTCAAACCTATGTTTACATATTCAACTGATTCGTAATGTTGGCAATGCAACGTTTGATCGTCTCCACGCTGTATGGCATGAATATTGTAGATCTGGAGACCGAAAAATAAATTGATATCATCCGAAGACGATGGAAGCTTGCTATCAAGAACATGCAAACATCGGATAAATTTTCCCAACCCCAGACATCTTAGGAGTATTTAAAATTAAGGATCAACGCCCATAACGACTGGGGAAGCTCTTCTCATACAGTATCTCGGATGTTTTGTGACCACAATTATTAATATCCTACTCCGCTCACAGGTTTCAGGGTCACCTCGGTTGCAGCAATAGGGAGCAGGCCTTGGTGGGAAACATGGCTGTCCTCGCAAATTGGATAAGAGGCGTGATGGAGGGATACAAGTTCAGGCGAGCCGCAAACATGACTTTACTCCCTGGGGCCTGTAGGTGTATAATGAAGGCGTGGCCTCCGAATGAGGACGCGATGGGGTTAGCGAGTTCCCCGCCTAAAATAATGTGCAGTCTTATCGCAAACATGGGCGATGCGAGGCAAAGCCACCGATACCTTCTCAGCGTATTTGCAGCGCTCGAGGGTGCATCGTACGCTATAGTACGTACTTATAGTCCAAGCCAAGCCAGACGTCGTTGATCTCAATCACCATGAGGACTTCATTTTACCTTTACTTCGGCAAAAAGCATAGGGGTGTAACCCTTGCAGTGCAATGAGGCATGTGATGGCCTCAGCTGTGGGGGCAATATGTGGAATCACAGTTTGTTTATTCCGAACAACGCAGTGCATACGTCACAAGCGAGCAGATTTGAACACCCCATCGTTCGCCCCCGCGATCCTGACGGACTCGTCAAGTACACATCGGCGTGGGGATGCCGCCAAAAGAAACTTGAGCGTGGAATGCACCCTTGCGGGAGGTGAATGCATTGAGGTGCGGTTGAGGTAGAATACTCGAAATAAGTTACGGAAGCTTATTGCTGCAAAAAAAACATCACTCACACGGGTATTATCCAAAGAGTAAGAAACCCCACTTTGAAACGTCGCTATTCAACAGCGCCGATGTCAACGAAGCGGTGCGTGAGTTCAACTTGAAGAACACGGTGTGCTCAAACCTGTTGCCCCTGCCAGCAAGGATACTTATATGTATGCCGACAGTGTCACTCTGACAGGTGCTTGTTGTAAGAATAGACGAAGAAGTCTGTGCATGCCTGTTTCACAGATGTCAGGGGTGTGCCAAGAAGCAATCCGTGCATTCTATCCGACACGACCCGATACGATGGAAGCAGACTGCACAACCTGCGCGAAGGTGCGAGCTATCTTGAAATCTAACATTTTGTTCCAGGCGTTAAGTTTGCGACGACGACAGAGTTAGCGCCGGAACAGAAAGGACGCGAGTCGCCTCCTGATAATCAGTAGCTCAAGCGATATACCTATCAGCCTGAATAGACCCTTCTGACCTCCCCGTGATAGCCTGTTTTACCTTTAAGATCAGAATCGGAGTTTACCAGGAGAGCTCCCGACGGTGCCACGAGAAATTCCGGAAAGTTTGTATTCTCGCCCATCTTGACTTGTTGTCCAGTGGAGGAGGAGGAGTGTACCCGTTTGGATCTGCCTGCACTGGAGGCCGTGGTAGCGGATTGGCCAAAAACTATTGAGGGGCAATACCACTAGTACTGCAGGAGTCCATTGGTCTCACCGTTATGAACTTGATCTGCTATTGGATTTGTCCAAACGGGGTTTACGCCCTTCGCCAAGGACATCGTCTTGACGAAGGGCTTAAGCTCCGAGAAAAGGTGGACACATTCCTAGTCACATTGGTCCCGGCCAGACTCTTAAAGTAGATTGCGTTCACGCGGGCGCCAGTGCATCTGAAAGTTGAACCGCGCTCGTCTTCGTGATCCAACACGAGGAGAATGACGATCGAATGATTAGATACCTGGCTTTACTTGCACAACCTAATTGCAGGGTCAGCCACAGTAGATTTTCAAAAGCCGCCAAAATTCTTAACCGAGGCGTCTTCGAGAAACTTCATACACGTCACTTGACAAATGCGGGCGATGCGATCAATCTCAGTGAATTGGATGAATGTTTGTACGTATGTGCGGGGCGCATTGAATAATTCGCCGGTGAGTCAGCTGGAGCCTCATGGCAGGCCGGCGGAGGAAGGGATGTTATGAATACTTACATGAAATAGGAGGCCCCATGAACACGTGATGAATATTGTGTTGATTCGTTCGGATGGGAATTCGGAAAGGACAGAGATAGAAGGGGTAACGTAATACGACTGGCCAGGATATGGAGGTGTGCCGCATACGGTGGCGGTGGGAGAAGCCACTAGCCAATGGGTTCTTGGCTAATCCCAATGCTCTATTTTGGAGAAAGGGATTGTTTAGATTGTGGCAGAGGTATGGCACTCCCGGAAAGGGTAGCCAAAAACTTATCTGAGTAGTTGCAGCGAAGGGGAGCACCTTATCCATATATGTCCGAGGGGAGCTGTGCCGTGCCGTGAAGCTGGAGACGATATCTAAAGATCGTGCGACGCCTTCAGGTAGACGATGTCCTGAATATAGTACTCATGACCAACTCATCGATCGAGTGTTCATTAGAAGGATGTAAACAAGGTCGTAATAATATTCCTTTGGACAAGGATTACTAAACACTCGCGTCAGTTGCAGGCAAATGACAAGGATAACAAGTTGTTATACGTACACAAACCAACTCTCAGATAAATTGAGTCACAAGTCCACATCGCAGGTGGCCGAGGAACTGACACTTTCCTGCTTCTTGATTAGCTTTGGCGGCTCGCGAATCGTCAATCACGAATAACACAATCTGACACTGTTTACTTCCAAGTCCATCGCACCATGCCATGGCCCATGGATACAGCTGACTCAAATGTCCCAGGGTCCTGCCAGTGATTGTCAAAAGTTGACCCTGCTGGTGGTGTCTTGTTAGCCGACCTTGGCTAATATGGAGGGTGGAGAGGTGCAGGCTATGCATCCTCACGACATTCGCGCGGTGGCACCTTGTGACCTAATCGCGGTGACTACAATTGCCATCCATGGCAAGATGCCCTCATAAACCAACCATGATAGCTGAATAAAGCAAGAAACGAGGCATAGATTGGTCTACATCGGCTGTATATGAAGTGAGTAGCGTGTTCTAATACATAGCGCAGATCATACCCGAGAATTGAAGGCCCCTGACATGGCACCTTACCAGCCAACGCCGTCAATGCCATGCCTTGAGTTGGCAGTAACCTGAAGGAGCTGGCAGGCTGCTTGTAAGACGCGACTCGGCATGGACCGAAACTCCGCTTGCTTTACATTTGCGCGCTTGTTTACTGATTTTCGACAATTTGCGGGTCATCTCTTTTCTATCTGCCCATCATGTCCTCTAACGTGCCCATTGCTCATGGCGATATTACAGCACCGACTCCACAGAACACGCCATTGACGCACGCTCCCATCGCTGCTGGTCTTTCGCGTCCAACAGTCCCTGACATCTCGGAAGATAATGAACCAGCCGAAGATGAGACCGAAGATCTTGCTCAGATGACTGGTGCCCAGGCCGCGATGTTGGGTCTTGTTCAAGGCCGCCTTGCAGATCTCGTCGGAAAGAGCTCTGGGTATATCGAGAGTCTGCCTAACGATGTAAAGAAGAGCGTAGAGGCTTTGAAAGGGGTTCAGGTCAAGCAAAATGAGCTGCAGAATCAGTACAAGCGTGAATGCCTGGAACTTGAGAAGAAGGTCCGCGATTATTTTTTCGTAACTTATGTTGATGTCTGATGTCTGATTTCTTTCTTTCCATGTCGCATCAGTACCTTGAGCTTCAAAATCCTCTATATGAGCGGAGAAACGCGATCATCTCGGGTGCTGCTCAAGCCACTGCGGAGGAGATCGAAGCCGGCACTCAAGCATCTCTCAAAGATGATCCCCTCTACACGCCACCTCCAAGCGATGAAGCCGCACCAGCGGCTATCCCAGAGTTTTGGCTTACGGCACTGCGTAATCATGTCGGACTCTCAGAGATCATCACGGAACGAGATGCTGGTGCACTCAAGAACCTCATTGACATTCGGCTATCGTATCTTCCTAGCGATTCACCAAAACCCGGATTCAAGATCAGCTTTATCTTCAGTTCAAACGATTTCTTCGAGAATGACGTTCTTGATAAGACTTACCTCTATCAGGAGGAGGTAGGCTATTCTGGTGACTTCGTGTACGATCGCGCGATCGGCACGGAGATTAAGTGGAAAGAGGACAAAGACTTGACAAAAGAATTCGAGATCAAAAAACAAAGAAACAAGAGTACCATCATCTGTATTCCGATTGAGAGCGTCTCTCATCATTTTCTCCAGACACAAATCGCACGCGACTGGTTCGCAAAGCGCGCCCAACCGACTCATTTTTCAACTTTTTCTCACCTCCCGTTCCCCTGCCCGAAGGAGCGGAAGATGATCTAGAAGATGAAGATCTCGAGGAGCTCGAGGAAAAATTGGAGATGGACTACCAGATCGGCGAGGACCTCAAGGAGAAGGTAGATATCCCGCAATCATCGGGAGCATTGCTGACTAATTATGAATGCTTTAGATCATTCCGCGTGCCATTGATTACTTTACTGGCAAGGCCCTTGAGTACGACGTTATGGATGACGACGAAGATGAATTTGATGAGCTGGACGATGAAGACGAGGATGGTCAGTTCGACGACGAGGTATGATCGTCCCACCCACTGGGATGTCACCACTGGCTCATCCTTATCAAGGATTCTGATTCCGAAGTTGAATTGCCAAGACGTCGCGGTCCTCCCAAGGGCCGTGGCGGCTCGAGTGCCGGTGCCGTCAACCCCGAAGAGTGCAAGCAGCAGTAGGCAAACATCCCATCTCTACGCTTTGAGAAACCACCTTCCAAAAATCCTCTGTTGTTGCATTTGTTGACATGAATTAATACAATCTCCTCCTGCCTGTTTTTACATGTAAACACAACTTGCTGTGCAACTCTCATTTCTTTCTGACGCAGAACTAGTCTTCTTCTGTCGTTGCTTGAATCTTCTTCTACTGACCCTACCTAATCAGGGTGTTGTATATAGGTCTTACGTGGGTTTGCTTCAGTTTGCACCTAGCATAATGGAACGTAAGCAATGGATGTCCTAGGGGCTTCCTCTTTGTTTGCGATGTACTACTTAGGACGACTGTATATTTTCATAAAATACATTCACAGATTCATTGTGCTGCTAGATACTCAGTTGTCTACAATTCGGTCGGAACCTCAGCCTGAGGTGTGAGGCGAACCGCATGCCTCCTCTCACCAGGGTTGAAGTCTCCAGTCGCAGAGTGCACAGTGACTCGGTTGTCCTGCACACGAGATCAGGTTTAGCAACTGACACGAAAACAAGCGCAATCCACCCACCCAGACAACAACACTGCCAGGCTTATACCTCGCACGAATTTGGAAGTCCGCACCCTTCGCAATGTGATCGATCAAGAACTTCAGGAGGTACTCAGATTCCTCAGCCTTGAAGCCGACGATGCGCCGCGTGAAGCCTTGGTTCACATAGAGCGCTTTCTCTCCAGTCACGGGGTGCCGGCGAACGAGGGGATGCTTTATGATAACAGGATCAGCGCGTATGATAATTGAAAGTGAGATGTCATCTACCTCTGTTTGGATAGGCTCTCGACGTACAATCCCGCCACGCCTGCGGGAGGCCTCTGCTTGCTCGAAGCCGCTGTGTACGGCGCGCAAGCCTTCAAGGCGTTTCTTGAACTCAGGGGAAAGGCGGTTGTATGCCTCTACCTGAGATGCAAAGAGCGTGTCGCCGCCGACTTCTGGCTGCCCTCAAGTTAGTTCTGGCACAGATAGTTACGATAGGGTGGAGATTTACCTGGTCCAGAACGAAGAAGAAAGTGGTCCCGGCGGGCTGTTTCTCGTAGGACTGTATGGGGACGTCAGGTGAGGGGAAAGCCACAACAGAAAATAATGTACTGACAACATCGGAATGCCATTGGGTGCGGTTGATGCGTTCGTCAGGGATGACCTCCTTCAGCCTGTCATGTTCGACACCCCGATAAACTACAGTCAAAGTGAGAATGGAAGATATGATGCCATGACATTGAACAGCCTCACCGACGTGAAACTCTGGGTATCCCTTGACGTTCCCGGAGGTCGGGTGCCTCTGGATTCGACCAAAGTGTCTGATAAACAGAAATCATGAGTTCACATAACTGTTACAAAAGCGAAATATCCCACTTGGCGATCTCAATTTGCCTATCAGGACCAATATCCTTGAAGTCCTGATCACGGAAGATAAGGACCTTCCTTTCCGCGGCGTACAGAGCGAGCTCATTAAGGCCTTCCTCGCTCAGTTGGGAAATTTGTACACCGGAGATCTCGGTCCCGAGGAAAGGGCTCAGATGGCTAACATTTGTATCGGGTGTCAATAGGTGCGGCTTAGCACGGTCCGCCTTGGCACCAGGGTCCGTGTGCTCTATCTCCGATGTTAATTAAATCACTCTTGACTGAAGACATTCACATACCATAGACTTGGGTTGGAGGGAACTTCTCGTTCGCATCATAATAGGGGTAATAGAAGGGGTATGACGGGCCATTCTGTGAACAGGCATGGTCGGGAAACGATCAAGAACTTCAATACAAGGGCAACATACATCCTGCTTTGCGGGTGTTAACTTGAGATCGACAACGTTGTCTGTGACAGAAGGCGAAATGTCAGCAACTGAAGGCGCCATTGTAATTAATAGGGTCGATGGTGTGGGTATGATATGCAAAGAATTGCAGCATTCCCTTTATACGTTGAACAGCGCTGGAGTGGTGGGACTCATATCTGTCGTTGACATTGCATGAGCATGCAATCTTGAAGCCAAATGGCTCATTAATTGATAGAATAGAGAATAGATAAGGCAGCCGTTGCGATATCGGGGTGCGCAACAATAATAATAGGCCGATGTGATAGGAGGTTGGTCAGAAGACATTGCAGCTGGACACTGGACCTGATGATATGACTGGTCCTGGCGAGCTATGGGGAGCTAATGACGCAAAGTGACACCGTTCCCTTTGATTATGTTCTCAAAGCACGGAATGAATGCACTGGTTAGTATGATGTGTGAATGTGCCACTGACGGGGGAACTGATTGTCTCGGTAGGTTTAGTACGCTCAGTCGAAGGCGGGCCGGATCATGGTTTCCGCTCAACTGGATTGATCATGTGTACCTCCACAATAAGGGCGTAATCGCAAGAGGTGCTGCGCCGTGTTTCTTGTAGTGTATTAGCTCAGAATTGGTGGAGCTGTCATGATACTCACCTGGGAAAAGATGGAGACTACGACTCTCCAAGCACCGTTATTATTAATCCTCGGGGTTCATATCTGAATCCCCGAAAAACAAAGCACGACAATTTTCTTGCGAGCCTATGCATTGGTGTCTCTTTCGCTTGTTTCAACCTAGACACTACAAAGTTCAGTCCTACCATGGCCAAACACCGAGCCTGAGAGAATGCGCGAGTCGGACTGAGGTACCATAATATCTCGCGGCGACCTTTATATCACTTGATCAAGAGAACCTATCATACCGAGGTCAATATTAATGTACACAACTACTGTTATCAAGGTCTCGACGTTGAAATGGAAATAGAGACCAGCCTTGTGCTCCGGCCCAAGAACATGCTTCGTAGTCTCCTTGATTCCCCGGACAAGTATCATGTACACCCCATAGTAGTCGTTTGGAAAGGTCATATCAGCCGGAAAACCGTTCGAGGTTCATTTGATCCAATATCGTCGAGATGTTGAAACATCTACAGGGGAACGAATCGGAAATTGAAAGGCTGTGGTGAAGACTGAGTGAAGTTGAGTCGGAGCATGAAATTCTGGATCGTTCTGAGACCTTGTCTTCAACACTCGCTCAGTCCGAATCTCACATTAGTACGATGACTCGTGAGTCGTGTTGGTGATTGCGGAGAGAGATTCAACCAGCTTCAAATGTGATGTATGGCTGGTGCGATGATTCAACGTCATTCAACCGCCCAAACATTTCATTGATTGCCTCGGTGATCTCTTTGTCGCTGACATCCTTAGGAAGTGCCTTGATGCCGTGGTTGAACTGCCAAGGCATCAAGGCACTTCCTAAGGAATTTGCGTACTACCACTACTAAAGTACGGTATACCCGGTATACCGACCGTGAACGCCTACTACGTGCCATCCTTATAGACAACAAAAACAAAATTATGCAAAAACAACTCACAGCCCCACTGCATCACTCCCCGAACCCTCACGCGTCGCCGCCAACGCAACCCCGATAGCCTTGACCAAATCATCCGGCGACAACGAATTAGACACACTCCGCTCCTGCGCACGCGTCGACCCCCACGTCACAGTCACAGACTCCCCCACCTCCGGCTGCGGCCACCCCATCCCCTCCTCCAAATCTTCCAACGGTGTCAACGTCCCATCCAAGTCCAGCTCCGATTCCGAGTTTGGCGACGACGCCCGCGAAGATTGAGACGACACGGGCATACGCGTTTAACAGGTGTAACCACCTCGCATCGCTGATATAAACACGCGGTCCAATATCGTCGAGATGTTGAAACATGTACAGGGGAGTGTCGAGAGTACGCCTAACCACCAGGGCGACCAGGGCGACCAGGACGTCACAACGCCTTGACGTATATAAATGCAAGACATTGGGACGTACCTTACTTATTTTCTCTTTCCGTTTTTCACCGTATTCTAACTCTATATAAGACTACGAACACGCGCTAACACACCTCAGTCCCTTTAACCGTGACTGAGGTGTGTATTATATTTCTTTCATCCTTACTTTGTTGTACTCACTATATATATTAGACTCGTACTCTAGGTTCGTAGTACTACATTGAATGGAGTCCCTTTAACCGTGACTGAGACTCGTACTCTAGTTCTCGCCTCTCAATAGGTTATGAGCCCTGTCTGAAAGGGCAGCGGTATTACCCCATCTCTCGCATTAGCACCTCTCGAACGTCCGTTCACCCATCACGCTTCCTACCGGGATCCAAACCAATATCGAAGTGTCACTCCTAACTGTCGATCACTATGACATCATCGGACTCTCTCCCGAAGACCGAGAAGTACCCGCACGAGAAACTCACTCTCGACGGCTCTAATTACTCCCAGTGGGCGACAGGTTTCAAGATGTGGGCCGGTGGTATCGGGCTATGGCACTACATCAGTGGAGACGAAGTAGAACCGTCCCCACCAGCCCAACTCTCCGACTCTGATCAAAACATCCTCCGCATGGAGAAGCACGACGAGCGGGTGAAGCTCTACAAACAACGCCGACTCCTCGCACTCAGTGCCCTCTCCACAGCCATCGACGCCCAAGACTTCGTCTACCTACGTGATATCGACAATCCACACGTTGCTTGGATCGCTCTGGAGAAGAAATATCTTCCCCAGAAAGCCATTCGATTCAATCAGTACCTCGATCGTCTGTTCACGATTCCAAAGGCGCACGACAGCACGTCCATCGCGGAGACGTTACAGACACTCATTGTCTTGAAGTCGGACCTTGCAGCACTCTCAGTTGCACCATCCACATCCTCAATTACTCCAGCTTCTACCACATCCGGTGCTACTGTTACGAAGGAGGAGTACAAGATTCCAGACGCCATCTTCGTACACATCCTCCTCCGAGCTCTCCCCGACTACTACGACCCTCTTCGCCAGACGCTCGTCAACAGTGACACCTCGCTGGACTTCAACGACATCGTGAATCGGTTGAAGACCCAGGAGCTGCATCGTGCAGGGACCAACAGCGCACCAGAGCATGTCGCCATGCTGTCTGGACATCGAGGGAACAGTGCGCCTCCTAAGACGAGTGATCGTGTCCCTCCCAAGGGATTCGACGAGTCGAAGGGAGACGGCTGGATCGTAGGATGGAGGCCTAAGTGTGGCCATTGCCAGAAGGCTGGCCACGTCTGGGCACAGTGTCGTGCACGCCTCGCTAAGGATGAGAAGAAGTCAGCACCACGTTCGTCCCCTACCGCTGTCGCCGCTAACACGGAATCTCCATTGGCAGACCAACCTGATGCGGGCGCTACCTCACCCAACACTATACCACAGTCTCCCTACTTTCTCACCTTAAAAGAGCATACTGCCAATATCTCGTCCTCCCTCACTATGCCTGTAGGCTCTATTCATGTAGACTCCGCGTCCACTGCCCATATGGAACCTGATATGTCGCGTTTTGCTCACTACACGAAGCTCGATAAGCCCATCCGTGTGAAACTCGCCGACAATCATGAGGTCCTAGCCCCTGGCTGGGGAACTGTACGACTCGCCTTACACTATGAGCATTCCTCAACAACTCGGGACTTTGACTTCCTTCATGTTCCTGACCTGCGGTGCACCCTCGTTTCTGTGTCGTGCCTCGCGTCTGAACGCATCTCATTCATCTCTTCCTCCAAAGGAGGCATGCTTCGCGCTGACGATGGACACGGGCGAACACTCGCACATGTTCATTCTCGCAACGGCCTATACTTACTCGATGCACAGTTTGTTGCCAGTGCACCCACTGCATCTGCCATGCTCATACAGTCACCGTCCACTCCCTTATCCCTACACACGTGGCATCGTCGATTGGGTCACGCAGGGTTCTCAACAGTTCTGAAAGCGAGCGAACACGTTGACGGCCTATCACTCCCTCCTTCGACACACCATGGTACCAGTGGTGATATGATCCACTGTGTATCTTGCCTCATGGGTAAGCACAGACGTTCCTCCTTCCCTGCTGCTGCACGACGAGCATCGGCACCCGCAGAGCTTGTACACTCGGACGTCTGGGGCCCCGTCAGTATCGCGTCTTCCACTGGCGACTCTTACTTCGTGGTATTTACCGACGACTACACACGCTACTCACTCGTGTACCTTATGCGTGCGAAGTCCGAGGTCTTTGAACTCTTCAAGAAGTTCGTACCGTGGATGGAGACTCAATCTGGCGGGCGTATCAAACGCCTTCGCAGCGACAACGGTGGGGAGTACGTATCGAAGGACTTTCTTCATTACCTGGCAGAGCGCGGGATTGAGCATGAACTCACCATGCCCTACACGCCCCAGCAAAACGGCGTCGCCGAACGTGGCCACCAAACGGTTGTTACTCGTGCCCTCAGCTCCCATCACCAGAGTGGATTCCCGCGTTCCCTTCTGGGGCTGGGCGATACTGAACTCTGCGCACATCAAGAATGTCCTCCCCTCCTCAGCTCTTGATGGTCGGACTCCGTTTGAGGCCTTTTATGGCCGCAAGCCCGATGTAAGCTACTTGCGCCCATTTGGCTGCCTCGCCTACTCTCACATCCCTGATGACACCCGCCGCAAATACGAGTTCGTCTCCCGCCGATGTTTTCTCCTGGGGCACGTACGCAACGCTGGCTATATCCTCTGGGACCCTTCTGCAAAACGCGTTGTTCGGTCCCGTCATGTCCAATTTGACGAGGCCGTTTTCTATGGGGACCCCACCTTATCCCCCCTTGCTCCACTCATTCCTGGCGCAGGACTCTGTGCAGGGCGTCAATCCTCCAGTGGGAGACACCCCAGGTGTCAGTTCTTCAGTGGGAGGTGCTCCTTCATCTGGTGAGCCGCCATCTATGACCCCTGCTACACCTCCTGTGCCACAGGTGTCAGTGGGAGGTGATGTTGACCCACCAGTCGAGTCCCACATATCCCAGGACGCTCCAGTCGAGTCCCATACATCCCAAGACGCTCCAGTCGAGTCCCATCATTCCCACAATGCACCAGCTCCTGCTCCAGCTCCTGCTCCAGCTCCAGCTCCAGCTCCACGTCGAAGCACACGTCCACGCCAACCTACTCAGCCTGGCTATATCGCTCCAAGTGGACCTAGTGACATGGCCATACCCACCAAGCGAGTTCCTGTAGCTGAGCGCTGGACCCATGTCCCAGTCCTACCAGACCCACCGCCATCTCATGAATCCGCCATGCATACAACAGACACCCCTCCTATACCTCCTACACCACTCATCATCCCGAAATCAATCAATGCGGCTCGTTCCCTACCTGAGTGGCCGCTATGGTCAGACGCCTGCAAGTCTGAGCTACAATCCATGCGTGACTTGAAGACTCACCGTCTGGTGCCTCTCCCAGCAGGAAGGAAGGCCATTGGATCCAGGTGGGTATTCTCAGTGAAGTCAGACGAGGACGGCAACATCACTCGGCACAAGGCCCGCTTCGTTGCGCAGGGATACACGCAGGTCGAGGGGGTCGACTACACGGAGACCTTCGCATCCTGTTGCCAAGTACGATACCGTCCGAATCCTCCTCGCGCTCGCAGCAAAATTCGACCTTGAATTAGACCAAATGGATGTACGTACGGCCTTTCTCAATGCTGAACTCAAGGAGGATATATACCTCAAGCAACCAGCCGGATTCGAGGATCCAGAGCATCCAGATTGGGTATGGAAGTTGGAGAAGGCGCTGTACGGTTTGAAGCAGGCGGGGTACGAGTGGAATCAGACGCTTGATGAGTATCTGCGAAAGGAGGGTTTCAAGTTCGTTCGAAGCGAGGCTGATCACAGCTTATATGTCCTTCACGAAGGGGACAAGATCATTTGGCTCGTCGTATACGTCGACGACATGCTCTCCGCATCGAACTCCCGCGACTTCCTCAACAGCTTTAAAGCACAACTCAACCAACGTTTTCGACCTCGCAGATCTAGGCCCTGCTAGACATTTCCTCGGCATGCATATCACTCGTGATCGCGAGAAACGACTTCTATCTGTCAGCCAAAAGACCTATCTGGAGAAGATTCTTGAAAACGCCGGGATGTCTCAATGTAACCCGGTCAGTACTCCCATGTCTCCAGGCATTGTGCTCCAGAAAGCGACACGAAGTCCTACTGACGACGAAGCGACCGCTATCGCATCCATCCCATACCGTCGCACTATTGGAGAACTTAACTACGCCATGCGTACAACACGTCCCGATATCGCATTCGCCGTCTCTTCCCTCTCACGTTACATGGAACACCCCACCATTGACCACCACCGCCAACTCAAGCATCTCCTCAGATACATACGCGGCACGACGGACCTCACACTCGTTTTCGGTCTCACTGATGACGGGCTGATAGGCCACTCAGATTCTGATTACGCCGCAGATCGCGATGACAGCAAGTCGACGAGCGCGTATGTATATCAGCTGTTCGGTGGTCCAGTTAGCTGGAAGGCACAAAAACAGTCTGTCGTTGCGACGTCGACAACAGAAGCAGAGTATATTGGACTCTCGAATGCCTCTCGCGAGGCCTTATACCTCATCCAACTACTCCACGACTTCCGTGTTGACCCTGATCTCTACGACCCCCCCCTTCTCTATGGTGACAATCAAGCCAGCCTCGCCCTTTCGAAGAACCCCAAGTTCCACGACAAGGCAAAGCATATTCGTGTGCACTATCACCTTGTCCGCAGTCTCGTCGAGTCCAATCAGATCAGACTCGAGTACAAATCGACTTCGGAAATGCTCGCCGATAGCCTCACGAAAGCGCTGCCTCGTCCAGCCGTGAATCGTCACCGGGAGGAGATGGGTCTCCGTCAGACTACCCTGCGTGGTATGGCGAGTGGGAGTGTCGAGAGTACGCCTAACCACCAGGGCGACCAGGGCGACCAGAACGTCACAACGCCTTGACGTATATAAATGCAAGACATTGGGACGTACCTTACTTATTTTCTCTTTCCGTTTTTCACTGTATTCTAACTCTATATAAGACTACGAACACGCGCTAACACACCTCAGTCCCTTTAACCGTGACTGAGGTGTGTATTATATTTCTTTCATCCTTACTTTGTTGTACTCACTATATATATTAGACTCGTACTCTAGGTTCGTAGTACTACATTGAATGTAGTCCCTTTAACCGTGACTGAGACTCGTACTCTAGTTCTCGCCTCTCAATACCCCGGTCACTTCTACGAGATTCACGTGGTCTGGTACGTGTGGTAGCACTTGCTACAGGACTTAACATGCCTTATGGTGAGTTCTACATGCATATATGCACCTATATGCACTCACTTGTTGTTATTTCCCCTTTGGTATGGATGAGGGGATGTGGGCCCATCACGATACACATCATGAGCGCGACGCGGCGCTGGCGCTAGACCGCTGGTGAGTGCAGGATCAATATTTGGATCAGGCCTATTTGGCTGATTATTTCCGGTGTTAGCACAGACAGCTTGCTTAAGGTGGTCAGGCCAAGCGTTCCACACATCGACGGGGATATTCTCTGGACGATTAACCATGGTTTGCAAAAGTTACGAGAGTGTTAGGGGGTGGGCGAAGGAGGGGGAACACGATGCTGGACGCAGTCGATATAATCGCCATGTGATGTAGATCACATATTGATAAATAATTTGAATTTGGCTAGCCATCTACTTAAAGCTTCTATGTGCGATTAGGTGAGAATTCGAGCCGCTGGATTGAAGCCATTTTTTACTCTGAGACAGATGGCCTAGTTGGAAGGTAGGATAGGTCATCTAGTTAGACGGTTGGTAGTTCATGTCCTCGAAACTACTGAGGCCTACTCATGTACTCAGTAGATGTTCTAATTTTTTTGTATTTATATGATCAAATAACAGCTAACTAGGTACAAAGTATATGGGGTCTTCACGTAGTGATTGTCACTATCGCACTCGATCATTTGTGCCCGTGTCATGCCTACTAGGTGCCGCCTTCGCCACTGCTTTAATTACTTTCTCGTAAGAATCAAGCACTCAGAAGTGCTATCCCAAGCTGTTCTGTTTCCAACTCTCAATTACAACTCGGATTATTATGATATAGCGGCGACTCGGAGCAAGTGCTTGAACCTGGCCTGTCCTTAAAAATGAACGGCTCTCAGCTCCACCATGACCCTCATACCCTGCGCCGTCTTTGTTATACAGTGGGTTTGTTGACGCTTCCGATCACTCCCGACTCTACGGTAGTAGTACCAGCCTTATGCATACATTCAAGTCGTCGGCGACTCTCCATCTAATAGTACTAAAACCAGAGCCTTGTCGGAAGGCCTTGGGCGCGTCAATCAGACCAATCCCTCCTCCCTCTGGACGAGCGTCGGTTACCGCGACCAGATCTACCACTACCACCACCACGCATCCGCCGCTCGTCGTATTCACTTTCAGAACTTCAGAGCTTCAGTGGTGATGTGTACCATGCATGAATCCAAGCATCCACATACCTTTTCGAAGACGGAGGCTCAGGAGAAAAAACTCTAGGGTAGTGTTGCCTTAGCATTCTTTCGTGGAGTTTGATCAGGATGTCAACCCCATGTGGGAGGTCAGCGCCACCTATCCTTTTAATAAATGTCGGAAAGTCGTTCATGACAGTCGCGCTAGTAATATGCTGGAATAAACTCTCGACTTCCATCTCAAGAATGAGAGGAAACCTTCAGACGACAGGTCGGTACCCCAATGATATTAAATATGCATAACGAAACTGACCTGGATGTCAGAGACGAAGAGAGTTCCTGCAGGATATTGTGCTCAGTCAGGCTAGATTGTATCGCGGCCAACGCTTTGTCCCGCAATACATCTTGCTCTATCTAGTACAATTACGAGTATCAATTCACATAAATAGCATCGAAGATTACACAAGGGTCTAGACTCACTTTGCATGCCAGGCGATACATAGACTTCGGAGAGCATGGTGGGGGCTTACCGAGACCCAACTGTGCCGCTGTCTGACTTCCTTGCGATCGCAAAGGTGCAAACACGATCTCGTCAGTGTACAGATAGTACAACAAAGCCTGCCATCTACGTCAAGTTAATAAGCAAGAAAACCGAGTGTTAGGCTAGAAAACCGCACGTGTTGAATGCAGTATCAGTTACAAGTATTTTTCGGTTCGGAGTCGTGCGGTACACCCCCTTGGTAGCATAATTCTTGATCAATGGTGTTGTTCCCGCAGAGACATTCGCTTGAAGTTCGAGCTTTTCATCTTCAAACATAAGATGATCCCTTGCCAGGATGGTTGAAGCCACCTACTATCTTGTACTGTTTCGTTCGTTTCATCCTCCTCTTCACCTTCATCCAGGTCACTATCGGATGCATAGCCATAATCATTGAGAGAAAGAATTTCCTCAGATGCGGGATGATGTTCGAGTGGAACTTCGATCAAGGCAGGATCCTTGAGCGTTTTTGCGGAGAGTACTGGAAGTATTTGCTAAACTTCACTGAGCAGTAATAGATATGTAAAAGGACTCACAGCCACTGAAGAACTTCGAACCCGCAGTGAGGCCTTCATCGTTGGCAAACAGTGATCTGATCTCAGCAGCGACTCTGATGTTCCCATGCTTTGATCGAGCAGAGAACAGGTAAAATTGGGTGTCAAGGAGTTCCCCCAAAAGCGATTTCCTCAAGAGAGTGCTAATCTGCGCCTGGTTGCTCGACATTGTGTATGTATGTGGGTGGTGGGTGTGTGGAAGTGTATGCTGAGCAAGAAATTTGACGGTCTATATACTGCAGAATCGGAGAAGCACCTGAGTCATTTGAATTGATAAGGCCTTCGCAGCGTGTTGTTGTATGTAATCGATGATTCCTGCTTCGACAGTAGTGTGGCCTTCAGAATCACATCACGAGGACAGGATCTCTACTGATGTCACTACCAGAACTCCATCCGCACAACCGCAGAGTTGGGAAAGAAGGGATATAGCGGGTGGGCTGACTAAGCGCGCAATACACCGAGTTCTGACGCCGCAGCCCTGGACCACCGTGACAAGTCAATCTTCCGGTGCCAGAACGGCGCGTCCTCTCATTACACACAACTCTAGGCTCAGACCCAGTCGAACTCAAGTGTTCCACACTGTACTACCCCATATCATGCGCTAAAGACGGTCTCACTCTCATGTTCACCCATGGAATCGCTAGCCGTGAGAGCTTCCGATGTTCAGACCACATCTTGGACGCTGACCCAGAATTTGTTTCAGACAAGGAACAGTACGACCCTACTATCGTTCGCCTGCTCTCACACGCTCAAACTCGCGCTATAATCCGAGATATATGGGTACTCGACTTCCCCAATCATGGTCAAACAGCACTTCTCAACCGTCCTGTGCTTGATGCGCGCAAGGCAGCTGGGAAGGCGATGTGCAGTACGTTTTTGCTCCTCCTTCCCACCGTGCATTACTACAGTAAGACTAACATCACCTCAAGCAACGGCATATATCGCACTCTACCTCCAAGCCTTCCTATCCACTCCCTCACTCAAATCCAGCACAGTAGTAGGAGTCGCACATTCAGGGAGTTGTACGCTCTGGGTATTTGCGCTCACATCCATGCCCCCTTCTCTCACGCCATTTGCTCTCATAATGGTCGAACCCACATTGATGTTTCCTTCTCTCACTCCCACCGACCCTCGTGCCATCCACGGAGCCGCAAACGTCCGTGGCTGCCTGGCTAAACGCGACCGCTGGACGGAAAGAGTAGCGTTGACGAGATGGTTGGTAGGTGGGAAAGGTGTTTGGAGGAAGTGGGATGAGAGGGTTTTGAGTGGTTATGTGAAGTATGGATTTGAAGAGGTGATTGAGTCGGAACTTGATGCAGGGAAGAGGAAGAGTCATGTTACGCCTACATTGAGGAAAGACGAGGAGAGCCCGTTGTATGCTTGTTTGTCGCATACGGTTGAGCCTGAGTCTCTTGGGCGGGCGTGTAGGGCGGTGGAGGAGGCTGGGAGGGGGGTTCATGTTGTTTGGGCTGAGTTTGAAGAATTTATGTGCGTTCATTTTTTTCTTTTTCTTTTTGTTCGTGGTCGAGGAGTGACGTGACGGGATGTGTGTAGATCTAAGACGGCGAGGAAAGAGATCTTGGACGCTGCAGAGCACAGGGTGGTGTCTCAGCGCACTATCAAGGGGGCAGGTCACTTGGTACGTGGGCCTCGTCTCAATTTACCTTGTCGAGTTAGTTTATGAAATATTGCTTCCCAAAATCTATCAGGTCCCTCAAGAGAAGCCCGATGCACTCGGAGAGGCACTTGTCGAGATCCTGGATGAGATCGTGCATGGTTCGGGGAACACAAAGGCGAAGATGTAGAATTGCAAGTAAGTCTTTTTCGCTACCGTTACTAGCTGGTTGAGGACGTTTGGTTGATTATACGTCTATAGATAGGATCTCACCAATGTCGCTTGCATGTAAAAATTGTAAATTTACCGAAACGAAAACCGTACGCGTTGAGAGATCAATATTTCAAGAGCGCTTCGTCACTATGTATGCGATTTACAAACTTGAGGCTCTTGGTGTAATAAATGACAGCTTAATCAAGCTATTATCTATTACACGAACGATCTCTAAGGTGACTTCTTTCATAACGAAGGTCGCTTTCCGTCGGTTCGTACGCTCATAAGGTCTCATAGCTAATTGTTAAAACGGCCAGGAAGCGCACCTACCCGCGAAGAAACAAGTTGCGGTTGGTTTCAAATCTCATCATGTGGAACCAAGATACGTATGGTTCATGAGCTATGCGTACAGTAACAAAGGTTTGACCATCGAGTATAGTGATCATGTACGTAAGTTTATGAGTTATTCATACAGTAACAAAGGCTTGATTATGTCTATATGGTATTGCGATAAATGTATGTATGTACAATATCAGTCACATCATATGATCCCTCGTCAGCTTCATAACACCCCTCGTCAGTCCCATAACTCGCACGCCCAAACCTTCTCCCAATCTTCAGAATTATACCAAAAGTGTACGGGTGAAAGGGACACCTTTAAACGAATCTTTTTCGATCGAATACGCCCCTCTCCAGGACCAGTCTCGGCAAACGCATGTATTTTCCAGGGAGTGGGAGTGGGATTGTGACAGTGTTTCTTCAACAAGGATGCAGGCAACGTCAGCAGCCCCACGTGAAAGTCCTTTCCCTCGGTTCTGAACTTGACGAACGCGCGTATATTGAAGGAGGGTAGTATATGCGGGTAGACCACTGAAAATGTTTGAAGCGTCTTGAGCGATTCCCATGGAATACACTTTATCCGCAGGGGTAGGTGGTAGTCTCGAGATACACCATTATGCATGGCTTCAAAAAAATGATCGTCGAATGTGAGCGTGTGGGATCCAGTGGTGAGGTGAGAGATTGAAGAAAGGAAAGCAGATCCTTGGGGAGTGGTTGTGAGCCTCCATAGGCCATCTGAAATTTCTGAATCACCCGATAGGGTCAGAGTGTGTGTGTTCCACGGAGGCGGGGAATGTTCGTCGTTGACACTTGTGTCTGCATGGGATTTCCATGCATGTGCAAGGCATTGTGAAAGAAGACCCAAACTTGTGCAAGCGATGGCAAGTTTCGGTACTACGAGTAGCACCGGAGCCAGCAGGCTTATAGCAAGCTCACGCTCCGATGCATAGACCCAGTCGTCCAAGTAATTTGGTATGAGATGGCCACCGTCGGGTCCGATCCAGATCTTGCGCACATGGGGAATGTAGTCGAAATGGAGGTGGTTTGCTTTCTCCGCATATTTTTTCTGCATATGTAGAGCAAGCACGAACTCTCTCACTTTTTGACAGTCCCCCAGCAATATGGTGTGCAGGAGTTCTGGAAGTACCACCCGCCTGACAGCTCTGGAGAAATGACAGAGGGCGCGTGCATTTGAATATGGACTTTTAGAGTAATATGGAGCAGTCTGATCAAAGGTGGGTTGCACGTAATATCTGAGGATGATGAGGACAAGCTCAACTGGGAGGTCACTAAATGTAAATGTGGTAATAGGCTCCATGACCGTGTGCGAGTAAGATGCGAAGCTGGTTTGAAGGAACCCTGCCTTTAATACTTGCCTCATGAATTGTGGACCGGTCGGAGCGCAAATTGCAAGGGCCACCGGCCACAGCGCAACCAACTTTGCACTACTATACACTGTGGATAGTGATTCCAGTGAAAATCATTAGCCAAAATCAGCACCAAATGTAATTAAAAGCATAGCACAATGAGCTGAAAACGAAGTGCTGAAAGTTCCGAATTTTACTCTGAAATTACAGTTGAAAATCAGCTGAAATTGTGCTGCAGTCGTGCCAAAAGAAATGTTGCCCTGAAGTCACATCACATGATGAAATTGACCTATTATATTTCGCGTCTGGCAAGGATTGAACCCAGGACCTCAAGTACTCATACGCGCAGCATCGTCACCGCTGAGCCACACAACCATTTATATACCTCACAATAATAGCAATATATACCAACGCTGTGGTCACATGATAAAAATGCGAAAATTCCTAACTTAAGTCCGTAGCTGCAATCAATGAAAGGACGTGCTGAATCGAGGGTGATGCGCTGAAATTCAGAATCAGCACTCCAATGAAATTAACTACATGCAGTTTCAGTGGAAGTTACTCTGAAACATTCAGCATCAGTGCATTTTCCAATGATTTTCATTAGAACCACTATCCACTGGACCACAGTGTATAGGGGCCACAAAGTTTCGAATGATTCCGCTTGTGCGGAGTTTACAGAAAGCAATTTCAAACCCCATCCGAGTCGAGCCGCAGCGCACGGTGTGCTATTATCTCGTATTTACATCGATTCACGATTTTGAACTACACAATGCACCTCCCCACTACACTGCACTTTGAGACCTTGTTTCCAACTTCCAATTACGACTCGGATGATTATGGTAAAGCGGCGAGCGCAAGTGCTTGAACCTGGCTTGCCCTTAGAAGGTGCAGGATCAACGGACGTTTGCTCTCAACCTCGCCATGACCCTCCTACCCTGCGCCGTCCTTTTTATACAATGAGTGAGTTTGTTGGCGCTTCCGGTCACTCCCGACTCTATGGTAGTAGTACCAGCCTTATCCATTCATTCAAATTCGGCGACTCTCCATCCAGTAGTACTAACACTAAAACTTTTTGGGACATCATGCATCATCATCTACAGCTGTTCCATAGCTTTATTTGCATGCACATGGACTGGAATCCACACAAACGTTCTGGGAATGAACGAGGGCAAAGTTGACCTTTTGTCGTTTATTCATCACAGTTATGGCGCTGGTCGTCCCATAACTGATATTACCTGGGCTGTGCGACAGGTTTCGGTGCACATGCAGTTGCCAGTGCAAAGGACTTCAACGATGCCTTTGATACACTACCTGCCCAAGCCTAGTGCGACCATCGAGGTATATCAGCGATCGTGTCTACAATGCTTAGTGATATTCCAGAAGCATGTGGACGTCCGAGCGCTCCCAAACCTGCAGAGGTTAGTGCTTCACCCGGTCACATAGAGACTAATATGCAACAGTTGCCTTCACGGGATGGCTAGTAATCCGTGGATTCATCGCGTGGATGGTTGGATTCATACTCTGCAAATGGCAAGACACGAACCATCCTTGCATCTGATGAACTCCTGGGTTTTGGTCGTGAGAGACCCGTGGACATGCCTATTATCGCGGGGAGGAGAGATAGAAGATCGAAGCAAGGATATTCCTGTTAATATGGCTCTGATTAGCCGGCGTTCTGGTGAGGTAAGTCCATCACTCTAAATCAGGCTGTCTGTGACGTCTCAACAATCCCTTTACCAGTCTCATCGGTATTGGGGTCGGTATTTCCCCTTGTGCTGCTCGTTCTCGCTGTGTTCCATCTCTAGGTGGCTATAATCAGTATCGTGGTCAGAACATACTTCTCATTGGAGGGTTGGTGTTTGGAGGGATACATTGTATGGACTGGAATAATTTTTTTCGGAGCAGACACGTGGCGTGCGGTTTCCCTTTGGATAGCATGTGTGTAGCTCTTTAATGTATATTGCCGCACTTGTTACACTCGTTGTACTCACCATGCTTGGCTTGCGATCGCTGCCTCTTAGCGTATATGACATAGTAGTTTAGACCAAGTTCATTCCACATTTGTAGTTTCCCTACATCGCCGTAACGCAGTATGATAACTTTCCTCAATGAGCTTGATGATCCTATGAAAGACTGCCACACGAGGATGAGTGAATTGTTTCCATTGAATTGAGACTACGACAGTATCATGCCTTCAGTGTCAGACGAAAGTAAGTTCTTTACTGTGTCGACATTGTTATGAATAGTTCATACATTGCTACGGAAGGCCTTGTGCATGTTGATCATTTAGGAAAACCAATTTTTGGACCCTCTACCTCGGCCAGAGCCCCTATTATCAGATGCACCACCACCACCCATGCGCCGCTGGTCGTATTCACTTTCAGAACTTCAGTGGTGATGTTTACCATGCATAAATCCATGCATCCACATACCTTGTTGTAGACGGAGGCGCAGGAGAAAAAATTCTAGGGTAGTGTTGCCTTAGCATTCTTTCATGGAGTTTGATCAGGATGTCAACCCCATGTGGGAGGTCAGCACCACCTATCCTTTTAATGAATGTCGGAAAGTCCTTCATGACAGTCGCGCTAGTGATGAGCTGGAATAAACTCTCAACCTCCATCTCAAGAATGGGAGGAAACCTCGGACGACAGGTCGGTATCCCAATGGTATCAAATATGTGTAGCGAAACTGACCTGGATGTGAGAGACAGAGAAAGTTCTTGCAGGATATTGTGCTCAGTCAGACTAGATTTTATCGCGGCCAACGCTTTGTCCCGCAATACGTCCTGATCTATCTAGTACAATCACGAGTATCAATTCACAATTTCACATAGATAGCATCGAAGATTACGCAAGGGTCGAGACTCACTTTGCATGCCAGGCGATACATAGACTTCGGAGAGCATGGTGGGGGCTTACCGAGACCCAACTGTGTCGCTGTCTGACTTCCTTGCGATCGCAAAGGTGCAAACACGATCTCGTCAGTGTACAGATAGTACAACAAAGCCTGCCATCTACGTCGAGTTAATAAGCAAGAAAACCGAGTGTTAGACTAGAAAACCGCACGTGTTGAATGCAGTATCTGTTACAAGTATTTTTCGGTTCGGAGACGTGCGGTACACCCCCTTGGTACCATCATTCTTGATCAATGGTGTTGTTCCCGCAGAGACATTCGCTTGAAGTTCGAGCCTTTCATCTTCAAACATAAGATGATCCCATGCCAGTGTCAGGATGGGTGAAACCACCTACTATCTTGTACTGTTTCGTTTGTTTCATCCTCCTCCTCTTCATCTTCATCTTCATCGAGGTCACTATCGGATGCATAGCCATAATCATCGAGAGAAAGAATTTCCTCAGATGCTGGATGATGTTCGAGTGGAACTTCGATCAAGGCAGGATCCTTGAGCGTTTTTTCGGAGAGTACTGGAAGTATTTGCTGAGCTTGACTGAGCAGTAACAGATATGCAAGGACTCACAGCTATTGAAGTACTTCAAATCCGCGGTGAGGCCTTCATCGTTGGCAAACAGCGATCTGATCTTAGCAGCAACTCTGATGTTCCCATGCTTTGATCGAGCAGAGAACAGGTAAAATTGGGTGTCAAGGAGTTCCCCCAAAAGCGATTTCCTCAAGAGAGTGCTAACCCGCGCCTGGTTGATCGGCATTGTGTATGTGGGTGGTGGGTATGTGGAAGTGTATGCTGAGCGGGGAAATTTGATGGTTTATATACTGCAGAATCGGAGAAGCACCTGATCATGAATCATTTGAATTGATAAGGCCTTCCCAGCGTGTTGTTGTATGTAATCGATGATTCCTGCTTCGACAGCAGTGTGGCCTTCAGAATCACGTCACGAGGACAGGAGCAATGAACATCTCTACTGAGGTCACTACCAGAACTCCATCCGCAAGATCTGGGGTAGAGATACGAGATCCAGACGAAGATATGAGAGCTTTGGGAGGGGCGTCTTGATTGATCAAAGAGTGCATATCGACCGATTCTTTATGCCATATATAGAGAAACAACATTGTTGTGTCCCTAGGCCTATCGATCGCAATATCAAATGAAGACCGACTTGTGTCATCAGCACGTTGGTGTGTTTCTACCATTACATGAAAACCTACATTACCAAAATTCATAGTCCTCTTCCATGTCTCCGTCAGTGTCCTCGTAAATATCCACATCCACGCCATCGTCAACGTCATTGTTGTCGCCGTCCACCTCTCCGGATAGAGGCTGTGGAATAGTTTTATAGAAGGACATCGATGGATCTGCGATTGCATCAGTAACGAAAGAGAACATGATCGGTTTGTGCCCACTCTCGTAAGAAAAATCGGATTCTTGGGTATTCTCAATAGCTAGTGTATAAATTTCCATCTCGGCTGTGGCACGGCGCATCTTTGCTCGCAAGGTGAGCAAATCCAGCGCCAGAATGTGCACATAAGCGTTGTCACATGTATTACGCATTGACTTGGCCATCAGCTCCGCTTGACATGTCAGTTCTGTGTGGAATGCCTCGTAAAAGGCTTCTTGGACGCTAGTGGTGACCCACGTGCTCATGAGGGGTAACGTGGGGCTGATCCACTGTAGAGAGATGGTCAGCGCAGTCAAGCAGATTATTGCAGCACTGACGTTCAAGTTGGCGGTTCCTGGTTCCCCTCCTGGCGCTCCTGAAGGGGTAGGGCCGTCCAGAGGTGAGGGTTCATCAATCGAAAACCCTGCAGTCGGGATGAGGCCGTCGTTCCCCGTCGTCAAAGCTTCGTACTTCTCTCGCGTGGCTATCGAACAGGCCAAAGGCGCACAGGGCACAAGTGCATGGGCCAAAGGTTCAGCCGCCCTAATCAACATTGCTGAGGGAGTTTTGGTCTCGTGCATGGGTAGAGGGTTCATACGTGCTGATGCTACAGAATAAGAGGGTTCAGACCACACATCTGCATCACAAAGTAAGAGAAGCTTACGCGTCCGGTATTGCTCCAAACGTTCGATAGCCTTGCTGTACAAAGATACCTCCATCTGACATCGTTTCCTCCTCTCTTCTATGAGAATTCGCTCCACAATTGCATGACTTTCGTCATCTCCACCAGTACAAGATCGTTGGTGCGATCGCAATCTTTCATCCTGCTTCACTTCTATACTGCGTTCCCCGACTATTTCCCAAAGATCATCAGGATAGACCCGATCTTTGAGCAAAAACGACAAGACGTATAATTCGGTCTGGAGCTACATGAAATAAAGGTTAGGATAAACAAAGATGCGAAATTATCGGCTGACCTTCTGGTCTACTATTAGTCCTATATAGTTGTCTAGTAATTTATTGCCCAACACGTGCGATATTTGAACGATGTCAATGCGAGCAGCTGAGAAATCGAGCATTGCGGGTGAAAGATGGTATGGCATCTTGTATGAATGACGTACTGTAGGGTGGTGCACAAGCGCGAACCTGTTGGATCTATGAGTGCGTGTACTATTTGTAGCATACCTCAGACTGAGCTCCAACTGGTGGAGAGTGAGATCCAGATCTGGTGAGAATACTTCCAATAAGAATATTCGCAGCGGCTCTAGTTTTCCTAGAGAAACCTAGTTTGGAAAGCAGGATGGGTTTCATCTGTCAGTATTAGAGCGCAAGCTGGCCGTCATGGACATCAAGAGCCGCATCACAAAATAAACTGCTGGTGACCATCATGTGCATCCACAAAACGAATATTTACTGACCATCGCAAGTGACAAAATGGCCAGGAGCTACATTCGGCGCAACACCTAAGTCAAACGGTATTGGACGATGATGTTGAAATGCAGCGTCGATACGACTCAGTGATATTCGGATCATCGACGACCAGATTGAGTGTTGTGCGTGTCATGTGCATGGGCATCTAGCGTGATCAAGAAATTATGATATATGCCGGAGATTTGCGAATGGACAGGTGTCACTTACTTTCCTACAGGTACATTTGAGTCGGATAGAGCAGGAGATATACATGGTTTTACTCTTGAAAGCCTCATCATCCACACCTTTGTGATTTCTTCGCTACCCTTGTGTGCGGGCTCAGTGACTCTTTTTGGCAACACGATAGCACCGTCTGCAATGTTTACCGACATCTACACAACCAATCTTATGCAGGACGCCGCTTGAATGACGCATGGACTCCCTCAAGTTCGGTGAGCCAAAGAAAGTGAGTGACGGTCGGCGAAAAGTCATTGGATTGCACGTTCCCGAATGCGGAGCAGGGAAGAGAGGTGTGGGATTCATGTGCCAGGTTAAAATTGCTGTGATTGCACACATGATGGCTAGATGGGAAACTCCCGAGACACAAATGAGCTGTAGGGGTGCTAGGGAGAATATCTAATCAACAAAACTGAAGAAACATGGTAATGCGACCCGTAAAGACCTGGAACATGTCACCCTCGCTATACACCCATCTGTAACTTGCTCCTGACGTTGAAGAAAATACATTCGGATACGGCATTCATGGAAAGTGCCGCGCCTGTCAGCCATGTTGATGACGGTCAACAATGTTCATCCGGTCAGATCAGATCGGAATGAACAGAGTAAAATAGCCTTGGATATTATTGAGAGTGAGTTGTGAAGACGCCTCAAGGACTTGACAAGCTTGTGGAACGCACAAACACATGAGCAAGAGTTAAGCAGCAGGATACAAGGAACTGCCGTCTTCCTTCGTATAAGGCCTGCCTAGGGTGACTAGGCAAACAGTGAGCGCTGAGCCATAGAATGAGAAGTCGGAATGCGTACCTATCGAGAAGGAGGTATTATTGGTTGCATGGACAGCTTTGCTGGACTCATGTGTCGAGAGCAAGTCACGAGGCGGTTGTATTTCTGAAAATACTTGTCACGGTGACTGGTCAACGTAATTTCTCAACATTTTTACCAAACAAGGGACCCCAAAAGCTACGACGGATACCTGAAGCTAAAATTGTGATCAGTCCTTCCTATGTACCTCACATACGATGGCCTAGTCATGAGTGTAATCTACAATGTCGGCGACTTGGCGAGAGTTGTAATGGTTGAACTTGGTGGGGATGACGGCTGCGTCCGAAACCCCGCATTAAACCCCGCCCTGCATTGATTGCTCGTATATCAACTTCCCAATAGGCTGCATGTCCTCACCGAAATCGATCTCCCCTGCGAACTCGCCCCACAATAATAACATTCGCAATAAAGCCATCAGTGCACGTGATCGCTTGATCAGAGCGTTGACAGATTTCACCAATTCAGCTCGACCCAATCATCAATGGCAGCACATCTCATTCAGTAGCAATCTGTCAGTTGCTTAATGTATTCCCGTCTGCTGATACATGCCTCAAAATGAAAATGCTTTTAGCATACAATGGATAATCTTGTTGCGGCATGCCTGGAGGATCTGTGCCCATAAAATTTTCGATCCGTCGAAAGCGGCTGTCCCACGTTGGGATTCCGCGTTGAACGCCTTACTGATATGAGGTGTATTTATTGTCCAAGTCCAGGGAACATCCACATAAGGTTTTCGTACGGGAAGGATGATACCTCTGTGTTTCACAGCAAAGACGCCAAAAGTGCTTGCCAATGCCTATGACCCTGAACACAGCGAACTGCCCGACACCACTGTCTTACTTTCGAACGTGCCACTTCAACGACGCCTGAAGGAGCGTCATGTTGTCATGATCAGGCGAGTTTTCATGTCTTGAACATGCACATACATCTCATGGTTCTTATCTTCAGCATTGGAGGCGTCATTGGTACGGGCTTGTTCCTAGGCACTGCGACGGCATTGATGGAGGGTGGTCCTATGGGACTTCTACTCGGGTATACGTTCATGGGTACAATGTGCTACTGCGTGATGGTGAGCTTATCTTGGGTTCGCTGCTGTGTTTTGGTATCCTAGATACATAAACAGATAACTGTCGGGGAAATGATCGCTCTCCTTCCCATTCCAGGCGGTCATATCAGACTCGCGGAAAGATTTGTCGATCCAGCCTTCTCCTTTGCGATGGGTTGGAATTGCTGGTACTGTTGGACGGTAAGATGTCGCATTGCTGTGAATGACTCAAAGATATTTATGGCGTAATTTCACATCAGTTTACGATACCTGGTAAGTACAACCATGCTTTGAAGTCCGTTCGGCTTACACCTATTTTACGCTCGGTGAAGCTGAGTTATCAGCTGCCGCTACTCTCATCGACTATTGGAATCCTGGAGTAAACAATGCTGTGTGGATCACGATGTGTTTGGTTATTGCCGTTGGAATCAATCTTTTTGGCGTTGGTTTGTTCCTTGCTTCAATGAATGTTAATCGGAAATGTTGACATGATATTCAGGGACCTATGGAGAAATGGAGTTCATATTTGCGTGAGCAACCATTTTTGCCCCATGTCAGGATAGACTTGACGTCGACCAGGTCCATCAAAGTCGTCACGATAACAGGGCTTCTTATACTTGGCATTGTGCTAGACCTGGGGGGTGGCCCAAGTCATGATCGTATTGGGTTTCGATACTGGAAAAATCCCGGACCGTTTGTACAGTTCGATGGCATAGCTGGAGCTACAGGGCAGTTTCTAGGGTTTGTCCGTGTACTCATCCAAGCTGCCTTTTCTTTTATTGGAACCGAGGTCGTCACTGTAGGTGGGCTTTCCCTGTCGCTGACATGAATATTTTATTATTGCTACGATCTTAGATGGCAGCGGCAGAGATGAAAAACCCTCGATACGCCATGCCGCGGGCGATACGGACAGTGTGCATCCGAATTCTCCTATTTTACATTGGGGGCGTTTTTGTCATTGGGTTGCTCGTCCCTTCGAACAACCCTCTTTTAAGTCTCTACTCTTCCAACATCTCCTCATCTCCGTTCGTGATTGCTATCAACCAGGCTGGAATTAAATATCTACCTTCGGTACGTCTCTTCAGGTGTCTCGTTACTCTTGTCAATAATATCCAGGCCAGATCTTGAACGCAGTTATCTTAACTTCTGCTTGGTCCGCCTCTTCAAGCGACTTATATTTGTCATCGAGGGGATTATGTACGTGCAGAAATGCACAATCTTGCGTGTTCTTACTTTCAATTCACAGATGGCCTTGCTGCTGCTGGGAATGCCCCCAAGTTTTTCATGCGCACATCCCGTTCGGGCCATCCATATGTAGCCGTCATTTTTTGCTCCTTGTTTTCCCTTTTGTCATACATGGTTGTGAACACCAGCTCCGGCATTGTTTTTACCTGGTTTTCGAACATGACCGCTACCGCAGGACTCTTGGCGTGGTTCTGTATCGGGGTGACCTACATCCGGTTCCGTCGGGGATTACTGGCACAAGGGTATGACAGGAAACGTTTACCATACGCCTCGAGACTCCAGCCATATGCATCGTGGTGGGTGATTGCTTCGTCACTGGTAACTCTCCTGGTAAGTGCACATTTATTGCGCCGCTGCTGTTATCCTAAAATCCTTCATCATGCTTTTAGTTCAGCGGATGGCAAGTCTTTTTGAAAGCCAATTGGTCCAATGCGACGTTTGTGACGACATATTTGCCTGTCATACTGTTCCCGGTGCTGTATGCGACTGCGAAATGTGTGATGCGGGTACCCCTGGTGAAACCGAGCGAGATGGATTTCAAGTCCGGGACAGAGGACATAGAGACTGAGAGGTATGTAATATCTTCTATTTTTTTCCCTGTGACTGGTGATCATCTTTCCAGATCCAAAGAACACTCACCAAGAAATTGGGGAGAGGCGGTCTGGATGAGCTTGGTGTGTGCTTTTTTTCCCATTTGAGTTGAGTTCTTATCGCTGGAACATTGCAGACGTGATGAACGTTCACGCGTTCATATCTTTTTTCGCGGACACGGTGGTGTACAATGTGCAACTAGCGATACGGTAGTCAAGTTCATTATTTGTCGCGCATAGATGCATGGCTGCTGACCGATAGTATTTTTTGTTTCTGACAATTAGTTCCATAGATAAGGATGCAGTGCACAGGTCAGGCCCGACTTGTACTGATGGAAACCCGCTCACTCGCAGGGCTTCTTTTGCAAATGATACGCACGAACAGCCTCATGAGGCGTTTAACGCTGTGAAACAGGATACAAAAAGCCCCCTATTAAATTCGTTGAAGCAAGTTCACCTCGACCATGCCGTGTAGACTGCTCAAAACCACCAAACTTTACCACAATGACGGAAGATGCGGTGCGCATCGCTTGAACTGCTCGAGCGTTTAAATGTTATAACGTAAAGATAATTGCGGTCTTCCCCAATGGATGACATATGGTCACCGCCGCAGAACGCTTCATTTCTCCCGGAATGACCTTCGCTGTGATGAACATTCCCTTCAGAAGAGTCAGCGTGCGTCATTGGATCGAAATACCTCAAGCTGTACACAGGCGCCTATGGCAAGTGCTGCGCCTTATTTTTGCTGGTGATGGGTGGTGTGTCATGATACACCATCCCTAGATCACTATTTCCTGGCGTATACACTGCATTTCGGTAACTTGGATCAAATTCGTTCCTCCTTTGTAGTTTCCCTACGAAAGTGACGGAATGTGATAGCCCTGGCTCTCCTCGGTGTTATCAATATGTTAACGTCCAGGTGTGATTATAGCACGGGTGAGTTCAGCCAAAAAGCCTGCCATTTCGCTGAAGAGATGATGGATATGAATTGTTTACTCACCGATGTTGTAACAGAATCAAACATTTTTGATACAGAGCCCTGCACCAGGCCCAGGCACTCTGGATGGACCTGGCCTGAGTTTTTCCCCCCTCTAGGTCCAAGTCAGGGTTTTCAGGCCCAGGCCCGGCCTTGATATGAGGCAGGATATACCAGCTTATACATAGTGGCGAGCCGCAGTCTCTCCAGCAAGCCTCAGCAAGAACACCTCGTCCACAACACCTTCAAACCTTACCAGGATGGCAGAGGACGCAACGCGCATCACTTCACCTGTTCGAGCGTTTGAATGCCATAATTGCAACGTAGAGGCAATTTTGGTCTTCCCCGATGGACGACATATGGTCACGGGTGCAGAAGATAAGATGCTTTGGTTGTGGGAATTGAGGGAGGGAACTGTGCTACAGAAAATAGAGAAGCGTCGCAAACGGCTGCGGGCAATGACGGTATCATGGGATAGACAATTGATGGTAAGTGGTGATGATAACGGGGGGTTCACTGCTTGGGATTGGGATTCAGAACGTGGCACTGAATCTCTCAATCAAACTGCCCAAATCATCGAGGCCCACTCCATGGAAATCCGCTCCCTGGACTTTTCTCCGGACGGTGCGGTGTTGGCGACCGGTTCATGGGATAAAACAGTGAAGCTGTGGAACACAAAGACATGGCAGCTGCAAGGATACCCAATCAAGTTTCATGATCGAGTCTACTGCGTTCGGTATTCACCGTCTGGCAAAATTCTCGCCGTCGCGACACGCAACGATATCTATATTTTTAATTCAAGCACGAGGGAACCCATCACAATCTTCAAGGCTCACCAGCCAGAGCCTAGCGGTCGGTCGAGGAGAACAGTGACATATCCAAAGGATGAGGGAGCCACATTTCTGTGGACGCCTGATGGTGCCCGGCTTCTCTTAGCGGGCTGTAGCTTTAATAACTCAATTCGAGAGTGGGACACATCAACCTGGAAACAGGTCAACAATCCTTGGACAGGCCACACTGGCCGTATCAATGCCATTGCTGTGAACTCAGCTGGTACTCTTGTCGCCTCCGCATCCCGTGACAAGAGTGTCCGCCTCTGGCGGCTCTCGGATCGACAAACTATCGCTATATTCAAGCACTCCAGTGTGGTGCACTCCGTCACGTTCTCCACAGATGGCAAGCGCGTCTTCAGCGGGGGCAATGATAAGAAGATCTCAGAGTGGGCGGTACCCGAGGGCGCTTTGCCGAAGAAGCACCGTGACCGTACTCCCACGGCTCCGAAAGTTGTGTCCAACCTTAAGGTATGGTTGTTTTATTCCACCTTTGATACTTGAGACATAACATGATATCAGATCCTCGCTATAAACACGACAGCCCGCAGTGCATGCATAACTGGAGACTTGCCTGCCGCTGAAAGACTACTCACACAAGAGATTGATGTGGATGCCGGCAACTCCAACACCTATGCGAGCCGCTCCTTCGTTATGACGCGGAAACGAGATTGGGACTGCGCACTTAATGATGCACTTCAGGTGAGATACTTCACCAGCTCATCATGACCTTGAGACAAGTTAAGTTTGATTGTGACGTAGTCCATCAAAATTCAGCCCTCGTCGACAGGCTATATCTCCAAGGGTATGGCCCTCTGTGGGAAACAGCGGTTGCAAGATGCGATGAAAGCATTTGATCTCGCGTTCATGTTCGCGGATGAAGATCCCAAAATAATTCATTTTCTTCTATTGGTCAAGGCAGGTCAAGTTTGTCTTACATGTTCTGCGCTTTCTTACGATTTTCAGGCCGTTACCCTTTTCAATGCAAATGAACTTGACGAGGGAATGCAGCGTGTCCAACAGCTATCTGTTGCTTGTCCGGATGCCGATACTCTTGCATGTCATATCGTGGAAGTGGGTGCACTCAATCGAGCTCAGGTTTAGGTATTGACACACACATCAGGCATATTTTCACGTCGAATTGGGGATCCGTGCTTCGAATGACGAACGACACAGCGAAGCTCTCCATCACTTCACTGCCGCTGTCAAGGCCATCGATTACCCATCTCAATTGGACATCCACGCTATATATGAAGACTTTGTGGTGGTACGTCGATATAATGCAACTGAAAATACACTTTCTAAGTCTAACTGTACGCTTTGTGCAGCTCTTTGGCTGGGACCTCAAGTCCTTGTGGCAATCTGCAAACCAGAAGCGGTGCCACGCACTCCTTTGTGCAGACAGACTTGAAGAAGCTATGGAATCGTACCATCATATGATGAATATGAGTGATGAAAATATGAAGGCCAGCTGCCTTGATTGGTCTACGGGTAAGACCTCAGCCATCTCACCTAAGCTATGATTCTGACCCACATCTTACTTAGATTTCAAGCAACAGTGTGGTGCACTCTATGCTACCAACGGAGATGCTGCCCTTCGTGCGAGTGATTACGACAAAGCTATTGAACTATGTTCGGTAGCGATCAACCTGGGCTCTGTATGTGATACTGCATTTGCAAATCGCAGTAGGGCAAGGTCAGAAAAAATGCTATGGCAGGAAGCGCTTCTCGATGCATTAAAGGTACAATATCATGTTATACTGCTTTGTGGCCAACAATACTCATTTGATGATACATAGGTCATCGAGCTCAACACGTCGTCACATATTGGATACCAGTTGAAGCACGCGGCGCTTCATGGCGCACAGCGCTACCACGAAGCAATCGAGGCCTTTCAAGTCATGATCTGCATATTGGATAATGATCCCGATGTGCAAATACGAAGTAAGCCCCACATAATACATGAAACCAGATGCAAACTCATTCTTTCTCTAGAATTGCGTCAGCTATATCTCAGTCCGTATGAAGCAGAGGGTGCTATTCGAAAGGTGATCCACGCTCAGACGGAACATACTCCACTTCGTCTACTCGACACCACCACTGGGCTCATATGCGATCGAGAAGCGCAAATAACCGCTTTCAAAACGAGCACAGAGTACCAGGAGCTTTTGTCATCAACAATGAGGCATGCAGACCTCCGCATGGAACGTATTAAAAAAGCGGTCAACATTTACTTCCGCTGTGTTACGCTATCGCATAGATGGGAAGAGAAAGAGCCACTGCTGCACGACATTCAGGACAAGGTCGTGTACAAGTTGAATGCAGTTGGTGGCATTGCGAAACTGCAGTCGTTCTGCGAAGTTGCTCGTCGTGCAGACTATCGCTGGGCATGGATTGATACGTGTTGCATCAACCAGCATAACAACGCCGAGCTTCAGCAATCACTCAATTCCATGTTTGACTGGTACCGCCACTCAGCTCTCACGATCGTCTATCTCTCGGACGTTTTGCCCCCGTCGAAGTCTGGCGCTCTTGCCAGGAGCGCTTGGAATACGCGAGGATGGACTGTCCCAGAATTCCTGGCTCCTAAAGTCCTTCTCTTCTACCAGAAAGATTGGACCAGATATCTGGACGACCACTCTCCCAACCACAAGGAGTCTATCACAATCATGCAGGAGTTGGAGGAAGCAACGGGCATTGATGCACGGTCACTCGTCGCCTTCAATCCAGGGATGAATGGCGCCCGAGAGAAACTTCAATGGGCGTCGACGCGTATCACCACGTTGCCAGAAGACATCGCATACTCATTATTTGGTATCTTCGACATCCACCTACCTGTACTTTATGGCGAGAAGAAGCACAACGCACTCGGGCGGCTCTTGCAGGAGATAGTGGCCAAGTCTGGCGACATTAGCGCCCTGGACTGGGTCGGGGAATCATCCGAGTTCAATTCCTGTCTGCCAGCCGACATCGCTTCATACGAAGCTCCACCATTCACGCCACCATCTCTGTCCGAAGACGATATTCAGACATCAGTCACTTCGATCCGAAATGCGGTGCCCATAGACTTGGCCTCCAAACTTTATACCCTGTTCGACACACTCTGTGCTCCTCGTTTCGCAAACTGCAGATTGCACATGCCCTGCATCGCATTCCCTGTCACAGAAATCAAACGGAGCAGTGCTCGAGACCAGCCTGAGTTATACTTTACATATGCAGTCAAGGCAAATGGTCTTTGCGACCTACTGATCACCACAGGAGACAAGCTGCCTCAGTTCTCGCGGGAAAGGCCCACTCGGCGGACATTCATGCTTGTCCGTCCTTGGGATCGACATATCATGGAGCTGCCTGACTTTATAGATGATGATCCAGGCGTGGAAGATTGGGATCTGCCCAGGTCTCGTTCGCCAGCTGGTTCGGACTCTCATTCAGCAGCTGGTTCGGACTCTTATTCACGAGCGCTGCGATTGATTGTTCGCCTCGGGCAACCCTTCGGCGCACTCTTGCTAGCGCAGCAGCGCGGCGGAGAATACAAAAGAATTGCGTCAGACCGCGATATCACCGGTCAAGTCGTAGATATAGCTTCTGTTCACAACATGATGGATGTCAGGACACTAGAGATATTGTAGCACTAACTGTATATACGAATACCATTTTGTACTTGTATCGTTACTGGCTTGCAACATCAACTCCAGAAATCGGCAAGGATCTACAAAGTATATAACTGATTGTGAGCTTCACCGAGCATCGCAGTTCTTGAAAGTCTTCCACGACAAGATCCACCTCACTAGCATGCTTGGTCCTCATATTCTCCTTCGCGGAGATCTTCGGGCAGGTCATGAACCTTTACTCCGATGTGGGGAGGCAAAGAAAGGGGATATGCTGTGGACTGATAGACCTGCATCATGGCTGCATGTTGCTGCTTAGATATTAGGACGAGCCAGATGTTAAGAGTGATCGAGACGTACAGCTCATACGAGCCAAACATTTTGGACAAGAAAAAGCTGCCTAGAGCTGATACCGCAGTGAGTTTTCTTTCAGGTAGTTTCTTGAGGGAGTACGGCGGGAAGCAACCTCATCAGAATGACCAAGTCAGATTGACTGTAGTCTCAGCAACAATCATCACAACATTTCATCCTGTGCCAACGCTCGACTAGGCATGAGACTGACCTCCCGAAACTGCGTCATGTGCACAGATCTCCTTCGATGGGATCTGGAGCAGTAAGATATGAAAACTAGTCAAAGATCAGTGAGAGCCTTGAGAACGACGTGTTGATGTTGATTAGTGCACACCAGCTGGTGGTGTATACCGTACTGGTCCAAGCTCTGACTATGCATGATTCCTGCAACGAGACTTGAGAGACGTCAAACTTGAATCATGAGTAATGCCTAACATTAGTGGTCAGTACAAGAACAATGACCTTCGTCTACCACACGCACATCGCTCTCAAGGTCAAAGAAGCCATCAAAGAACAAGAAACCTTACCGGACAAGATACAAATATTCTCAGATGGCTCTGGACACGATGGAGGAGTAGGAGCGGCCGCAGTGCTGATTCGAGAAGGGAAAGACCCACGCACTCTTCGATATTTCCTAGGACCAGACAAGTCGCACACCGTCTACGAGGCGGAAGTAGTTGGCCTCACCCTGGCAGCAAAGCTCCTCGCAACCGAGCCGAATCTGGAATATCCAGCATCGATATTCATTGACAATCAAGCCGCTATAAGATCAGGTGAGAGTTCAAATTCGAACCCGGGCAGTTACTTAGTCGAGCACTTTCGCAGAATGACACGCGCGTTAGCCAAAACGGAGAGAGAACAGGAAAGCAACTTCGAACTGACAATCATTTGGATACCTGGTCACAAGGGTGTTGAGGGCAACGAGTTAGCAGACGCCGCAGCCAAGGAAGCGGCAGAGGGAGAACACCGGAATAGTGAACGAAGAAGCCTCCCAAAATACCTCCAAGGAGACCCGCTACCGGACAGCGCATCAGCCCTCAAGCAATGGCACCAAGACGCAATAAACTCACGCTGGAGAAAGGACTGGGAGAAGTCGCCTCGCTATGCGAGGGCCAAAGTAATAGATCCCACCATGCCCTCCAACAGATTCCTCAAGCTCTTCCGACCCTCCCAAGACGCCACACAAGTCTATACACCCAGCTCCGCACACGCCACGTTCCTCTCAACCAGCACCTGCATCGAATAGGAAAGAGTATCTCCCCCCATTGCCCATTATGTCCAGGAACCGACGAGACCATCCACCATTATATCTTCGACTGCCCGCAATATGCCCGTGAACGCCACTTCCTCCACAACACCTTACGTCGCCAAGCATCGTCCATAGCCTATCTACTGTCAGCCGATAAGGCTACCATCCCTCTTATGCGCTTTGTGAATAGCTCAGGCCGATTCAAGAATACATTCGGTGAGACCACGCTAGCTTAAAAATGTACAATAAACCTCACGAAAACCTTTGTAGACAAAAACACGCCAAATGTAAAAACTAACCACCGCACACATGTACCACCAATCCAATCACTCCAAACTCGATGAAGGGGATGACAATCGCAGGACGAGAGTCACCGTAGGAAACAGAAGAAGTGAAGAAAGGTATAAGGGATCACGAACCGAGGGCCAAAACCCCAATCCGCACACATACCTACTTACACTACTCCCACCACAGCCATTCCCCTTGTACGAAGTTGGCGTCGGCCTTTGCCCGACACTATGCCGACGGAGTACGTGTTCGTACCATACAAGTCAGAATCACATACGATACTATAGTCAAGTCGGGAGTAAACCCCCCGCATTCGAACAGGGTTATGTCTAACATAGGGTCTTAGACCCCAATGGACAATAAATTTGATTCAAAAAAAAAAAAAAAACAATGACCTTCGACTCCCTCGATTTTGACGGGCTCGCGGGTGAGCGTTAATGGGAAGTCGTCAAGGTGGCTGTGAATATACAACGCGTGCTGTGGAGGAAGACAAGTTGGTACATGGGCGTCAGGCTACAACTACAGTGACTGCGTGGATGATGATCAGATATAACCCGCAGAAATTGAACCTCCCGACAAGTTCCTGGTGCGGGTTTTCCTCTTCAAGTCGACCTCGTGCTCAGGAATCTGTAATCTAGATGGTGGCGCCGTAGTGCAGCTTGCCTGTAACAACCAAACACGGCGTCAGTGGAAAGCGCTGCGCCTTTCAGCTGTGTTGGCAATGGTGCATTGGGGCAGCCGAAGTATGATATTGATACGCGCGCAAGCTGTCAATGATCAATGAATTGACGGTCATAGTTATCGGGAGCAGCACAGAGTACGCTCCGCAAATATGTAACAAAAGTCTTGGAGATGATCAAGAGCGAGCTGTAAACGTTGTGAACATTTGGATAAGATGAAACACGTCTCAAGGATGCAGTGTACCGTGAGTGCAAATAAGCGCTGACGCCAGTGAGACTTCATACTATTTCGGGATGAGAAGTCGGAGCGCGAAAACTCAGAGTGCATGTACGCAGTACACTCAGCACTGAGTACAGCATACACCATTGGCATCTGTCTCTGATCTGTTCTGATTTTGATATCATGTCTACCTCGAGCTCGGCGGACATGATAACAAAGAATTTGTTTCATATGCCAGCGTTTTGAGCGGGCAACGCTTACATCTGGTACCATGTGATTTGTGAGTTCCAGGGACCAGGATGCATCTGGTTCAAGTTCTGCCTATACTAAGCTCTCTTGCATCGCTTAGACAAAGTCCAAGCGTCAGATCTCATTGGAAAAAGACGCCAAACCTGTCAATATCACAAGTGCCCAAAAGCTGTATTTCCCGCGCCAGATGCTGCTGACTCGAACAAAAAATACCGGTATAGTCATGTGAGCGAGTCGGGCGACTGTAATGGCATGAAGAAGCTGTATTTTATGATCCAGTAAGTATCGTAATTGGTATGCTGTATGCTGACTTCTTGTTACTTGTATGTAGTTGGTCAAAGCCAAAGAGTCGCTCTCAGATCAACTTCTCGTTTTGATTTAGGTCGAGACACACTTTAAATCAGTTTTCGACGCTCTATGTCCAGGTCCCGTGCAAATCGCACCCACTTTGAACAATATCATTAGTTGTGGGGTACGGATCTAGGTTCCCCGCACCGGTTACGATCACGGTAATTATGGCAACATGGAGGCTTCTTAACGCTGGTGTGTCAATGATGCAGCCAGTCTCATAAAGAGAGGAGAGAAAGGAACAAAAGTACGCTCTCAACTTCACCATGACCCTACTATCTTACGGTGTCCTTTTCTACATTCCGTTTATTTACGCCTCACTACCGAGCCCCAATGATACCAGTATCTCTACACGCGATGTCAGTGGCTCTACATCCAACTGTAACACCAGAACCTTGTGGGACATCATATGGGGCTGCACTGCGACCTTGTTCGCATGTACGTGGACTGTAATCCATCCAAACATCCCAGGTATAGACGACGGTAAATTTACCGTCGCCTGTCGTCGTCTATGTATCATGATCATAGCGTTAGTCGCCCCAGAACTTATGATCACCTGGGCCGCGCGGCAATTTTTTAGCGCTCGCGCAGCTGCAAATGACATTAGAGGTTGGTAACAACTTCGTATTCTTCAGTCAAAGATAACTCACATTCCACCGATGTATTTCCAGGATGGACAATGACTCACGGGTTCCTCGCATGGATGGGTGGGTTCTTGCTCTACGTCAATGGCATGCCGCGAGCCACTCTTACACCCGATGAACTCCTGCGCTTTGTTCATGAGGGATCCGTGGACATGCCTGTCATCACGGAGGCAGACATAGAAGATCGAAGCAGGGGTGATGTACTATCCAAAGGCGTCGTCATTCTTCAGCTGGTGTGGTTCGTCCTCCAGCTTGTCGCCCGTCACGCCCAGAACCTTCCCATGACGCTGCTTGAAATCGACACCCTGGCTGTAGCTGCTCTGACCTGCGTTCCCTATGGCCTATGGTGGAAGAAACCTAAGGATATAGGACGTCCTTATGCTGTTCATTGGAAAGCAACTAGACCTCCGCCAAGCGACTTAACCTACGAGTACGTCATGAGCACTCTTGCTTGAAATCATTTCATGTCGCTTGCATTCTAGCCAAGCAGATCCATCATTGTCTGATGGAAGCTGGTTCTTTTCTCTCATCTATCCCTTTATTAGCGTTATGGGTTTGGGATCATTCTGTTCGCTTGGTGCTGTCCATTCGCGTCGAGTTCCATCTCTTGGTGGCTATGGTAAGTATCACGGTGAAATCATACTCCTTGTTGGATGTTTTAGTGGGATGGTGTTTGGAGGGATCCATTGTCTAGGCTGGAATTCTTCGTTCCAGAATCACACTGAACAGATACTATGGCATGCGGCTTCCCTTGCGGTAGCGTGTGCACCGCTTTACATTTATTTTCTATTTTGCTATAAGAATTGGTTGACCTTTATGAATGATTGTAACATATATTTCATGTTAATTACTGCAAGCATCAGCGCTTTCATATATGTTGCTGCACGTCTTACATTAATTGTACTTATGCTGCAGAGCTTGCGATCACTGCCTCCTGGCGTGTACGATACAGTAGTTTGGATCAAGTTTGTTCCGCATCTGTAGTTTCCTTGCGTCGCAATCACAGAATAGGATAATTTGTCTCACTCTTTTAGAATCAACGGCAACGTCAGCTGCTGTGTTGCAACGAGACGAAGGGTTGGCTCGTATCATTTCCGTCCCGCAGGCAGTGCTTCAAAAGATCCTCTCCCAAACGTTGCATGTCCTCACCAAGATCGAACTCTTGCACGCCTTTCCCTGCAGAGGAACCTCCGTCCTTTCTTCGACGATACCACATTACCACTGATGAACCCCCTACCTTCGTCCGCGCCCAGAACTTCCGCTTCGACGTCATCACGCTGGACTTCAGAGCTTCCAATGCAGACTTCCGATCGACCCACGACATCCATGAGGTATCGATACCAGTAGCATGGTGCACATGTCAACATCGACCACCGCTCGTTCTTGGGGGCTAGAATGTTCAATAAATGCGCACTCAAAGTATTGCGAGGATAGCTTGACACGATCTTGCCAGAGAACAGCCAAGATCGTGCCAATGTATTGAATGATTAAAGAATTACTGAGTGTCCTTCATCATAATGGCTTAGGGGTGAGCATGACCATGTGGAATTCAAAGTCGATCTAGCGAAAAGCAAGGCCCTTCGCAGGACCAAATGAAAGCATTAAGAAACCCAGTCTATCGTAATTTTCGTGGAACTGGAGGTTCGGACCGTTTTGCATCGCATAGGAAAGGAGCTGGCATGTCCACGTCCATGCGTTTCTGATCCCCTCATAAGTCTGCGGGCGCATGTGCCTCTTACGAGAACTATAGTGGCATCGCCAGCACGGTTTTCATGAGGATCTGCATCACCATCTTGTGCAACATGATACTCGAATAACCATACTTAAGCGCCATTATAATTCCCTTGCATTCCTCGACTCCCCGGATTGTAATACGCTCAATTAAGGGAGCGGGTGGCGGAGAATTATTGTCAGATCAGACATTCCTAAATATTTAAAGGAGGTCAATACAGGTGCCAGGGTGCAACTGTTGTGACTGCGCACCTGATGACCAGATGTGAAGAATGGATTCCTTAGAGAGGGAACACAGCGTCGAGTGACATCGGGCTGAAGAATTTAGATAAACCATGGCAAATTAAGACCCTTCCCCTCGTCTGCCTCAACTTGAACGTTCAGCGTGCAGCAACCAAGATGGAAGTCCAACCTTCCTGTACTTGAAGCATACGTGCCGGCGGAAACACTCTCCAAACTTCTCTGACACAACATCGATAATTTGCGCAGAAAAAATACCAATGATTGAGCTCCAGTCGTACATGCATACAATCAGAACTCCTCAGTTGATCTGACATTCGTTTGCGACTTGCCCGGAAATTGGAATCGACAAGTTCCTCGCTGGCAGATGCCTACTGCCACTTCGTATCTCTTCACGTACCACGTCTGTGGCGAGCGCTGCGCGTTTGAGTCATGTGCAAGAGTATAGAATCGGAAGACAAGTTCCTCCTTGATTGGCCAGATCAGAACTTGAACGAGCGAGCTGTGAACAAAATGAGCTTGTGGAGCACTATTACATAATGCACCAACTCGCACAAAACCAAAACCAACAGTGCCAGCAGCCGTCACGGTCACTGCATCTCCTTCTTGCTGGTAAGTTAGAATGTCGCTGATGCTGAATCCTCGTTCTAGTCTTCCAGCAAGCAGTTGAGTTCTACTTATTTCCTGTCTGTAATTTGACCATCCAAGCAGAGAATGTATGTCCCACGCCTGGCACACATTTCGTGCTTCTATCCCATATATATTCCAACATGTTTGTTCAACGTACTTACATCTGGATCCAGCCTGCTGCACGCTCACATTGCAAGACTGGGAAATTGTATGCTCAATTCAAGAATGGTGTGCTTCCAATACCGACTTTGGTTCCTCGATCGTTCATAGCGGACACGTAATACGATATTGACCGCTTCAGGACATGAGATGTGAGTGCCACATTACCGTCTATTAACGTGTAGTTCATCATGATTGTCCCTGGAGAACCCTAGGCCAGTATGTATTGAACATCGAGCAGTCTTTCCGCATGTGATGGACGCGCACCACAATAGAATCACTGCACCGCTGCTGGTGACTAGTATGGTAGCCTCGAGGCTTGAGGCCTGAGGGCTTAATCCTGCCTTGTCATACATTCGACACGCCCATAAAGAGAGGAGCGAAATGAATAGACTCATGCTCTCAAATTCATTATGACCCTCCTACTCTTCGCTATCCTATTACTTTTACATATCGCGTTTGTTTGCGCCTCACTGTCAAGCCTCAATGGCACTGGTATCCCTACAGTCGATGTCAGCGACTACCCGTCCTGCAGTAATACCAGAACCTTGTGGGACATCATCTGGAGCTGCGCTGCAACTCTATTCGCATGCACATGGACCTCAATCCACCCAAACATCCCGGGCATGGACGAGGGGAAATGGACTGTTTTGTTTCGGCGCCTATTCTTCATGGCCATGGCGCTGACCGCTCCGGAACTCATGATCACCTGGGCCACGAATCAGTTTCTAAGTGCTCGTGTCACTGCAAACGCCTTCAATGACGTCTTTGGTGCGCGACTTCACCAGATTCGCGGTGACCATTCAGACATAAGAGAAAGCATAACCACATTGCTTAATGGAATTCCAACATCAGATGGAAGGAACAGTTCACTTCCGAGCGCTCCGCATGCCGTAGGTCGCGATTTCAGAGGTCAATTACCTGCTCGGCCTTTCAGCGCGATAGCTAACGTTCAACGGATGTCACACAGGATGGACAGTGACGCATGGATTTTTCGCGTGGATGGGTGGATTCATGCTCTACTTCAATGACAAGCCACGAGCCACTCTCATACCCGATGAACTTGAGCGCTTTGTTCGTGAAGGATCCGTGGACATGCCTGTCATTATAGAGGCAGACATAGAAGACCGAAGCAAGGGTGACGGGCTATCCAAAAGCATTGCCGTTCTTCAGCTGGCGTGGTTCGTCCTCCAGCTTGTCGCCCGTCACGCCCAGAACCTCCCGATAACATTGCTTGAAATCGATACTCTGGCTGTAGCTGTCCTGACCTGCGTTGCATATGCTGTGTGGTGGAAGAAGCCTAAGGATGTAGGGCGCCCTTATGCTATTCATTGGCAAGCAATTGCATCTCCGCCAAGCAGATTAGCCTATGAGTATGTCGTCAATATTGCTGTCCAAAATTGTTCTGATTCTTCTGCGTTCTAGCAAAGTAAATGCAGATTTCTCATTGGAAGGCTGGCGTCGTTATGCTTTCTTTCTCGTTTATCCCTGGGGGAGTCTTATGGGCACTGGCGTGTTCATTTCTCCCCGGGCCGTCCGAGAACGTCGGGTTCCGTCTTTAGGTGGTTATGATGACCATGATCGTCATGATCGTAATCATATCATTACACTTCTCATCGGATGCTTCAGTGGCATGGTCTTTGGAGGAATACATTGTCTGGGCTGGAATGTTTTGTTTCAGGGGCACACAGAGCAGATACTATGGCGCGCGGCCTCCCTTATGGTAGCATCCGCGCCGGTATTCATTCTTCTGATATTTGGCTGTGCCATATTGTTGGAAGTCACTGAGGGCCATTGGGGAGAAAATGTCGCGAGATTTGCTGCAGTCATTATGGTTGCCATTTATGTCGCTGCACGCATTACATTCATTGTACTTCTGTTGCTGAGCTTTCGATCGCTCCCTCCTGGCGTATATGACACAGTAGCTTGGACCAAGTTTATTCCTCATCTGTAGTTCCTTTTACCTACGTCACGATCATGATTATGAACTTGCCCGGCTCTGCTGGAATCACTATGTCAAGATAGAAGGTACGAGATGAGTAGGGGCTTACATTCAAACCATGATAGCAGCTCGCCATTTCAACACTAGCAACGATCGATGATCGAGGTGAAATCATGCTGTGACGTATCAATGAGCTCGGGAGATATCGTACTTCATGAGGATTGATCCGTAGCTGATTATTTGTGAACCTGAGGTGGAGCGAGCGAGAAATGTTGTGTGAGAGTCCACGAAGGACTAGGATGTTCACCGCGAAACCGTACCTCAAACGATCCACGCGTAGGTGATAGCTGGTCTGTAAGAATCTTGGAAAAGACAACGTGAGGCATCACGGGTCAGATAGACAGTAATAACTCACCGAGGCATGCACAAACTCCACAGTTTGCAGGTCAGTATAGGTGTCGACCTCTTTAGACATAAAGAAAACAGCAACTCTGCCGCATCCGAGTCATAGACGATCGTTTTTGATGGACGGCACGTTGAACGCACTATGCTTCATTCAAGTAGATTCAAGTTACCAGGTGCGCCTTCGTGTCTGACCACTAATTCAATGGTAGGACGCGGATGTTGAGCATGTCTGCCTCGGCTACTCGTTCGCCGGATAGAATGTCTGAGGACCGAGCACAAAGTGCTGATACAGAAGGCAAGGGATATTGAATGCGTCCAAGCTCGGATGTCTGCCATGGAAGGATAGAACACGCAAAAGACATCCAGGCTGAAGACATGCAACTTTTTTTCCCTCTTCGCAAGCCCTAACAGGATCCAAGCCTCCTTTGGTATAAATCAAGGGATTCAGTCCTCGCACGAGATCTTCAAAATACACCTGAGTGACACCTATTCCCACACTTGTTAGTAACGTACATAGTATAACATATTTGTTACTAACGAGGGGGGCAAACCTACGCTGCAGTACTTCAGCGATAGCTGCAACAATCAGCAGTGACTTCAGGAATATTAAGAGGGCGGGTAAATAACATATATAATATAAATAACATACATTATATAAATAACATATCAGGCTATTGATTTGTCATCTCCCCGGATATCTCCCTTACAACACTGCCGCTACGCCTTCTGATGGTGCCCACGCCCCTCTCTTTCCATCTCCACATCGTCCTTGACGACGTGCTCGCTATCCCGCTCATTCCTCTCCCAACTCTAGCCGATCTTTTGGTTTTCGGGATCCTATGGACCATCGCTCGCTCTCTCAATGGACGCGATGACGTTCTCATGCCGCTCCTTTTGATTGCTCCAACCTCGTGTTGATCGGTCTTTGCCGGCGCTTGCTTTTACTCTTCATGCGACGTGTCCCTTGCTCAGGTTCTACACTACCACCATCATGGCTCCCCCGAGAAAACGGATGTCAACATCGTCGAGAGTTACCATGACTCTTCTCAGTAGTTCCATGGATCTTCGTACTTCCAGATCATCGCTCTCTCAAATATGAGAGTCGCGGCTTCGCAGGGAGCGAGAACAGCGCCAGATTCGAGGTATGTCACTTATTCTCATGATGGTCTCTTGCTCACTTTCATCAGACGATTCTAGACGCATGCAGGAGCTGCTCGCTGAAGCCGAGTTGGAGGCTGGGCAAGATTCCTTGGATACCATGGACTTTGGAGGCGAGATTGTTGATGATAGCAGAAATGAGTTCGCTGAGGACGAGCCTGTGGGTGGTCCGCTTTTGTCTGAATTTTTCAAGACATGCTCTCAAGAACGGTAAGCATTTTCCCCCCTCTACATAGGTATCTAACGTTTATCTCTAGGGAAACTCATATACGCGGGCGCATTGATGTGCGGACCCGAACAAAACGTCGCCAGCATGCCAATGCCGCTTGGAAGGAGCAGATGCCCACCCTCGTTGATGGCTACTTGGCATGGAGACATGAAGCGCCAACTGACGAAGACAATACCATTGCGTCTAACATGTTTCACGTTGATGTTGTTGGAATTTCCGGTAAGGTTTCATTCCTTCAATACATGGCCCTTACTTACACTCAATCACATTCAAAGATTTTGCACGTGCCATCACCATCCAGCAGCGTCCTAATGAACCAGCGAATGCAGCCCTCCTTCGCATGGGACTTTTGGGGTGCTCCCCACTACGGCCGACTATCGCTATTCGCATCGAATGCCTCGAACTATATCACCAAATACGACGACGTCAATCCTCGTTTAGTATCCAAGCGATCACGAAGGTTTTGTGCGCACTTCATGATGTAAGTGTTGTAGCGTGTTATGTATGATGTCGTACTCACTTACTACACAGATTACATATTTTCGACAGTTTCGCGATCAATTTTCTGATGCGTTCGATATCTATCTACAAATCTTGCGGGAAATTCGGAGTCGCGTTGACCGGATCTTGGGCAGAGATCCCAATACCTGGCAGATCAATGGTTCTTGTCCTTCCTGTACATTCAAGGTAACGCTCCATTCTCAAATATGTAGATATAATTAAATCAATTTTACAGCAACCTAATGAGCCATTATTGTCACCAGCATGTCTCCACGCGATGGACGGCAATTTCTCAGCCAAGCGATTGGACGGGTCAGGATCAGCTGATCCGCGCCTATTTCAGAGCCGGTATTTTATTTCCGAGGCCGAGGTAGACCAATTCAAGGATGACGTTCGGCGTCGAACTAGTGAATCCTCCACGGTAGAATCAACGATATCGAGCGCTTGCACAGAAAACTGGACTGCAGCCAAGGCTGTGGACAACGATAGAATTACTGTGTTTGACCAGACAGGGATTTTTCTTTTAGCGTGTCGTCATGGGCTCATCGAAAGTGTAACTGAAATGAAACGCAGCGGTGAACTGTACGTGTTTTAACTCTCATTTGTACTACGCTAATCATCCACCAACAGCGCGAAATACGGTCTGGCCACAGTCAATAGACTGCTCGATGTCTGCGGCGCGGATCAGGCTATCGGACACGATATTGCATGCTCATCTCGCAAAACAATCGCGACAAGTTCTATCGGAGTCAAGGCAGCTGGACTAAATCTACAGGTTGTTGTAAACGCCTTCCACGGCTTTTCTCATGACCGCCGCTGTCAGCTTCAGAATCACCCTTTGTATCTCAATGGTCTAGGACTTGAAGACCTCGAGACTTGCGAACGCATCTTCGCTAGTTCAAACAGTGCTGCAATTTTGATCCGACATGCGTCATACTTCCATTGGATGCAGTTCCTCGACCTCCACTTCGATCAGTGGGACATGGACCGGTACTCAGACCTCGGTATGTCTTTTTGAGCGCCCAACAGCAATTTTTTTCTGACTATTTCAGGCGCATTTCTTTACAACAACTATGTTCAAGCTCTTCAGATCATTGAGACCAACACACCCGTCCTCGAGGAATTCAAGCAGCTCCATGATCTTACGGATGCGGACTTCGTAAACTGGCGAAATGAGGAGTTTGAGTATCTCAGCAAGGTTGCTACGGAACCTACTTCGGATGCAATTGTAGTGGCTTACGTCGAACAGCTTGAGAAGCTTCAATATGCGGAGTTCGTCTTTGCGCCCTGTTTACTTGTGTAGTTCTCATTGCATGTTTTAGACAAACATATGGCCGTCTTACTTCCGTGCCCTTTCTGACGTATACTCCCGCAAATTTCACTCGCACATCTGGCCTCAATGCCACCGCTCGGAACAATTCCAGAGCATTCGAATCTGAGCATGCATCTGCGCTACGCAAATATGAGCTGCAATTGAATGTTGTCGAAGATTTCGAGCGTCGTCACAGCATTACGGAGCGGTGGCTACCGCATGACCCAAAATACACGCAAGCAGTCAGATATTCTCAGGAACGTCAATTCATTCGTTCGGTTGAGGAATTGGAGGGCTTAGTTGTTCGGCGTCTTTTTGAGTTATCAAAGGCTAATCTTGCCGGCACTGGTAGGCGCTTTTTGGACATTCAGATAAGTGATGTACTCATGGACTACCATAGGCTACAAGATGAGAAAGTATATCTCAAAGGCCATCACACGACGTTCGGCTGCCATCCGAACGGCTTTGGAGAAGTACAATAGACTCGCACCCTTACAAAATCCACCACGTCCCGTGCTCGACTATACCGAAATTGTCGGTTACGCATCCCTCGGTGAATTTTCGGTTCTGAAACACTCACGCCACGATATCCTTACAAAACCATGGACTGTGTCTGCTAATCGCGAGATGGCCGCGAGGTATTTCAAATTGGTGCGATCACACGAAGAGATTGTACGGCTCAATGTCGAGATCAAACGCTTACATTGTTGGGTTGAGCACGAGGACAGGACCACGTTGGAAGCTATTGATTCACTCCTCGCTGATGACCCAGATTCTCCATTCATAGCCGAGTTGAAGACATTGTATGCCAAGCATCACCGTGTCAACAACAACCTTCGCAAACGACTCCAACAAATTTACGCACTCGACAGATACACAGGTGATCGTCTTCCTACAGACCAGACAGTGACTGCATCTAATGGAGACAGAGATGACGAGGGTAGCGTGAATGGTCCTGAAGATGATGCTATGAACGAGGAGGCCATGAGACTTGAAGATTTAGTGTAGCATTCTTTGTAACTTTCATACTGTTAATTCTATGTCACATTGCTTCGATTCTCTTGCGCCCTCTGTGGCATCTCTCGTCTATTCGTTTTCCCCTGTCACTCCTCTTGTGCCCTCTGTGGCATCTCTCGTCTATTCGTTTGATCTCTCGTCTATTCGTTTGATCTCTCATCTATTAGTTTTCTTGTGCCCTCTGTGGCATCTCTCGTCTATTCATTTGCCCTCTGTGGCATCTCTCGTCTATTCATTTGTCCTCCGCGGCAAGATCTCTTGTCTATTCATTTGCCCTCTGTGGCATCTCTCGTATATTGTCTATTGGTTTGCCCTCTGTGGCATCTCATCTATTCATTTGATCTCTCGTCTATTCGTTTTCCCCTGTCACTTCTCTTGCGCCCTCTGTGGCATCTCTCGTATATTTGCTTGTGACCCTTTTACTAGTAGTAGCACATTTAATTGAGCCCCGTTTGATCGGTGGGCACGACACAATATCTCGACCATCCATGTTGGCATTGCAAACTATGTCATTGAAAACTAAAGCTTAGGAAGTTGAGCTCTGCGCTGACCCTTTAAAATAGCACATTCAATTGAGCTCAGCGTTTGCAAATCCTACTCGATACTGTTCATTATGACTAATTTAATTCTTGCTGCCATTATCAAATGCCTCGTACCGAACAAACAGACTCGATAATCTTACTTCTTGACTGTGCTCACTTCACTGTTGTTTTACTCAATGTTGTCTATGTCACCTCGCTTGTTCCCTGTTGAGCTGGATCCTGTCCCTAATCGTCTAGAGTATCTTGATTTGCAAGGGGAAATTGTAAGTTTATCATTTAAATGATTCGAGCTACTGTTGAATCTGTTTTTCAAGAAAGATCACTTCGAAATAAAACTATCAGCAGCATTCGAGTTCTTAAAGAAACCAGGACACTTTTGCGCATCCCCTCAGATCGTTACCGCTGTTGCATCTTCTTGTTTCCTCGAGACTGAGGCTGAGGTGGCCACAGCGACAATCATGCATGATATTTTGCTGAATCGGCTTGCGCCACTCGTCCGTCAGCGCTGGTTCTGCTGGAATGAGGTCAAACTACCTAAAAGCATGGTTGAAAGTACGTATGATTCACTTGCGGCTTTGATAAGTTTGTTTTAACAGTTGTGCGGCAGGAATAGCAGCATTGGACCAAAATTCTAGCACGTCCTCTGAACATGTCCAACCAGACGGTTTCTTATTTCCAAATCCCTCAGACTCACCCAACGGTCGCCGCGCTCATCAGACTCCTGACGACAGTATCATGTCTTTCACATCCGAGTCATTTGACTTCCCGACTTCATGGTCTAACACCAACCATTCGAGTGGCTCGACTTTCCCTACGTTTGGCAGCCCAGATTTCACTTCTACGCCATTCCCTCGACCACCTGCACTTCCTGTGTCCAAGGGCCATGATCTCGCTGAAGCAAGCGGAGTCACAAAGCGGCGCCCTAAGCATGTCACACAGCCGAACGACGCTGGTTATCATGTCCGTATACTACCAGGCAGCGCGAGTCCCCTCACAATACCATCACGCGCTTTCGTCTTAGCAGCCCAGCCACTACCTAATACCAGTGCTGCTGTAGAACATGCCGCTCGTATGACAGAAGATCGCATTCTTTCGGGTGGTCTGAGCCCCCCATCACGACCTTTCGTATTAGCGAAGTGCACGTCTCCTGCCGTAAAGAAACTAACGGCTCAACCAACTTCTTCTGATGCGAAGGAATCATGCAAACGTCACAATGAACATGCCGCTCGTATGACAGAAGATCGCATTCTTTCGGGTGGTCTGAGCCCCCCATCACGACCTTTCGTATTAGCGAAGTGCACGTCTCCTGCCGTAAAGAAACTAACGGCTCAACCAACTTCTTCTGATGCGAAGGAATCATGCAAACGTCACAATGTGGGTGTTCTGACCCTGAGAAATGTCCTGACAACTAACAGATTCTGACAGGGAAAAAAAAAACAGCTGGTCGGCAATGAGGCGGGAAATGCAGTGCAAATGAAAACCATGTTGCGCGGCGACAAGGACGGAGTTTCAGTCACTAACCACATTTACCTCATGACATCTGATCCAGGTCCTGTTCAGTCGACTCGCGATGCAGGTTATGACCGTATCTGTGGTGAAATCGACAGCGCACTTCTTGGCCTTTCCCTTCACCACAGTACTAAGGACGAGATCTGGCGCTGCATCCAGCAGGTTGAAGGATACCAAGTAAGCAGTTGGAAGGCCATACTTGTGAAGCTTGATATCCCAGAAAAACGCCATTACAACATGCTTCAAATTATGGCTAGTGCAAGTCGTGACCGTAAACTTAGTGAGTTCCGCCCGTTCGGACTCTGTTTCAACCTGACTAACCTTCAATCTAGTCTGGACTTAGTTGTTTCGCTTCGCTCCATTCTCGCATATGATGGACCACTCATATTGCTTCGTTCACAATATCTCGGTTCGCTTCATGTATTTGTCCTTGTCCCTGAACTTGAAATGTATAAAACTTTGCTGCCATTCACTCCTTGACTTCAATGGTTCCTCGTCCGACTCCTAAAATTCATCGAGTGCGCGCACAACTGACGGCGACCCAAAAGGCTCAACAGCGTGCCCATCGCGAAGCACTCGCTGATGATATTGACACTGCCAAGGAGTCGTACGAAGCAGAGGCTGCTGACATAGCACAAAAATATGGCCGGCGAGTCTGCATCATAAATATCTTATTGCTGATATATATTAATTGTCTTGTAGATCAGTGAAGTGGACCAGAAACCAACTGTTTCTTCGCAGTCGCATGCTGCAGAAGACCAGAGGTGTTAACTCCTGGAACGCATTTGTCAAAGCCCGACTCAAGGATGAAAATGAAGGTCAGTGTAATAATTTAATTTGCGAAGTAACACTGGTGCTCACAAATCTTTCGTTAGGCTTAGGCAGAGGCGATCGCACAAAACTTACGGCCTTCATCGCAGAAAACAAGGCCACGTTACTCCGAGATTATCGCAAGCTAACCTTCGCTGAAAAGCAAGCTTACAATGCCTGTGTTCTCGAGGATCGCCAAGAAAAGAACCGTACTGCACGTTCAAACCCAAAGGCCGTCAAACATGATGTGAATGCAGCATTCACATCCATGGATCGTGAGGTACGTCGCAGTATCTTGCGCCCTTTGTGGCATCTCTCGTCTATTCGTTTGCCCTCGTGGCTTCTCTCGTCTATTCGTTTGTCCCTGTCACTTCTCTTGTGCCCTCTGCGGCATCTCTCGTCTATTCGTTTGCCCTCCATGGCATCTCTCGTCTATTCATTTGCCCTCGTGGCATCTCTCGTCTATTCGTTTGCCCTCGTGGCTTCTCTCGTCTATTTGTTTGCCCCTGTCACTTCTCTTGTGCCCTCTGCGGCATCTCTCGTCTATTCGTTTGCCCTCTGTCTACTCATTTGCCTCCGCCGTCTCTGGCACCTCTTCATTTATCTATTTACCGTCCGAGACACCACCACTAATACAACTGAAATTTATCCTCAGTGGATGGGTCTCCATGCACGCACTGGTCTGGAGGGGTTTTATGTGGCAGTACGCGGCGGAATTGAAGATCTTGCAGAACCGAAGATTTTTTTTACAGAGAAATCTCAAAAATTTGTTCGGGACGTCCTAGGCATTGAGCCACAGCATCTCGGACTGAAGCTGGAAGCATTCGTGATTAGCAAGCTTGGTATGTTATCTTTGTCCTCATCTTGTAGCCTACTGATTGTCTCAAAGATGAACATGTAACACTTAACCGTCAACGGCCGCTCAACAAACTTATTAGTGAATGCCGTGAACTTATCCAAGATAACCTTGGTATGTGCTTCGTGGTGTCCCCTCGTGCCGTCACTAACATAATTCATCGAAGAATTTATCTTAATGGAGAAGAACGTGTCAGGCAAAGTCAAAATGAATTATACAAACTACGAGCGCGCTATAGTAGAACGTCATGGTGTTGAGCTAACTAAGTGGCCCTTGCCGGGGGGGGTAAAAAATCCCTCGAAGGCTGGTGGAAGAGCGCAGGTTCAGGTTTTGTTAAATGCTCTCAAGTCTGATTCGTGCAAGTGGGTGTCTCTCTCAGACAAGGAGCTTGTCAAGAGGATGAAGGATAACCGGGATCGGCATGCACGTGGGGAACAAGTTTACGTGCAAAGGAAAGCCAGGGCTCGCATCTCACAACCCAAGAGTAAAGCCACTGTCAACACCGATGACGAGTTGAGCTCGAGCTCAAGCTCAAGCTCAGACTCGGATTCGGACTAGTACTATGCACCTTCTAGACACATTAATAGGACAGTAATGATAACACTGAGCGCAATAATCATCAGCGTCAAACTCGTTTGATTGAAAAAAAAAAGGTTCACGTCACATAAGGAAGAACATGATCGTGGTAGCGCGGTGATCATGGTAGCGTGGTGATCGTGGTAGCGCGGTGATCGTGGTAGCGCGGTGATCATGGTAGCGTGGTGATCGTGGTAGCGCGGTGATCATGGTAGCGCGGGACCTGGGCAAGGACACGTCGCATGGAGAGTAAAAGCAAGCGCCAGCAAAGACCGATCAACACGAGGTTGGAGCAATCAAAAGGAGCGGGTAGAGCTGGGCCAGGAATGACTGTGGTAGCGAGCACATTGTCGAGGACGATGCAGGGCGTGAAAGAGAGAGGCGTTGGAGGCGTTAGAGGCGTCAGGAGGCATAAGGACAGCAACATACCTTGTAGCTCCTGGCAAGAGATTATCCAGGGCAATGAGAGAAGGAAAAGAGTGTCGTAGAATGCAAGGGTGTCGACAAGCTAAAACCAAAAGATCGGCTAGAGTTGGGAGAGGAATGAGCGGGATAGCGAGCACGTCGTCAAGGACGATGTGGAGATGGAAAGAGAGGGGCGTGGGAACCATCAGAAGGCGTAGCGGCAGTGTTGTAAGGGAGATATCCGGGGAGATGACAAATCAATAGCCTGATATGTTATTTATATAATGTATGTTATTTATATTATATATATGTTATTTACCCGCCCTCTTAATATTCCTGAAGTCACTGCTGATTGTTGCAGCTATCGCTGAAGTACTGCAGCGTAGGTTTGCCCCCCTCGTTAGTAACAAATATGTTATACTATGTACGTTACTAACAAGTGTGGGAATAGGTGTCACTCAGGTGTCAAAATACTGATTTTGATTCATGAGAAAGACAGTACCACCGTGACTGGCATGATGTTCTGAGGAAGATGTCAGTGATTATTATGAATATCCGAGCTAGGGTACGGTTGAAAAATCGACACGACTTTTCAACAGCGGTTTATAAACAGACCACCTCGGGCCATTTATCAACAGGTGTTTTAAACACTTTTCAACAATTAGTTATTAACTAGTTGAAAACGATTTATCAACAGCGTGAATAAAGGTTTCACAGTGAAAAATTGTGAAAAATTAGAAATTCCAGTTGGTCGCCCTCTTTTTCGACACTGGCACATTGTCCTGGGCCGCTCGAACATTCTGCGAGCCGACGACAGGTACCGTAGAGATCAAATCACGCAATAAAGGAGAGCCAAGGTGAATATCTTCGTCCACCTGCAAAAAATCGTCCTCCGGCATCTCATCATCTTCGCGACGGTCTACGACGTCATCTTCGACATCATCCGGCAAGTCCTCCGAGTCCTCGCTGTCGTGTCCAGTGTCCACGTCAGGTGTGACATTGTCAGTAGCTGGCTTGACTCCTGTGGCAACAGCGCGAAGGAGGTCTTTGTCGATATCGCGGAACTTGACTGTGGGGCGGTAGGGTTCCTTGCGTGGTCTCGAGTTTTCAACCTATAGTACAGTGTTATGTAAATTTTCGATGCAGCATATACTAACTATTACGCACCTTTGTACCATACCACTGGCCAATCTGAATCATATCGACGAGTGTTTGAGCATTTTGGTTGCCACGTATCGCTGAGTTGAGCCATGTCAGCTTTGAGCCTGTTCGCTCGTCAGGCATTGAGTTGATCAGTACTGAGAAAATTTTGACGGCGAGAGCCTACAGAACAGCGAGTGAGTTAGTGTGACAGCGAGAATCAAGAAGCAAACACTTACAGCAAGAACACGAGCATGGGGATGAGGTAGAAGCGTGTTCCACCATACGAGAGTGTTTCCATCTTGAAGGGGGGCATTGAATGGCCCAGGCTATACTGTCATATTGAAGCATAAAGGTATGTGATAAGAGACACACCTTGATGCACAATGTGTCTAGTTCCCAGACGTCTGTAGCGTGATGCTTCATGAAGCATCAAGCCTCTGTGTCTCTGTGCTGAAGCTTCACGCTTTCCCACGACATTTCAGATGTTTGGTTTCACCCTTTTTGGGCTGGTAAGCGCCTTTGCTGGCTCTTGGTTGTCTCTGTGCTGAAGCTTCACGCTTTCTCACGACATTTCAGATTTCAGATTTCACCCTTTTTGGCTGGCGCAGCCCCTTCCCAGCTTCTCTCCATTCCCGGCTTCCCTTCTTGGCTTCTTCAGGCCTCTTTCCTCTATTCATGGCTTCTCCCCCCCTTCTCGGCTCGGCTACGGCTTTTCTTGGCTTCTTCAGGCTTCTTTCCTCTACTATTCCTGGCTTCTCCCCCCGTTCTCGACTTGGCTAGCCCATCAATTTGATGTCCTGGATCAAGATTTAATACTTACTCGCAGGTTGCAGTGTATATCAGTGTTTACACGACGATTTTTCTCACTAAGTCTGTGATGCTGAATGCGGATCGAGATTCGCCACTTACTGATTGAAATTTCACTAAGTCCCGTCTATAGTATTGTACAGTACAAGTGTATACATATACAGCGCTGTGTGCATGAAACATTTGCCAAGTCTTACCAGCGCTGCGCTCACGAAATTTCCACCAAGTCTGACACTGCAAATACATTCATATCTGGAGAATTGCAGCAAGAAGTCAATGTGTATTAATGAGTCAATGGTGGCCCCGGGGGGGTATCGCAATACATGCAGTATGGTTTCGACTAGTATAATACGGTATAAGAAAGATATTACTACAATATCTTGATGGGCAGGTAACTCAGGCGTATGATTTGCGTTTCCTGCCATAAAATTAGTGCTGTACAACGATGACAGAAAGAGCACATACTTCTTTTGGAGGGCGTTCTCCGCTTCGCCTGTCCTATGTCTCTTCGCACTCTCGCCTATCGTGTTTGCTTGTGCCATGCGCGTGGACTCCTGGCGGACACGACCTGTCTTCCGAAGAGGGACATTGACTGAGGGGGGTGAGCTATTGGAAGGTTGGATGCGTGCAGTTTGCGGACGCCTCTGCTCGACACCTTTCTTACCACCCTTGCTTTTCCTGACAACACCCTGGTCTGCAGCCACAGGCATGTCCTCTTCTGATTGCACCGCCGCAAATTGGGGAGCAGGTGTATCCACGGTAATTGTGACTACGGCAGGCACGCTCGTGGTAGTTGTGTCCATGGTGGGGAGTTCCATACCAGTCCCCTGGACCATAGCAACAGCGCGAACATGAGAGGTAGTCGGTGCTGTAGCAGCAATGCCAGCATCAATAACAGTAGTGGGTGCTTCTGCAGTAGGTGCGTCCATAGCAGTGAGGTCCACACTGGTGACAACTGTGAGCTGGGCTACAGTAGCGGCAGGACGGATGACCTCGTCAGTCAGTTGGTCGGTTGCTATGGGGTAAGGAAGAACCGGAATTTGCTGTGGATTGATACTGGAGGAAATAGAACAGCCGTCAAAGTTGTACATCGGCGCTGTCACTGAAGGAACAGCAGGAGATGTCAAATCCCTTGTTGTATTCCACAGCTCGGGGTCTTTCCTCCATGATGTAATGGGAGTATCAGGTGAAGTCAATGGAAGGGGAGGCACTGATGACGTTGACGGAAATGCAGGGAGTATAGGTGTTTGAGGCCAAGGTACTGATGAAGGAAGGGGGGTACCAAGGGCCCAAGAGTACAGGTCATCAATGCCTTGCGAGCTGAAGCGTGAGGGCCCTGGTGAGTCGAAGGGCAGAAGGCTCTCAGGGACTGCAGGCACTCCGGTGGCTGCTTCCTTACCCTTGCCTTGCGAGCTGAAGCGTGAGGCCTCTGAGGGCCCTGGTGAGTCGAAGGGCAGAAGGCTCTCATCAAACACGGAATTTACAGCTTGCTGGGAGTCGCATGCTGTGGCCACTGCAGGTGACGAGAGAGCCACCTGCAATGAGGTGCTCGCATCCGACATCGTCGGAGCCTCGGCCTCTTGACGCCAGGAATTCTCTTCTTGTTCCACTGGGAGTACGTAGTCTAACGCGCGCTTCTTCCTGTCATCTTCGGCTGTACATTACATTAGTAGATGAGCCCCCAAAAGAAATAATAATACGTACTGAAAACGGTCCCAAGATAACTCAGGTATGGGTTGAGATGCTTGTCTGTAAAATTCGAAGTCGCCTGCTTCCACGTGAGGCCAGATTGATTCACGCCTGTGTGATAACTAAAAACAATCAGCGTTAAGAACGGAAAATGTACGTATCGAACTCTACGTACCTCGAAACATTAAGCATGCCGCCAAGGCGAGGATCAGGGCCTCCACCAATGACAGACCACTCCCAACCTGTTAGCTGTCTTAACGCGTCAAAAAATTGTGATATTGGGCCGATACACTCCTCTAGTGCCCTTATTAATGTCAGAGTGTGAGCGAGACGTACTAACGTAGACAGACAAATTTCACTTACTTTGCATACTGCGCGTTGGTAGGTGTTCCAGTTGCAGCGGCTTCGGAGAGCACGACAGAAGCCTTAGCTTCACGTTCTTCGGCAGCCTTCGCCTTGCATAATGACCGAATTTCTGATGGCGCAGCCTCATATGCTGCTTTTGTCGACTCCTTGACTGCTAACAATTTCTCGTTCTTGGTCACGAGCAACCCGGCCTCGATTTTCTCCTTAATCTGCGACCGTACAGCAGTATCGTAATTCAATTTTGAAAATATTTCGACCTCGGTAAGAGCCCGAGTTCCTTTTGCCTTGTTGCCGAGCATCTTCGTAATCGATTTCGTCATTGCGTTGAGTTGTGACCGACCGCCCTTGCGAGATCTATAATTGAACCAATTTTTTATTTGCTGATTTTAAAATGAGCATCGTTTTTGTAAATCAAATTCATCGTTGTGAAATTTATTAACCTTCTTGCGCGCCTCAACTGCCTTTCCCAGCACCACATTCTCAGCCTCGCTGAGCTGTGAAAGTGTCTTGTCTGGGTACAGTACATCGATTTCAGGCCATCGATTCAGGAACTCCATGCTAACGGTGGACCAGAAGTTCAACAAAGTACCCTGAAGTTGCTGTTTCAGGAACTCGCTAAATTGAGTCTCTAGGTAATCCTTTTGTTCGGAGCTCGTCCATTGGGATCCAACCATCTGTCATAATGGTTGCGTGATCAATGACAGCATATTGCTAGGCGTGTGTCACCGCTTACCTTGTCTTTTTTTAGTCTGGGTCCGGTATGTCGGCTGGAAGGCTTTAAAGTGCCTCGATCGTTCACAGCATATCATGGTAGGATTTTGGATATTACTCACTTTTTGTTTTTTTTTTGCTTCTGGTTGCCCAGCTGTAGTAGTTCCAGGTGCGTCTGACCAAACAAAACTTACAGTCAAGCCTCAAAATAAGGTTTGGCCATCAATGAGAGGACCAATCATGTTCCTCTATTCCTATATACATTGGATCGGAGTTAAATTTAATGTCATATATGAAAAGCTACCGCCCCAAGGGCTCACTCACCCCCATTTAGTAGCAACACGTTATCGGTTCATTTTCAAATGAGCAATTCCAATAATACTTGTACCGTGTGCATCCAGCCTTGCACTCCGTCCTCGGTGGAGCCACTAACCTTCACCATCAATGAGCTTGCTGCCGCTCTGCAGCTCATCAGGGACCAGGACGGTAAGTAAAATTTAATTCCATTCTTTGACATTCTCACTATTTAATTGTCTACATAGAGATCTTCCAAGCGCACAACAATACCACTGCAGAGCTGCCCTCTCCTCACACAAACGGTTGCGCAGCTTGCATTTTCCGTGCACACCGTCAGCAGTGCTATGCCTGCTGTGCGAAAATTCCCAAAGTATCTGAACCCGAGCCACAGCTTGATACCACTGGTGAGGTTTTTTTTTTCACTAAGCTCCAATTCTAATTTAATTCATCCTAGCATGTACACCCACTACACAAAATGACGGGTCATCTATTAGCACCGCCATTGTGGTAGATTGAGTGGAATGGGTTGATTGTGATCTTACTGTAGATAGTACTACATACTCAATGTGTATGTTCGCGCCATTTTGAATTTGACTGTGTATCCGAGTCTCTGGAGTTGAATTAAAATTGTTATCGTTTGACCGTTCACTTGCGATCACTTGCAAAAATCATATGTTCGGGCCTAGAGTCTCTGCAGGTTGAACATTCAAATTGAAATTGTTTTCATTTGACCGATCGCGATTGGTATATATACTACTTGTAGTTGTGAATGGATACGTTCTCTATTGCATGAACTCGTATCTGACATGTTTAGTTATGAACGCGGACTGTTGTTTGAGTGTTTTCTCTGTCTGTCTGTCCCGAAGGGTCCGTGCGCGCAGCCATTCAAAGTGCCATTTCATATTGAGTAAGTTACGCCATAATCCTATACATACTTTCCACGCACAATCTCACACATCTTCTACGCACAATCTTATATACCTTCCAGCATCATTCATTGCTTGCTCCCGATTGCTTCAATGCCGTCTAAGTACACTGAACAACAGCGTCTCGAGGCTCGACGACAATCAAAACGAAGGCATTATGAAAGGTACGTCCTCTCCACCAACTAACCCAGATAGGAACCGACCGAGTCTTTACAGACACAAGCTCGAAGAACGGTTCAAATCCAGAGGTCGCTGGCGCAAAGCTCTTGGAGCTACAGAGGTACATATATATTCTACTCCTCACACTAACAGCGCATAAGCTAATCAACGACTCAGGCTACCCAACAGCTTCTACTAAAACTAGACTACCTATGGGTTAACCTTGGGTATTCTACAGGTCCTTCTCAATACGCAATCCTCGAGTCCCAGTGCCTCCAGTTGGTTTGTGACGCTGATGCTGAAGGATGGCAAGCTGTGAGGCCATGTTGTGAAGGAATGTTAGTAGAGGTGCAAGGACTTCTTTCTGAAGCCCGCGAGCTGCTTGCAAGTTCACTGCAGGCGGATGGTGCATGTACAGGGTATCTTCTTGCATCTTCTGCAGCTGCTGTTGATGCTGTGGAATTGCACTGTGATGCATTGGAAGAAGGACTGACATTGATGGACGACAGTACAGATAAATTCTTCGAGCGTCTCCGGCATGACCAACTTGTATGGCAGACGGTGTCAAGGTAGATCAGCATATTTCTATCTACAACCTGCGCATGTCCTCATTGGTGCCGTCTTTCTATCTACAACCTCTGCATACTACGTAGTGCACATGTCCTTGTTGACGCCATTGTCACGTCACGTGAGTATTATGGTGAAACACGCTGCCTCCATGCCTTAAGCCTTAAGCTTTACTCAACTACAAATTGCCATCATGGGTGGCGGCAAACGTCGACGTGAAATGGACAAACTAAGGAGAGACTGGTACGCACTCAATAGCAACCTCCATGCTCAGCAAGCTCAACGTCAAGCTTCGTCCTCCTCTCGTGTCGCTGACGACCATGAGCTTTATCATAAGCACTCTTGCTTCTCTCGAACCGCTTCAGGCAGGATCTCCACTGAAACCGAATTCTTCCATGTAGCTGAAGGTAGTGCTGCGCACACCTCACATGCACCTCAATTGGTCCCCGAGACGCTGATAGAGGAATTCAGCTATGATTTCGACTCATCTGCACCTGATGGCGACTTCGTTGATCCTGCGTATGAGAGCTACTTGGCCGAGTCTACTTTGGAGCCTAAGAAGCCTGTAAGGCCAACTGGTGTACGATAATTTTCAATTTTTATGATGTTCTTCTTTAATCGGAACTGGACAGGACCGTGCAATGGCCCAATGGGTTAAGGAGGAGCGAGAGAAATATCTTATGGAACTCATTAGACTCGAAGGCCGCGGTGATTATGCTACCCGTGAAGCCTGTCGCGGGAATCGTGAATGCACATTCGAGCCGGAGTATCGTTGCAAGGACTGTTTTGGCACTGAACTGTACTGCAAGGGTTGCATGGTAGAAAGGCATCGTGATAATCCGCTGCACAGGATCGAGGCATGTAGTCTAGATTGTCTATCTTTAGGTGCGCTAACCGTTGTTTTAGCACTGGAATGGTTATTACTTCGAGGATACTACCCTCAAATATCTTGGACTCCGAATCCAGCTTGGCCATGCAGTTGGTGAACGATGCTTCAATCAATCCAAGGCATTTGATGACGATTTCGTGATTTTGGACATCAATCATGTTCACGAGGTCGCACTGGATTTTTGCGAGTGCTCGTGCGCACAAAGTCACACCACACAAATTCTTCGAGCCCGCTTATACCCTGCAACATGTTCCGATCCAAAATCAGCTGCCACCTTCCGAGTTTTGCAACACTTCCAGATGTTGACTTTCGAGTCAAAAGCGTCCGCATTCGAATATTGGCAGACGCTCGCTCGTCTCACAGATAACACGGGTATCAAGCCCTGCAAGGTAAGCATGTTGTGTGCCTACGAAAGTTGGACTTACTAATGTTGAATTGATAGGATCGCTACGAAAGCTTATTGCGTATGATCAAGCAATGGCGGAACATCACGCTTCTAAAACGCTTCGGCCGAGGTCACGATCCTGCTGGTATCAATGCGACTGAACCTGGAGGATGTGCGGTGCTGTGTCACGCCTGCCCTCATCCTCGCAAGAATTTACCAGATGACTGGAGAATGGCGCCCCCTGACAAGCAATGGCTGTATGCACAATATTTTGCTATTGACGCGAACTTTCGGTTGGTCCGGAAGAACGTGTCCTCTGATAGCGTTGACCCTGGTTTGAGTAAAGGGTGGTCTTATTTCGTCGAGGAGACCGGCTTTAAAGTATTCCTGAAGGATATTGGAAAGGTCTCACAAGAGGTACGCAAGCACATTCGTTTTACATTGCTATCACTAATGACCAACTTAGAAAAGCACTTGCGTCAATCACAACGCCGTGAATCTCGCTGAAACAAAGAACTCACGAGGGCTGGCTGCGACAGGAGCAGGAACCGTGGACTGTTCTCGTCACAACTTCAAGCGGCCATGCGGAGTGGGAGATCTTCAACGAGGAGAAAAGTATGTATTGAATTATATCATCTTTATCGCCTAACTTACAACTTCAAACCAGGTATATGAACATGGATTATCTCTTTTTCTCGACCGTGCAGCACTCTGATGAAGTCAGCGTACTTAACGTATCCTACGATATTGCCTGTCAGTGGAGCAAACATCTATGGGACCGCATGTCAAAATACCCCTCGCGTCTACACTTCGAGCGCGACGGAAAGACAATGACATTCCTTATTCCAAAGTTTCACTTACCAGCTCATATCGCCGCCTGTCAGATATCATTCTCGCATAACCTTATCAAGGGGATGGGACGCACCGATGGTGAGGCCCCAGAGCGAGGATGGGCCAACATCAATCCCGTCGCTACAAGCACACGGGAGATGGGTCCTGGTGCACGCAGAGATACTCTTGATGACCATTTCGGTTACTACAACTGGAAAAAGGTGACTAACTTTGGTACGTGTTCACAATTGTCTCAGCGCAGCAATCCTTGAAAATAATGGCCAATAGGCATCAGTTTATTGAGCAAGATAAAGACCGCAATCCCTGAGTGTGAACAACACCAATCCGATTTCAACGAATTCAACCGTGCACTGACTGAAGAACGGCCGAGTGAAGTGGCCCAGTGGAAAGAAGTTGTTGAAAACTGGGAGTCCGACCATTCAAGCAAAAATCCGTTTGAGATAAGGACGGTCTGTAAGTGTAACTCACTCTGTATGTTAGATTTTTGACTGACCATGTATAGCCATGACACTGGCGGCCGTGCGCCTCAAACTGTCTCAACAAGAAGCCGAAGACCTCGAAAATGGGCTCAACAATTCATTGCATATGGATATCTCACCCGGCGTACTGATATCATCTGGACTGGACCTTGAAGAACAACAGTACGTGTTTGACATTTATTTTTTATTTATAACTTCTAATGAATTATCTACAGATACCGCCTACAACAAGATCTGGCCGCTCTCAGTGCCCATCCAACGGATCTGCAAACGACGAAGCTGCAGGAACGCTCGAATGCACTCCTGCGAAAGATAGAGCAGTGGTGCAACATTCAGTTGCTCTACATGCCTGCAGTCGGACGCCTTCGTGCAGTTGAAACTGCAAACGTGCAATCGCTCCGTGAGGAGAAGGCTCATGAAGTCAAGCTGTGGTTTCCATCGAAGGTCAAGGAGACCACTGAGCCATGCGAGGAGTCGCTTTGCGTATATGAGTGGGAGTTGCGGCGTGCACAGGCACACGAAGCTCTGGACGAGCTTCGCCGACAACTCCGACTTCGTACTCACCTCTACAAGTTCAAGGATGCGCACATTCGTGGTCAACGAGCCAATACTAGGGCGTCCACGGTGCTTAACAAAGTAGAACAAACCATAAAAACTGCTGTTGCGAGGTATCGCAGAGCCTGGTCAGCCGTCAAGACGCTATCCGTGGTCCTGGGCAAGCCAAACTGGGAAGTCGAGCTGCCAGAGTTACGACCGGCTGATGTTCGTGGGATGACAGAAGGAGAAGCCGGGCAATCTGAAGGCACCCGCACCTTGTCCTGGATTTGGAAGACCCACGGTGTAGCTGGAGTTGGCGAAGACAGCGAGGCTGTCCTATCTGAAGGTAGGGGCCTCATCATTGACAGGCACGGGGAATTGACCTAATCCTTCGAATAGGATTGCGTATTGAATGGTGCAAGTCTCGGGCACGCGCTAACCGGTGGGCCGAAGAAGTGGACCTCCTGCAAGAGGAGATGCGGCGTGTAGCCAGCTTTCTTTCGTGGCATGCTGGGTGGTGGGAGGAGCAGGCAAATCGGAGGACCGCCCTAGCTGCACCCGAACAGGAGGGGATCGAGGGGTATGCGAAACGGCAGGCTGCTCTTCGTAGAGCCATGCGGGACCGATTCCAGAAGATGTGGAGTGTCGTGCCAGCGCTTCTCCAGTCCACGTCGCCTGCAACATCAGTGTTGTAGGGGAGCTTTTGTTTTATTCATAGCGCGTGTTGACTGAATATAGTAATATTGATGTTCGTTCCTATTGATCAGGGTAGCGCCAACGAGGGAGAACATCAAACGATCGGGTCCCTATTGATCGGGGTAGCGCCAACGAGGGAGAACATCAACCAGGGACTGGAGAGAAGCACCAGCACCAATGAGAGAATGAGGGAATCGGGCTGAGATCGATCTGACAATGATCTGGCATGCGAGCTCTCCAGCTTTGATGCTTCACAGTCAGAGGGATAAGTAGGGCAGGCAGTGTCTCTGGCTTGATGCTTCACGGTCAGAGCTTGATGCTTCACGGTCAGAGGGATTAGTAGGGCAGGCAGTGTCTCTGGCTTCATGCTTCACGGTCAGAGGTTTAGAGGCATTTGTGCATCAAGCCTTGTGTCTAATTGTATACTTTTAAGCTTCATCACTACAGGTACAGGTGAATGGCCACTCGCTGTGAAAATAAGCCTCGAGTTGACGTCTGAACTCATCAACAACACCAGCTGCTCCAATCTCGTGCACAAGCAGTGAGATTGGGTCTTTGAGTTCGTGTACTTCATCGTGTTCTACCATTGCGCGCAGCATAGGTTTGAGAAATTCTTTCACGCGATGGTAAGCACGTGGATGAGGCATCGGACGCTCAGCACTTGCAGACGTGTTTGGTATCTGTGCTGGTATACGGATGGTTGGGGCTGCCAATGCTGATTTCATGATGTTGTCTGAGAGAGGATAACCTACGAAATGACATCAGTGAGGACACGTAAGGAATCAAAAGCAACGTACGTGGATCAAGCACAAAAGCAACGAAATAAACATCGTTACCGAAAAATTCCTTCCACCGGCTGTTGAAGATGGCAGTAATGCGTCGTGCGAGGGAAACTGGTATCCCTGTCTGATCTTCACCCTTTGCGAATAATTCTTCCAGCGTTGCAGCAATTGCGAGCCAAAAAACGAAGACATCTGAAGCGTTCGCATGGGATGCCTCCAGCGACCACAGCGAGCGGATGAATGGTCCCACGAGTGTGACATAAGTACCGAGATCCTGCTCCAACGTCTGGAATGCACGACGGTTTAGAAACATGTCCTTCACTTTACGGTTCTGGACTCTACTGAATCAGTACCATGTGAGATTGTGTTTCAAAGAACTTGCCTTGAATTTGACGACCTTCTTCTCTACAAGATTTCGTATATTTGGGAGACACTGCTCGAGTGACACCGCAGCTGACCAGTGAGTTCCAAACCTTGTTTTGCCAATTTTTTGAAGGGCCTTCACAGTCTCGTCGTTGTCATCAACCCGACGCTCCTTCCGAAGATGTGCTGCGGAGATCGTGGACTTGCTGAAATGCTTGATAATGGGTTTGAGTAGTGATAGCATCTAGCATGATTCGTGAATTGTGAATCGAGGACAATCAAAGTTCAAATAAGATTTTACATACCTGTTCGAACTCTGGCAATAGGGTGACGTTCTTGATGGTATTATGCAAATGATGACAAGCATCACATAAGTCTAATATTGTCGGGATTGTATTAACGACTTCACGTCGAGCATTTTTGGTAACTGCTGTGCTATCTGAGCAGATAGCAGCCCACTTGTCCTCTCCGACCTCATAGATAGTCTGTTGAAGAATTGGATCATTAGTTCAAGCAACAGTGTATATACTAGAATAGAAGATACTGGCCTCGAGCATCTTTTCTTTCACCCATGCAGCTGTGTGACTGGCAGTAGAGTCCTCGTGGCCATCTAAGAAGTGTGTTGTCCGGTCTGGTGTAGTCGCGTGCACAGTATAGAGGGACTGTGGTTTTCGTGTGCTTGTGCCATCAAATGTAAGTGTTAGGTTGGTTTGCTTCTTCAACTCCTTGAGCTGCTGTTGGCGAACGAAGACGGCCTCTTTTGGTATGTAATTGTCGGTGAATGTATTACAGGACGTGGCATGATAATGTGGGTTCAGATGAACCATCAATTCTTTCCATTCATCAGAATCGATGACGGTCGGAACAAACCCGCGCACACAGATGAGACGCATGATGATATGATCAGCCTTCGTCTGGAAAATTTGACGTTCCTCCTCTCGCTTCTTTCGCCCCGCATCACGATATGGTGCAACATTCAGCGCCACCTGGTTTTTAGGCCGTTTTGCTGGTGGCTCATCCATATGGGGCTGTACCTCGACTGATGGTGCCGTGTTGCATTGGTCATCGAGTTCAACAAGTTGTGCCCCGAGTGATGTGTCCTTCGAAGCAGTGATAGCTTCGTTCCGAAGATGTACAGGAAGCTTCTTGCAGGTTGCAGAGTGCTTCAGGACACGACTCTCCTGTGGCGAGCCTTTTCGTGAATGGTCACATGAAATGCACTTCCAGGAAACTTTTGGTTTGCCATCTTCGGACATGATGGCTGTCTTGATTACAAGTTTTTGCATTAGGGTGTGGACAGGACGGCCCCTCGAGCTCGCAGTTGATTCAACAGTCTGGGAATTATCGAACACAGTCGAGGATGTCGAAAGCTGCTGCCAGCGCTAAATTAATTTCAAATCACGATAAATGACATCATGCAACGTACTGTGGAGTCTAACAATGTCTGCTGTTGCTGTTTTGTACCGGCTGTGCTCTTCGGTGGGAGCTGTGAAAAAATATCAGGTGACGGCATTCATTTCGGTCGAATAATGCTGTACCTCGGTGTTATGTTGGCTGTATATCTCTTGTACTCCAATACCAATGTCAACTGCCCATTTCTTAATGACATTGTCTGTAGGGTATTTGACATGGAAATTGTTGAGTACATCAACAACTGCACAAATAGGTGCTCCTCGCTCCTCGATCATTATGATCCCAGATCCTGTTGTGCGAGTTTTCCATCCAAAAATCTGTTTGAATTGTTCGTTCAATGCCCCTATTTCGCTTCCGGTGCGATCTAGCAGCTCATCGTCGATCGTGAATTTCAAGAATGTGAGGTATTTTGACGTAAAAGCAGTGCCAACAGGCAAGGCAGTTGGCAGATTTTGTAACAGTGTCCGCAAGTATTCAAGCACACCCCGAAACTCGGTAAGGGTAAGAGATTCAGGTGCAGGGAATAACATAGTGCGTCACAAATAAGCTTGGCGGTGGGAGGGGGGTCCGGTTGCATTTTTCTGAGCCTCAGAAGTTCATTCAGAATATTCCCACACACCTAGATTTTTTCACAATATTCAACAGGCCTCAGGACGTGACGACTTTTCAACAGTGTTATTAACAGTTATTAACAGTAATATTCAACAGCTGTTGAAAAAAAGTGACTTTTCAACCGTACCCTAATCCGAGCGTTCACCAAATTTCGTGTTCTATGTAAGGGTGAGGCACGAACACGTGCATAGAACGAAGTCTATGTACGGACCGAGTAAGGTTAAAATAATCTTTCTTTCTTCCTCGCTACCATCGAGCGGACATAAGCGCTCGTAATTCGATCATTCCTATTGCTAGTTATCACTCGTTGAGCTATCAACTGTTCTCCAACAAAAGAATTCTTCTCTGGCGATGAACAGACTCAACTTTGATCCCAATCTCGAACACTGTCCGGATTTCAATTCCGTCAATTTTCTCGCTAGTCGCGCCCCCCTTCTGAGTCCAACGACAGATGATGCGCAAGCAGCGGTAATGCTCCAAACTATTTGGACCGCTACTAATACTGCCTTGAAGGTGCAATGGCAACAGCAGCTCGACGACGACGCATTGCAAGCTGAGAATCAACGTCGTCTACTCGCTGAGGCAGACGAACAGCGCCTCGCTGCCCAACAATTGCAGGATGCAGCGGCTGCTGAAGAGGAACGGAAAAAGAATAGGATTCACCACATTGAAATTCCAGATCGTCCGCGACCCTCTCGAGCTGCGGAGTCTGTCCTTGTCTCTGATTTTGCCTTACGCAAGCTAGACAAAGCTCAATTCGTCGAGCTTTACTATTGGACCAACAAGGGACTCGCAGACGCGCGGGTTAATTTTCGTACCGCTGATGATGATAGCATGGTTCCCACCGCGGCTGTCGACGGTACCACAACCTGGACTGCTGCGAGTGCCGCCCGCCCTGCTGCAGGGGTCATACCAGATCATCTCCTTGCTCCTCTGGATTTCTCCAGAGCTGTCCCCCGTTTCATTGCCTCTCTCGAGGATCGGGGTTGGACTAACCAGCGGATCATCATGCTAGCCAATTTCTTTGGCGCCTTGATGTTGCATCGTTACTGGACTTCGGATGATGTACACGAACAACGCGCCCTCCTTGCCTACCAGGAAGAGCAACGACGCGCGTGGCACCAAGCCATTCCTCAGCCAAACGGCGCTTGGAACATATCCATCATCGACGAGGTCGAAATGTCACGCGTTTTCGACCGCATTTATCATGCTGATCGCAACCGTGCCGACAGTGACTTTGATTCGAAGGTGCGTTCCTTACTTTAATTGTTTTGGCTGTCGCTTACAAATTTCATCATCCTTCCTTCTGTTCGTCGTGTCATCATCCCCTCTGTCTACTGCGTGGACCTTCCTGCGATATGCGATATGCGATTTGCGTTATGCGATGTGCGATTGGCAATATGCGATATGCGTTATGCGATATATCATTGGGGTCCTCCTTTGGCCACTCAGCGTTTGCAAGGCTTGAACATGCGTTCATCCTCTGAGGTATTCAACCCTGGTCGAGGTCGTCGGGGGAGACACTCGCCTGGACCGATGTCTTCTGAACGTCGTTTCGGACAAATGGATCGCAAGCGTTCCGCTTCACCCCTTGCTCGCACCAAAGCATTTCGCAATGAAAAGCATCCTGGCTCCTCGGGTTTTTCCAGCGGCGCACATGGCCAGCGCTCTACTGCCGTGTGCGCCGTCTGTCTTGGGCGCCATCACCACAATTTCATCGAGTGCTCTGCAGAGCGCTTGTGGGACAACTCTCACGCGGCAGTCAGCAAACGAGTCAGTCGTCAGCTGCTCATACGAAGCACAGACAAGTCACTTTGCGTCGACTGGCAACGAGGGAAAGGCTGTGGAACCCGTTCACACGACGAACGACATCTATGTTCAGGATGTCTCTCCACCTCTCATGGCGCCCAATATTGCCCTCGCACACAGACGGTTGCACCCAATTTGCCCTTATGATGGCACCACTTGGGCATCATTACTCCAACGACACGGTCTCCTCGCGCGCTATGACAAGATTGCAAAGGGGTTTGACGTCGGATTCAGTCTCCATCTCCCTGCGATTTCAGTGTCTCAAATTCCCCCAAATCATCCTTCCCTATCCCAGCATCGTGAGGCCTTTGACAGCATTGTCCAACGTGAACTTACCACTGGACGCTACATCGGTCCATTCAGTCGTTCTCACTTGCAGTCCATTCTGGGGGAATTTCAAACCTCTCCGGTATCCATCATCCCAAAAGCAGGGAAACCTGGCTGTTACCGCGTTATTCAGAATTTTTCTTTCCCTCATTCGCCTTCTCCTCGTAGCCCCCAGCCCTCTATCAATTCCGCCGTCAATTCAGATGACTTCGCTTGCACGTGGGGGACATTCGAGACCATTTGCTCCATCATTCGTCACCTTCCCCCCGGTTCGCAAGCAGCAACACGTGATGTTGCTGAGGCGTATCGAACCGTCCCGTTACATCCCTCGCAATGGGCTGCTGCGGTCGTGCGAGTGGGTGACGATTCCTTTTGCGTCGACACATGCACATCCTTCGGGATGGCACCATCTGCTGGGGCTTACGGTTATGTCGCAGACGCCGGAGCGGATCTCCTGCGAGCAGCGGGACTGGGTCCTCTTACTAAATGGGTGGATGATCACTTATTTTTTCGTATTGAACGTCGTCATCTGGCCGCTTACAATACTTACCGTAATTCATTGTACGATACCTTATCGTCACGTGGTGCTCGACAGACCGGTGGAAGACTGTGGTTTGAGGGTGAAAGCTTTGAAGATGGCTCCGGTGAAGTTTTTGGAGAAGACTGCCGCTTCCCTTTACAGGACCTATCCGACACGTGCGCACGGTCGGAGGAAGACCAGCGATTCACATTTGATTTCAGCGACATCAACCGAGAATCTGTCTTATTGGGGATTCCATGGGAGTTGTCAAAAGACACGCCGTTTAGTTTTACCGTCCTATACATCGGGTTGCTATGGGACCTTCCTCACCTCACGGTTGGTTTGGCGGACACGAAGAAGGCAAAATACCTGGCTTCCATCGTGGAGTGGTCCTCGCGTTCAACCCACGTCCTTCTCGAAGTCCAAAAACTCTATGGGAAGCTCTTGCACACCTGCCTCGTTATTCCTACCGGACGCGCTTACCTCACCTCATTGGAGGCCATGCTGGGCATCTGTGGTGCCCGTCCTTTCGTGCCACATCATTCCGTCCGCCATCTTACCGACGACCTTGCGTGGTGGATCACAACACTCTCCAAACCCCGTCTCCTTCGACGCATCCCACAGCCTTTCCACATCATCGATGCCCTCGCCTATTCCGACGCCAGTTCTGGCGTCGGAATCGCAATTGTTGTCCATGGGTTTTGGCGTGCCTGGACTTTATCACCGGGTTGGCAAACCCTCAATGGAGCCAAAGATATTGGTTGGGCCGAAGCCGTCGGGTTCGAACTGCTCGTCCTCTACGTCCTCCGTCTTGCCGGCACTTCCAGCAACACGCACTTCCGCGTGCATTGCGACAACCTTGGCGTTGTCGAAGGCTGGCGGAATGGTCGGAGCCGCAACTGGGCCACAAACAGCGTCTTTCGGCGAGTTCTCTCTCTGCTCGACTCCCTTGATTCCCCAACCTCCTTCCATCTCTCTTACATCGCCAGCAGCAATAATCCGGCCGACGCTCCTTCACGTGGGAAGTACCCATCAGCAGCCTTCCTGCTTCCTCCCATCTCCCTCCCTAGCGAACTTGACCTCTTCCTCACAGATGCCATCATCCCTTCCCATAACATCTCCTCCACGCACCATCCTTCAGGGAGGGACGGATGTTCTAACTCGTTGGTTGACGGGGCAGACCCATAGAACTTTGGCGGCCGACTCCTCGACTTCCAACACGGTTGGCATGAGTAACATCTCCCGTTTCTGTGTCACTCGCCCCATCGATCAAGACTCGCTCGCTGTTGGTCATCCACGTCCATATCACTCCACGCTGACGCCGCTTTCTTCCCCTCTGCGACCCCATTGTCTAGCCCGGGATCGTCTACGCCTATGGGAACCTTATCAGCGTCGCTCCCGAGCGGATCACGACGGTATTCCTGTCCCGCTATCCGATACTGACTTGAATCGCATCTTAACGGTGATGGGTCACTCTCTGGCTTCCGGAACCCGTGAGACCTATGGTTCCGGATTGTTAGTATTTCATGTCTTTTGTGACGCTCGAGGCGTACCAGAGGAGCAGCGAGGCCCTGCGTCCAGCATACTCCTCTTGGGGTTCATTGCTAGTTGCGCGGGGCTGTATTCGGGGAAGACACTGGAAAACTACTTCCACGGTGTCCGGGCCTGGCATCTCTTACATGGCCTCGACTGGTTTGCAGATGGAGCTCAAGTGACTTCAGCGTTGCAGGGTGCGTCTCGTTTGGCCCCTTCCGCCTCTAAACGCCCCAAACGCAACCCTTTCACCACCGACATTCTACTCGCCATCCACTCCGTTCTTGACCTGTCAGTCCCGCTCGACGCTGCATTTTTTGCATGTCTCACAACATCATTTTTCTCTCTTGCGCGGCTGGGCGAGCTTACTCTTCGCTCACTAAAAGTTTTTGACCCTTCGATCCATCTAAAGGTCTCTGATGTTCGATACGACGAGGATCGGCATGGGTTCAAAGTTACCATTTTCCATTTGCCAAGGACAAAGACGTCCTTGGTAGGAGAAGATCTATTTTTCGCTGGTCAATCAGGAGATATTGACCCCCAGCGCGCTCTACAAAATCACCTCGTAGTAAACAGCCCTCCATCATCAGCGGCCCTATTCAGTTGGAGGCACCGCAGTGGTTTACGCCCGCTCACTCGGTCAGAATTCTTACGTCGTCTCGACAGCGCATTCGCTCGTCTTGGGACTGAGCCTTTGAAAGGGCATGCTATTCGTATCGGCGGCACTTTAGAATACCTGCTGCGCGGTGTGCCGTTCGAGACAGTGAAGTCAATGGGACGTTGGAGTGGAGATTCATTTGTGTTATACCTTCGTAAACACGCCGTGGTACTGGCTCCCTACCTCCAGGATACCCCCATTCTCGCACCTTTCACTCATTATGCAATGCCTCCCGTGCGTTAAACTATCGTGAGTGGTCGCTTCCCTCCTTGTTTTCGGGGGCAAGCATGCGCTAGCTGCGTCGACGAGCTCCTAACCTTAGGGAATCTCTGCTCATTCTTGCCCTTTTTCCTTAGGTCCCGAAAGCCATGTTTCAGTCGAACGAACCTCAATAGGTTTCTTCCCCAAATTATGTTAACCTTCCTCGTAGTTGTGTTAGTGGTTGGAGTTAGTCTCGTGATGTGTTCGGTTTTCAAATATTTATGAAAAACTTCCCTCGGCTCATTCAACCTTCGAAGACCGAAAACATAGATCGTGTTCTATGTAAGGGTGAGGCACGAACACGTGCATAGAACGAAGTCTATGTACGGACCGAGTAAGGTTAAAATAATCTTTCTTTCTTCCTCGCTACCATCGAGCGGACATAAGCGCTCGTAATTCGATCATTCCTATTGCTAGTTATCACTCGTTGAGCTATCAACTGTTCTCCAACAAAAGACCCACCCTCCTCTCCCTTTTCTCTCTGGCTTGTTTCTCTTATCATATCTACTGGACACCAGCGGGCAATCACCTCACCATGATGGATGAATGCTTTACACCATCCCTGTCTTCACATTGGTCTGGGCAGGGCTGGACGCAACACAGTTTGGATGATTATCATTCTGCGCCCATAGGTTAGTCATTAGACCCTGGAGTCTAATCTTGGTCTAGTCTCTAGTAGATCCGTATTGGTTATTGATTAGGTTGTACCTTGCAGCCATGGTCACTTCGGTTCCGTCCTTGCACCCTGGAGGTTGGACCCTAATATTCCTTGGGTCGTTGCCACCATTGCTTTTTACCCCCACTCCTTTCCACCACACCACCATGCATGTCTTGTCTGTTGCACCCCCTGCTCTAGCCTCTCGTTTCTCCACTGATAGTGGACCAGTGGCCACGATGCCCACCAACTTTTGTTCTGCAACCCCGTTGGTTGCTTCACTATTTGTTGATTCCTCCCAGGCTGCCTCTTCTCCTGACACTTGGATGTTTGACTGCCATATGGATGGAGATTCAACTTATGCCCCTCGTCTTGGCGTAGGAGACATGATCGCCATCTATCGTCAGGCTTGTGTTGTTTCTTGTCAGACTGGTCCTCAATTTGGACAGCCTGCATTTTTGGGATGTTTGACTCACATTGCTGGGTGGAGTTCTTCCACCATTGAGTTTGGTGTGGAGATTACAAGTGTTTTCCCCACCCACCCTACAACTATTCAACTACCTTGGGCTGTTTGTCGTCTTTCACTGCTGCAACGTCTCTGGGGGTGGTTAATACCTTGGCCACGTTGTTCCTCTTTCCATCCTCCTCCTCTTATGCCTGTGGTGGACGATCATGAGGGTGATGATCTAGTGTGGTGTGACGTTGATGTTTGAGGTGTGTTGTTCTTGTGGATACGTGTAATAATATGACCCTGACTTGGTCAGACGTGTCTAAGATGCCTTTGGTGTTTCTTTTGTGACTTGACGCATTGCCTCGGTGTCCTGACGTGAGCCTGAGATTGCCCTCCCTCCCAATCTCTGCTCATTCTTGCCCTTTTTCCTTAGGTCCCGAAAGCCATGTTTCAGTCGAACGAACCTCAATAGGTTTCTTCCCCAAATTATGTTAACCTTCCTCGTAGTTGTGTTAGTGGTTGGAGTTAGTCTCGTGATGTGTTCGGTTTTCAAATATTTATGAAAAACTTCCCTCGGCTCGTTCAACCTTCGAAGACCGAAAACATAGAGCCGGTCTCACGCCGAGTGGTTGCACAGGGTTAGCACTGCGTGTTGTCCAAAAATTCCGACGGCTTAGAATTGGCTGAGAATCTGGGGGGTACCTAAGGTTTCAGCCACGTCGAAGCCATCAAATATCAGTCGACTACTATGATGTCCGAAATCTAAACCTCTAAATTATCACTGGCGTTAACAATGGCGCAAACTTAGAGGTATTCTCACCTACGTTTTATCTACGTTTTAACGGCTTCTACCTGAGGTGTGTTTTGCGTGCCGCACATAGTGCATGCAAAATATAATATAATATATATATAGGCATGTCTAAGCCGTATCTCTAGGGTTACGCTCTTAGACATGCCACCGCCTGCATGCAAACACGCACTGTGATTTCTCCAACGACCATTTACCAGTAACTCAACGACTCGGGAACAGTGAGCGAACGACTTATAGCCAGTCGTACCAGTTATCGACACGATTGATGACTACCAATCAGCAAAGCAGTGTAAGAACATTATAGCATTATTCGGCTCTGAACTTGCTGACTTTTGTACACTAGCGGCGTCTGTGTGCTTGCTTGCTATGCGAGCCGTTGGGTCTTTTTCAGACCGAAAGAACCGCCAGAAATCACCTCAAGAAGCATGGCTATGCACGCAGGCAGCATGTTGGCAGTAGTGCAGACTACGAGCTACCAAAGAATCTCGGTGTCGAGGACGAATCTTACACTGGATGATAGCCCACTCCCTGATTATGACACCGAGCTTGAACAGCTTGACGTTTCTGCCGATGATGCACATTCTGTATCCTATCATCGAAGTGGTTCTGCTGACAGGAGTTCCCCCCCGCTATATTTCCCTTCCTCCGATGACGATAATACTGAGTTCAATCAACGACACACCCCTCCACCGAGCAGTTCTCCCCCACTATATTTCTGCGCTTCAGATTATGATAATGCTGCTCCTAGTGACGATGACTGTAGTGTCCTATCACTTACCTTTAACTCGGCTACTCGCAATCACACTGCTGATGAAGAATCACGTATTAATGCCTCCGACGAGGAGCTATCGTACACTGAACATCTCGACGACGAAGATCACTGGGTTCCTGAGAATGATCCGCAGTTCCTTCCCAATGATGCACTATTTGATGAAAATACTTTTGTCGACTCAGACGAACCTCATAGTGTTCTACCGCCCGCGTTATCGGAACATCGAGCACTACTAAATGGCTATGTGCACGTTTTTTCCAATGCTGCATGCAGACGTGCGACGCATGCAGATGCAGAAGAGACACTCACCTTACTCCATTCGACGATCACAAGCTGCTATCCCGGCGGAATTTCCCCTGAGCTTCAGAGTGACTTAGCCAGCATGGCACGAACTCTTCGCACTGTCGAGAAACGTCTGGGCGTTGATACGGAGAAGATTGTTACTACGTACATTCTTTGCCCATCTTGCTGGCAAATGTACCATCCTTCCGAGCTACCAACAATGCAGTCTCAACTGTGCACAGCACCTGGATGCTCCGCAGCGCTATTTCGCCTGAAACGATTGAGTTCAAATGCACAAAAACGCATCCCATACAAAGTGATGCCTGTGGCGTCCTTTACAGCTGCTCTCGCACGTCTCCTAATGCGTCCTGGTAAATGGGAGGAACTTCAACATTGGCGGAAGGATGGGGACCATGAACCAGCACCACCTATCACACGAGAGGAGTGGTACGCCGAGAAGGATGTAAACGAGCCACTCACAGACATATATGACGGGTGGATGTGGCGATCACTCCGTACGGGCATAGTGCGCCAGTGGGACTCGAAGAATCTCAAAGTAAATGACATTGACATACGAAAACTCAACCAACGGTTCGTGTCCTTGAAATGTGGCCTCGTTGTGCATATTAACATCGATTGGTATGTTTTAAACAAGTCTTAGTTGTCATTTCCTGACATTGCCATTGACGGAACAGGTTCCGTTCACTCAAACGTGCTAATTATTCCACTGGCACAGTTTGGCTGACTATTGACAACCTACCGCGATCGATACGATTTTTACGGGAGAACACATTTTTACTCTTCGTAATTCCAGGGCCGACGGAACCAAATACGGAGCAGCTCAACGGACTACTTGAACCTTTTGTTCGAGAGATTGAGCAGCTCGCACAAGGTGAATAAATACTCTTGTCTGCTACATAACTTGACTCTGAATACATTTGTCAAGGGGTGCTTTTCAAGGTTTTCGGGCATGACACGATGGAAATGGTGCATGTCGCACTCCCCTTTGGTCCGATGGATACTCCAGCGAGACTCAAGACAGCTGGCTTCGTATCTCAGAACTCCGAGGACCATATGTGCCCATGCTGTGACGCTCCATTTTGCTCGTTGGTTGATCCTACATGCTTCGATCGTACACGTATGATTTTTCGATGTTTCATGGTGGCATACTGATTTAAAATTTCTAGAATTCCACTATCGAGACTCCGCAAAGCAACTAAAGTGGAAATTCATACATGGGCATTCCGATGATCCTGAAGTACGAGCGAGCATTGCAGAAACCAAGGGTGTCCGCATGTCAATTCTGGATCGCCTTCCAACGTGGAACGGGTCATCAAGCATTCCGACAGAGATCATGCATTTGTTCTGGGGTCCGGGTGAGTTGTTCATTCAAGGTATTATCTCATAATTCACTCATTGTACTAGGCACGTCTGGTCAAATACACCGAGTCATTTTGATAGAAGGATCAATGTTCACCGGGACAGGGAAACGCTCCGATATCACACCAATGGATCGACTTACAGAATTTCTCGAGTCCATATGGTGGCCGAATAACTCAGGACGTTTTCAGATCAAGGTAACATTGTTTTGAACCTTGAAGGGGGGAGTACTGATCTGTACATGAGATTGTGAGTGGGGGAGAACGTCCTAAAGCAGACGAGTGGCGAAATTTCATGCGAGTATACCCTGTCGCAATTTCAGTTGCATGGCAAATGTGGTCTCGCCATGCTGACGATGAGGCCCCCCCGCCAAAGAAACGCAGCAAGATCCAACAGGCCATCGTGAAATCAAGGAAGCTCTTACACAAACGTCGAATCAAGAATGTGTCTCGCGACGAAGATGCTGAGGCAGAAGATTATTTGGCGCTCGAAGACATCGAACCATCTCGCAACTATCATTCTCACTACGAAAACATCCTGCGATACTGTGCTGCGACCCGAATCTTTGCCTCGCGAGAGATCACACCTCAGGAGGCCACTCGAGCTGAAAACTTCATATCGGAGGCTTTTCAGTCATGGGCGCAATTGAATTGTCATCTCACACCAAATTTTCACTTCGCCAGTCATCTATTCGAGTACATTCATACCTATGGCCCTGCATATGCCTGGTGGGTATTTCCCTACGAGCGCGCGATTGGTGTGTTAGGAAAGGCCAACCACAATGGCCATGGCAGCGGCGAAGTGGAAGGGACCTACATGCGAGCGTGGTGGAAGACCATGCTGATTCAAGAACTCGTGGGTTACAGTATTCGTCTGCCATTGTTCTCACTGTTTGCTGACTCGAAGACCCAGTTGACACATCTGCAGGAACGACATGATCAAACTGAGCAGGACCAGCTAGCTATTTGTGCGCTACTCAAGGCTGTCAAAGGTGGTGCCGAAGCCGATCGGCAAAGAGGGCACCCTTATGAATTATATCGCGCTCCTGTCCAACCCACACAATTCCAGTACGTTTTATCACCTTGTCCATTACTAGTGATAATTGACCCGACAACAGCAAGGATTGTATTTCCGAAACAATTCAAGTTAATCAGCTTGCGGCCACTGGGTGTCTATGCCATTGTTTTGCAATTCCTACGTCTTCATTTTCCAGAATTCAACTTAACGTCAGACGCAGGTGAAGCATCCAATGGTATTCCATTTGACTCACAAGGTGTCCAGTCATATGCGAATGTGACCATCGGCGCTGCAAAGTATGGCTCATTCCATCATCATCGTGGAAAGGGGTTTTGCTATGGCTATACCAAGGGACGACACGCTGCACGTATCGAGTATATATTGTCAGTCAACATCCCTCGACAAGACCCTCCAATATCTGTCAATGTTGCTCTCATCCGATGCTTTGAACATCACCCACAGGACGCCAACCACCCATGGTCTCTATGGTAAGCCTATCCTTTGTTACCATGTGAACTACGATGACTCAACCACGATATCAGGGCAACTGACCTCGGGATTGCAACCTGGAAGTATAATGTCCTCGGGAGCCTCGAGGCATGTCATCTTGATGATCTTAGTGGTCAATTTGCATTCGCACCAGTTCACGCACCGAGAATGGGTCGCTTATGGGTGACTTTCTCGTTAGACACAGTAAGTGTTTTGTATGTTCTGATTGTACCATTATCTTAACGAGAGCATTTCAGACCTCCCAGAGAACCAGATAACAGCAACCCTTAGAGTCCCTCTCGTACCATTTAAGTGCTGCTGTAGTATACATTGAATATTCCATACCTATGCTATTGTACAAGTGGGATCTATTTACACTGAATCATAATTAATTTCTTCTTGCTCCGAGTCGTCGATGTTGGGATCTGTGGAACTCTCGCTATCACCAATGACATGGTCCTCAGTCATTAGAGCCTCTTGCTCGTTACGCTCCTCTAGAGAAAGGGAGTGAAGCCACTTTGTGGAGACGGCCCATCGTGGGGTCTTCATCGAATCATGAACCGGCAACGATTTCGCCATCCTCGGTGGGCCTTGCACTCGAGGAATCCGTTTTTTCATCCAGTGCTTCTTCTGAGCTTCTTTTTTTTCCACATCTTCATCTACCGCACCTCTTATCTCTTTAATGGCCCTCCTGGAGCTGTTTAAACACAAATAAGACACGGCGCGAGATCACAGAAGGGTAAACTCACATCCTTCGACCGCCATACAGGTGGGCACGTCATTAAGATTGTCGTCTTCTTCTTCTTCTTGTATGCTTTTCGGCGCGGATTGAGGAGCTGAGACAGCTTCGTCATCACTCGAATTGATGTCGTCAGAGGCATCTGAGCCGCTGTAATCGGTTGATTGCCACTTCGCTGCAAAAATGAAGTCGTATTCCTCGCCTGCCAGTGGTGGGAAGTCGGGACGGACAGCAGATGCTAGTGCTGCTTTCTGTATGATGGTTAATATTAAATAGTACATTTGTTAAAAATACGCACATCTAAGTGTCGTTTCTCACGTCTGGCACTTTGGACATTGAGCGACTGAACACTGATTGGCTTTTCCGCCTCCTTATACTTCTGCTTCATGTTCTTGAACACCTTGCCCGTCAGAGACTTGAGAGTCTTGCTAGGAAGTTTGTCGACGGTATCTTGAGACAGTGTAGGCTCGTATGTGCACGCATCACGACGAAAGCGTTCAACATAAGCTCCGTGCCACTTCGCATTCCCTGTCCACGACAATTCCCACTTCGGTCGTAAAACTTTCGTTGATGAGATCTCATTGTCGATGGTGAGTTCATCAATGTCGGCCCAAAATTCATTCGTATTATCAACTGGTGCTGGCAGGGCTTCATTGGTCTCGATACCCATCATTTTCTGCAATACCTGTCGGATAGCACTCTACAGATGATAATTTAGACTTCGATCAAACAAATAGCAACAAAATACGAACGTTCATTGAATTGTCAGTGCGAGACGGTGCAGATTGCGGGTCTCGAACCTCGAGTGCCTCGAGACGGAGGATGATAGCCTCGACTTGCATATCGATTCGATTTGTAACCGCGCTATGATCTTGGGAAATTCGAGACTGTTCTTTGCGGAGCTGGAGTATTTCGCCTTGCATGGTCTGAAGCATGCTATGCTGTCGGCCGGATTCCAACTGGGAGCGAGAGTGAGCTGATACTTTATCTTTGCTGCTTCCTCCAATAGACTTGCGCGTTAGGAGCCCAGAGTTAAGTTCCACATCGTCGCTATCATCTTGTGGGACAGGAGGGATGTCTCTCACTGGTGGCAGCTTGGAGCGGCTAGATAATGTGACCGTGTTTTTGGAGAATGCGAGTGGCTGCATGGTATTTACGACTGGTTTTGGTTTTGGACGTGACCGGCTAACAATGGGCTTATGGACAAGAAACGAGCAAGTGGGAGTCAAAGAAGCCTGGGGCTCAGACATGGCCTGTTTCTTGGATGTGATGGCACCATGAGAGGGCTGTGGAATAGACTGAGGAGGATGCGTTGACCGTGGTACTACAGTTGAGAGACATCCTGGCAGATTGGATCGCAAAGGTGCAGTTGGACGAATCGACGATGGTGCAGTAGAACGAATTGATGACGGCGCAGAAGAACGAATTGACGACGGCACAGAGGAATGAATTGATGACAGCGCAGAAGAATGAATTGATGATGGCACAGAGGAATGAATTGATGACAGCGCAGAAGAACGAATTGACGACGGCACAGAGGAACGAATTGGTGCAGCAATTTCAGTGGAGACTTTTAATCTCGAGGGAATCGGAATCCTGAAATGTCCAAGCAGATTTAGTAACAATTGATGCTGTAACCAAGGTTGCACGTACTTTGAAGTCTTTTGATTTGATGTACAAATCTTCTTGGATGCTGGAAGGAATGGGGACTGGAAACGTCGAGTTGGAGGGTGCCCCGCACGTCCATGAGTACCCGTAAATGTGGGCATGTTTGCATCATGATCCTCCAGCTCCGAGCTAAGTGAATCAAGCTTGCGCTTCTTCGACGTAGGATCATGCACATCGTCGAGGAGTGTAGGATCTATGGCGAAGTATGGAAGCTCCGAAGTCTCAAGTTCAGGAGTGTATTCCGTTGGTGGTGTACTGCAGCCACCTTCGGCAGCAGATGACGATGCCTCTGCAGACGTGGTATATGCAGATTCAGCACCTGTTGCACCGAAAACAAACTGCGAGTCCTCGTAGTAAGGCGCTGGGTTAAATTGTCGCACTTTTAAATGATATGTTGCATTAGCTAGCATATACATTGATCGAGAATATGACTTACTGATCAAGCGCTGGTATGATTGACTGGCGGCACACTCGTACACGCGCAAGTCAGCTGGTGGCCGGGGGTGGCCTACGTCCAGCACACCGAATAATCACGTATAACGTTAACTACAAGATTTGATCAGCTTCCGATAGTTTCAGTAGAATTACTTACCTTTGAGCTTGGATGTATGCAGTCGTACTACGCTTGAGGCTGTGTCACAAGGTAAGTTGTTCAGAGCAAGGTGCGCGGAGTTTCAATTCACCTTGTTCCTTACCCCTTCGACAACAATCTCAACGACGGCGAACCGTCCCGAACCCCAAACCGATAATGATATTTTCAACAGGTATGTACCTAGTTTTCATGCTAGCGGGGGTTAATGCTAGCACTACAGGAGGATTTTGGGTTGCGCAGTGGGCATGTGTATTAGCTAGGGGTGCGTCTAGGACTATAGCAACACCTGCGCTGACACACTATGATCTTGCTTCCTCCTGGATGCTCTTGCCGCGCCTCCCAGTAGTACCCTCTGGATAGCACACGATCATCCACAACATCGTGTCCCGCCTCCTTGAACATCCGCGTAGATCCATGGTGCGCCTGCGAGATGCAGACCCTCTGCACTGTGACTAATAGCATCACTCTGTAAGTCCTAAAACTGCACGTGCGATCATGTGTGTCGTTCATTTGCTGATTCACTCGCAAGGTCAACTTCTACAGTCCACCCTTGTTTGCATGTTTGTGTGTGTGTTCGTCCTGCACTCATTCACATTCATTTGGTGCAGTCTAGGTGCGCCTTTTTCGTTTATATATGTATGTACATCACTAACAAGCATCTTCACTCATTTCTGTTTGCTTGTGCGTGCACATCAATGCTTATCTTGACGTGTCTGCGTCTGGCGTCTTGAACGATAGGTACCGCTTTTTCACGTTTATAACTAGGCTATAACTGATCATTTGTTTATGCTTCCCGCTTGTCTGCTAATGTTTGTGCTTGCCTGCACTGGTCTGCACCCCGCCTCTGCACTTGTCTCTGCTTGTCTTTGGGCTTTTACTCGCATTTGGTTGTTTCCGCATGCCGCCACTCGTCTGTGCTCGCTCGCACATATCTGCACCTGCTGCTTCTCGCTGCCCTCTTCCTCCAAGGCTCGTGGTTTCGTTGCTACCTTGTCTGTTAGCAACTCAAGTACTACTCACGCCTCGACGCCTGCCGGTGTTTCATAACCTATTTTCATTTGCGGTTGATCGTTCAATACACCAGGCCCCAGTGCATCTCTCGTATTCTCCCCATCCAACCACGCCCAGCTACGCCCTCCAGCACCCATACCCAAGGAGGTATGTGTTTAATCTTGTGGTATCTACTCCTGACTTATCTCTTTGCAGCATTGAGCATATACGCACCGCTACCTGCAACCCCATCCGAGTCTGGCATCCCCTATCACCTTCTAAGCCCATGTTTAGTGTCCATCGCCTGCTATCGCCGCTTCACTTATTGTCAAGCGCTTCTGGAGTTTAGTATATATGAATATGGGCTACGTAGCAGCATGTATTATAATGTCTGCTATAGCTGAGAATGCGCGGCTGTATTCGCTGCAATATATATAACGAATTTTGCTCATTAATTGTCTGATCCGAAATATCATATAATATAATATATTTATATATATAATGGATATAGGTGGTTTATCGTGTATATACAGTATCGTTCTGGACCCATGGTAGTAGCTGGCTTTGAGCTGACTGGAACTTGATGGCCAAATCATGTCTTCGAGGTGGTTGAAATCCGGAAAATCAACCGTTTCGAAGCCGGTTTATACCATAGGTCCAGAAATGGCTAAAACTTGACCCTGGGGTCACATTCCAGCCAGGTATCTACCGTCGGAAATTTTTGATAACACGCAGTGTAGGGTTAAATTTCACTCGAATGTGGCGCAACGTTGTGCTTGGTTGTCAATGGCAATTAGTGTTCCGTGAAAAACTCCACGCCGAGTTTAGGACATGTTTATAACATTGGGCATCCCCAGGCCAGTTATTGACGCGTGTTTTTAACTAGTTTTTGACGAGTTATTGACACCGGCCATATTGTAATTTTTGTGCTACAGAATTTGAGAAAAATTGAACTTCCAGGCTATGGGACCACCACCAGCTGTTTGTGAAGATGGCCCAGGTGTTTGTGACTGATCTTCAGCCTCCGCCGTCTCGATCGGCTTGTCGGAGAGAAGGTCCAGGAGCTCGGGACCGTCTAAACGAGCATCTTCACTACTGACGAACTCCCGGTTACTGCAGCGCAGATATCCGGGGTCATCCTCATCAACGAGATTCACGCTACCATCAAGCCACGCATCTGAATCCTCGTAACTGTCACCTGCATCCGAGCTCTCATTTTCATCAACTTCCTGGCCGAAAATGGTTTCATCGAGGTCACGAAACTTGACGGTTGGTTGTCTAGACGAGCCTTCTTTGAGACCTGCTCCACAGATGGCTGAGTTCTCTTGGCCGTGGTTGATGGTACACTGGGGCTAGCTGCGCTAATGCTAGATACTGCCGTGGGGTTTGAAGCTTGGTAACGGGCCACTTTCGCTGAAGGCGCATCAGCAGCTAAGCCTCCATCAAGTTCTTCTTTCATTGGACGTGGAATGTGCTCGCACATAGCGGCATGTCCAAAAATGCGTTTTTTGATGTGATTCTTGCATTTCCAGGCTGCTGTGCCAGACCCTTCAGTCACATTGGATGTAGAAGTGGTGCCCCGGATGTGCCAAAAGGCTGTAGAATATGACCCAGCCTGCACCGGCCTGGCCAGGTAGATATGTGGCTGGCCGATTCGTAGAAGTGGGCACGGCCAGTGTACCTTGAACTCTGCTTAGGCACTGAGGGAATGTGTAGGGCGAGGACTGGCCAGCCTTGTAGGAGAAGTACTGGCCAGCATTCCTACACACGACTGTACAGGAGTACCGGCCGAGCGCACAGGGCATTTACTGCCCAGCTCAGCCAGGAAGAAGCCTCAGGCCAGCACTCTTATACAATCGTGTAAAGGAGTGCCGGCCGAGTGCACAGGGCAGGTACTGGCCAGCTGCCAAGAAACAGCCTCTGGCCAGCACTCTTATACAACTGTGTATGGGAGTGCCGGCCAGGTACTGCCAGGAAACAGCCTCCGGCCAGCACTCCTCTACAATGGTGTACAGAAGTGCCGGCCGAGTGCACAAGGCAGGTACTGGCCAGCTGCCAAGAAACAGCCTCTGGCCAGCACTCTTATACAACTGTGTATGGGAGTGCCGGCCAGGTACTGCCAGGAAACAGCCTCCGGCCAGCACTCCTCTACAATGGTGTACAGAAGTGCCGGCCGAGTGCACAAGGCAGGTACTGGCCAGCTGCCAAGAAACAGCCTCCGGCCAGCACTCTTATACAATTGTGTATGAGAGTGCCGGCCGAGTGCACAGGGCAGGTACTGGCCAGCTCAACCAGGAAACAGCTTCCGGCCAGCACTCTTATACAAGCGTGTATGGGAGTGCCGGCCGAATGCTACCAAGAACTAGCCTCCGGCCAGCACTCCTGTACACGACTGTACAGGAGTTGCTGGCCGAGCCCATAGGGCAGGTACTAGCATGTACAAAGGTACTGGCCGGCCATGTAGGGTAGGTACTGGCCGGCCCCACTTATAAAATCAGGTATATAGTCTTGGCTGGCCTTGTAAACTATATACCAGCCACCCCATCATGTATATTGCTTTGCCTAGTAATATCAAGTAGATCTATGAGTCAAAACAGCAAGAATACAATGTGCTATGCTAGGTCACTTTCGCATGGCCTTTTTTGAGGGTTGCCTGGGTCTGCTGGATCGACGAATATTGTCAGTGGTAGCCTTTTTGGATGGTCTTCCAGATCCCCCAGATTTTCCTCTTTTCTTCCCTTTCTGCACGACGACGACGACGTCCTCCTCCTCCTCCTCCTCCTCCTCCTCCTCCTCACCACGCTGTTCCTTATCTTCCATATCATCCTTACCACCACTGTCCTTTTCGATCTCCACCAGTTTCAACAGCTTCTGGTTGTACTCCTCCAGCTCTCGCTTTCTCTCCTCCAGCTTTCTCATGTCCTCCTGCAGCATCACCATTTTCTTCTTCTCTTCCTCCACCTCCCGCGACTCCTTGTCAACCTTCCTTGTCAACTCATCTGCCTCCATTTCCGTCCCCTCATCCTCTTTCTCTTCCCTGGTTGAAATCGTCCGAATGGCAGTATCAGCTCCGTGTTCTTCACCACCAGCAGCCTCAGCAATGGCAGCATGTTGTCCTTCCTTCGCCTTGAGCATCCGCATAACCCCACCTCTGGCTGTATTGATTGCCTCTATGACGAGGTCGTGGGTCTTGATACTCAAAATAGAGGTGCCAAGGTAAGAGGGGGTGTTCAGGGTAGCTTCGTCCTCCTCATATTCGATAACTCGCTTGCATTCTCTTAGCAGCATCCCAAGACCTAGGCTGACCTTCATGGCTGATTCCAAGCCAGAGATCTTTGCAGAGAGGACTATCTCCAAGAACTTGTTCAACTCACGCTCGTCTGAGTGCACACTATTCGGAAGGTGTGATCTGTCCCAACTCCATGTCGCCCAAGCGGGCCATTCCATTGCCTCAGAGCTTCGTTCCTGTGTCAAGTGAGTATCAAGTTTCACCAATCCAGGTATTAATCGCAAACGTACCTTTTTCAAGTCACCGAGACGTGAAATCAAAAGTAGATATTCGTCGTGGCTGCTGAGAGACCGTAAGAATGACATCCGATCCTTCTTTGGCACAGTGGCTGGTGTGCGCACGACTTCTTGACCAACTGATGGTCGCTTAACCAGCCCTGTCGATGGAGTGAGATTATCATCAGAGCTATCCTCGGAGCTGTCCTGGGTCTGCGGTCTTGAATTCTTGGTGGGCCTTGTGCTGGCCTTGGGCTTGGAGGAAGCCTTAGCCTCGGCCAGCTGTCTTGTACGTTTCGTGGACGTAGGCGCCGCTGAAGCCTCCTCTTCATCATCAGTGTCGACCGGTACATACTTCTTTTTTGATTTTTTCTCGCCTACATAGACAGCATTGACGAGCAGGGACTTGTTCATGTGGGAACTCACGGCCCCGACAAAAATAACCAGTTTCTGTTTCGAGGCCTTCCTGTCTTCCCAATGGCCCCAAAGATGGTTTATTTCCTGCGCCTTCAAATGAGACGGATCTTGCACGACGAAACCATCAGGGATGGAGTCTGGATCCAGGTACACCAAAAGGTTGCCGGCAATCGAGAGCCAAGGTACTGGCTTTTTGCTACCAGTGAAGACTTCTGAAAAACGGAAGTTGAGTCAAGTTAAAATCAACAGATGAAGTGATCGGCAACTCACTGTAAGATGCATGAAAAATTTGCCGAACCAACTCTTGTTGCCCCCTGAGGCTCACTCCTTTACGGGAAGGGAGCTTTGCAAACCCGTGCTCGTCCAAGATGACTTCAGGTATCGCATCTTTTCCATCTTTACTGTCTTCATCGGAGGAGTCATCATCATCATTGGTGGGGTCTGATACACGGTCATTGAGCAGTCTGAACCAATCCCCAAAAATACAGAGCTTACAAAATTCTTCCTTCGACCACTCGGCATATTTTTCAAACCCTTCGGATGTCCACTCTTTGCTTCCTCGAGAACTCAGGCTAAACGGTTTCTTGTGATTGACAGGCTGAGACTCATGACTGAATAACAATAAAATTATTATTTTACCCTGAGGAGAGTGGATAAATACTCACATCTTGACACTTAATGTCTGATCGGCATTTTTCTTGTGACTGACTAACATCACGACTCGGCAACCCATAGAACGCCGCATCTGTTCTGTAAAATCGTCGAGAACTTTTTGAGGCTTTTCTTTCGATACCTGTCAATGTTGTTATAGTAGAAATTGAAAAAAAAAAGGCAATTTACATCGCCTGTGCTTCTACTGGGGCACCTTCCCTATTCCATTTGTCCCTCGCCTCCTCAACCTCCTTCCGATGTGCAGAAGTCATGTTGTTGAACCACTCCCTCGCATGTCCAGTCCTATACTTAATAGAATGTTGCACGCCTTTCTTCTGTTGCTGCTCCTTATCATAGTCGTCCATCTCCTGCTTGAAGAGTTTCTGCGCGACGTCCCAAGCATTAAGCTCCTTCTTGTAGAACCCTGCGTCCTTAGGACGAGCCGCCAATTCTCTGTCCTCAGGGGACACGCCAGATGGTTCTTCCTCCGGCTCATCACCCAAGACCTCTTGCTCAGCATGTCGATCATCAGCGTCCGTTAAGAACTGGAGGTAGTACCTCCTGATAGCCTATATAATAATTATATCAGTATCATTATATACTCAACAAAACAGTACCTTTTTCAATCCCTTTGGTAAATCCTCGGAATCCTGTCTTGTGCTGATGAATTGCGACAATTTCATTGCGGATCTGTCTTAGGAGATTCTGACGGGAATTCTTCTCATTTACAAACTGATCTTTGTGGAGAGTCAGTACTCCCTCCCAAGAAGCATACCATTCAGCCATTGATGACAAGAAAACGTAAGTCAGGAGCTTTTGGTAAGGGTGAGTATGCGTCGCGTAACCTTAGACCAGGCCGAAGAGTTGAAGTTTTGAAGGAGACGCGATCACGTGCATGCAAACCAAGACGTGTCATTACCAAATCACACGTGTGACAAGTGATACCTCAATCAATTCAAATTATGTACATACAGTGTCAAGTAAAATACATAATTCACCTGCGCGCCTTCTTTGCAGTCCCAGGAGGCGCTGTCTCATTCTTGCGCTTGCCTTGGGTAGAGTCAGGTAAAGACTGAGATACAAAATGAGTAGAAGGCGACTTGAACCAAGCGCAGTTCTTGGTCCTGGCACTGTTGATGATGGACCCAGGAGGCTTGGTGACAGAAAACTTGTAGCATGGCAACTTTTGCGTGCTACCACAGTTGGTGTACTTGCATGTGTAGATGTACTGGCAAACAGAGACTTGGTGTGAGGCGTGCGCGTCGTGATTCTCATCAGAAACTGTCACAGCAACCCTCTCAGCCCAGCTCTTGGTAGAGCCACATTGGGGGCATTGCGCAGGAATAGGAATGCCCCAAGGCGAAGTCTGAGTGTGAGCGCGCGCGAATGTAGTGAGTTCCAGCTTGCAGCAACCATCAATGTTGACAGGAGTCATCAGGATGACGCTGGTGTGTTGACCGAGACCGCCTGACATACTAAGGAGGGTCGGAAATACGGTGCGGATGTTGAGTTGCTCAATCGCAACAAGTTCCGCCATGGCGACCAAGAAATTAGTGGTGACAAGGGGTTGAAAGCGAGCTGCGGGAAAGATAATTGCAGATGCGAAGTTGAATTGAAGAACGGACTCCTTGAGCTGAGTGTAGGGCTGTCTCGTGTGCCACCACAGAACCGCAGACCAGGAAGACGAAGTGTGCGGACTTGAGGATCCTGGCGTAGGGCTTCAACACTGTAGAGAGAACCTAGAATAGATTAATTAATAATATTGACGACGTCAAATTTTTAAAACTTACATGCTGAACTTGCATCGCAACATACTCTCCATCACCTTGACCCTCCTTCCCTGCAAAGAGCCAACCGCTGTCTTCTTCCGAATGGTTGGAGAGAAACGCAAAGACCCGACCAGTTGAGCCAAGGTGACGGACGAGCTTAGCAACCGTTTCGACCTGGTCGCGGGTGTACTTGTCGATCTTCGTATACGAAACGATGTCGAACGAGATCTCGACGTACAGAAACCCACCGCTGGGGTAGTACTTGTCGAGGTAATGCGAGAGGAGTGGAACGGGTGTGGAGATTGCGTCCTTGCCGCCAAGGGAAAAATGGACGATGGCGAGGGGTGTGGCTTGCCAAGATGGAGTTTGGACGCCAGCTCATACTTGCCGTTGAGCTGTAGGAAGCCTGGGAGTAGAGGCGTTCCTCCTTCCTCTGGCAAAACGTTACGGTAGAAGCCCTGAACAAAGTTAGTAGTCAATCAATAGAACATTTGAATAAGAAAAAGAAGACTCACAAAATATGGCGCGGGCTCCTTAACCGTCCGCAATGAGTGACAAGAAAGACATAAAAATATTAACGTCCGGATGTTGGACGGCCATCGACGTGCGCCTTGGGCACCTCAATGCATTTCCTGCACATGACGCGGGGGCAGGCGTTGCATTCAAAGAGTACAACGTCACCTTCCGCGCCATCAAGACAGATCAAACACCACTGACCTCCAGTCAGTCAACAGAACACTAGAAAGAAGCAAAAAAAAACTTACTATACTGTGTGTTCTTCCGGAATCCTAGCGTCCTCTGGCTCTAAGGATGGCGTGGACGATTTTGATCCTGCGGGCGCCGGAGGAGAGCCGGCAGGTGCCAAAAGTTTCCGGGCAGAACCTCCACAAGACTTCTTGGCCGTGTTGCTCTTTTAGGCGGCATTGGATAAGGAAAAGAAATGGTACTACCAATGGTAGAGCAAAAAGGACTTTGCGAATTTTCAAACCAACCAGTCATGTGATCATGTTGTGGTTGGGCCGGCATTTGCCGCAACAAACAACATCAAATATGTTGAACATAAAGTCCAGCGCAACACTTTCACACGGTTCAATTTCAAACCACATCTCTTCTGTCCGCTCAAACCACATCTCTTCTGTCCGCTCACCCTGTTAGCCACTTACACAGACTGCAGCTGTGTAAGTGGCTAACAACTCACTGAGCACTCATTCCCTACTGCACGGTATGCGTCTTTCAATTCTAATTCTATTTCTAATTTGGTTGCATAGGTTGATTTGCGGATACCTAAGGTAAGTCTCTTCTCAACCGTCTCTTCACTGAACGCCTTCTTTCTAGACAATTTAGGACACTATTGGGGTGCCTCCAGATATAAGGTCTGTCTTTTTTGAACCGTCTCTCCACTAAACACCTTCTTTCTAGTTATTTTGGTATTACTATTGAGGCGCCTATAGATCTAAGGTATGTCTTTCTTTTCAGCCATCTCTTTACTGAACGCCTTCTTCATCATTGAGCTTTGAGTACTGGGGGCTTGGCTTTGGGAGTGGGAGGAGATGTATGTGTGCATTGGCGCACTTCTCCTCCCTTGCTTCAGCATTGAGTACTGGGGGCTTGGCTTTGGGAGGAGATGTATGTGCGCATTGGCGCACTTCTCCTCCCTTGCTTCACCATTGAGTACTGGGGGCTTGGCTTTGGGAGGAGATGTATGTGTGCATTGGCGCACTTCTCCTCCCTTCTTTTATCATTGAGTACTGGGGGCTTGGCTTGGGGAGGATTCAGTGTCCACATTGGGTGCGCCCCCTCCTTCAACCACCATTGCGCTTGGGAGGTTTAAGTGTCCACATTGGTGCGCCTCCTCCCGCCATCCTTGTGTTGTATTTTCTCTGGAGGGATGACAACCGCTCCACCATAAGGTAACTTGTATCGTTACCTCTGACCAAATGCTGATGGCAGCTTACAGATATGTTTCTTTTGGCTTGTTCAGACATTCAAAGGTAACCTTTTTGATATTCGCTTCGCAGATACTGATTGCCAGCGCGGTTCACAGATTATGTTATTTAGTTGCTATATTTTTCTCGCTCTACTTTTTATTACTGTATTACGCAGTACTAGACTGCCGCAGAGAGGGCCCCTCTGCGGTAGCCTTGTATTGGCTTTGTCACACCTTTGTTTTTTTTCTTCAATTAGACAGAAAGATGTACCGCCAATATAACTTAGTTGCGATTTGTAACCAAATAGAGACACCACCCTGCTCCGTCTGTGTGAAAAAGTCACGTGACTTTTAAATACTGCAGTTAGAATGTTGCCAATTTTCGCAGCATATTGTTGAACTAGGGGGTGCTTGAGAGTACCCTCAGTGTGCTTGTCTTTGGTCTTGAATGTGGCGGAATAGATGCGGCTGCTGCTAGATTCGGTTAGAAGACAATCAGAGTAAGGGATGAGGCTTTTGGTAAGGCCCTTAGCATGCAGCTGGTATCTCAGGCATTCCACCTGGGCTGAGGAAACGAGCAATTGCATCTATGTGAGTTGGTATCTCAGGTATTCCGCCTGAGCTGAGGAAAAAGAGCAAATCCTCATCCAAGCTTTGAGACGCGATTGCTCTTTTCTTCATCGTGTCTATGAGTCGGTATCTCAGGTATTCCACCTGAACTGAGGAAAAGAGCAAATCCTCATATCCAAGCTTTGAGACACGATTGCTCTTTTCCTCAGCATAGGCCTGTAGCATGCAGCCGGTATCTCAGGTATTCCACCTGGGCTGAGGAAAAGAGAACTGCGTCTATATGAGTTGGTATCTCAGGTAAGGTATTTCACTTGAACTGAGGAAAAGAACAAATCCTCATATCCAAGCTTTGAAACACGATTGCTCATGCCTGAGATTTTGTCTCTACTGTAGATACACTTGAATACAAGGCTCTTGGTAAGGCTCATAGCATGCAGTCAGTATCTCAGGTATTCCACCTGAGCTGAGGAAAAGAGCAATCACATCTTTGGTAAGGCCCGTAGCATGCAGCCAGTATCTCAGGTATTCCGCCTGAGCTGAGGAAAAGAGCAATCGCGTCTCAAAGCTCGGATATGTGGGCCTTACCAAAAGCCTCATATTCGAGTGTGATTGCTCTTTTCCTGAGCCCAGGTGGAAAGCTCAGATACAAGGATTTACCTGCACGACTGTGCTATATCGCGCCTAAGACACAATATTCAACACTGGCAGACCAGTTTATTACTTGCCGTTAGCATAAGGCTCAAATTTAAAGGTTCTCCCAGCTTTTATGTCTGGACTGCCATTTCTTGAGCTTGAATTTGAAGGATGTAAGGTAACTTAAGTTGGGACTGCTGTTTCTCATCTGTTTCTTTCACAATACAGGCCTCTGCTTGGATGGTATGTCTTTGCAAATCTTATATTACGACGCCATCCAAATTAGAAGTTATCCCGATTTGGATCTTCCAACATTGTAAATTAAAACCATTTATAGTCTAGACTCTAGACCGCCTGCGGTTGAAAATTTTACCATTCTGTTGTTTCGTCTGATTTTCCAAACTCCAACCACCCAAAAATGGCGGATCCTGCTGTGACAATTCTGTCCAAGAGCCTCTGTAGGCTTATAGATGACCTACTGCGTGATTCATCGCCGTATGAGTTGCTGATAGGTGACAAAATCAATGACAATTTGCTGCAAAGAGCCAGGTAAGGGAATCTCACGTCACTGTCCAGAAAAACTTGACAGCTGGAACTTAAGGACTAGATTGTGGGCCAAGTGGCAGGACATACGTCTGTCCAGTACTGGTAGTGATGTCAAGGCGAATGCCATTGCCGAGATTGAACTTACCAGGGCTGCGGTCATAATAGCCTATGCTGTAGTTAATCCCCGTAAGTGTTGATTTGATGGTTGGGGGGTCTGTCATTCATCATGTTGCCATAGTGCGAGCGGATTTGGACGCAGATCGGTTTGCGGACAGTGCCAAGGCGTCCCATCCATCGCATGCTGACAGCCAAAGACATAAGCTAGCAAAATATTTCCACTGTCCTTCGTTTGGTTCAATATCAGAGCCGGCAACATTTGTTGACAGGCATGGAAGGATCCTTGCTTGGTATTTGCCAGAAATCATGGTGCCTGATAGAATGGTATGAATTTGATTTGATTACAGTTTAAGTCCTTTTAATAAGTTATAATTAGGATCGTGTCAACCAGTCCATCAAATTGCTGAGACCTGCCTTAGATCAGTCTTTGCCCAAGCCCACTCAGAAGGCAAAGCAGCCTTGGCGTTCTCAAGGATTTGTCATGCCTTCAAGCGGGGGAGAATTTGGAGTAGGAAGGGTGACTTTATGCCCGGGAGGATTCATGCAACGCCATGAGGTAACTCTGTATTCGTATACTTGCCGTGATACAGAACTAACTTAAATGGGCTAGCGGCTTCAGGATGACTTGTACCAATCAAGCTCCCTTTCTTCACCTGCAGTCCGAGATTGGTTGTCCGAAATAACCGTAACTGAACATTTGTGGTCCGCTATCACCAGTCTTATTGCGCCAGATCAATATCAGGCCGGTGTGGAATCTGTTGCTAATATGAAGGATACGGTTCGTACCTCAGATCCTGTTGTTTGGCCCTTGGAGTTTTCTGGATTGGAAGTTATTGTCAACCGAGAGACCCCAAATCACCGAGACCCTGGAGCATCGCCTTCATTCTATGACCTTTTGGTGAGCCTTGGCAAAGGTCATCATGCCGTACTAGCTCTGCCAGATCTGGGTGCCGAGCTAGCATATCCGCCTGGCACTATGGTTTACATTTTAGGGAAGGTGCTGGAGCACGGGGTGCCACGGTGGGGTGATGGGGAGAGAATTTGATTGCACACTTTGTCAAGGATAAAGTGCACGATGGCTTGGTGTACCGAGACCAAAGTTTCCAAACCAGCGGGATTTTCTGAATAGAGTGGGGGCAGGTAAGAAGGGGGGTTTAAAAGCCATTCGGAGATCAAATAAGAGCGGGGACGAGGAGTAGTTTCCGAAACTAGATATCCCGATTAGAAAAGCTTGTGATTTTAAATCGGTTGACTTCTCATACACTGGAATATTTCCTCGGTCTAAGCACTATGTCCTCAAAAAAAGGCAGCGTCTCAAGGCTATTTCTTATTCTCCAACATAGAGGAAAGTTATCACAAAAAAAAGGATCCGGATGTTGATTATGTTGCTCACGAACCTACAAGAGACAAGAGGGGAAATCCCTCTTGGGTTGAGTCTTGTGTGATCGGTGTATCAAACTTCGCCAGAGCCTACTACCAGCCCAAGAAAACGAGTTAAAGAAGTACACACGAATCACCAGACATCCAAGAAGAGGATTTAAATCAGGAAATGTGGTGACTTTGTTATTGACGAAGAGGCTGCTGAGCAAGGGAGAAAAACAAAGGTATGTCTAACAGGCCTTGGCTTACTAGTTAATTGTTTCTCATCAATGGCATAGACACAAAATGACTTCATATCAGAGTATCTCGCTCACCGAGATGTGTATCTAGATGTCATCTTGGACTCAGAGAAATTTGCCACCGCAGGCATCTGCGCGACTTGCCAATGTGAAGATAATTCCTTCCGTTGCACAACTTGCACTGGCGACCACACGCTGGTGTCGCCCTTGTCTCCTCAAATCACATCAGTCATTGCCTTTCCACAAAATCCAATTTTGGAATGGCAAGTGCTTTGAAGACGTCACTCTTTCTGCCCAAGGATTTATATGGTACATGGGCCATGGTGGAAAGTCTTGCCCTTGCTATGGAGTTGGACAATGTCACCTTGATCAAGATTCTTCTGTGATTATTGTACATTCTTCTGGGGTGTTCACACACAATGTGGTCGTGGTGTCGGTGTCCAGGATCACACCATGAACATCACCTGCAGCTGCTCCAAGCTAGGACTATTCCCCGCCAGTATCACAGCGCCCTAGGACTGCGTTCACCTTCGAAGTACTGGATCATTATCTCATTGATGCCTTGGAATGCAAGACTTCGGCAATGAGCCTTCTTTGAGAAAATCCGACGCTGACAAATAATGCTTTTCCAGATGCTGTCCCGGTGAGTAGAACCGACAATACCATAATTTCTAGCTCATACTGAATGCAAAATCCCATCTGTAGGATCGATATCGTGAACTCATGAGAGTGTCTCGACTCTGGCGCGACTTTGAAGAACCGTAAATGGTTTTGGATTTGGCCATGACATGGAAGCACCCCTCTAGTGCAGGAGATTTTGCTCTATTTTGCCCTTCATTGTCCGCAGCCAGGAATCAACATGCCTCTTATTTGGGAGCAGAAGTACGAAAGGCAAGTCAATTCCAGCAATCCTTGTCTGCCAGACTCCGGCCAGTACCCACAGTGCATAGCACAGCAGTGGTCCTGGCCGGTAATATGTGTCAGCTGAGTCCTGGCCGGTACCTCTTGTACATAGCCCAGAGTCAGTCACGGCCGACCATTTGTCTCTACTGGCTTTGTCTGCCAGACTCCGGCCAGTACCCACAGTGCATAGCACAGCAGTGGTCCTGGCCGGTACCTTCTGTACGCAGCTCAGAGTCAGTCAAGGCCGACCATTTGTCTCTATTGGCCAGAAGTTGTTGGTTCCAGATAACTCGCGGATGCTGACTTTTTGATTGCAGGTGGCTTGTTATGAGAAGATTTGTGGTAGATGGAAACTTTACCGCTCAGCACATGAAACATGCGACAGCCTCAGCTTGACGTCTTCCTCTCAGATGGTTTAGGTTATATGGTAACAGCAGGAGATTACCAAGCTCACTTGGCTTCAGCTATGGAGAGTAAAGAGGTGAATCAAGTTGCTTTGCATTGTTAGTGGTGGCTGAACCTGTAGAAAGAGATCCTCGTGTAGCAACCATCGGGCAGTCAATGCAGCAAACACAAACAGAAGCAACCTCCGAGCTACAGGGGTCGGAGCCACTGCTTGTGCTCGGCATGGATGTTTTGTTCCCCACTGCATAGTGGACTTTCAGAAGGGTGAACGGCAAGTTTTCTTTCATTTACTCAATCTAGGTTAAGACGAGCCTTGGGCTTGACATGCTGACAAAATCACTTCAAGCCATATGAATATAGATTATTCCATTTGCAATGCCATTAAGCATGCTGCTGGCAACATTGACAACTCCCTGATCATCTATGATGTGGGGGTGCCAGTGGAGCCTTAACTTCGCTCAACGTGTTGACAACTGCCCTGGATTGGAGCTCCCAGACAACACTGAGATTGTGGCTGCAGTGGGGAAATTTCACTTGAGCGCTCATAAACTTGCCTGTTTTGCTAGATACAGCTTAAACTTCATTCAAGGAGCTGGGCAAGTTGACGGGGAAATTCTGGAGACACTTTGGGCTCCCTTTAACAAGATATCTCCCACAGCACGTTCTATGAGCCAAGCACACCGTCAAGAAATTCTTGATGATCATATGCGTAACTCAAATTGGAAAAAACTTGTCAGAATAGGTAAGTGCCTATATTTGGAATGAATGACATCACAGTTTCACACTGATGCAGTTAAGACGCTCTTGAGAAAGTACAAACGGGCCAACAAGGGCATTGAAGACACTAGGGTGCCATTTGAAGAGCTTACAGGATCTTTGGATGTCATCAAAGTGAGGGCATGGGAAAAAGATGAGGAGAAGGCAAAAGAAGAACGTGGAGAACATCTCGACATCTACCAGCTAAAGATAGCTAAAGGTGAGCACTTCGAAGCTTCTATTCAGTTCCCTGTGACGTACATTCTGATTGGGTGATTGGAAGCACCAACAATGGCAGAAATACGGCTAAAATTAACTGAATCAGAATATGCTGATACAGGGAGGTTGGGATCAATTTCTTGGCTCATTGACGGCATCAATATAGAGGATTCACAGTATGTTGTTTCATCATATATATTGATGGTGGTGATGTATTTCTAATTACTATCTAGGGATGCACTCAGGGTAGCTATTCGGCAGCTTCCCAAAGATGCATCTGCAGTTCAAAAGGCTGCAGTTCAAGTGAAACGACAAAAACTGGCTGCACGTATTTCGAAATTTCATGAAATTGCTGATGCTATGACAGAGGGCATTGAAGTCCATGGGGGTACTGAGCACATGGATGACATCAGATTTTGCACTACAGATGTGGTGGAGGAAGTACGCGAGGCTGCAGATATTGAAGATGTGTTGGAAGAGATTGATGAGGAAGTTCCTGCAGAAGCCATGGGCATTTGGATGCCATCTTCAGTGCTCCGAAATGAGGCTTTAGCCCTGGGCTTGCACACTCTGCAAGCTGAAGAACTGGAGTTACGAAAGGGTCAAGCAAATGATTGCTTGGAAAAGTTACGGCAGGCTCTCGGTCATAAAGCGATAATTTACCGTCAACATTTCCGAAGTGCAGATTCCACATGGACAGGAACCAGGTCAAAGCAGGAGGCTCTACGATGCCGTATCAAAATAGAGAAGTGTGTCCGAAGGTATCAAAGGGAAAGGGGTTCAATGCAGAGACTAGGGGCTGATGAAGATACTCTGAGGACGATTTATCAAGACATTCAGCCACACCAGCTCAGTGTGGACAAGGAAGTGACGGAAGAGAACAGATATGGACAGGGATCAGACAGACTGGCTTGGTTTTGGCTAGTCAATAATGGTCATGATTCGCAGGAAGATGTTTGGATGGATGAATGTAAGTCATATCTAATATGCCTATTTTCTGCAGTGACAGGTATTAGTCTACAGGGTAAATTGGTTGAAAGCTAAGGCTAGATGGCAAAGGTGGGAGGAGGAGTTGAGATTGGTCCAACACGAAATGGGTTGGACAGTGAGTTGGTTTAAATACAGGATGGAAGAATGGGACCAAAGATACCGACAAGCTACAAAGCCTGGTCATCAAGCTTATGCACATTGACAGGTGCTCTTGTGGGGAAGATTTGCATTGGATGCTGAAAATTCATTCAAAGACAAGATGATTGTAGTCACTTAACAGTCTTGGCTATTATAATATCAAAGACTTATCTAGCCAATATATGATAGTTATGGTGGTCAGGAACACTGCATATACCTCATACTCTAGAGCTGGCCCATTTATACTTGCAGATAGTACAATTTGAATGACTAACTCTCAAGTGATAGTACTAAAATCAACATCTTTCTTGATAATACTTTGTCTAAGGTATTAGCCTGGAGATGGCTCGGCTGGCTCTGGTATCAATGTCTGAAGTATCGGCCTGCCTGCTTGTACACCACATGATCCTGATCCGGCCGACTCTGTTATCAATGTCTGAAGTGTCGGCCTGCCTGCCTGTACGCACCTTGGTCCTGATCCGGCCGACTCTGTTATCAATGCCTGATGTGTCGGCCTGCCTTCTTGTACACACCATGGTCCTGATCCGGCCGACTCTGTTATCAATGCCTGATGTGTCGGCCTGCCTTCTTGTACACACCATGGTCCTGATCCGGCCGGCTCTGTTATCAATGCCTGAAGTGTCGGCCTGCCTTTCTGTACATGGCCTGGACATGCACCGGCCGGCTCTCTCATCAATACCATGAGGAAACCCACACTTTCCTTATCATTCTTGAGTTGTTTTAGATACTTGGGTTCTTGACCATGATGCTCAACATCACATAAGACATGAACACTTATATATATTTGTATACTTACATTATCTACTGACACTGATCAACTTGCATAAGTCAAATATCCTGCTGGACTTGAGTATCTTAGAAGTGCAAGTCATGGAAAGACTTGGCCAAGTATTATACAGTTATTCAACAATGTGTAGGTTTTTGCTGATGCCCTAAGTTGTTGGCTGGTACTGATGTATGTGTGTAGGGAGCCTCACTTGGGTGGTCGGCCAGTACCATCCCCACACCTCTGGCCAGCACCAATGTGCATGTATAAGCAGAGGTCGGCCAGTACCATCCCCACAGCTCTGGCCAGCACCAATGTGCATGGACAAGCAGAGGTCGGCCAGTACCATCCCCACAGCTCTGGCTAGCACCAATGTGCATGTACAAGCAGAGGTCGGCCAGTACCACCCCCACACCTCTGGCCTGCACCAATGTACATGTACAAGCAGTGGTCAGCCAGTACCCACATGTATAGACAGCCTCACCTAGTGGTTGGCCAGTACCACTCTCACACCTCTGGCCAGCACCAATGTACATGTATAGGCAGTGGTCAGCCAGTACCCACATATATAGACAGCCTCACCTGAGTGGTTGGCCAGTACCACTCTCACACACTTGGCCGGCACCAATGTGCATGTACAGGCCGGTGCTGGTTGGTACACATTCTACAGCCATTTGGCACATCCGGGGCACCACTTGTACATAGGGTTATGACTGAAGTATGTGGCCAGTTGCACGTAAGTTGGCGACGGAGGGCATATATAAAGTTTGAATGCTGGTCCAAACATCAATGCGGCGCTGCAGTGCACTGCTACGGGTGAGAATCTTTGTGAGTTGCGTGTCTGTTGCATGTGGACCCAGCGATGCAGCATCTGCACATAAACGACGCCTGGAAATAGATCAGTACGAATTCAACACATTGCTATGGCGTCCTTACTGCGCATGTTCTAGATCGATGCCTGTACTAATAAGCATGCTACAAGATAGCTCCGCATGAAGGGAAATTGTGGACCCTTCCTCTAACTCTCTGGCATCCTGTTGTGTGAGTTCGAGGCATACAGCTGCAAGTGTCATAGCTGCAAGGAGTTCAGCATCAATCAAATAATTGAAGGTATGACTCACTGTCGACTCGGCGTTCAAAAGGGTTTGGGTTGGTGTGGTCGGTCTCCCAAGATTTTATCTCGGCTTTCCATGTTGCTAGTGATGAGACGCCTAAGTCCGACTCTTGATAGAGCCCTCGAGCTTGTCAAACGCAAGCTTGTGATCTTCTGCTGCCTTGAGCGCTTCACTAAGTTTACGTGACATGATCCTGCCTGATTACAGTCCTCAGCAGCAAACACGATTGTAAAAGAAGAAGAAAACTACGAACCTAGCACAGTGGTTTTTTTCCAATTCGAATCTCCAAAGAAGTCATCCAGAATCTCTCGGCGGGCACCAGGACCCATTTCCTTGGTACTTGTAGCCACACGGTTGATATTGGCCCATCCGCGTTCGGGCGCTTCCCCATCAGTTCGACCGACACCTGGAGTCCAGTTGAAGGAAAATTTAGTCTGACAGGCCTTGATATGAGCTGCGAGATGGAATTTAGGGATGAAGAAGTTGAACTTCTTCTGTGCAGATGCACTGGATATCTGTGAGAGTGGGTCTGCCTGCTTGCCAGGTTGGAGCTTGAGGGGCATTCCAGGAATGTGGTCCTTGAGCTTCTTGTGCCATTGACAGGCAATGTTGTACGAAAGATTGACATTGGTGAGACGAGGTAACTTTGCGAGTGCCGAAAACACGATATAATCCATATTCAGGTATCTGTATCATAATGAGTAAAAGAACAATTTGTAGAGAAAGGCACGCACTTTTCACCCTTTTGAAGATCACCAACATCAGCAAACTACTGGGCTCTGTACAGAGCCCAAGCGATACAGCTTGGTCCCTTCTGTACAGTTCACTACAGTACCACATCACTCTGTAAATTTTCGTACAGACAACTTACAGACTCACAGAGAAGGCTCATTGTACATAGATTGTCAATAATATATCATTGTACTACTGCTGCTCACTGTCCAACTGGTCCACACGTGTACAGATAAGCACCATTGTACTACCGCTGCTCACTGTCCAACCAGTCCACACGTGTACAGATAAGCACAATGATCAACAAACTTTGATGGTATTCAATCAGATAGCAAACACGGCGGCGGAAAACGCGATACATTGTACACTAGCAGGAATGATGCTCGAGATAGAATCAGTGCGGGGGAATAGCGCTAAGACCTCAATCAAGGACAAATTTCAAATGCGAATGCTTCGCGGCATCATTGAAGCCGCCATCCACCTTGTAGGATTCCGCCCTGTGCGAACTTCGTCAGTATGCAAAACATCACGAAATAAAAGCCCTTGCCATCCAGCTCGAGCCCAGGAACGGAGCTGTTGCACTAGCTTCGGTCCATGGTAAGAATGTTCCAAGATCCCCTGCAGCTTAGTGACCGTAAGGCTATACAACGAACCGTATTCCTTCGCGGTAAACTTCGGAAATGATTTTCCGCTGCCGTTCTTAGCAAGGCTGTCCAGGACACAATTAACCTACAGAAATGATGTCAGTAGATTGTTAGTAAGATAGAAGCGCAGAAAACATACCGCGGTGCAAACTAATGCCAAGCACTCGAGTGGTAACTGTGTCCGGAAGATTTCAGGCCTCCTGCGAGCGACACGGTAAGATGATGTGTAAAAGAAAGAAATAACGGCCTCGCGAAGCGCGGGATGAGCGGCGTTTTGGGTTTTGCCGAGGTCATCTAGACCATTGCGCAGAAACTTAGCATCCTCCAGCAACTCCCCAGCGGCAGCTGTGACCCAGGCGGCACGTTGTTGGGGGGGGATGTGGGGTGGGGGGATAAGATTGTACATAGAAGGCACAATGTTAATCACAATCTTCTTGAGGTCTGAGCGCCAGGTTGATAAATCCTCATACAGCTAAAATAACAGCGCATTAGTGATCGGACACGCAACGACAAAAATACATACCAGCTTGGCCATATCGTGCTTGTGATCAGGCCAGATACCTGGTAGACATTTGAGTAATGTCTTGAGCAAACACAAAAAGACGTACCCTCTTCGACGTGCTGACCACTTTCGAGCCATTCGACAAGTGAGGCCATGAGTACCTCGTTGACAGAACCTGTCAAGTCTTTGACCAGCTTCGGGAATAGGTTCTCGATCGCGTGTTGGATGTGGCACTCGCCCTTCGTATCCTCGAGGAAGCTCTTCCAATGAGGACCATACCAGCCCAGTTGAGTAGCTTTAGGTCCTTCGCCTGGTTCGTCAGATTTCGCCAATGCAGTCTTGGCTTGTGTGTTGCTTGACTTGTGGTTGGGTTTCTTTGTCTCGGTGTGATGTAAGAGTTCGAGAAATTGAGGATCAGGAAGGCGAGGGCGTCCATTTTTCTTGTGGTGAAGTTGTAACACGTCATCTGGTTGGGGATCAGCCGGCTGTAGGAAAGAAAAAATTAGCGGACTTCAGGAAATTATATAAACTATACCTGGGTCACAGTATCATCATCGCTGGAGCTATTATTTGCTACCAAAGATCTCTCCGCATCATTGTCACCTTCATCGTGGGAATGTTGAAATTCGAAGTCGGTTGGAAGCGCGAGGGCAACGCGGGGTTGGGATGGTAAATCTTCCTTCGAGAATCCTGTCACTCTCTTAGTGTGTTCACAACGGTGATAACTAACAGCTTACCAGGATGTGCAGTCATGCGCCCATGTGCTGCCCCCCAGCCAACATTGTCATCTGTGTGATCTGCCTCTTCATCGCTAGCACTTCCATCACCGCCTTCGCTAGATGTTCCCGAACTGTCAGATCTTGTGTCTTGCGGTTCATACTGATTGAAACGTTCATCATTGACTGGTCGAAGGGCAGGGTCGAGGTTCTGATACAAGTCTGAGTCAGCATAGGATTGATGTGCAGGTAATGTGCGATTTGAAGGTACCACCGAATGCTGGTTTTCAGAGGTGACGACAGCAATGGGAAGATGTCCAGTGGTACCTAAAGTTGCTGAAGAAGTCTGCTTCTCCCTGGCCGCAGCCACATAAGAATTGTTAAGTGCTTGAAGGTCAGGCTCTGTGCCAGGGGGAACGATATGCTGAGCAAATCCAAATCGTGCGCCCACTTCGCGGTGCACAAGCCTGGGCTGGAGGTTCGGGGCCTCAAAATCTAAGGCAGGGGGAGCAGCATTCTTCGTTGCCTTTGTTTTTTTGGCCCGAGGTCCAGAAGCTGCAGAATCCGTCATCTTGGAGGCACTGTATGGCGGGGGGGGGGGCTTCTGAATATATATCCAGCGTTATAAGCCTGTCACTGCGACTTTAAGTATATAAGAAAACCTACCTTTGAGTGGCTTCCACGACCCTTACGAGGCGGCTCCGGAGCAAGCGGGTTGTTAGGAACATCCGAGTCAAGAGAGGTGGAGCCTTTGGGTCGACTGGTTCATGTCGAGGCACCCAAGAGATTACCGATTATCTCTAGTTGACTGGCTCTGCCTCCTTGTCCTGCACCATGACGTCCGGAACGTCGAGGGGGCACAGCCTGAGAGTTGGCGACATCAGAAGTCGGCTGCAACACAAGGGGTGCCTCAGCCCCAGCCCGCGTTCTCTTTGTTGAAACACGCTGCCCATCGGAGTCGATAGCTTTACGCTTTGTCTTCTTCTTAGGGCTAGCGCGAGCGTGATTCTGAGATTGAGAAGGCATGACTGGAGCTGACACCAGAAGGAATGATGATAGCGTGCAGTAATTGTGGACCGGACACTTGCCTTGAAGGCTTTTAATAGTCTGTTGACGAAGGAGCATCACAAGCGCTTTTTGGAAGTATGACTCGGAGTCGACTGACAGGCTCGTGGGTAGCAGTGTGGAAATGTGTGTCAAGGGCTGAAGCGCTGACCCGCAGGGCATGATTAAAAGATTTCGCCGGTCGAAGTTTGAGTAATAGTAGAGGTAAGAATTCATATCAATGAGTCAGTGCTACGTTTTTCGGAAGTGCATGTTATATCACGTGACTCGAATGACCAATGTAAATGTAAATGATACATGTATATGTGTGCGAGTCCCTATCCAGTCTTGCTCCTTTTCGGCTTGGGCACAGCTTCCATCGTCCATTGATAATCAATAACCCGTTTGTTTTTGTTGCGCACCATGGGCTCAGCAACTAACCGTGATTCAGATTCCCCTTCCTCGCCACTGCTTGAAGCCTCCGAGTCAGCCTTGTTGAGTGCCTTGAGCAACCACGTTGAGACCAGGAGCTGAGGCGACAACTCGTTGGTTGGAAATGTCGCGATATGTCTATTCAACATCGAAATCATGTCGTCGAAACCTACGTTCTTCGGGTCTCTTATCAGATGATGCCACTCCAATGCAACGGGAAGGAGGTTTTTGAAGTACGGGTGGATCTGGTTGGTGAGTTCCTTGGCAGTAGTGTTCTTCGTAAAAAAGAACGATGTTTTACTATCACAGCACGCCTTGAACTTGGACGCGGACCATTCATGCGGTATCCAAGTGCAACTCTTGTCCAGAATGCGCTTCATGCCAAGGGGACCTCTAAATTCGATCAAAATCCAGATGAACACGTAGAACACGGACTCGAGGTCATCCTGGTAGCTGTGCTTGATCAGGGGGGCTGGGTATGGTTTCGAACTCGAGGCTCCCTTGTGCGCCACCATGTCACCTGGACTCTTGAGGTGAAGCTGGAAGAGAAGTGCTCGGGACATGAAAGGTAATGTGCCCTTAACGCGCTTCATTAGTACCGACCCTTCTACGAATTAAAAACGCTTACGGTGCCCCCAACAGTGTAGGTCTCATTTTTGGCGATTTTCACCGCAAACTCCCAATCTATCAGCATTCCTTGGGAGCCGTTACCATCGTCCTCAATCATGGAGTTGTTCAGACTGCAATCACGGTGGAGGACCTTGCGCTGTTCCACCGCTTCCTTCTGAACTAATGGTAAGTCAGCAAAAGCTTTAAATTGCAATGTATGGTACGTACTCTGCACAATATCTCGTATCGACGTCAACAACTCTAACTTTGTGCGGAATTTATGCAAAGGTTCGCGCGCGGGGCTTCAAGACAACGCGAACATGAGTACGGAATGTGCCTTTCAGGCTTCGCACGGACTTGAACCGATAATTCTGCGTTTGATCAACCTTGTTGGGCTCGGACTCGACAAGCCAATATTCGACAAGCTTGGGGACACCGCAGGACACCGCTCATCTTCTCCATCATGTGGATCTCATTCAAGGCTTCTTCATCTCCCCCCATGGCCCAGTAATCCTTGATAATAAACTCCTCCCCGTCCTTCCTGGCCAGATAGCAAACGGTGCCGCGACCCACAAGACCCTGTCTGGAAAAAAGAATTTCCAAGATATCGTAGTAGTGGTCCTTGACACGTATTTTTCCGATCGGCCGTGGTAGAGGTTCGTGGACTGTAGGATCTTGAGGGATTTCTATAGGGAGCTCCACGACGAAGTCGTCTTCAGCGGAGTCACCCTCAGCGCGCTCTGTGCCCTCCTCAGAGAGGGGGTTGCCGATCTGAGAAGATGTGCTCTCGATCTCGTTGCAGGAGGATGCGCTCTCAATCTCGTTGCAGGAGGGTGCGCTCTCAATCTCGTTATAGGGCGTGCTCTCGATCTCGCGGGGGGTGGGAGGGTGTGTCAGAGGAACTTTCGATCTGGGGGGGGGAGGGGGAATTAGAGTGTGATCTCAGTGTCTGCTGGAGCGTATGCGCGAAGATGGTGATAGTGGGGTCATACCCGATGCATGTTAGATTGCCGAAGACGATGCACGACAAGATGCGCAAGAATTTGTTAGGCTCCTTTTGGATGCTAGTGCAAGGGCTCACGACACCCCCCGAATGGTCGTACACGTGAACGCGAAGATCGCGATAGCTATTGCACACCGATATCAATAATGCGAACCGTCTCCAGGGTTGGTGCTTCAGAAGAAGGTAAGCTTTGGTGTCGAGAGTCTTCGCAAGGGTGCTTGAAGGTTGGTATGTGCTGGATGTCAGCTCGCATACCGCTTTGATCGTATCCCCACCTAGCCTCAACATCATCCAGCAAGGTAAGATCTGGTTTCCGTGGAATTTCTTCACCGGGTACTGGGCGAGATGAGTTTGCTGCACTCCAGGTGCGTGATAAGTCGTGTGCCCGAGCGAGTTTAGGCTGCGATGCGATGAGAGCAACAGAAATGATGTTAAAGAACGACGAGAAAATTTGTTCCGTTGTTGATGGATCCTCGGCTTTAATCGAGGGCGCTTCGAGTGAGTCCTCCTCCATTTCCCCAACTTCCGACCCCTCCTCAACCTCTGACTCCTCTCCAACTTCTGGCCCCTCATCAGCGAATAGGTCCCCATCGGCGAATGGCAACTTGCTCGCGGTAAGTTCACTGGTGGATGGGACACCTAGACTCCCAGAGGACAACTGAGATTGGGTTGCTTCATCGATCAATACCCAATCTCCTGACTTCTCACCCATGCTACTCCCTCCTCCCTGAACCAAGTCGCTTTTTTCACGTTTACGCTGTTTTGAAAGTGGCCAATTCCATTGACGTTTTGCGCTATCATACAGGTGCACCATCGGATCTCCACCTGGCTTCAGAGTGAAGGTTTCTAGGTGATCGAGCCCGGCATTGGAAGGTAATTTCCTCAACGGAATAGCAAGATCTTTCGCGTTGGGAACTTCAACCGTGCACGACTGGAAAATCAGGGACAAGATGTAGCCGAGCTTGTCCTTGTCCTTTCTGGCGAGCGGGGGTTCTTGGAGTATCAAACGGTTGAGTTCCAAATCGGTGAATTTATCCATAGCGTCTGTGTCATGGAGCGGGGGAGCTGAAAGGAAGGATGACAGCTTCATCCCTAGGTCAATTGTTCGGCAATGTCGCGCAGCTGGCATTTTGACAGGCACAAAGAACAAAGCATGGGAGAAACAACGGTACTAGGATACAAATGGAAGTAACTAAGCCAATAATGATGGCACACAAACTAATCTCAGCATGAATCAAATACTATCCTGATAGCGCGAAGAAAGTGTTTTTTTCCCAATATTAATATTCATTCAACCAAAACTCCGTGGCATGCTCCATACTGTTGTAGGTGGTTAGATGTTTATCCGCAGTTGCTCCAAAGCGAGGGATCAGGTTGATAGGCGCCCGGAGTTGAGAGACTGGTACAATGTCCCCCATCCGACCTCCGTTTGAACGTTTTGCTCGTTTGAGCAGGTGCAGCTGTGTAATTGGATCGCGATCATGCGAGATGTCAAAGCGTTGCACATAAGTGAGAAAACAATCCATCCATGACCAGCGTGTGCCGCTCTTACCAACAGGCCGCATGATGAGTCTGATCTGAGCAACAGTGTGACCTACAGGTGGGTAGTAGTTTAGGCTAGGATATGGGTAACACCACACAAGACAAAAACATACCTGAAAGTCGACCACTAGGCCATGAGGAACCTGCAGTAGTCTCAATGATAGCCGTGTCATAACGGCCTAGAATCCAGGGGTCACTAGGTGGAGCGCAATTCAATGTCTGAGCCGGTCTGATGGTGCAACCATCGTGAAAGTTCGTCTCTTGCAAACGGATTTTGTACCAGAGCGAAACTTTGTCAAATGGAAGGACAGTCATAGGCCCAGCCCTTCTTGGACCGCCTATCGCGTGGACATGCTGGGGTCCGTAAGTTGCCTCACGCTGAAGGAAGTCAGCGATAGCTGGCCGTAGATCTGGGAGGGAAAATTTGATGGCGACTTCATCGACAAAGATACTCCTGATGGAGGGATCATATCCGACATGAAAGGCAGTGTGCCCAATGGCAAATGAGCGTAATGGAATGGGCACTAAAGCCGCGTCCCTGAACTGGAGTGCCCTAGCGATGGCAAAATAGTTTGTGACTGGACGACCTGGGTGTTGCTGTGTCGCGGAAAGTTCAATGGGAATATCTTGAGCGTCAACGTCAACATCAGCGTCAACATCAGCGTCAACGTCAGCGTCAACGTCAGCGTCAACGTCAGCGTCAACGTCAGCGTCAACGTCAGCGTCAGCGTCTAAGTCCTCTGGCTCCTTCGTAGTCGAATCTAAAAGGCTGGTAGCGAGCTCAAAGCGACGACACTTTTCAGCGCGGTCCAGGTGTCGGCATATCTGGGGATCGTAGTTGTTGTTATTGCTGGCCCTCGCAGGGTCTTTGATTTCGCTGATATGTGCATGTTCCGTGACATCCGCAGACCATTGCATTGTGACGCCAGAGTTTCGAATGCTCGGAACGATGTTTTGCATTAGCTCCAACTTGGGTATATACCAGTTGGTGATGGGTCTATTGCCCTTCCCTCGGCGAGCTCCGGCGTCAATAATTGCATCCTTGTTGGCATGGAACTCATCCAATGCCCTTGAGATGCGCTCAAGATCGTCACCATTAATGCGCGGCGACTGCACGAGATAGCGGAACTGCATGAGTGCGCGTATGGCAGTGATTATACCAGGAGGTGCTGCGTCCGCGCATAGTGCAATGATATATCGTTGAATATCTCGTTGGCAGCGACCGGTGACTTGTTTGAGCCTTGAAATGCCTGCATGAAAGTGATGATAACCGGTGACGGGCTGCGAGATGGAAAACCGGAAATCGATCTCGGACTCTCCAACAATGCAAATGAGCCATTGTGCATCGTGATCCCAGAATTCCTTGTGAATGTGGTGGAGGTGTTCCGGTGTAAGAAAATGGGAGGGTTCCGCAAGTATCCAGTCCCGCCAGAATGGTTCAGCGACGCCGTTTAGACGGAACTTCTGGGCTTCACGGAAGAAAGCTTCAATATCAAGAGGATCAGTGCGCAAGAGTTGTTGATTTCGTTCGGGGTTCATGCTGGAAGTCATCCCCGAACTGCTTGTACATCGCCATGGTCACTGGTGACGTCTTTCCACCAACAGTGGCCAGCATCATGGCTTCGGGGGTGTCGGCGATGTAACTTGCAAGCGGGGTGAAGCAATAACGGCTGTGTCCACTGGGGTCCGACAACATGATACCATTGCGAGCGGCCTGTTTCAGAGGTTCGAGGACGATATCTAGACATTGATGTATAAGGCGGTCCTCCAACACACCCTTCATCCGCTTCTTCTTATGCACGAACTTTGGGACCGGAAGTAGGGCAGTGAGAACAAAAGAGCTCGATGAAGACTTGAGTCGTGTACTGGCATGTATGTTTGCAAGGCTAATTAGAAGCGGATGAGCAATGCGATCGCCTGTTAATGCGGTGATGTTTGTCTTGTCGGAGGATAGGATGGTGCCGAGGAGGGTTGCGCCGCTAGGTATCGCCGACTTCAAATATAAATGAGCTGGAGACATCGAGATTCGACTTGCTACATACCTGCATGTCCCAGGCGTCATCGCCCGTCATCCATTCAGTGTATACACGAGACAGTCTCTCTGCAGTGGAGTACACCTTGCGAGGTGTCAAGTCCAAACGACCGTGAAATAAGGGGTGATTGAAGATGCTGGCGATGCACTCTATAGGGTCACGCCAATACAAAACCACGGGCGACTTTGTAGGGTGCGATGTTGGAATTATTTGGGACATCCAACGTGGACCGCTGGGGAGCATCTCAGCTCGACCCCGTAATTCTCTGGCTGAGCAGAACGACAACGGTAAATCTTTGATCTAAAAATCCCGAAAGTCAAGGGATGGCAGCGAGTTTGAAAGGTTCGAACACTCACCATTTCAAGCGATAGGAAGGAATCAATCTTCCCCATGCTCAGGCCTGAACTAAGCAGCCACGCTGCAACTCGCCAATCTGCCCGACTGCTAAATGGATAGTAAAGGTTGGTTTTGCGATATATACTATTTTTGTCAGTCTCAAATAGGCTCAAAAAGGTGTAGCCATCCTCATAGGCAAGCGGGGGGTCGGGAAAGTAGTCGGTAACTTCACCGCCCTCGTCCTGAGTTCCACTGTGCGCTCCCGCGATATTCACTTCTTCACCACTAATGTCACCAAAGTCATCCAGCATTGTCTCGCTTCCGAATTCTGGTTCTTGAGAAACACGAGGTTCGACATCTGCTGAGTGCGTGAAATCATGCGGCAGGATGATGGAGTCAAGCTTGATAATATCTTCCAGCCAGGTATTGCATCCAGACCGAGGTTGGCTCATATGACGAGCAATAGATGTGTGGTCCTGAAAGGCTTTTCCACATGACGGACAGTGATACATGAGAGCGAGCAGCAAGACATATGCTAGTATGATGTAAGTAAGCTTTCAATCTTCTGGCATTTTCCGTACTGACCTCTCCAACGCACACCACCCCACACTACATAATGAACATAACAAATCTGCAATCTCTGTCAGCACGCGCATCAGGGATTGGCGAAAAATCCCCTGATCCACATCATCGCAAAGGACCGTCGGACCTATATGAAATTCTTCATATTGTAAATTCTATGGTGATGTCAATCTCGACGCTCACCCCTTCACAATGCGCCTTACCTTTCAACAGTCCATACAGGACCCAACTGCCTCTGAGGCCAATCTTGTGATGGATCTTGTGAGGGCCAAATGCGACGTTTATCAAGCACAGAAGGCATTGGCGGATTGTGTAATGCGGGAGAATGAGATGTTGGCAAGCCTGCTGAGATTCCGTGCCGAAGAGGCGGAGAAGAGGTTGGACGACACAGATATGGGATTGGGGTGCATGAGAGTTATGTTCAAGGAAAACGGGTGGACTCATATTTCTTCTTTGACTCGAACACCTGGAAGTCATCTGCAACCCGGTAAGCTCACGAGACGAGACGACGCGGTGTCATGAGGAGGCTGATCCTATCTCAGTAGAAGTTACAGAGTGCGGCCGGCAACTCACCATCCAGCTTGATTGATCCGAGTGCTTCGAATTCTTTTCGCATCATTACAATATTCAACTTCGAATCGTTTATACTATGCGTCATTTTCCCTCACATGAATACACCAGTACATAGTATATGTTGTACTATACCCCTTATGAATGAGTTTGACAGTCAGTATCTCAGAGACCGTTCTTAAGTTTTTGCCGTGCCATGCTATTTTAAGTTCAATCATCGAGCTCGAGACTACTCAAGTCAAATGTGTATCTTACTAGTGTTAGTGCTGCCGTGGTCCGGTTCGGTCCGGTTCAGAGGATCCTGGACGAGAACCAAGAACTGGACCATGGTTCGGTTCTACAAAATCTTCGAACCCAGAACCGGACTACAGAGAACCGTTCTCTGAGGTCCGGTTCGGTTTTTTTCCGGTCCGAACTCGAACCGAACCCGAAAATTTTAGTAGGGGCGAAAAATCATTTACAAAGTCTCTGGAACAGCTGCGTAGGAGGGGGAGGGTTCAGCCGTTGACTTGTTCACCCGTGCAGGATGAGCTGCTGAAGATTTGGGAGGTGGAGCTTGACATCTGCTAGAGACATGTTTACTCGGGCTTGCGCCGATATCATGAAGTTTCTTCTTCCCAGCAGGACCTCTACGCTCTATAATCATCGCTGGGACATCAGCCGAGGGTAGCAACGATTGTTGTGGGTGTAGTCATGGGCTTGCCGCCGAATAGAGAAGCGAAAGGCATGGCGAGGCGGGAAGGTTGGGTGAAGGTTGGGTGGCGTGTATGGGTCATGGGGGTAGGGGTGGCTTTGGTGGACGGACTTGGATTGGAGGGAGGTGCTGTGTGCTGGGACTGCATATGAGGGGTATGTAGAGTCGGGTGGGATTGAAGGGAGCGGTGGAAGAGATGAGAGAGTGATATCAGGAAACTTTGTCGGTGGGAGGGAGGAGCGAAAGGTCACATTTTCGCTGGATGGATGTATTAGGTCAAATTGGTGTTAAGTAACGAAGAACATGGAGGAAACGGACCTGGATAAGTGTCCCCGCATACCAGAAAGTGTAACCAACGCCTATGAAACCATTTCCCATGAGCTGAATTGTCACAATCGATGGATACACGCACCTTGCCCTTTGTAATGGCGCCCCAGATTTCAGCCCACTCTTCTGTCTCACCATCTTGGAGGGTTGGTGCTGCGGAGAGACTGAGACTGGCGGTTGGGCAGTACTACCAGTCGTAGCCAATATCCAAACAGATAGCGGACAAGGAACTTGAGGCTGAGACACGCCATGATTTGCATGTTGATATGATTGACTACTATAGGACAGGCGAGCGAAGAGCACCTGTAGGTGTAACCTCAAAGACGTTGAGGGTTGCGGACGGTCGGTCGCTTTAACATTGTCGCGTCGAAAGTGGAGGAGCAAGGAAAGGCGAATGAGGAGTGTGCTTGCAGAGGAATGAGGGTGGGCACCACCCATTTGGGAGGACTGAGAGCACAAGATCAGGACAAGAACTAAGTGATAGAAATACCGATAACGAACACGAAACGGCTTCTATGCTGTCAAAAACCTAGGTGGGAGTTCATTGACATGACCGACCCCCGAACTCGTTGTGACATCATCGTGTAGCATCAACCTGCAATGTTAATGTTATACTAACCACTGAGCATGTTCACAAACAATCCACGTACTTCCAAAAATGACTTGACACTGAGCAAAGAGCGTTGTCAGTGAGAGAGAGGGTGGGTGAGGCGTTGACACTCACAATATTGGTACCAGTGGACAGTAGATCTTCAAGGCCAGCTTCTTGGCATAAATGTCCCGACAATGCATTTCCGTTTTCGGAACCTGAAAAACCATAGTCAATCGTAAATATCTCAAGTTCGAAAATAAAATCGGTTCGAGGTTCGGGACGGTTCGGGACGCGTTCGAACCAACATAGAACCGTTTGGCTAATGCAGAACCGAGAACCGTACTATGGTCCGGTTCTGGCTGACACCTGGACCGTGGACCGAACCACACAAGAACCGGACCAAAGTCCGGTTCGAACCATGGTTCTGGACCGGACCACGGCAGCACTAACTAGTGTAGACTTTAAGGTGATACCACTGCTAATAGATTTTCAACTGCAAGTTGCTGCGAAGTCTCGCAGCTGTACTGTGGAACTGTGAGTGACTGGAGACAATGCATGCTTTGTGGCCACGAGTTGCTGTGATATTGGCGGAGCTGTGGAGTCTGTGGCTGACTGTCGTGAGAACGCAAATCCTGTACCTTCTGTGGAGAAAGTTGTAGTTTGCTGATGGGTGTGGCTAGTCGGAAATAGAACGAATGACAGTATGTATGATGACCAAATGTCATGTTAGACCGAGAAACCCTGATCTTCCATTCCTTCATGCGAGTGCCACAGGATCAGTAGATCCGACGAACCAGCTTGCAAGTCCGAACTTTCAATATTATGACATCCATCATTGATACGTTAAGTTACAGCCTTTTGGCATCCGGGGCCCCATCTTATAATTATCTCGTTGACACTAGCCTGCGCAGACTGAGGCGGTCATGATTGGATCATACTTACTCAACATAAGTGTGACTGTCTCGGATCCGAAGCGAGAAAGCTCCCTTTCCTTGACGGCGGAGGGAGAAGTCTAGTCTTACAAATGGAGCATTACGTTGGTGCCCCAAGCTGCCCCTGTCACTTCGATCTTCCATTCCATATGCCAGCCCACACAGCCTCACGTATGTTCATGTCCTGCTCGATAACTCATGACGTACATTTTTTTGCGGACTGAATGCTTGTGATCAACCGAAATATCGATGGGCCGCACCAGGATCTTCTGCACCCATTCCTACTTAAGCACCAATCCAACTCTCATCTGTTTTCCAGCCGCATTTCTTGCCTGCGATCTTGCCCTCCAAGAGTCTCCACCATGTCTCCTCCAACATTTCCTGCTGTCGATCGTCTTGGCTACAGCTTAAATATGGCCCAAGTAACCGGAATAGACATTAACTCAGTACGTGTTCATAGAACAGTTACTGGCCTGCCCTTGACTCTTCACAGGTTGATGCAGCTCTGAAGAAAGCAGATCGTTGGATCGTTATTGACTTCGAGAAATTTCATACTGTCGAAATTGGTCTGTTCGCCGTGAAACACCATAGATGGCGACTGACCATCATCCCCCGCTTAGACAACAAGCTGTACAACGTCCCCAACATGGTTTCCGTCGCTCAAGACATCCGACAAGTTGAAGGTCAATTTATTCATTATGCGAACGGCGACGCCGCGAATGGTGCATTTAACAAAGACCCTACTCTGAGCGGCCGCTACTTCGCGCTTACGGGACCCGCGTCTGTGGCGGCAGCCTTGCACAAATCGTTTCTTCGTGACAATCAATATGCGTTCTTCAGTCTCTCAAAGTTGAAGTATACCGTAACTCTCAAAGACTACTCGAGTAGTATCTATACAGACGGGCTCCTGGAGAGAGTCAAAGATTTGCCGATTTTTAACGGGAAAGACCTCGCCGTTGTCAAAAAGTACAACGACTTCTTCATAGCACACGGATCCCATGTCGTCATGTCTGTTTCTTATGGCGCCCGCTACCCGCTCGTGCGTCCCTCACCCGTTCACAATATCTGTATTCAGTGCTCATCGTTGTCATAGACAGTGTGGTGTTCAAACAAAGACCAATCAGTGAATGAGATGTTCCCCACAGATGTCGAAGCTGCTTTCCATGGCATTCCAAACGGCGGGCAGTTCGATGCCACAGTGAAGGACCAGACACAATACAAGAAATTTGAAAACAGCCGCCAGCATCTCGTCTCGGCCTTGGGTGGTGACGAAGATATCGCCAATCGCCTTGCGAACAACAGCGCGTCCTTTGAGGAATACGAGAAATGGGTCGGGACCGCTCGTCAACACCCCTGCTCCTTGCTGAGCCTCAACGTCGTCGAGCTCTGGGAGTTGATGAGGCTGTCGAAGGATGCCATAGTCAAGAGTTATTCTGACCAACTTTCGGCCGCATTTGATCACATCATTACGCGCCCTAAGATTTTCAAGACGGCCGTCAGACTTGACATTCGATCTTGTGCGCCCTCCAGTGATCATTCATGCCAGATACTAATTTATTTTCATCGTTGTAACAGCATATGCCGATTTCAATTTGAAGACCCCAAGCGCTTACCCTATTGCTGACCGCGCGAATCCTTTTCCAACCGGAGCCTCGATTTCTAATACACGCATCATGTGGAAAAGCCCTTACGGTCACGCTCTTCACATAATACTCTAGTATTTGTCTCTGTTTGCATCTGGGAGCTCATCGTTTAACGAAGTGTTGATCTACAGCTTCTTCGTGATCAACGATGGGTCCCCGATCGATTTCTCCACCGATCGTGGAAGTATGAGCTACTCTGCGAATGTCATCATGGAGGGTGTCAGTACCTTTATCTTTATGTACTTGCCATGATCTAACTCGACAATCCTTCTCGCGCGCTTCAGAATCAGTACCTCAATAACGAGGGGATGACCACCAAATGGTTTTGGGCGGCCAAGGTGAACCCTTACCCGGAGACGAAGGGTGTCAAGATAATAGAAGAGCCAACCACTTGGGACAAAGTGCTGCACGACTACCTCAATGCAAATGGGGAGGACTCGGCGGACTCGGCGGAGCCCTCCGCTTGAGACCGCTTCGCTCCATTCACGAGTTATGAACGCCTCCCATGACGATCTGAATAGAGTCATGTTTCGCTCATGTTACAATTGACCATGTATGATACGCAGGAGATGTGATATTTTTGTATTCCTATTGATACTTGCATGCATTCGGACATCATCATCATGACCGACTCAGACACGGATTCAAGTCGTCGGTGAACCTCTGAAGCTACTCAGTGTACCCAACTGCGGCCACCATGGATCCGTCTTTCCTGGTAACACTGGCGCATATGTTTCACTAATATGTACTCCACAATTTTCTGTTTTTCGACATCCACTCACAATTAGCAAGCATCCTGCAACCCTCTCACCATCGCTGAAGTTTTCCTATCTAACTTTATCCGGACTATGGCAGAAACGACTGGTTACCGTTATGTGGCACCATGAGTCGGCCAATATATATCAGCCATAATTTTGCGAGGCAAGAATGAACTAGTCCAGAACGATGCCAATGATTGACCTGGGTCGTGCCAATGCCAAAGTAGGTCTCTTTTTTCTTGATCCACCCATCGCAACCCCACCTATAGTAGTAGATCTGCAAGTCCGAGACCGAGGCGCGCTCCCCACATGCATGCTATCACTCGTCACGCTCAAACGCGTCCTCTTCGCCATGCCGCTAGCAGCACTACACGAACTACTACTACATCTAGTCCTGCTACGAACTCGAACGCCACCACACACTTCTATGTCCAATTACGATCAATGCATGAGTCGTCGTTTACTTTTTAGCACTTGTGTTCAAAGCATCAATTCTCAAGAAATTTAAAATCCATTCGAGCCGCACGAAATGATTTTAAATTTCTCGCCAACGAGATTCAGAACAATAAGGTGACTGCTTCCAAACTGCTTCCAGCTTTTATTTTTTCCGCGTGCAACCTCACGCCCAGGCTGTTCGTTCACGGAGAAAGAAACAAGTGTTTTTCTAACCCTGCTTTTGTTGGAGATATTGACTCTTCTCCAGAACATGAAAACGCTTCGCGGTGTATGTCATCGACAAGTCACAAATACAGGCTAATCACTCTGCATTTCCACGCGCTGATGCAGAACCCCTTTGATCTTCTCTCTTCCTTGGTGTGAGGACCTTTTCAAGCGCATTCGGCCGTCATCCCATCAGAAGGTGAAGCAAAAGGAGCATCGCTGAAACCAAATGCTCTGCAAGTTCTGCTTTCATGTTCGCCTGTATGCCCTGATAAATATGCAAGTCCCCACTCTTCCTTGATCGATACCCGATGCACTGCTGTCCGACGTCTATCTCTTAAAACGTGTATATTAACTGCAGCAACATGATATAATGGATATACACAGTCCAAGCAACACCACGCAACGAGTGTTGAGGTACGATTAGTAGTTTTCGTCGAGTCCTGTCTCAAAAACGTCCACATCTCCCAAGAATTAGCAACACCTGTCAAAGGTATGCTTTGTCAAGCCCCGTTCCAAACTATACACCACCACCTACTCAGTTGTCGCCTTCGCAGCCTGCAGCACAACCATCCCACTCGCACACCCCGACACCACAAACGCAGTTGCCACATCCCCAATCGTCTTCGTCATGACCTCATGCCCCACTATCCTATGCTCCTCCACCAGATCCTTCAACTCTGCACTATGGTCCTCCACTGCCAGCCGCTTTGACCGTCCAGTGACGACCAACACCCGCTGGTACATCGACGCGCGCTGGATCGCAGCGTGCAGCGGGACAGGAGATGCGAGATTAGAGAAATCAATCCGCGAAAGTGCAGCACGCAACGGCGCAGGAATGCCCGCTACTGCTAGATCGCGGCTCGCGTATCGCGACCAAATCACACTGTCGGCTGTTTCTGACTGCATGCGCGTTTGGGTATCGGGCTGCCCATAGACAGTGTCTGGGGGTCCTATCGCCTGCACGATCGGTAATGGAAATGTCAGTCAATGCATGTATGCTAAGAAAGTGGTCGCGCTCACCGATGTTAGCGTTACTCTGTGTTGGTGGTGCAGTGCGAACGAGTCAGTATCTGTTTTGATATCAGAATGTGCAGGAGGAGGTCGCTCGGTTAGCGAGGTTTCAAGCTCGTGCTTTTCCATCTTCACCACCGTCGCATTAATCTTCGGGTTCACACAAAGCTGTACCACAAACTCCAGCGCGAGGCGGTCATCAGGACCGCCAAAGAATGGAAGAAAGATGTGATGAGAGCTCCCTGTCCCCGCACCGGTGTTGGGGTAATTTCCAGGATCGACAAACAGGGCGACGTCTGTCTCACTTTGTGCGAATACCCCACGTACGAACTGCGAGTGAATGACAGACGCAGACTTGTCTCTTGATGTTCCGAAAAAGGCCTCGAAAGGGTTGTGTTCGAACTTCTCTCGCCGTGGCGTTCCGCCATCGCTTGTTTCAGCAGAACTAACGGAAGGTGGCAACCACGGGAGTAGTACGAGCTGGGATGCGTTTCGCTTGGCGTGATCCGCAACGGTGTAGGCAAGGTCATCATACGGCACGATGTTGAGCGACGTCGACACGGGCAAGTCATTCAGCTCTCCGAACATGCGGAATATGCCCAGGAGCGGATCGGTATGGATAAGGGTATCTGTAGTGGATGACTTCATTACCGCCGACGTACGATCCGACAGTTCGATGAGGCGGAGTGCGCTGACGTTCACTTCGGGCGTCTTGTATTTCAAAGGGGCGGGATCAGACGCAGCAGACATGGACACGGCGGTGGTGAGCGAGGAGAAATATGGTATGGGAGGACGGACGAGTTGCGTGAGGGCCATCATGCACGGCATATGTTCGAGTTTGTCGAGAACGACAGTAAAGCGATATCGCCATGGCTGCTCCTCGTCCACGAGAGATTTCTTGTCTTCGTCAGAATCACCGCCCTCCTCGTCACGGGTTTTGGGCTGAGCCCCACCTGAAGTGGCGCTGACACGCCGTTCTGGAGGATACAAGGCTGTGACGAGTGGTGTGGTCATGAAGGTGAGCGTCAAAGCTTCCAGCACGAACATGGAGAAGACCCTCTGAGATAAAATGCCAGCGGAGAGACCGACATTAAGCACGATCAACTCAACGAGACTAGGTGACATGATTTAGCAGATGAAAACACCGAATGTCGAGTACTTACCCTTTACAACTCATAAGTGCTCCAATTGTACTAGCTTCACGCCAGCTGAAACCGGACAGCCTCGAGGCAACTGTACATCCACCAAACTTGCCAAAGAATGCAAGGCATGTGATAGCGATTGTGAAAGCCCAAGTAATGCCTGCAACGTGCGAAGTTATAAATAAACAAAAAGAAACGAGGTGTCTTGGATGGCCCACCGTTATCAAGGAGTCCGAGATTAGTGTTCAGCCCTGAGATAGTAAAATACTGCAATGCATGAATGACAAGACAGGGGAGATGTAAAATGAGCATACCAGGGGCAGAAATACAATGGAGACCATATCTTCCAGCTTCTCTGTCAAAGCGATAGCGAGACCGCCCTCCCTCGGTACAATAATACCGGCCAGGAACGCACCTACACGCGATGACAAACTGATTATCAGATAGAAAGGATCAGTGCCCACCAAAAATAGCATTGACGCCCACGATATCCGTGAAGAACGCACATGCCCAAAGCAAGATCATAACGACAGTCATGTAAAACATGGTAGGGCCATTGTCTGTACTGCCTGTGGCTCTGGCAAGCCAGAGCATCACTCTCTTGATGACCAAAAGAAGAAAAAGTGTGAATGCCACACAACAAAGCAATACCCATAATGCAGTGAGACCAGAACCGGCGTTAACAAGGGCTACGCTTAATGCCAGGAGGGTCCAACCCACGACGTCATTGCCTACGCCAGCTGAGAGGACGATTATGCCAACAGTGGTATCCAAGAGCTTGAGCTCTGTAAGAATACGACACAGTACGGGAAAAGCGGTTATGGAGTATGCGACGCCGGTAAACAGCATGAAATGTGTGAACTGGACGGAAGGGTCGATGAAGTGGTGGTATAAGGGGACAGACAACGCAGACCCGAGGCCAAAGGGTAAAGCCATGCCCGCGAGCGATACAACAGCTGACATACGAGCATTGCGCTTGATGATACTGGCATCAATTTCGAGACCGACGATGAATAGAAAAAGGCAAAGGCCAATGTTTGCAACGAGAGTCAGGTATGGCAGTGACTGTGAAGGGAATATGTGTTGGGTAAAACCGGGTATGCGTCCAAAGGCAGTTGGGCCTAAAATTTGTACATCAAGACAGACATTGTGGCAGAAGATAAGAGTATTACTGACCCAGAAGGATGCCGCCTAGCACCTCGGCGATGACTTTCGGCTGCTTCATTCTGCGCAAGCCTAGAGAAAGCAGCTGGGCCATCATTATAATGACACCTGGGCCGAACTGAGATTGTGTCAAGCGATGAATTGGCATACACACCGACTTGGATTATCCATAGCCTTAGCGGGTCCGTAACATCGAAAGCCGATGGATCAGTACCAGTAAGCAAGCCACCCTATGATGTAGACGAGCGAGTTCAGCGCAGGTCAGTATACAGCAATATTGAGAACAAACTTCGCCGGTGGCTTGTCTCTTCTTGAGACCGTTGAAGAGCCTGATGATGGTGCCTGAGAACTCTGGCATGGGAGTGTAAGAGAAGGATGAGATGGCTGCGAGTTACGCTGCCATCCTTTATGAGTTCAAGCCCGTCGGAGACCTGGTACTTATCGGGATGGTAGTTGGAGAGACTCGTATTGACAACGGATCAGCTTTTGGACATATATCTGGCGACCTCTGATCATATGTCATGCCCTATACCCATTGGTTGCGAGCAGCCAATATTTCATCTTCCGTAATTGTGGCGCGAGAGCTCAGACCAATAGCAGAAGACCTTGCTAGAAGACCTGCAGTCGGTCCTTCTATTCGTTTGATGTCGGTTGTCTAATGTCCTACCGTAGCACAACCTGAAACGTCGTTGCCGCCGGTCGCACACGCTTAGTCAGCACTACATATGGAAATTGCCATATTTCACATATTCGAGTACAGAATAATATCAAAAAGATGGACTACAAGCAAGTGACACGACGACGAGAGACGATTCATACAGCGGGTATTGAACCCCCCGATTTTATCAACGCACAAAGCAACATTTAATGTCAATTGCCTGGATGGTGTACTCAATCGCCATAGAAGACTGCAAATTATCCTGCAAACATGTGCTTCAAACACAAAAAGTAATAGAACAACTTCGATGATCATCTCACGGCTCCGCACAGTAGCCCAGCGTCCGTCATCTACGGCTTCACACTCAAATGAGAATTATCTGTGACCGGGTACAACAGCCGGAACCGTTGCACCACCACCTTCAGAACGCACGCCATCTGGTAACACGTTGAGCTTCGGGCTGCCGCTCCGTGTCGTGAGATGAATCGTGCTTCCGAAGGACTGTGACTGCAATAGAGCTGGGTTCGAACATACCAAGCTGGAACGCGGAGAGGGTGATGATGGAAAGTGGCAAGAGAATGGGCGAATAGAAAAGTTGTTTCTCATCTCTGTCATGTCTTCTGTGGTGGGTAGTGGATCAAGATGGAACTTGAGTTCAGGCAGTTGGGCCTGCGGTGACCAGAAGACGTCAGGTCCAGCTGTTTTGGCTTGCGCTGGCTTGCTCGGTTCGCGTACGATACCCTTTCTTACGAGAACGGAGTCTTCCAGCGAACACGAGACCACATTGTAGGGATCGCGATTAGATGAAGCTAGAAGTTATAACGTTAAAGTAAATAAACTTTAGTCCCGTGAGTTTAATTAAGCTGGTTTTCGACGGCCTTACCTTGTTCCTGATCAGCAATGGCACGTCGACGAATTGACCGCCATGTCCAGAAAGCACACGAGATTGCGAGGATAAAGATAGTACTGATAACTGCAATGATATTAATACCCGTATGATGAAGGTTCTGTCTCATCGCAGAGAACGACTCACCGATGATTATAACGATGTCTCCAATACAGAGGGCCGTACCGCTGGAGACAGGTCGACACCGTATGCGGTTGGGGATGGCGCGAGCAACAGGGGCAGTTTGTGGAGTGATCATGGCGAGTAACGGAACTTAGAGTGCGATGCTAAGGACAGCAAGCTTGACTGCAAAAGGAGTGGATGACACGCTCTGTGTAGAGGTGGTGTGCTGATGGGATGATGAACGGTGACTTGGAAGGAATCTGATTTAGCCACCTAGTGCTCACCGTCAGCCTCTAGAGGGGACCGTCTTGGCATGATCGAAATCAAGATTCAGACCAGCTTGGCTGACCAGCAGGGACAATTCATACTTCCCTCAACAGGGGAAGCTAATGAGACATGCATTCCAGGTGAGCCTTTGAGTTTGTTACAAGTGATTAATATCTGCCTGCTATCACCTTGGGTGGGCCTGCAGGCCATGCATATGGTAAGTCGAGTGTGAAAATGAACAAACAGCATCCATCCCTGTGGCAGTGCTACTTTCTAATTCGAGCTCTCACTCTCAGGCTAACGTCCCGGCCTGGTGCCAGGAAAACAGTTGAAGGCGAGTTCTTCAAGCGCCGAGCTGCAAGACACAGTCCTAACAATAAACACCTGCAAGTGGCGGACATGGACTCTTCTCGTGCATACTAGTTCTGGAGGCGCTTCATGGACGTTAACCGTTTCCTGTTTGGTGAAGCACTGGAGACTCAGAATAGCACGTCGATTAAAACCACAGCAAGTCATTGTCTCCGAGTCATGTCTTGCTGAATGTTACTGATAGGAGTCGCCCGCACTTGGCCTCACCACACACCGCTCCAAAACGTTCATAATGTGATCATCGCCAGACCCGCCCCCGTTTTGGCTTGCGATGATCATGAACTAATTGACTTCTAAAACGCGTATGCAGCGCGGCATAACCCAAGGTAAGGGTTGCCCATTCGAGCCATGGCCACGAGGCCAACATAACCCTGGGTATCTGGTGGATGGATCTATATCATGCTAGCATCTTACTCCACCAGAGCGTCAACGCAGCCCAACGAATCGTTCGAACATTGTTATCATCCATCTTTCAGTGCTAGTAAATATCGTACAGAATTTTCTCTGTCAACTGCTCGACCGCTGACATCTTGTGCAGACAACATAATGGGATGGTTGAATATAGCCGTGGCTGCAGGGTGCTGGTTAGCATCGAAGCTGTTCGGTTCAGGCGGCAGTGATCCCAACCCAACTTACGCTGCGATCCAAGAACGCGAGTGGGCTGAGGCAGAGCGAGATCGGGCCATCAAAGACCTTGCTAATACGAGGGCGCAGGTCACGCAGCTCGTGCAAACCATTCAAGGGATGCAGAATAGGGCACTTCAGTTCCAGCAAGATGCTTTATCGGCGGCCGCAGTTGCGCAGCAGAGAAACCAGGAGCAAATGACGGCCATGGTTGCTGCCGAGAGAGCTGCAAATGCCGCCCGCTTTGCCGCAGAAAATGCTGCACGACTTGCAACGGAGGAGTCCAAGAATAAGGCCAAAGAAGCTGAGGCCGAGAGGCAGCGTACCCAAGCTGCTATGGAAGGAGCTCGAAGAGCGGTCGAAGCTGTTCAGCAAGACGCCGAGCGTCTTCAGAGGGCAGCCGAAGAAGAAAAGAAGAAGGCCGACGAAGCCATTGCAGGAGCAGAGGCGGCAAGAAAGGCAGCTGAGAACGGTGTTCGCGAGGCCACAGCCGCCAAGGAAGACGCTGAAAGGCGACTTAAGGAGGGCATCCAGCCTGTCGTAACGCCCACCCCTCGAGAAATTCTCGCTGCCCAAGAAAAAATTCAGTATCAGGAAAATCTATTCCATTTCGCTGTTGCTGGGAGGGCTGGAGGGGGAAAGTCGTCTCTCGTCAACGCATTCCGTGGTATGAGTAACCGTGCAGTTGGTTCCGCTCGGACAGGGGTCATAGAGACCACACTGACGGTGGGAAGATATCCAGACCCTGACGAGCGGTGCCAACATGTATGGTACGACCTCCCTGGAGCAGGGACGATGAAGATCCCGGATTGGCAATATTTCAACGCGCAGGGACTCTACGTCTTTGATTGCATTGTCGTCCTGTTCGATAATCGGTTCACCCAGACCGACATCGCTATTCTCCTCAATTGCAGGCGCTTCAAAATCCCCACTTACATCGTCCGCTCAAAAGCTGACCAGCATATCCGAAACATCATGAAGGAGATGGGGTACGAAAGCGATGATGAAAACTTCGATCGGACCCAACGGTCGGCCATGTACGTGGCTGCGAGAGAGCAGCTAGTCGAGGAAACTCGCCGCAATGTCAAGGCGAATCTTGCGGAGGCGAATCTACCTGATCACAAGGTTTACGTCGTATCTAGTAGCTGTCTGCGAACTGTGGCCAAAGGCGAGCAGTCTCCAAGGGTCATCGATGAAATCAACCTGCTGAATGACCTATACATGGAGGCGCAAGCTAGGCGGGTCCGCCGTGAGGAGTCAGAAGGGATTTCTACCTCAGAAATCGGTCCCAAGTAATTGGTCAGCTTTGGAAGTTTCGTTTTTCAGATTCAGTGGATGGTACATGCACGATTGCCCGTGTTTCGGAATTTCACGTTCATCATGGATATATGCATCTAATACCGAAGTACATATACGCTCGGTTTTGTAACTTGACAGTTCTACTTTTTTTCAGCTATGACTGCGCGAGGGGTCCTGATAACTGTCCTTCTCCTTATTGATACAGACTCTACTGTATCATCAGTCAAAGATACCTTTGAATTGTTGATATTCTGTACTACCTTTGACCTTCTCGTCATTATAGGGAACATTGCGCGTCATTTCAACTTTCAATTCGGTGAGGCGAATCACTGAACCTAAGTACTCTAAGGCTCCATGTGTACGTTCTACTCTATGGTACACTCTGTCTAGATTTACTTTGCAGTCGTGACAGCGAACAACTCGGTCTTGAAACGTGACAACTCTATTACTAGCAACGTCTATGCAATCACCAAACCCAATTTCCCTCGTTCCAAGACAGCTTTGAAACCAAAGTGTTCCTCCGCACCAAAGTTCTCCGTAGGGTTGTACAGCGTATGGATTGGCTTTCGCGCATTGATCTCACTCAACACGATCTTAGCCTCCTCGTCAGTATTTCCGAGCACGCGGTCGATGGCACTTTCTAACATGACGAATCCGTTTGGGGACGTTAGGGTATCATCCAACCTATTGACTTTAGTATGGGGTAATTCAGTTGAGCGGACGGTGAACCCTTACCTAGATTTGACTGCAGCGTGCATCTCGGGATCAGTTGGTGCAAATATGTGACGACAGAAGTCCATAGTTTTCTAGTGGGCAATTTAAGTATATCGTAGACAACGACCAAAGAAAATACATACCTGCAGTTCGTCTTCCGTTAACGTCTTGCCAACATCTGATGTTCCTTGTATCACTGCACTCAGGTGATCAAGATTTGCAGTTTTAGAAGAAAACATCGATTCTTACCCGGCCTGAGGATGTCAAAGGCTTTATCGAAATTGTCCTCATCCACATCGCTCATGACTGGCATGTCCTGATTGCGGATCTGTTTGTAGGTCCCAAGGACTACAAGAAGAAACCTATAACATATATTGCATTAGTTGTGGTCGTTCCAGTAGTAGAGTTCACGTGCCTCGTGTAAGAGCTGCCAACCTTTGCGGTGTGCCAGCGTTGGGCGTCCTCTTCGCTGGACAGTCCTCGAATCGACGCAGAAATCGTGAGAGCAGCCGAAAGTCCTCCTGTGAAAGCCAAATGGACACCGGACGAGAAGAACGGGTCAATGAATGCTTGGCATTCGTCAATTGCAAGTGCCACCCCAAACATCGAGTGAAATACCTCCAGCATCCCCTACCACGCGGAAATGATCCCCAGCATAAGAGGAAGCAGAGTAGCTAAAATCGCTCGCAGATTTGACAGCTTCCGGTGTGCCGTCGTTTTGAAGAGTGCCCTTTCCGATCAATTTGAGGGCTCCAGGAGCTCTGCTCAACTCTTCAATATAATGAGTCAGAAGATTTGAGCCAGATCCTCCTGAGGCCGCACGGGAAACCTTCTTCTTGCGGTTGCTTGACTCTTGATCCATCACAATTCCCACAGATGTAGATCCATCGTGAAGAGGGATAAACCAAGCCCATCCAGACTCGTCTGCAGAAATTTAGCTCAGCATGACGACTTCAAGTTGCTTTCATACCTTCAAGTGCTTCGATCCAGACAGCATTCTGGCGAGTGGTACCGGGCATATAAGAGCCCGTTCCATCCCAGTATCCCCAGCATGCAACATTGTTGAGGGCCTGATTATAGCGTCTATTATTGAGGTACTTTGTGGACATGAGCCCATTCCTTCCTGACGCATCAATTAAGTAGTTGAAAGAGATATGGCCCTCTGTTCCGGTGCTGGTATTCCTCCAGTTGGCTGAAACAGGTCTTTCGCCCTCGAACTGAAGTTCAGTGACTCTTGTGTTGTCGAACACAGTTGTGCCGCACTTCGAAGCATGGCGAAATAGCAAATCGTCAAACTCTGATCGAATCTGCAAAACTGTGAGATAGTAAACATATCTCCAATATATTGTATATTACGGACCACGTTCCAAGACCCATTATTTGGGTCTAGCGCACCCCCATATCCGGCGCTCTGCTTACATCGAATTATACTTGGTGGAAATCCGCGATGTTCTCCGGGGTGAGTAGACTGTAGTTGCTGTTTTCTCCAATCATTGACTCCGATTACTTGGATCACAGATCATGTCACTGGGTGGCGTCGTGATGTATATTTTCATGCGGTTGATTTACATCAGAAGGAAGATGGGAAATCAATTCTAACTGAGCGGCTTATCGTCGAGCACGGGGCAATGGAAAAACATGAAATCCAATCAATAGAGCCCGAGAATGACAAAGTTTATAGAGCTATCGAGGCTGGTCTCGATTAGATGTTTGCTACAATGTACAAGTGATTTCCGCTGCGCGGCTCATTTTTGTCACTAGAATTCTGTTCTACTTAGACCGGGGGATTCTCTAGTGCTGAATAAACCTTTGGTGTTGCTCTTAAATTTGTCGAGTTGCTCTGTCTGCTAACGTTGCTTGCAAGGATGGAAAGCCAGAGGCGCTATAGCCTGAGTGTGCGCGATCGACGCGTCCAAAATATAGGTATAAGGACTCGTGCACCTCCCTCCTAAGTATTATTTCATATTCACAACTAATTCGTGGAGGATGAACGTGTCGCGTTTTGACACTGCTAAAACAGTAAATGCATGATACTTGCAGCATACATGGCCATATAATAACCCTGGAACCAGCATGAGAAACAACTATCTCCACAAAAAGTCCTCGAGAAAACTTTCATTGCAACGCATCTGCAACCATTGTCAGTAGCTCCTTCGTGCTCTTCCCAACATTCTTGTCATCCTTCGCTATGACCTGCCACACGGGCCCGTGATGCGGCTCAGCGGCAACGCCCTGTTTGATAACCTCCTCCACATATTCCTGTAGAAATCGATCAGCAAGCATCTCAGGTACATGGCATGACAATCGACGCACGGGCGTGCCATGCTGGCGCTCGAACTTGAGCCACCATCCCCAATGGTCTCCAATATCCCTATCCTGCTCTGTAGCTACACTCCTCGAGAACCACTGCCTCGCCTTCTCAATCTTCCTCTCCGCCCAGAACAAACGTGCAACTGTGCATGTGATCAGCGGATTATCCTTGCTTTTCTTCAGTGCATCAACGGAACGGCTTTTTCTGGTCGGCCGTGGTTCGGCCCATATAGACATCGACCATAGCAGACCGGACGATGCACATTCCTGTAAACCACGGGCGAGCATCGCTTTTGCCTGTGCAGCTCCACCGGATCGCTCTTCCACGCCAACGGACTCTGCCCACAAAACCTCGTTCGCCGGATTCACGAGCCGTCCCTTCTCTAGTAATGCACGAGCTTTAATGCTCTTTCCATCAAGCTCCTCCAGCTTGCTCGCAAGCACCCATAAGGTAATCTCCTTCGGGCAAGCCTTAAGGCCTGCCGCGTACGAGGCACGCGCAGTGGAGTAATTCTTTTGCATCTGGCGGATCTGCCCTTGAATCATGTACAATTTGGCAAACTTGGGGAATTTGGATAGGGCGGCGGAGACGGTTTCAAGTGCTGCAGCGTACTGCCCTTGCTGGCGCTCGAATACAGCAGATTTCATCCAGATCTGAAAATGACCGGTCAGATCGATTATGGATCTTGAGGCGAGACACTTACCCGCTCAGTATCTGCGACTGTTCGTGCACGTACGAGCAGTTCCCTTGCGACACCCAGTTCGCCATTCTCTGCCTCGAGCTTGACGGCGGCCAGCCAGATTTGCTCGCTTTCGGGATTGGCGATGAAAGCCCTTTCGAGGACCTCGCGTGCCGCCGGCACGTCGCCAGCCAGCCACTTCTCTTTGGCCGACATAAGCCAGAGGACTTCCGCCTGCGGGCAATAGTGTACTGCCTGAGATAGCACTCCGTCGAGCGATTCCCTAAACAAGATCAGTACAATTAATACATCCCGCAAAAAGATCATCTTACTTGGTGCCGTGCGCCTTCTCCAAATCTGCAGCCTTTCTCCAGAGGTTCCTCTGATCAGGGAAGACCTTGAGCGCATACGCAAGCACGGCCCTCGCAGTCCCGACCATGCCCCTCGTCTCCGCGCTCTCCGCATCGCTAACCCATGTATCTAGCCTGTCCTCGACCTCGACCTCCATACTCACTGTAGCTTTGATGATTGCCTCGCACGTCCGCGGGCTGCCGTCACTCTCACACCGCTCCGCCTCTTTCAACCATTGCTCACGCGTGAGTAGCACCTGGTGCTGTCGGAGCTGCCGGACAGCAAGTTCGATGGTCTTGTCTACTAGCTCGAGTTCTTTGTCTCTGGCTTCCGTGGACTTGTCAGGGTCGCCCGTGGCCCCTTGCTCGAGCAGGCGTCCAGCAGCAATCCAGATTTCGTGCGACGTAGGAACAGACTTGCGGGCTTTGTTGAGGACGGCTTTGGCGCGCTCAGGGGTTTCGAGACGGGCAAGAGCGAGCCAGAGCTCGACGGAAAGAGGGATCACCTCCACGGCGCGGGAGAGGAGTATGCGGGCATCTGTAGCTGATTCTTCGAGGTTGACAGTTTCCTTCCATAGCCTAACGGAATTGGGAATATTCTCAAGGGCTGTGTGTAATGTCAGTGAATCGTGATGGATTTGAGGGGGGAAATATATACCTTTACGCAAGACACGTTTCTTCGACCCTACATCTTGTTCAAGGTCGGCTGCTGCGAGCCAGATCTTGACGCTCTGACCGACATGTTGAACAGCGTTGGCAAGAATGACTTTGGCATCGTCATTGTTCTAGAAGGGATATTAGCGGCAGCGCAGAAGGGTGTCACGAAGGGTTCACGTACATGTAATCTTGCTGCCTCGAGCCATACATCATCGCTCTTGGGACACTGCTCGCAACCCGCTTTTATGAGTTTCCTTGCAGCAACCATACGGCCGGCGTGTTCTTCCAGACATGCAGCTGCAATCCAACCAGGGGCGTGTTTGGGATTTGACTTGACGAGTGAGTCAAAGAGCATGCGGGCGCGCTTAATGTCGCCGATTTCAGCTTCAGTCTTGAGAACGACGCTATTTAGCGACGTGAGGTAGCCCTTAGGATCGACGGAGGTAGCAGAGCCAGAACTAGTGGAAGTTCCAGAGATCTACGGTCCAATCAGTACAATGCAATGAGTATTATGCTAAGCAGCGACGTACTTGATCGAGCTTCAAGGACAATATCTTATCACGAGCTTGACCAATTTCCACAAAATTGGTCATGGTGCCGGAATCAGCAGGAGTCTCAAAGCCATTGGCTTGCTGTTGTCGAGTGTCCAAGGAATTCTCGTATTCAGACTTGCCTCGGTCACCGACGATAATGCTGTCAGGAACGACAAATGTCCTCTCGTCTTTTCTCCGCTTCTTCCTGGTAAGATTACCCACTTCCGGTATGCTCTCCCACTCCTGGTCGGTGACGACGGACAAACCACGCTTCAGGTCAGCGAACTGTTGCTGAATCTTAGGACGCTCGGCTCGGTGCTTTACGAGTTCTGCATTCTCTCTCGCCTCCCTGAATAGAAAAAAAAAGTGAAGTAGTTGAACACGACAAAATGATAGAACTAACCGAAAAGCACACACCTGCGTGCCCGACGCCGTGAGTCCATCTTCTGATCGACGTCGTCATATATTTTGTCAGCTTCCTCATCATCCTGTTCATAAGTTGTGCCAGCAAATAGGCCGTATTCGTTGTCGGGGTCTTGAAATTGTTCTGGATCGATTTCGGCCTCCTCACCACGCCTAGCTTGGGCCTCGCTATGTAAAGGATAAGTGAAGCCTTCTACAGAGAAAGATTCGGACGCACGCAATGACTTCTGCAGAAGGACCTTCTCTGGCAGGACCGATATCTGAACGAGTCGTGAAACCGGAAGCCCTGTGGTAGCGTTACTTTGAGGCATCCAATGATATATGATAGATACTGACCCTCGACCGAGACCAGCGACATATGATGCTGGCGCTGGCATCGACAAGAACGCGAGCTTGTTTTTATTTGACGCCATCTTGATGAATGACAACGAAGAGCTGAAGAGAAGGCTTGAGGCTGGAGCACGTCGTTGTCGACGAGGAAGCAGGAAATGTGCGATGACTAAGCAAACCAACAGACTAATCCGATTTGTTCTCCTAATACATGCATATTCAAATATTCAAGTTTATCTCTATCCAATCTACCCTAGCTAGGCCTCCGTCCATGCATGTCGCAGATCAACATAAGGTAACGTATTCACTGTATGTCCGCGGAAAATATCCAAAGTCCTTGAGGAATCACCTTGGCGAGGTTTCAGCCGTAGTGCTTTTCCTGATCAAGTTGGTACTACGGTTTCAGATATCGTTTGAGGCACTCCAACGGTTCCAAAAATGACTATCATCGAAGCCACGATCGGTAAGCACACAAAGCATAGTTTGACCCATCAGTAAATAGTACACGATGACGAGATAAGAAATAGAGATAAAGCTGCTGAATACCAGAAACGATGGAGCTCGTCACTTGCTTCAACAAGTATGGTCATCAATAAACCACTGTCCGTAGACACCCCAAATCTAAATTTATGTCAGCCAATAGAGAAATAAAAATTAGGCGAGCCCAGATGCACGTACACTACTCTCGCACGATTCTGCACCAGAGAATTTCCGGTCTAGGAATTGAGCAGGGGTCGTTGCACAAAATTCCTTATAGTCTGCTAGGAACGGCAAGTTCTCGAGACGTTGCACAATGTGCTACAAGAACGATCAAATCAAGTCAGAGAACAGTACAACCGTGCTCACCCTCTTCCTCGAGCCTTTAGCAGAACAACCCTATAAAAGGTTGAGTCGTCAGTTTGAGTGAAATATCTTCAGCTTACCATATCCCTATACCCACTCCAGTAGGTAACACAGTCTGGTTCGTCATGGTTGATGGCAAAATGTCCAATCACGGTGCCTGAGCGCTATACCAAGTCAAACGTTGTTATCAGGCCTAGGAATAAATGTCGACCAACATCTTCGCATCTGGAGGGCCAGTGAGGCCGACCATGAACAAACACCGGAGTAGCCTTGCAGATTTCCATCCTATGGGACTTCCAAGGAGACGCGTTGAGCTCTGCTACGTACTCCTTTGTCCCATAAGTGGTGCAGGAATGAGATTCAATATTGGTCCAAGCAATCTCATTGAGGGGCATAAACGAGAAGAAAACGATAGCAAACACCCCCAAAATGAGCACAGCTCCGAGAATTGTGAAGAAGCAACATCCTGGGCCGTCGTTCCGTCGTCTTCCTGTTCGAAGGAGAGGATCGGATTCGCTGTACCTATAGACGAGTATCAATAGCTGCATCATGCTTTCGTATTTCACACATCGTGCCTGGAATGAATACTAGTCGCCTCTATTAAGCACTGAATGGGATGGGTGCAGAATGGAAGCTTACATGGTTCGAGAAGCGGGGATCGTTGGTACCACAATGTGCATCGCGGGCTGGCAGCCATGGTTATGTACGTGATGCCTATGACAATCATGTGCCAGTCCTTTGTGTGTGTTTCCTTGCAGAGTTGGGTGGGCATGATCATGATGGAATGTGTGTGGCATTGAAGCATGTTGCTGGTACGCCGGAGGAGGACTAAAGCTGAAACCACGAGGAGCTCAACTAGATCTAGGAATTGCAGCAGCCCTAGAATCTCACCTGGCGTGATGCGACATCGTATCTCTCTGAGCCTTGGACGATTAACACGATGTTAGATAGTATCTAAGCTATGTTAAGAGACGCCGGTGACCCGGAGTTGCGTTGCTGCTGCGAGGCTGCGCCGTACGGTAAGAAGAAAGTCCAAAAAAGGTAGCAGCCTCAAGATCCGGGACCTTTCGGGTACGCTAAGCGCTTGCGGCAACCATACCCCGCACTGATTGATGATCGATTATCGGAGGGCCGATGCTCTATTTCTGAGCCCCACATCCTACATAGTGCAGTCACAGTGGGTACTGAAGTTGATGCGGAAGCCGAGCACCGAAATTGATCGGAGACCACAGCGTATCATTCAAAGCCCTAGCAAATTGTGCAAAAGAAGAGTCAAGACTAGCTAGCGGAACGTTCCTAGAATGCACATGCCGAACTATTTATGTCTAGATATACATTTTAAATCGTGAAGAATTGATCGTCTAGTAGTGACAAGATAGAGAAGGGGAACAGGCTTCAAGGTGACGATACACGCTACCAGCTTACAACAACCCCGGCACAAACCAGAACTTCACTTCCGCAGCATATGCATCCCACTCTGATCCGAATATTTTACGAAGCTTATCATCCTCTGCGTACGCGCGGCTCACGCCTACCGTCAGCGTCCAGGCCCACCACGTGGCACCTAACAATGCAGAGCTGGCAGGTTCGAGGATGCCACATCTGTTTGCCCAGCTCCCAGGAGTTAAATGCGAGAGGGCGATACCAGCAATCAGGAACAAGGAGCCTGTATACGCTGGGTGGCGGACATATTTATAAAACCCAGATGTTACGAGCTTGTGCTCAGGGTGTATGGTGAGATCAAAGGTAAACATCTGCCCGAGCTCTTGGAAACAGCGCACGCGGATGAACATCCCGAGAACAGCCATCATAACTCCGAGAAAGAAAACGGGAGTGACAAAATGTTGCGCCCGATGTGCGGTACAGAATGCCCCGTCGATTTGGGTTGACAGCTGCGTCGATAACAGCGATCCCAAAAAATAGTTGAATGTCGAAAGTACTTCATATACAGCGCTCAGCCATAGAAGGATTGTGTGGATCTGAAGAAAATGCGAAGTTAAATCAGAGAGACAAAAGCTACAACATTACTAGCTTACCTTGAAGATCAATGGAGCTATTTGCAAAACGGACGCCTCTTCAGTGTGATAGCGCCATTTTGATGGCGTCCTATTAGGTGGAGTGCATGCGATATGGTTGCAGAATGCTTGCACGAGGACAAGGGAAGAGCGCAGAAGAAGAGACATTGTGAGCTGTGATGCGCAACGAATGAATGAGCAGATGCCTTTTATATGGAAGAAACGGATAGTCAACCAAAGTTCCAAACCAATTCAGTTCAAGTGGTAGTTCTTTGTTGATGTCGACAGTCATCAAAGCCAAGGAGGCATGGACCTGCAGTGCCGCGGTGTGTTGCGTTATAGAACTTATCTAGATCGTATGCATTATGGGGAAACCCAGAGAATTGGTGAGGACTTCCATTGGTATTGGTTATGCTAAAGAGAGTTTAAGCCAGCCAGATTTGTGTCCGCGGTGGTTTCATGTTTTGTTTCAGTGGGTCCTAGTGACAGCACACAATTATATGAGCCGCGGATATGATGCCAGTGTCCAGTCACCAGTGACAAAACTTACTAGTATATCCGCCTCCAACAAACAGTGGCCGCCGGGTCTGGGGGTGAAAGATTTCGTAAGTTCTGTGTCAATTTTACTGCCGCATGACATTTGAATGGGCTTACCGGTGTCGGTTAACGAACGCCTACGCAACAACGTTAACATGCCAAAACAGCCACTAGTACTCTCTGGACTGAGGCCAATTGGCTGTGCAGTGACGTTGAACATTCATATTCATCGATAGCATCCCTTTTACATTTGCTGCATGCACATGATGTAGTCACTAGTAGAACGTGATTATCGATCTGATGACTCAGTCACCTCAACGATTGACTCACCGTTCGGGTTTGATCCGATTGAGCACGAGTGCTCTTGCCACTAGCTACCATAGATCGTACCGATCTCTTCACATCGATGGCAGACTTAAAGTGGTGTCCCTCTTCATGGAAGTCGAAGTCAGCCGCTCAGGTGGGAATATCATCGTCCAGGTTTAGCACGATTGACGATCCGGGTTCACACCACATGTTTGATTTACATATCAGATAGTGGATTACCCTGACAAACAACATCTCGAAAGGTCTGTTTCACAGCTGTGATCAAACTGTGATTTACACATCCGCAACTCACTTTATTTTCTATCGAACAGAGTCTTGACAAAAATACATGCTCTACCCCCCTTAGTGACGCCGGCAGAAGTCGGTAATCAGTACTTCTACCTGCTCCTGTGTTTTTACTGCCTTCTAGATTGAGCGCCTTCGCTTTCAGTTAGGTGCAGTGCAACGGAACGAGGCCTTCTTGCTCCATGCGGGAGATTGCGCAGAAATTTTTGACGCATGTACTCAAGTGAGCCAATCAATTCTCAAATTGTGACGTACTCAGCGTTCGGAAGCAAAACATATCGTCAAAAATCGGGTTGATACTTTCATTTTCTCTCATTCTCATTTGGGGTGGACGTCTCCCAGTGGTGCGTTGAAGATGCATGCCATGATTCCTGATTGACCCGGGCATATTCTCACAATAAGCTTTCGCAATTCAGGTACGCATCGGACGCATTGCTGGACAATATGCCAAACCCAGGAGCAGTGGGACAGAAATAATCGACAATAGAGAGGTTCTGAGCTTCCGGTGTGCAAATGGCCAATTCAGTCATTGAGACAGACATCATTTGACTCCAATTCCCATCGCAGTGGTGACAACGTCAATGGGTACCCAACGAGAGAACCCATCATGATTGAAGACTGAACATTTAGCAGGTTTGATCCCAACGATCGAACACCCGATCCTGAAAGGCTCCTCAGGTTTGCCCTTAACTAGCTTATCATGATCAACGTGAACATCCTTCTTTATACTAGTGCCTACTTTTATTCAACCGCCACCCTCAATTATGTTCGTGGGCTCCTCACATCCGGATTTGCTTCATTGCATCACCCACGGGACTGGTCACTCTCTCATGTCCGTTCGCCAGCACTACGGTCAGTATATTCTCGCTCGTATAGCACCCCTGATTTTGAGTATTACCTCAATCGCAGAAGCGAGTTCGAAAAAATCACCGAAGGTCTTTCTGACGCGCTCGACTTCAGCCACACGATAGGGGCAGACTCAGGCAAGGAAAATGTACCCTTTGACCGCGGCGGTGGTCGGGGTGTTCTAGGCGAGGTTGATTTCTACACCAGGTCAGTCTCCTGGCAGCATGTCATAGTTTGGCGGATCAAATTAATGACATCGGAAATTACAGTCATGAAGGGTTGATGCTTGACTGGGAGCAAGCAATGACGCGGGAAGTCAATATTCCTGAGTCAGGAACATCTCCGAAGGAAAAGAGCTTCTACAATACTTCCGCCCACTTTCTATGGGTTGGCGACCGTACGCGGCAACTGGATGGCGCCCATATCGAATATTTTCGAGGGATCCGCAATCCCATCGGCATCAAGGTTGGACCTTCATTAGAAAATGAGGAGCTCATCAGGCTCCTAGAAAGTATGCACGGTTCAGGCCGTACGTCTCGCAGAACGTTATACTTATTTTACGTCTCTTCATAGTCGTAAATCCAAACAAAGAGATTGGTCGCGTGACCCTCATCACCAGGTATGGAGCAGGTAAAGTGCGTCATTCATTCCCGATTCTCTCCAACAGCCTTTGACCAAGCTATTAAGATCGGAGATCACCTCGCTGGCCACATCAAATCCGTGAAGCGCTCCGGACACCCGGTCGCATGGGTGTGTGATCCCATGCATGGAAAGTACGTTTACGTCCTCGATGATGTGAATCAGGAACTAAGTTACTCCAAGCACACTCACATCCAGCAGCGGCTTCAAAACACGCAACTTTGGGACGATCATCAGTGAGCTGACTTCCTGTATCAGTATCCATGCTGCATGCGGTTCTCGGCTCGGTGGAGTGAGTCTTGAGTTCACAGGCGAGCTTAACGACGAAGGCTTCAGCGTGACAGAGTGTCTTGGTGGAAGCATGGAGCTCAGCGAGGAACAACTGGGTCTCAGATACCAGGTGTGCCAGACTGCGTTTGTGTTCAGTTACTCTTCTTACCCTTGACCTCAACGAAGTCGTTCTGTGACCCCCGACTCAATTTTGAGCAATCACTTGGTATAGCTAGACAATTTCAAGCAAAGAATTTGTTTCAGCTGACACGTCTGACAGATGTCGCCTTCCTTATATCGAACTACTTCAAGGAGGAAAGGCTTGATGGTAAAGGAGAAAATAACATCTATGCCGCCCTTGGAGGCAGAAAAACGGTCCCATAGTAATACGACGTGAAGTTGTAATCTATCTGATCACAAGATGTTGTACAGCTGTATATACCAACCGTGATACAGCAACAACCATACAGTGGGTGAGATTGGTACTACGAGAGATCGAAGCCAGCGCCGGAGGAGATTGCCTGCAGAAGCTTGTCGTGGAGTACTTTTTCGCTTGTATATCTGGGCAGCTGATTCGGGACCAATTAGTTACGCTATAATTGTCAACACAAGGTCATTTCACCTTCAAGAGGTTCACGCAGGTACTTGAAGTTGGTAATCGGTGTTGGTCACTGCCTGCGTCGCGTATGGCAAATAGAGGGTTTAGCTGCTTAAAGCCCCTAAAAACAATTAAGCCATATAACGGCAAGTAACAATGGAAGCTATGAACTCACAGAAGTGGCGGTCGACTACAGCTTGTGACGAATCTCAAGAATAACCGTCGTTGTTCTTGATCGAAATCCTCCATGACCTACAAATAAAGGTTAATAATACAGTCGCAGCCCTTGAGCATACTGACCTTCCAGAACGTCTGTATGGTTGGTTCGTCATTATCATACAAGCCCCCGTATTGGGTATGCGCTCTCAAATCCTGCACATCCACAGGTGCGTTCACGCCACCTAGCAATATCTGAAGTTCCTGCTGATTGAACATTCTGAAAGGAGCTACGTCAACGGTTCAGGCAGAATTATTTATGATCATGACATACCGAAGCCATTTGGGGTCTATCATATCAGAAAGACCCTCGAAGAACGCCTCGCTCTGGAGCTTGATCTGCTTGCTCAACCTGTAGTGGGAAGTAAGGTAGATGTATTGAAGCCGATTCTCCCGGGTGACCGGGACGTTGCTGCCGTCTGGTATGAGGTCGACAGCTTTGGCAACCCCAAACTCTGCCGGCATCCCGCATCAGAAAACAATCCAAGCCCACATGTCAGTAATAACCAACCTTCGATCGCAACCGTGAAGTTCAATGCGAGGTCTTCCACATTTCCGGTGTAGTTCTTGAGGAATATGAGACCCTGGTACAAATCAGGATCAAGAGAAGCAAGGTCGTCCAGAAAACTTTGTTTGTCTAGCCACTTTATCGATGATCAATAACGTGGCAGGCTACCATAAAGGACATGCGATTACCTTGGCCAGGAAAAAACCTGCAAATGCGACTTCGACGAGGATGCCCTTATAAAGCGCCTTGCCCAGAATTCGTCCGATGAAGCGATACCAGTTCAAATTGTGCGCTGCATCGGATATGAACGTGAGTGTGAGTACCAAAGAGCAGATGTGCGGCCAACATACGTTCCGTGGCGTACGAGTGGGGATTAGGGTAGATCTCATTCCTCTTGTTCGCCAGCCATAGTCCGCGGTCTGTATCAAACACTTCCTTGCACAAGGAAGTAAAAAACTCCTTGAACACGCCGCCGCCATCAATTCCGGCCCTAACGAATGGCCACTCTCATCAGCAACTGTACATTGGACAAATGTATGCTTCATACGCACTCTGGCTCTCCAAATTGATCGATGAATGTGATCGCGATGGGTGCCCTTAGATCTGCTTCAGCCAGTCTGTCGTACCCGTCTTGCGCGATGTGGCCTCGGCGAATGGATACATCGATCCGTCCGCGTGGATCTCTGTTGCGGTTCCACTTATCATTTTCTACGAAGCGCCGGAAAATCAAAACACGAGTCTCGAATGGGATAGCAAACGGAATATTGTTGAGGACCCCAAGCCGAGGAGAAAAGTACGAGACCTGTCTCTTCGTCAAGGCCCGCGGCGCATCGAGTTGTTGTTCTTCGAACCTGTGAAGACGACGGTCAGCACGAGTTGGAGATGATAGATTCAGAGGTGCGACGCACACAGCAGCATCTATGAAAGAGTTCATGTCGATCTGAGAGCTTACATGCCAATGATTCTCTGGCATGAATGGTTTGCGGGAGCTGAAAGACGCCAAGTTGGTGTGAATTACTGAGCAACTGCGATGGTAAGTGGGGGCTTACTCCCGTGCATGGATAGCTTGCAAACATTTCGTTATCTTGTCTCGTACAGCTACCCAACGGAGATTCAGACCTGGCACACCGCCCTCTTGGATCTTCGTCTGGTCATCCCGCCAGTATAGAGCGAACGCGATGTTAAACAGTGCACGAGAAAAAGTGACCAATTCATCCAAAGTCAACGACGTCCGAGAGTTGGAGAAAAATTCGTCATCACCCATCGTCAAGAGAGATTGAGTATACAGCTCGGTGAGCAATAGTAGAGGTGGCCATGCTGACGCCAGTGATTGGTCTTAATTACTATCAGTATGATCCACCGGAGGAAGCGCGAAGACGAACCCATCAAGGATGACATGTTCTCATCTTTCCCGAGTGGAGAGCTTCGTACATAGTCACGGTAAATCTCGCGCACAAGCCCACCCCCTCCATATAGCAGTAGTGTACTGAGTATTTTGTCCTTCCGGGTAGGCCATACCGTGCACAAGCCAACAAGCCACGAGACAAGATCGGGGAGTGCGCCACGATCAAGCTGAGCTGCCTTCAACAAGGCATTCAAGTGCGTAGGACTCGGAAGGATCTGGAGGCGTTTCTGTGTCCGAGCATCCAGCGGAGGCAACATTGGTGCCGGTGCAAAGGATGCAACAACTGTGACTTGTGGTTGTTCTGATTCCGAGTCACCATCGTCGGCCCAAGACATTGCGGGGGTGCGGGCATCGGATGCTGATAGTGGATCGAGCGCATGCACAGGCAGGATGCTCAGTGAGGCGGTCATGAGCTGAAGATATGTCTTCAAAGACGAAAGAGGTAGAATCGCGTATCTTGGGGAGGTAAACGCGTACAGGTTAGCTATAAGATGCACATGAGATGGGAGAGGGATTGTGGAGACAAAGTCAGTGATGGAGGTCGACAAGACTGATAATGAAGATAGAGGAAGTTTCGCGGAAAGGGCTGTAAGTGATGAGATCGGGATTCGATTTGGGAGAAGAGGGATAGTGAGTATATGAATGGTGAACAACTGAAAACAATACAAAAATGCCTCCGACGAGCGTTCTAATGTGTTAAGCGGGCGATATATGAGTTCCACAAAGAAAGGTAGTGTAGGGGCATTTTTGGTCTCCGGACCCTGTGTAAAATATAAACGATGTACAGAAGTTGGGGTCAGGGAAACTCACAATGGATTGTATTGAACGGGCAAGATATTGATACAAGTCATGTCTCACAGCATATTCGGTGATGCTCACAGTGAGCTGATTACCAGAAAATCCCAATGCTTCAACGGCGGCTGCCGGATTCAAGAGGGTGCACAAGACTTGAAGGCATGAGAGTTCAGATCTGGATCGGGTTAGCGTACACAAGAGGCAGATAATATTTATCGAAACCTTGGACGATCAGAAACAGAGCGGAGGAGTAGAAAGAAAACCTGGCGCATCAATACAAGCCAGTGTTCTCGATCGTGGCCATGGGCAAGGCTGAACAGCGAACCTATTGAATGATAAGCTGGTGGGAGCATGGCATTATACAGAAGCTGCGAACCTTGAGAAAGAACCTCCGCAGCCCATCTATCGAGGATATCGTCGTCTTGTCCGATGAGGACGAGACATCGGAGGCCAGTGAGTCCTGTGATATCCGCTGTGAACTGTTCACGAAGTTCCTGGCGGACCCTTCTGGCATCAGTGACGCCACGCCACCAAGCCTGGATTATAACTGCACTCTCTTGTCGTTTGCGGACAGTTTCCCTCTCTATTCTTCGAGCTCTGGCCTGATTCAAGATAGCTGCTTGAGAGGTAGTGACCGAGCTCGATCCGCCAAGATTGATCTCGCGGCGTCTATTATCCCCAAAGAGTGGTAGCATGTCCTGTGTTTTGGAGAGAATATCCTGAACTTGAAGATTGGCCTGCAGAAAAGCGATTACCTTACGCTGTCAGATTGAAGCGACTGGGCAGTGCTAGTAGTGGCAAGTGACGGTAACTTGTGTCGTATGTATAACACACTACGCGTTCTCGCTTGGTCAGCAAATAAACCCTAACCCTAGAATGGGTCTTGAATTCATTCAGAATTTCACAAGTTAATAACGCAATCGCATCATTCATGTTTGCTATTGCTCACACTGCCCTTCGTATTTCTTGCCAGCTCGACGGCGTAGTGTATAACGGGGGCGGAATTGAGTATGCTTTCGCCCTTTTCACAGTTGCTCCCAATCAGCAGCTTCAAGCTAGGATTCACAACCTTCTCGCCCTCAGTCGAGCCCAATATCATCTCAGTCCCGCTCGCAGATTCTCCTATTGGGATACACAAAATCACACACTCCTTGACCCATGAGGTTGTATGCCCGCCGCCACCTCTAGATCCGTCATCATATGATCCTCAGATTGCTTGGGAGGCCAAGTATCCCAAGGGTTCCTGCAGCCCGAAAACAGAGATTCCTGGTGGATTGGGATTTTATTTCGGTGGACCTAAAGAAATCGTATCATTGCTGGACGCGGGCGCAAAAGAAGCGGTTTTTGGATACCGGGTAATGTTTGAGAAGGGTTGGGAGTGGGTCAAAGGAGGCAAATTGCCAGGGATGTGTGCGTGCCCCCGATAAGTGTCTTGGATGTAATGTTGATGCACAATCTCAGATGGTGGTATCGGCGACGCGGCCTATAGATGCTCTGGTGGACGGCAGAACAATCGTTGCAAGTGCTTTGATGTTCGTCTCATGTGGAGGTGAGTGGCACCTACTATCCCCTTTCCTCCCTCGTTTCCCTACGTCTACCTAGGCGCGATGGGAAAGGAGAAATATACGCATATCTACCTATGAACGAGACAAATACAAAATCACTTCTTGCTGTTCCCCCCAACTCTAAAATCAACCCTGATTATGGGATTTCGGTTGGAAATGGCGCTTGGACCTTTGGGCCAGGTATCTGGACAACCATAGCCCAACGTGTTAAACTCAACGATATCGGCAAAGCTGATGGTAAGCTATGGTTATCGCTGGGGGTAATGCTGATTATTGCACTATAGGTGAACTCCAGCTTTGGATTAACGGCGTATGTGTGATTCACGCAAAGGGGCTGATTTTCCGAGAGGACGAGGCATCACATATCAAGGGCATGCATTTTCAAACGTTTTTTGGAGGTGCGCGAATACTTCCCTTGCTTGTTTCCAGGCGGCAACTGGTGTTCGTTTTCAATCGGTTCCTCGTATTGACACATTGTGATCGTTCAGGACACGAGTCCGATTGGGCATCACCCAAAGATCAACGTGCTTGGTTTTCTGACGTCTCTGGAGCTGTCATTCGTTGATATATGTTCTCTGAATGAGTGCCGAGTTGTTCATCTCCGGTGAGGCTTGCTATACATGTTGACTGATCGACTCAGCCCATTTGCGATTTTCTTTCATTTGAAGTGTTTGTCATGATACGTCTACAGGACATCTTTTGGACTATTTTAGAACATGCTCTGACGCATTTCAATTGACCTCATAACAAATAATTCAAGATTTTCAGAATGTGCTGCTGAAAACTTTGATTGTGGCAGGTTCACAATCAATGTAGGTAGTAACATACATCCATATCCATGTAAGTAGAAGGTTTTACATGAACGCAAACACCGGACATTCATTGTGGCAATTTACAACCATACTACAACAAGCGATTCGAAGCTGCCCCACCCAGAGAATGTCGTATGTACAGTAAGCACATTGCTTGTATTCACCTTGCGCAATTCTTTTTCCTCCCCAGTACGACCCAGTAGCAAACAGAGGTAGTCTTTCTGAGGATAAAGCACCCCGACTTCCTCCCCGCGGTGCTGACCTCGTTCATAGTTGACTATTCCCAGCGCGAACTCACGGTATTTGTCGATGGAGCGAGATGTCTGTACGACTACTGGAGCAAATGGGACACTTGTCGTGTATCTAGGAGGCACGATGAGTCGATATGTTCCATCGTGTTGTAGCTCTAACGAGCCACAAGTAACTACGAGCTTGATCTGCAAGCCCTGGCGTGTCAACACGAACTTATTATCGCCATGTACCTCCCGGTTTTGTTCATCATTCCGCTCCTCCGGAAAGTTGGGCGCGTCGAATGGGCAGTAGCAGCGTGGCGATCTGGGGATGGCAGCGCTAAAACCATGACTGGAAGATGGCCCCGCCCACGCAAGAATATCCCATTCATCGCATCTCTGGATAATGACCTCCATCAAACGATGGAAGGCCCATTCTCCTTCTCCGTATGCAGTCGGCATGCAAATGTCGAAGATCCCGACGAGGGAGTACGCTGCATCTTCCACCCTGGTTGTCGTGCGTTTGGACGCCCATAACATCTTTTTACGAATTTGAGTTGGCCCAGGGGAAAAGTACTGGAGGTCTTTGATTGGAATACTAGTGATTGTTGATATGTCGCTCATGAGTTGAACGTCATGCTTTTCGTTCGCTAGGCCCGTATGGCACAGAGGTTCCCAATCCTTGTTAAAGAATTTAATCGAAAGGGACGCGAGGAGTTCCTGTAAAGTCCACCCTCTCGTAAACCAAACGTCATTCTTCATCTGCTGCACATCCAAGGAGTCTGCGAGGTGCACAATGCAGATATTTGCGTTACGGTACCACCTGAACATCGAGCGAATGGCCTCATCGAGCTCCGTACTGTTCGTCTTGTCGATGCAGCAGGTATCCGACCATGCCAGCCGGCATCCAAGTTCCCTTGCCTTTTCGCAGAATCTCGAGAGCTTCTGAAACCCATCGCTGCCGCACTCCCTTCCGTGACGGATATCCTGGAAAGTGGGTTCGCCCTCGCGCAACCACCGGTGCGAAAAGATAGCATACTTGAGCACGGGTTTGACAAGCTCATGTATGGCATCTTGGGAGGACTGTATCTTATCTAGCTCGTCACTGTTGGGTATTCTTGGCTTGATGAATTTTCTCAGCTCTCCGCGTCCCACTATCCTCATCTCCGAGTCCTCGATATATAACAGATAAGTCGGCAAGTGGTTGGTAACATAATGATCAAATAACTGGAGGACTTCCTAGTAGCAATCGAGACCTGTTGAGCGCACGAACGCGATCTAGACTGATTCACTCGTACCTTCTCGTTTGTAGCATCAAATAGCGGCGCACCCCACTCATCTGGGTATAACTCCAAAGCCTCATCCTCCATTGTCAACTGTAGGTGGTGAGTCTCTCGCAAGCCACATACGGATCATAGAAGTTACCGAAGGTGAATTGTTCCTAGATATCAATTGCATGATCCAAACGTGCAAGAGTTTTCGTTGAAATCGTGGACGGTGGGGATGGGATACGTGGCAGCCGCTTATATCCCCCTTATTCAAGAGTTTGAGTTCACCTTATCAGGATTTTGCGCATCAACAGGGTCGAACCTTGTCTGTGACAAGAAGTCTCGGCAGCAGGACATAAACCTGTGGTGGAAGGTGGAGACTCTGGAGAGTACATGGTCCTAGTTACCTAGTAACTTGCACATATTGCCAGCTCAATGCCAGCTGCTTGACCGTCCATTGAAGTTCTCCATTCGGATCATACAAAAACACCAAAAACGGGATTTCGACTCAGCTATAGAATTGCGCTCAACGTTGCAACGTTGATCCATTAAATGATGTCTGACCACGTTGGTGAATATGGAACGGAGCGCCATGAGGGAGGGTGGTAAGTTTAATCCATGTACTTAACCGTTCTTCCCATGCTCACTGAGGTTGAACTTTGACCTGTCCCATCGTATATTTGTTGCACCAAAAGTGGGGACAGTGGTGCACACGATACATCGTTGCTCATGTTGTCTTCGTTGTCATTCCGGTTGTCACGTGGAGTCTTGAGCACAATATCTCCTCCGTATGTAATCACACGAGCCCATTGCATAAAACTTATCTGACTGGAGAAATGCCGCAGCATTCCACACGCAAAATCATGGGCAGCAAAGTACAAGCCGACAAAAACACGACCCTTGCTGGACATGTCGCAAGGTGTTCCAGGAAGTCCTCCGCCCAAAGTCCTTCTCGAGGCTCTTTCACACACGTCGTCTTCTCCAGCAACATCAGGGTACTGCCATGTTCTTGGAGAATCTACCCTTCGTTCTGCCTTTGCGGAGGAGATGAAAACAGTGTACGGACGAGATATGGATGTTACCCAAGACGACATTGCTATCACGTCTGGGTGCAATATGGCATTCGTCGCGACTGTGATGTGTCTTGCTGATCCAGGAGATGAGATTATCCTGCCAGTTCCATGGTAAATTTTTCGTCTCTCCTTCGTTCTTTTGCTAAAAAGATGTTTGATAGGTATTTCAACCACCAGTATGGTAGTTTACTCGCTGAGTCTGCTCCCATTTGCCTGATCACCTGCCTAGAATGAGCCTGAATCTTCTCGGCATCAAAACCATACCGCTATGTACCCGCGCTGATGAGGGCTTCCTGCCTTCAACAAGCGACTGCGAGAAGCTAATCAATCCTCGGACAAAAGCGATTGCGCTCGTGACGCCAAACAACCCAGTTCGTCTCCTGTTCTTGTTGATGTCTGTCATCTTATAAACACCATGCAGACAGGTGCAATTTACTCTCCCGCCCTGATTTCAATGTTCGCCGAGCTCGCACAGAAACACAATATTGCTCTCATCCTTGATGAGACCTACCGAGATTTTGTGGATACCATGCCCCCGCATACCCTTTTCTCTCCATCTCAGACTGGCATATTGAAGTCCTTTTGGTCATGGAGGTCGAACGTAATCCATCTCTTCTCCTTTTCCAAGTCTTACTGCTTCCCTGGACATCGGCTGGGTTTGATTGCAGCGTCACCCGACCTCTTGAAACATGTCACCACCACACTTGATTGCCTACAAATCTGTGCGCCACGCCCTCCACAACTCGCTCTCGCCTCTCCTGGCATGCTGCCTACATTGCGCCAGTCAATCCAAACCAGTGCTCGATCGCTTAAAATACGCCACGATATCTTCCGCACGCATCTCCCTCCTGGCTGGACGATTGGTTCCCAAGGCGGTTACTTCGCCTTTGTAAAGCACCCTTTTGTTGGGATCCCTGCAATCACATTATGCGAGCGGCTTGCGGAAGAGCTTGGCGTCTTGACCCTTCCCATGCAGTTCTTCTGCGATGATAGCGTCGGGTCTGACCTTGAGTCACATGGACAGTCGAAGACGGACTGGGAGCGCTGGATTAGGTTTTCGGTGGCGAATGTGAGTGATGAAATGGTAAAACAAGTTTGTGGGCGACTGCATGAGTGCGAGCAGCACCTTGGTTTGAAAGTAGAGTAGTCCAAATTAGCTTGTGCTGTAGTACGGATGCCACTTGTCGCCGCAGCACTGGATAGATTAGAGGTGATTTTGCCGCAGTAACTTCGGCCAGAGAACGGTTCAGAACGACCCGTACCCTGTCTTGTTGACAACTTGGAACCTTGTGTTATCCTGGTAGCCGCCCAAGCGCTGAGGTACCCGAATATGTATGAGATGGAGTTTGAGCGCACATGTGCCAAGACTGAAGTTGAATCTCAGTAAATGGCCGCTGTAAGTCCCCAATTGATTTGGCTTGATGGATTGTACAGATAATTCTGATCAGTAGGTAACATTCATGTTAGAGCTGAGTACTGAGAGGTAGCGCTGATGGAGAGATACAGCCATGCGTGGTCACGCTGTTCCCTAGCTCCGCACTTTCAAATCAAAGCCTAATCTGTCATGCTCACTCCAGAAACTACAAGAAGCCGTCAAAAGACTTAGCACCCGGTGTATACGGTGTACTCTCCTCTTTCCTTCTCTTTCTCTGCCACCGTCAATATGATGGCAAGTCAAATGACAACCTTCCGCCCGACTACTCCGCCCCCTGGACGCACATTTGCGAACCAGCATACCCTACCTAAGCTCCCAGTTCCATCTCTTGATGACACCTGCAAGCGCTACTTGACCGCTCTTCGAGGTCTCCAGGATGATAAGGAACATGCTGCCACTCAGCATGCCGTTCGAACTTTCTTAGGTGGCGAAGGTCCCGCTCTGCAGGAGAGATTGAATGAGTGGGCTAAAGAGAAGGCGAGGTAAGTTTTGTCCATCGCTGATCGCACTGCCTTTTCATCATGGCTTTCTATATCTTCCCTTGCGAATCTTTCGCAGCTACATCGAGGACTTCTGGTGAGTATCTTTTGTTTCGCCTGAAGGCGCTTCAATTTATGGGCATCTCATACTTTTGGGTAGGTATGAAAGCTATCTCTCGCACAGCGATCCTGTAGTACTCGCTCTCAACCCGTTTTTTGTCCTGGAGTACGTTTCATGTGATTGACTTTCATGACCCTCTCTAACTCCACCGCCGGCAGGAATGATCCTACCCCAGACCGGGGCTCTCAGCTACCCCGCGCTACGGCTCTTATCATGTCGTCATTAGGCTTTATTCATGATCTCCGCCAAGGTCGACTCGACCCCGATGCCGTACGTGGCCGTCCGCTAGACATGGATCAGTACAGTAGATTGTTCGGGACTGCTCGTATACCAACGGAGGTATGTTTCGCATCATTACTTCCGAATTCAAGATTGAACCGAACCGTTCGGTTAGCGCGGCTGCAAAATGCTTGTGAATGATGCGGCTCGCCATATTGTAGTTTTGCGGAGAGGACAGTTCTGTTAGCGTCACACACTAGCCTGTGCATACATCCACTAATTTTTCACTAGATTGGTTTGATGTTCTTGATGAGGACAACCGACCACTGATGACAGAGCGCGAGGTTCTTCGCAATCTCCAAGCCATCTGCAAGGACGCCGACAAGACCCCGGTCACTGAGGTGAAGGTTTATTGGGCAATACTTATCTACTTGCTTTAACTTGACTTATTAAGGTTGCTCGCACGGCTATCGGCGTTCTCACTACTGAGAACCGAAAGACTTGGTCTTCCCTTCGACATGAAATCGCCCAGGACAAGACCAATGCAGCTTGCTTGCGCCTGGTCGACGATGCATTGTTTGTGGTCTGCCTAGATGATGCAGCTCCAGGCCGCGATGGCATCGGCGCGCTCGCTCGAAACGGTGAAAAGGGAGAAGACCTTGCTGCTCTGTGCAGCAATTTCCTCTGCGGAACTTATGACCTGCAGGAGGGTGTACAGGTTGGCACGTGCACCAATCGGTGGTATGACAAAGTGAGTCAATCATCACGAACATTGTCGATAATCGGTCTCATTCGTTATTCGATCAAGCTACAAATCATTGTGTGTGCGGATGGTGCTGCCGGTATCAATTTTGAACATACCGGCGTTGACGGCCACACGGTTCTGAGGTACGTCCCAGTCGCCCTCAAACTCGTTTTCTAATATACTCGTTTTCTAATATGCTCATATTATTATCAGATTTGCCGCAGATGTCTTCACTGAAGGCCTAATGCTGCTTGCGCGCTCAATTAATCCTTCCGCACCCACACTATTCCATGCACCCCTTTCACCACACGCCAAATCATACAGGCCTCCCAAGTCGATACCAAACGGCAACAACGGCAAATCATTGATACCCTCTCAAAGTTTCTCATATGATACCTCGCCTGCCAAACTCATGTGGACCCTGACTCCCTCAATTCGAGTCGGCATTCGATATGCTGAGACGCGGCTGAGTGACCTTATATGTCAGAATGATTGCCAGGCATTTGAGTTCAAGGGCTATGGAAAGAATTTCATCACGAGTCATGGATTCAGCCCCGATGCGTTCGTGCAGATGGCTTTCCAAGCGGCATACTTCGGACTTTATGGTCAGGATGCGCTTTTCAGATTCTGAAAACTACGCTGACGATACGATAGGGAGAACGGAATGTACTTACGAACCTGCGATGACGAAGGCCTTCCTTCATGGGAGGACTGAAGCGATTCGGACAGTGCAACCAGAGAGTGTCGAATTTACGAATGTAAGCGCCCGTATGATCATCCAGTCCTTCTTTCTGACAGGTTTGTCTATTTAGGCATTTTTCTCAGAGTGTTTACCTGACGAGAAGATCCGCAAATTGCGCAAGGCCTGCGAGCGACACGTAAAACTTACGAAGGAGTGTAGCGAGGGCTTGGGCCAAGACCGGTCGGTTCTCCTGTTAACTTTATTTCAGTACTTATGCGGCTTGCAGACACCTGTATGCATTGTACTGCTTGCATCAGCGCCAGGTGACAGGAAATCTCGATCCATCTCCTGACGATCCAATCCCGAACGGTGCTACTCAGAAGACCCTCCCGTCAATCTTCGCTGACCCGGGCTGGAGTCTACTAAGTACCTCTATCTTGTCCACTTCAAACTGCGGAAACCCTGCATTGCGCTTGTTTGGATTCGGGCCTGTTGCGGCTGATGGGTATGGCATTGGGTATATCATTAAAGAGAACGGGATAAGCGTGTATGTCGTAATTTCTGTTGTCATGCAATTGATGCTGACGAATGCACTCACAGCGTCGCTTCATCGAAGCATCTACAAACGCGTAGATTCCTGGATACCCTCCAAGGATATTTGCTAGAGGTTCAGAGGATCTTAATACAGCTCCATCGCTCCGCAAATGAACGCCCTGCCCCATTTGTTGATCACGCTGGCATCCTCCGTGACTCCAAGACTGGTCGGCCGATTAGTAACGGCCACGGTTACGGATCAGACGAATCGGGGAGTGACTACGAGGACACCATGCGTGAGTCATTTGGCCATGCGCAGCTCTTCGTAAGCTTACTGATACTTGTATTCTTAGCCGGGTACTCGTTCTTTGATAGTGGTGATATCGATCTGCTCGGACGCCGCAAGAGAAGTCCTTATGCGAATATTGGTGTGTTTGAATGTCCCCCCTCTATGTTTTGTCAGCGCTGATTCGCAAGAACCCATGTAGGAAAAGTCCTCCCTCTGTCTGATTATTGATAGGTGACTAATTGCTGTATGTATCGGAGTATAAGTATATCTGGCCTGATTTCAGTACCTTTTGTGTATTACTACTACATATGTGATGTATGTGATGTCATCTGTACGATTACATGACGTGCTCAAGAATCAGGTCAATCATGACAAAATTCACTTGTTATCATTTTCCGAGTGCCAGCGTGGGCTAGAGTGGTGCCACTGTGACCCGCTAGCGCGTATGCGGCGCGCCGGCGTTGGTAAACAAACGACAACTGAGATAAATGGATGATATCAGTCCTCCTATCAAATTCCCACTCTCTTGAACTCATTCAACCACCACTGACTCTCTGACACGTCAAAATTATCATGTCCCAACACACTCTCCCCGATCTCCCATACGCCTACGATGCTCTCGAGCCCTTCATCTCGAGGCAGATCATGGAGCTTCACCACAAGAAGCACCATCAAACATATGTGAACGCTCTCAACGCTGCCGAGGCTAGCTACGCAAAGAGCTCTACCCCCAGAGAGCGCATTGCCCTCCAGGCAGCACTCAAGTTCAACGGTGGTGGTAAGTCTTCATAACTTATCCCATGCGCTCAGATCATCGCGTCACGGGTGTTATCTTATCGCTCGTCATCGATCGCAATCTCACGTTATTCATTTCACGTGCTTAGGTCACATCAACCACTCACTCTTCTGGAAGAACCTCGCGCCTGCCTCCAGTGAGGGCAAGGGTAACGGTGGTTCCCTGAAGGCCGGTCCCCTCAAGGATGCCATCGAGCAGTCCTTCGGGTCGCTCGATGCGCTCAAGAAGGAGTTCAATGCCACTACTGCTGGTATCCAAGGCTCTGGATGGGGCTGGCTCGTAAGTTCCCTGTGCCATCGCGCATGACTGATGTAGTGCTCACCGCGCTTTGCGTTCAGGGTTTGAACCCATCCACCAAGCGCCTCGAGATCTCCACGACCGCAAACCAGGACCCGCTTCTGACTCTCATCCCTATCATTGGGGTTGACATCTGGGAGCATGCTTTCTACCTTCAGTATCTCAACGTTAAGGTTGATGTGAGTTATCATTCTTCGTTGGGGTGAGATACACTTCATTGATCACATTTATAGTACCTGAATGCCATTTGGAGCGTTATCAACTTTGATGAGGCTGAGAAAAGGTTCACGGAGGGTCTTAGCGGAAGCAAGCTCTAATCTCCTGAGGAGGGCAACGAGTTAAAATGAAAAAAGATGAATGAATTCGCGCCATGTTGTATTATCAATGCGTCGCTTATCGCAATGAATTGTATTTGATGTTCGTTCTAGGACAAAGCTCCGAAAATAGGGTTGCTGGAAAACGTTGCTTGTTCATTCCTGGTTTGCTTTGATGTCATTGTTTATATTTACCATAGTATGTGAATACGAACGCAAACCTCACGAACGCCAGCAAGGCTAACTAGACATACAATCGCCTGGTCTACGTGTACCAGGGTTGTTACTTGTCTGATGTACAGCACATCACCCTTTTCTGTCACACGGAAGCCATTGGGAATCTTTCGGATGCCAATAGTGAGATCGGTCGCGAGAACGGCTTGGAAAGAATCGTGAATACTTGATGGGCGGAGATGTGTATCGGGTACCAGTAACGACGACTTGTTGCACTCCACTGGGCGTCTCTCTCCCGGGTCCTGGGGGTGTTCTGGTTGGCTTGGCTTCCATCTGAGGGTGGAAGGGTACCATCGAGTGGATCATGGACGGAGCATATCGTGAAATGAAACAGAGTAATGATGAAATAAAATGTCAGAAGAACGGCTTTGGGAAATCATATGTACGTGCTAGTACTGAACGAAGATGGCACATACTATTGCTGACAACCTGTAGCATTTCACTGACCATGAGGTTTGTCTAGGCTCCCGGGTCCTAGGGGTGTTCTGGGTGGCTCGACTCCTGGCCCAAAGGTGGAAGTCGATCACGGACGAAGCCTGAAAATATGGTTGATTCACGAAACACTGCAGTGCACTGCCTGTAAAGTCCTGAAGCAGACGGATTGTAAAGGACGGAACTACAGCATGCGGCACGTGGCACTCGCAGTGCACACTGCGTTGCGATGTGCAACACTGGCTCGTGTGTCGGAACCTCCACACTAACAGTATTTCCCTACCAAATTTAGGTGTAGTCAGAGCTCAGAAACGCGGTAAATTTTCAAGAAACCAACGTTTACATATGTTGCTTGTCCGATGCGAGACATCGACGACGACCTTCTCGATTCAGTCAGCGCTCCCTTTTCTTCTCCTTGTATGACGACAGCTACATCAGACCGAAGAACTTCTTGACGCCATACAAGCGAGAAAATGAGTAGGCTCGAATTCGACAAAATGCTTGTTATTCTGCTAAAAATGTTGCTCCACTGTCATAGTGTCACGCGGTGTATTTTGAAGGTTCGCGAATCGCCGTTGAATATTGAATATTGAATCCCCGCTGACTCGTGAGTGACAAACCATCATGAACTTCAGCACAATTCAATCTCTGATCCTGCATCTTAATTAACCCTCGAGCATCTCCTTCGAATTCCTAGGATACGTCAATGAATGTGTCAAACGCAGAGCTATTCACGAAGTGTCCTACCTGCGCCCTGCGGCAACAAATATTGTATCACGGTGACACTGAGTAAGAATTCGATCTGGATTCTGCTTATCTCGCATGGCACACAGGCCGCCTATTACTAACCACATGCATTGGGCTGTAGGTTCCCGCGGTCGTGTTTCAAGCATGACAGGCGGGTGTACTCTCACAGGTCTCGCTAACGTTGTTTGATGCATGAATGATGCATGATGCATGCCTCCGGTCCCATGCAGCGTGATGTATCCCACTGCTCTCTAGGGATGCATTCTGCTTCTGTGTTCCTCATTGGCATCACGCCCTTCAACGATGCATCCGACGTCAGTAGTGCACCCTGTCCACTAGCAGAAATGCCTGCCCCTTCTTGCTCGCTGCATGCAACAACGAGGACTGAAACCACATGTCGGTTTTTGCTAAGGTAGTTTGGTCCGGATATTATTCAAGTTCACTAGAAGTTTCGAATCCTGGTCTAAGACAGTATCAAAACGGAGACCTGCCAATAGAGTTCTCAGTGAGTCTGCGTTTATGCTAGGACAGGGCATATCCATATATTAAGCGCTGATGTCCTGAATAGCATGCTGCTTCTTCAATGCGAGGTGGAGTCCGTCGATAGGAGTCACCCTCTCGTCTTCCTAGCGGCTGCCTTCTCTAACTCCGCAAATGGGTGAACATCGAGAATGCAATTCCGTGTCATGCGGTACCCACACATTCGTAAACTGAACTTTCGAAGGGCATGCGTGGACTGTGGCATTCGGTCGTTTCAATATGGTGTGTGCTCTCAGTTCTGATCAACACAGCGGACTTTTGAAAAAGAATTCCAAGTCGCCAATGACATGGCCAAACAATCGTCATCCGCCAACAATCCACCAATGTGATTCGTAGCTCTCAGTCTTCGACCATTACGATCTCGAAGCCGCTTCTGTATGCAGAGATTTTTAGGTTTGGCCGGTTGCTATTGCGGCCTATTGCTTTGAAGATGCTGTCAATTTTATCGCCTATGTAAAATCAACGGCGTCTTGATCAGTGGGTCGTGTGCGAAGCTGATGTACAGGAATATATTGGTCGATGGATCGTCCAGCACGCAAATATTTATGGGTCAAACGTCACCCTCAGGTTGCAGCATGCAATTAATGAAACGATTATCGTAGCGCTCAGGCCTCTATGTATATGTACATCTCCTGCTGTCACCCGTCCCAATTAACGTATGGCAGTCGAAACTAAACCTCAAACACTTTTTACGGAACCACGGGCTGCCCAAGAGCACAAAGGGGGGTCAGAGGAACTGGAAGTTGAATACCCAGTCTCCAAGCACTCCGCCCTTCTTTCAGATTTGCAAGAATTTCCAGAAGGTGGTCTTGCGGCTTGGTCCACTGCTTTTGGATCGTAAGGAGACTCGATTTTGGCGGGGCTGGCTCTTACTTGTTTTCTTTAGGTTTCTTATACTGTTCTGTGGTTGGGGGTAAGCGTTGTGCTCTATTGTCGGTGAAGAATGGCGCTCTGATGGTTAACAGTTATACGACTTCATTTGGTGTCTACCAAGGTATTGCTAATCACGAAAGTGAGGATGGAACCTAATCCAAACGGCTTGTCCTCCAGACTTCTACACTCAGTATTACCTCACAAATGAGACATCATTTACTATTTCGTAAGTTTTACTGGCTTCTCTACGGTGGGTATCTTTAAGGTTTCTTGCAGATGTATCGGGAGCTTCAATGCGTTTTTAGGCACCGCTGTAAGCCTTATAGCAGGCTCACTATATGATCGGGGTTATTTGTGAGTGTAGCCTGATTGTGCGAGTGTGTCGGAGACGGTACTCAGCAGGCCTACCTAGCTACCATCTCGTCATTACCGGATCGCTTCTGCAGAGTCTATCTCTCTTCACGCTATCATTTGCGAAGCCCGATCAATACTACCAGGTGATGTCCTCCGGCTTTCTGATGTGTTTCATGTTCTGACTTGATATAGATACTCCTTACTCAAGGCTTAGGCTCGGGTATTGCGTTGGGGCTTCTGTACGTCCCAAGCCTGGCTGTCGTCTCGCATTATTTCAGACGGAAGCGCACGCTGGTTATGACGTTCGCCACCTTGGGCTCATCGTTGGGTGCAATCGTCCATCCGATTATGCTCAATAACCTCCTGAATGGTCACCTTGGATTTGCCAATGGCGTGCGTGCAAGTGCAGGGTTGGTTAGCGCGCTCCTTTTGATTGCATGCTTGTGTATGCGCACTCGCCTTGATCCTCCTGCAACACCGGTGAACTACATCGCGGCGGCTAGAAGATGTCTTCGTGATGTTCCATTCATTTTCATGGTAGCAGGGTAAGACCTGCAACACAGCATCTCTTGGATTTCTCCCAATGACGACTTGTTATGCAGGGCATTTCTTTTCCAGATTGGCTTCTACTACCCGCTATTCTTTCTTCAACTCGACTCTATCAAGCATGATAACAGCATCATATTTTCGTTCTACTCAGTGAGATCTAGCATTATGCGAGTGGTTTTTTTACTGATACGATCGCTAGCTTGTGATTTTAAATGCGTGCAGTTCTGTGGGACGAGTTACATCAGGGTACATCGCCGCATTTACCGGAGTACCAAACTTAACCGTGATTGCGGCAATTTCGTGCGGATCGCTAATTTTGGGCACCATTGGATTTATAGGGTCAAAACAGAAATAGGTTTCAAACTTGTAAAAAAATATCTTTTGGTGGGCTGGTACATATCATGGAGGGTACTTCTGGGATGGATATGAGCCAACAATTAAGAAAAACGGCGGTTCGGTTGTGGAGATATGTCCAAAATACTGATATTTGAGCCTACCTCCCATATCACATGAATGCCGACCTCCGGAAGGTCTGAGACCATTCCCAATCGATTCAGAGGCCTCAAATACCCTAGGAGAGATGTTTTCGGTATCGGTATTGAGGCGGAACACCGGGATAGTGACATATATGAGGTCAGGAGGAGGGGGAGGACCCTGTATATCTCAGGAACACGATTTTTCCGGGCAATTCTGGCTTCACCATCGTGTTCAGAGGGCTCAATAACCCCCAGGAAAAATGCTTTTGAAGGACAGGCTAGTCATATGAAGTCTAGAAAAATCGATCTTTGGGTGAGGGAGCATGGCCTTGGTGGCCAACTTTGGAAGATGATTTTTAGAGCAAAATCCGGCTCGACCAACGTCTTCAGATGGTCAAATAACCTCAAGAACGAGTCCTAGCTAAAGCCAAGCAAGCCATATGAAGGCTGAAAAAATCGATCTTTGGGTGGGGGGAGGATGTCAGGGGCAGCCAACTTTGGAACATGATTTTTAGAGGGAAATCTGGCTCGACCAACGTGTTTGTATGGTCCAATAACCTATAGAACAAGTCCTACCTAAAGAAAAGCAAGCCATATGGAGGCTGAAAAAATCGATCTTTGGGTGGGGGAGCATGGCCTTGGTGGTCAACTTCGGAATTTGATTTTCTCATGCAAATCTGGCTCGACCATCCTTTTCAGAGTGTTCAATAACCTCGGAAACGAGTCCTACATCAACCCTTGCGAGTCATATGAAGGCTGTAAAAATCGATATGTGGGGGAGGCTTGCATGCCCTAGGGGGTCAACTCCAGCATTTGATTTCTTCGTCTAATTCTGGCTCAACCATCCTTTTCGGAGTGTTCAATAACCTTGGAATCAAGTCCTACATGATGCCAGGCAAGTCACATGAAGGCTGTAAAAATCGATGTGTGGGGGGGCCAGCATGGCCTAGGGGGTCAACTTTGGAATTTGATTTTATTGTGCAATTATGGCTTCACAAATGTATTCAGATGGTCCAATAACCTCTAGAAAGAGTCCTAGCTACAGCCAAGCAAGCCATATGAAGGCTGAAAAAATCGATCTTTGGGTGGAGGGGCATGACAGGGGTTGTAGTCAAATTTGGAACATGATTTTTAGAGAGAAATATGGCATGACCAACATGTTTGTATGGTCCAATAACCTCTAAAATGAGTCATGTCTGAAGTCAAGCAGGTCATATGAAGGCTGTTAAAATCAATGTGTGGGGGGCCAGCATGGCCAGGGTCGTCAACTTCAGAATCTGATGATATACGATTCTTGTAAATAGGTTCGGTTAAACATGTGGTTAAGTTAGGATATTTTACTTGTGATATAAATATTAAGACATATTGGTCCGGACCACACAGCCCAAACATGTGAATAAAGCATATAATGAGCCAATGATGTGACAATACATGACATTATATGAACATTACACTAATACATGGCAGCATTCTATACAATATGACTGATATAAACCTACACGAGTAGTGAAGTCAGCGTTGGCAACGGTGGCCATAGCGGAATATAGCATATATATATAGCGTAAACACAGAGGTACATAGCGTAAAAGCTAATAGTATATACACATGTATTGTGTATGTACACAATATTCCACGATGGCTACTGTAGCCATAGCGGAGCAATGTGTACATATACAATGCATGTGTGTATATATACAAAGTAAATAAACAACATTCCGCGATGGCTACATTAGCCATCGCGGAGCAAAGTCAAAGTCAAATATAAGAGTCACGTGGTGTGTCACGTGGTGTTCGCGGACCTGATATTGCAAAACATGAGGCGAACGGAGGCAGAAAAAAAGGACATGAGGCGAACGGAGCAGGAAAAAGGGTGAAAAAATTAATCTCGTCCTTCAGACGCAACCACCACGATAAAGTGATCTACCTACGCCGTACTGACTGATCTGCGACGAAGGATGGGAGGAAAAAGAGCGAAGAAAGGAGAAACCAACGCAGTACGTTATCAAAGGCTTTAAAATAGAAAAAGAAGACTTACGTTGTGTTGTATGTGCGTCTAACTGGTGATCAGGACGCAGGCGGATCAAACCTGCATCTGCACTTAGATACGAGGCCGATTGAGGCGATTACGCCCCAGAACGATGTGGGGAAGGCTACTCAGAAGCTGGATACACAAGTTGGAAAATGCAAGGCTGGCGTTGCATGGATCGACTTACTGAAGATGGCCAAGCGTTTAAAGTTCGGCGTTTATAACGACCGAGCAGAGAACGAGGTCGAACGGAACAAGCTGATAGTGTCGTTCCAGCAATCTGGGATTGTGTCTATGAAAGAGACATCAGCGATTCCGATAATCATTGACATGAAGCGTTTGAAAACAGGACTTACGCTCTCCGCAGATTTCAGTGAGCCAGACACGGTGCGAGAACTGGAGATCTTAGACCAAGACAAGATCATCGTTGCGTCAGGCCAGCATCGTCTGGCGGCGTTAAAGAAGTATCACCATATGTTAAAGGACGAGTACGCGTCGCTGGAGAAGAAGCGCGACAAGATCTCTGGGCTGACGAACGTATCAGTTGAGCACGTTACCCAATGGGACGACTTACGCGAGCAGATGGGCGTGCTCCTTGGGAAGATGGAGAATATTGGGAAGTGGGGCGTCGTGGTCTACAATCAATGTAAGTTGTCTTGTCCTTATTCTCATTCATTCCGCGATGGCGACTGCCGCCATAGCGGAGCATGGTGCATATCCCCATGCTCCGCTATGGCGACAGTCGCCATCGCGTATATGTACAGTGCGTTATGTGCTATTCCGCGATGGTGCCAGTAGCCATCGCGGAGCACGGTACATACCTCTGTGATCCGCTATGGCTACTGTAGCCATAGCGGAATTATTAGGTTGTCGAATACACGCTGATCGTGTTATTTAGCTCTGCTATTAGCAAAAGGAGATACACTCGCAGCGCACCTTAGTCGCAACAATTCGTTGCATGAATATAAAGAGACGGAGGAGGAGGTCCTCATCACGATCTTCAAGAAGGTGTTAGGACGATACAAGGACAAGGTGGACGATGGGAGTCCAGAGGAAAAGGCGTTAGAATGTCTTACCGAGTTGAGGAAAGAGCAGGAGAAGAACACCCGTTTGCAAAGGGTGCTTTCGAACGATCCGCTCTGCCTGCTTCTTTCGACGGAGCTTCTGCCGTTGGGCCCCCACTTCCGTCACCGTCGGGAGTACTCTGTGACTTGGCTGTCGAAGTCGCTTGATGTGTGCGTTGGGGTGAGTACCTGCAGATTGTCAGACAAAGAATATGATAATGACAAGACATACCTTACAGCTGTATGTTGCGTGGATACACACGCAATGCTCACTTCTGAGGAAGCTGACGTCGGAGGAACCGTTCCCCGACTTCAAGACGATTGAAGAACTCCTGGACGATGTCGAACATAACGTCGCAGGAGCTGCTGCAAAGGTAAAGGAATTGCGTGAGCAGATCGCTGGGTACACACCAGAACAAGAGGGCGACATTACCATCTGGGCCGAATGGATCGGGACGTTCGACATTGCTGCGAGACAGGCGTTCCGCGACTTGTCGAAAGGGGTCGGGGTCATGACGTCCGAGTACATCGTGTCCTTGAGCACGTACAGGGAGACGTTGATAGGTCACCTGCGAAGGAAGTGGCGTGTGGGATCCACGAGTCGAGGCAGCGAGAACAAGATTGTCAAGCACCTCGACATGATCGTGGCCCGCCTGCTGTTAGTATTAACGCCAGACGCTAGTGCGAACCACGCACCTGAACCGCTCCTTGGAGGGATGATGTTGGACTACGCGTGGACGTACTTGACCACGGTGAAGACTGGGATAGCGGAGGTGAGAGGAACAGGATCATGAGGAGATGGTGTGTAGACTAACTCACCTTCATCTAGATCTGCCGTTGGTTCGAGGCGTTGCTGGATTCGTGGAAGGTCCTGCACGTCAAGACACACACCATGGACGACTGGTCCACGGTGATGTTGAACAACGTCAAGAACGACGCGCGTTTCGAGGGAGTGGACTTGCGTTACGAGGTAAGCACTCAGAGAGGAGACGTCACGAAACGATCAGACTCACCTGTTATTATTTGCAGATCACTAACATCATTTGGACGTACCGGACGTCGTTAGTGATGCGTCTCAACAACACGATGACGAGATTAAATCGCCAGATGCAACCTCGGCCGAAGGATCGAAAAGAGTTCGATGCGCTGTACGATGCGCTGCCTGCCATCGACAAGATCACGAGCTCGGGGCTTACAGATTTGATCGGAGAGAGGCGGAAAGGTCCTGCCCCGAGGACGAGGAGCATGTCGACCGAGCCTCAAAGACTGCCGGGCATGATGGCCCTTCACGTTACCTCGTGGGATTGGCAGCATCCCTCGCTGAAAAACAGCGTGAGGGACATCGCGCCAGTGGTCCACGCGATCACGTTAGAGCGTCTCTACTCTGAGAGATATCGCCCTGAGTTGTTGAGAGATGGTACCATCGCTGCGCTGAGGAGGATGTTAGAGATGTGTCTGGCTGACAAGGCGATAAAGCAGCAGACCTGGGTAAACATGAAACTCATCACTGAGAAGCGATGGAAATGGTGGGACGGCATCATCCTCGACGAAAGCCAAGAAGACCCGACGAAAGTCACTAGAGGGATCCACGAGTCCTTCGCGAAAAACGCTGAGCAAACACAGGCGAAGCTTGCCTTGGAGACGATGGACAGGGAGGCGATTACAAAAGCCGTCTCCTATATCTCGAACATGGCGTGTGCGAAAGCAGGAGAAAGCTCGCACAGCAAGTTGTCGGCTGATGTAGCGAGGCCATTAGCCTTGCTAGTTGCGGTGAGTGTTTACCTATATATCCACCCTATATTCCGCGATGGCGACAGACGCCATCGCGGAATTATGCACCTTTCACGGTGTACAACTTGACACATACCACGCACCTCTGTGTTCCGCGATGGCGTCTGTCGCCATCGCGGAATTATACACGATGGGCTACATGTAACATTGTGTATACTCACTGGTCTCTGCTCCGCGATGGCGTCTGTCGCCATCGCGGAATTATACACGGATCACAACATGTTATACTTACATCGTATTTCATTACAGGGCCTTGAATTGAACAGTGCAAGACTTCGCCTGCGTCATCTCGCTCGTAACAACGAGGCGTTCTTCAATTCCGACGGCGATGTTGAAGATCTCAAAATAGAGCTCGTCGAGGGAGTCGAGGATGACAATACCTTGGTGGGCATTTCATGTTCACGTCTATGCTTACTCGTCTCATTGTTGATTGCTGGACAGGGCTTCTCTGCTGAGTCGGCCCCACCTGACAACCCAGACCAGGCAATGACAATTGCCCCGTCCAAGATCTTGGTCAAGGGAACTGCAAAGGGTAAAGCAAAGGGCAAGGGAAAACAGAAGGCCGTCGCGCCTTCATCTGACGATGACCCCATCAGCCCCCCCTACGAGCCCTCGCTGCCCGAGTCTGACAACATCGTCACGTCCCCTGAGCCACCTACCAAGCAGCCTACCAAGCAGCCTAAACATAGGTCCGGTCAGTTATACCCCCATAACTTGCGCGACTACGCGACTGCGCGACAATTTTATAGGGGGGCATGCACGACAATTATGTCTGACCATGCGCGACTGCGCGACAATTATGTCTGAACATGCGCGACTGCGCGACAATTAATGCTGACCATGCGCGACAATTATGTCTGACCATACGCGACTGCGCGACAATTATATAGGGGCATGCGCGACAATTATGTCTGACCATACGCGACTGCGCGACAATTATGTCTGACTATACGCGACTGCGCGACAATTATATAGGGGGCATGCGCGACAATTATGTCTGACCATACGCGACTGCGCGACAATTATGTCTACTATACGCGACTGCGCGACAATTA